GTTGTTATTATTTTGCCGATGGCTAAACTATATAAGCAATCATTGGATTTCATGACAAAGATAAATACGTATATTTTTTAACAACATATTTTTTAATATTTTTTAAACCTTGAAATTGAATTACAAAAGGTAAAAAAAAAATTCTTGAAATATAGTAATTATACTAGTGCCAACATAGACAAGTCAGAGAGTACAAGAAGAAAATGGTTAAAAAAATAAAATAAAACTAATTAAAAGTTTTTAAAAAATATGAAAAGATAAAATTACCTCTAAACCCAACTCAAGTGTGTTGCACATGAAAATTATTGTTGAAAATAAATAATTATTTTTTAAAGATCATATAGTATATTTTGATGATTATGAAAAGTAGTAAATAGAAATAAAATGAAATAGATTAAAATGAATACAAGTGAAAAGGGAATATTTTGTTATTTTTACATTTTTTTAAGCATGAAAAAGGATGAAAATGATTTTCAGGTTCCGGATAACTCAAAAAATATTTTGTGAGTTATCTTTATAATATTTTAAAACTATTGGGGTATTTTTGTGAAAAACTAACAGAGATCCGTTAAGTTTAACGGAAATTTGACCAATTGGATGAAATTGACAAAAATTTCAAACATAAAGGACAAAATTGCCTAATCGAAAATCAATAAGGTAAAATTGATGACGGGGTCAAAACGGTGTAACCGCTATTTTTTCCTTTTCCGTTACTTTGTACAATTTTTTAGAAAGAAAGGGAAAAAAAAGAAAAATAAGTAAAATATTTTGTAATTTTTTTGTGGAACTGAAGAATAGTGGCGGTGACGGAAATGCGAGTAGTGATGGAGGGAGGATTGTGTACTGTTGGTGGAGGCAAATTTTTATGTTTGTGGTGATGGTTTGAAATCCTCATAGATTTAGGAAGTGGTGATAGTAATTTTTAGGAGAGAAGAGGAAATGGGCGGTGGTGGTGCGGCAGCGGAAAACAAGTAATAGAGGAGAAAAAAAGAAGAGGATTAGGGTGAGAGCAATGAATTAGATTATAAGATAAATTATGTGGTAGGGACGTTATAATAATTAAATGGTAAGATAAGCGTATGTTACTGAATAACAAAACATTAGGGATAAAATGTTAAAATTTTGGGTCAACAAAGTTTTTTACCAATGAGAAATTGTACAAAGTAACGGAATATCATTGGAAATATTAAATCTAAAAGAATTCTCATCAATATGGATTAAGTCTGCAAAAAATTGAAATTTAGATGATGAATTTGGTTTCTAAAAAATATTTTAGGTCAAATTAGCCAGAAACTTGATGTTTTGGGCAAAAGTGATCATTTACTCAATTAGTTTATGATATTATAGAATGTTATTCACCACATGGCTACATCTTATACCCTCAATTTTGATTGGTTAAAGATAAAACGGGACGGTTCCGTAAAAATCGCCAACGGGACTCTAGATTTCCCTATATATATATATATATAGATATATATATAGGGAAATTCTATGGTCCAATCATTGATTTTTTACTGAACCCTTTAGTTAATGACTAACCAATCAAAAATTAGCCGTTCATATATTATTATGGGGTGAGAAGTATACTAGTAAATCCTAAAGTAATTAGTAACCTCCTAATCATATTAGTTACTTGGATAAATACTAAATTAACCTATGTGCGTGTAGCTATTAGTAACCATCATATTTTGAAGAATATTACGTAATTATATCAAATAATAATTCTTCAATCCTCAAAATTCCCAAAATTATAAAAATAGAATTTCTCTAATCTTTAAACATCGCAAGTGAAAGTAGTTCTCCAATGTTCAGAACATCATACAAACCTTAGCATCCAAAGCCCGAAAAATCAACAAATTGAATCCTAGCTAAAACAAGAATAACTACCCAATTGAGTAAACTCCAATGTTCACTACTCTCTCTATTTCACCCATTGTTATTTGGTCGACATGGAGTGTGATTGTAGGGTGTTTCTGCATTCCAAGAGCAGTGCTAAAAGCTTCCAATTTCTTAGGTGAGGTATTTTCCATTTGTTTCTTTAGGATCAACATCCATAGCCTCCCTTCCTCTTGAAGCATCACCATTTTCTGATTTAATGTTCCCTTGGAAGTTACTGTTCGTTAAACAAAGGGATCATCAATCCCGACAAGGACTTATTCCCCTTCCTTCGAGTATTTCGCATTTTACATTAAATCGTATAGCGGCTGCACATAGCCACATACTCAACAAGGTTCGGTAGAAGCCGGCGAGCAAGATCGACTCCATCTCGGTGATTGTAAAAATGAGACTACTTCATAATCAGATGGCGCTTTTTGTTTGTTAATCATAGTGCCAATATCTTTTCTTAGTGCGATATTCATTCATTTAGTTTAACTTTGGTCGAAGAATTTGAGGAGCGCATGCTTGTGCTTCATCCTAACTTCCTCGCTGAGATTCATTTGCCTCCTCGTTCTAGCTTTCCCTCCACTTCAATTCTATGGTGTGATAGTGTATTTTCAGAGAAGGCAGAGAAGAGAAGAGTGTTGATATTTATATGACTACTGATAAATTAATTGGAAGAAAGGCTAAAATCTTTCTCGAAATTTTTTTTCCCTTTTCTTTTTATAGAATTCCACTGTCTTTTATTTATTTTTTTGTTTAAAATATTTGTTCCTTCTCTTGATCGTATACAGAATAAGGAATTAAAGTGAAAGAATTTTTTGATGATAAGAATTAACATCGGCAACCTTCTATACAAGTTAGTTTGCAAATTATATTATGTAGGTGGATTTATATTTCTTATTATATATCTTTTCTTGATGTAATGGTTACAAATGTTCCTTTGTCTACACTCTTCCTGCTTGATCCTCCAGTATCCTGAACTCATTTATTGCTAGAATATGCCACTGAAAACCCTCGGGATTCTCTCAATAATTTTCACTTACATCAGATCAAGTGTTGACTAGATCCGTGAAATCTGTAATTCACAAAAAGTTGATATTTGATTTCCAAAACAAATAAAATTATTCACCATCGAATTGTAAACCATATAATAAGATGGTTTATTAAAGGAAACTACTACGTACAATTTAAAAGTTGACAACGAACATCAATTAGTCATCGGCCATATCCCTTAGGCAATCACAAAGAGTAACGAACTTTCAGGGTCATCTGCCTTAGGCATAATTGACATTTCCAGGGAGCCTAGCTAGACATTTCAAATGTTGAGATCGAAAGAGAAAAAAGCAGTGAGATTTCCAATCAGTTCTACCCCGAAACTTAAACAATTTCTTCCTCTTACTAGCCCCCCATTGGTTTGATTACCTTCCCTAGAAGCCTTGTCCTTTTTTTGTGCACAACTTCATAAACTTGCTTAATCTTTGTTGTGAGTTGAGCCACTAGAACTCAGATGCCTTGTCCTATTTAGTTTCTTCTCTTACACATTATGATGCTGTAAATTCAATTTTTTTTCAAATGCTGACATGTTATCAGGATGTAAATAGTGCTCTTCAACAAGTTCTTCCTTTGGGGGTGCAGAGTTTTATAATGTAGTTTCACCAATCAGGCAGGCTGGAGGCATTCAATCTATACTGCCTCTGCTTCCTCTGTTTCTCCTTGTTCTCTTCTTTCAGCTTCAAGATACTGTCCTTCAAAACATTGACGTTCATACTGTTGAATTCCCTCGATTCACTTTCTTTCTATTCCATCTCTCTCAATCTCGCTAGTTAATCTGTTATTCGGCTTACCTCCAACAAAAACCGATCCTTCTTGTCAGGCCTTAGCAAATTCAGCTTCTCTCCCAACTCCTTGTGTTTTACCATTTCTATTTATCAAATTTTATGATAATAATTTTTAGATGGTACTATAATTCTCATTAAACCAAGTTTAAGTTTTTTCTTTTTCTTTTTCAATAATAGACTCTGTTTTTCTAGGATGAATAATTGAATTTGAAGCGTTTGAATGTACTAGAAAATTTACAAAATACTATAATCTATATGATACTCTATCCGGTCCTTAATAAGGCATTTTGATTTGTACTATGTTTCACGTAATATATATTTTTAATCGATAAAAAAATCTTTAAAATAGTATTTCATAACAATCAAGAGAACACAACGAATGTGAATCTTGTCAATTAACAATGTGTACTAGTTGAAACTTAGAACAAATCAAAATGCCTTAATAACGGGAGGAAGTATGTTTTATTGTTGTTGTAATTGAAACGGATGGTTAATTAGCGGGTTATGACGATTCCAAACGCGGATATCACAATTTCTTCAAGGATAAACCTTAACTGAATTACCTAGTGAAGGTTCAGTTCCGTAACCGCAACCATCAACGATACATGGTTCCACTTCTGATACATGAACCTTGGGTCTGGTTCGCATTGAAACCGCAAAGCCATCCAACTTCAACAGATTATATTAAAAAATGATCGCTTAATATTCATCATGTGCTCGTGAAAATGATTCTTTGCACATATTTATTCACTGTCATTTTTCAATTTTGGGTAAGATATGTCTTACCAGAGACTCCATAATTAATGGTTGCAAACTGTGAAAATCTCGTTAGAGAATTACGCAATATGAGACTTCATATATTTCCATATCGTTCTATAAATTATTTATTTACATAGATTATTAATCAAACTAGTAAATAGTAATGATACAAACATCAGTTCATGAAATTACTGTGTATATCTTGAAATCATGCCATCAATCTCTCTCTCCCTCTCTCTCTTTTTTTTTTTTTTTAATCACATGCCTATTAATAAATTATTACTCGCATTTTCCTTAAGTTGAATTATTTAAATGGAAAAAAAAATATTTTCCAAGATATTTATTTTAAATGATTTTAAATTAAAGAGATACACTTGCATTAGTTGATTATGTATTGTGCATTCACCCGCGATCGCCTATTTAATGTGATACAGAAGCATCAATTTATTATACACATAGTGCATGCATCCAAAATCGCATATAAATACGATACTCTAATTCATCATTCCCACACCAACAATTTGCCAACAATATATCACATTGAGAAAGTAGAGAGAATAATAGAAATGGCTGGGATTTTCAAGCTCCTCTCCTTGGTTCTTTTTGTTGCTCTAATGAGCAAAGGTATCATTTTTTTTTTTTTTTACATTTGGTTATAATTATTTTGGGCCTGACAGAGTTTTTTTTTTTGGTTCTGAATTATTTTCAAAAATGTTTAATGATTGTTGCTTTTGCCTTTTACAGTGACTTATCAACAGGGTTGCGATATTAGAAACATTAAAATTGCTCAAGTTGCAACCGGCTCGAAGGCAGGAGGCAAACCGGAGTGGAAAGTAACAATCACCAATGATTGTAAATGTACTCAAACTCAGATTAAATTGTCATGCTCCGGTTTCCAGTCGGCTGAACCAGTTGATCCATCAATTTTGTCCAAGAACGGTGATGTTTGCCTTCTCGTAAACGGCGGTCCAATTTTCGGCTTCCAAACAACGGTCACGTTTAATTATGCCGCTGATTCTCAATGTCCCTTCAAACCGGTTGACAGCATCGTGTCTTGCTCCTAGATTAATTTAATTTGGATCCCAAAATGGAAACAGTTGAAACCTTATGTTTCGAGAGGTGTAATTTGTTCTTGAGGATGCTTTGGATTCTTTTTTGAGTTCACACAAATTCAATAATAGTGAGAATAATAATTTTTTTTTTGTATATTGATGATGTGCTTTTATTTATCGTAACCAAATTTTGAGCGTGATGCTCTTATATTCATGACGAATAATCTCTAACTGATAATTTGATTAGAGGATCATTTTTTAGAAAATAATATTACAAGATGTTTTAGTTCGTTTTCTTTGTTTGGTTCATCTAAATAAGAATATGGGTCAGGTACTGTGGCATGAATTTTGAGTATCTCAAGACCATACCTTTCGTACTTATAAATGTTGAGTAGGGAATAAGGATTGGTTTACATCAATTCAGATTAATTTGTTTTCCATTCGTCTTTTAATATTGGTTTATGGTCGACAGTTAGAACATGATTTAATCGAAAGTTTTCATCTAATGAAATGTAATAATTCAGTTTTTTAAACCTTAATCTCTGTTATTGTTAAAATTAACGAAATAAATGATCGTACGACTGTTAATACTTGAAATATTAGGCGATGTGATTGTCGTCTAACGGTTGGTTTAAGATCACGACTGGATTTTTAAAGGGTCATGGGATCTGGGATGGGGTGTTTTCCGGTTACTAAGTAGAATATTTTTGTTTCACCTAAGATGTCTTTTTAATTAGAAAAAAATATTAAAAATATATTTTCTTATTCGTTGTATTTTCCTAATTGTTATAAAATATTTTTAAGATTTTTATTTCAATTAAAAAGATATTTTAGGTGAAATCTAGTACGAAATCAAAATGCCTTATAATAAGGACGTGAGGGAGTATCAGAATAAAAATAATAATAACAACAAACCCACTCCACTTCATTTTACGAAAAAACAAACACACGCACACTGTATTTTTTAGGTTTCAGTATATCTGTTTGTTTTTCTCCGTCAGGACAGTGTAGAAGATTTAGTCCAGCGCTGGACACCCTCGTCGTAGGCCGTAGGGCCAAAATCAGTCGGAAGTTGTTGAAGCCCACGGCTCCAAATAAAAAACAGAAAGATTTGTGAGCCTAAAACATCCACAATGTCGCGATGTGACAAAGTTGTACTCCAACTCCATGCGGTGAATTATCAAGCCTCCAGAATCGTAACCGCTAAATACACCAAGAAATTAAGCCGTGGAAAAATTCGCTTCACTGAAGATCAACGCATTCATGTTCCACTGTCCAATTCCTCTCTAATACCATGAAAACCCTCGGGATATTGTATTGATTTTGAGCATATTTACAGTACTCCCTCTGATCCTTATTGTATAAAACATTTTGATTCCGCACTAGATTTTACGTAGAATATCTTTTTAATTGGAATAAAATCTTAAAAATATTTCATAATAATTAGGAAAATACAACGAATGTGAAAAAATATATTTTAAAGTTTTTTTTTTCAATTAAAAAGACATTCTAGGTTAAACTTAGGACGAAATCAAAATGACTTATAATTAGGACTGGAGGGAGTATAATAAGAGTTACATGCAAATTCCTCCTAGCTCAATCCCCACGGCCGTTTAGAACACGATTCAATGATAGATACAGATAATTGCAATCATGCAAACAAAATACCTTATCACCAATATTCTCAGCCCGGATATGTTTCTGAGACCCACGGAGAAGAGTGACCGGCTTGTCAACAATCCGTCCAACCTGAAAACGATCAAACTTACTTGTGTGATGATTATAAGAATACACAGCAGATACGAGGCTGTCCTGATCTTCATTCCCTTCCACATTCATAAACAAAATCTCACCAGTTGGAAGGTTTCCCGCATCAACAATAAACGTATTCACATCCCCAAGCTCTTCAGGAAAATGAATGCTGTACTTATTCCAAATGTTGCCCTCATAATTTTCGAAAACAAAGAGAACAAGACAACTAGGATAATCTGATTTAGAAGGCATAACCCAGATAGCCGGACGGCCCATTGATTGAATGAAACAGAAACTATCTGTTCCGGCCATCTCATTTTTGAGATTTCCGGGGAGCTTAATCAGTTCAAACTTTTCCTTGTTGAGATGGAAAGATAATAGTAATAGGGATCCTTCCACTGATAAGAACCACAGGAACCCGTCAGCTGTTAAAAGGCTAATTACTCCCTGGGAATCAATTTGGAAATCAGTGAGACCACTGACATCATTGTCCAGCTCCCTCCATTTGGATGCTGATGAATCGGAGGGCATCAAGGTCATTATCTCAACTCGCATCGGATGCTCTCTGCGCGCACTAATCAACCTTAACAACTTATACATCCGGGTTAACGGATCGTACCCGAGATGAAAAGATGAATCCGGATTCCAACTGTAATACATTGGTCTAGGAAGGCTCATCCTGTGTCCGGTAAAAACGTTGTAAATGTAAAAACGGCAACCGTTTTCGGGAAGGCAAATCAGGCCATTAACCAGTTGGGTAAAATACTGGCAGAAAAACTTACTCTTCACATGGCTTAGGAAACTGAATTCTTCTTCCTCCGTGGCGGCCGAGGAGGACTCCTCCTTAGATGGACCAATTAGAGTTGAGGAAAAGCATCTGAGGCTTAGGCACAAACTATCTCGGGCCTTAAACGGGTCGTCCGCCCGGTATAATATCAACTCCGGCGGACGGCTCCGGAAAAGATCCTTCCACGCCAGACCTCCGATCAATGATTGCCAGGATTTGCACACGCACTTGCACTGTCCCAATTTCTTACCGGAAAGCCTGGTCAGAATTTCCAACATCAATTCCTTCGGTAGTATCGTCGCCGATGTTTCACTGGGCATATTCCGTGTTCTTCTTGGAGACATTTTCTTCTTCTTCTCTTTTGTTGGAAAAGAAACGCCCGATCGAATCACCTTTTTATATCAGTAATTGAGGATTTTTAATTAGGGCTGGAGAAATACTGCTTTATAATTTATGTGGCTAGCTAATCCGATTTGAATAAGGAAAGAAATTACCCTCGGTCCAAAAAGAAAAAATAATCCACATTACGATTTAACAGTCCGATAAATAAAAGAAAACTGTCCAAAGAAAATAGTACTACTTGAATGTGAAAGGCAAGACTCATTACGATTTACACACACACACACACACAAATCATTTAACAAATTTTAAGTTCCTATGCGACGATCATTTTCTGTCTTATCTTATCAGAAAAGGAACATTTTCTTTGATACGCACGGTTACTCTCCCTGAAATGGCTTATTAATTGGAATAAGATTGCGCACGAATAATGCTGCTTAACCATTTGAATTTGGCACTGCTTCGTCCCGCTTCCATTATTCTGCCAAAGAATGCAAACACTTCTTCACCAAAAATGAATTTAAAAAAAAAAAATCCAAAGTGGTCTAGCAGCCTGAGCTCATCAAGAGCATAACATAGTGGAGTAGCTAAGGCAACGAGGATGATAAAATTAATGAAGATACGGCACTAACTATTTCTTCTTTTTTTTTATCTCATCTTTAAAATAATATACTCCCTCCCATCTTAATTGTAAAACACAACATGCTATTAAAATTAATTTCAAATTAGTATATCTTATAATTACTATCAAAGAGGATAGTCAGTCATTTGGAACTATAACGTTGTCCATTCCCTTCCTAGGAGTGTTCCTGAGCCCGTGACCTCACACTAGAATCCAGTGCCCTCCCCTCCAAATCTTGGAATTCATTATGACATTTTCTATTTTAGACAGGGAGACTACTATTTTTGGAATATAGAGAGAGTACAATTTGTTCCAATAAATAATCTGTTTTGATGAATTTTTAATTTTGACTCAACAAACTGGTATGGGATCGGACCAAAATACAAGAAACATGGCATAGGGACGAAAGCAATTATTTTGGATTTTATTTCTTTTGCAAAACCTTTTTCAGAGTTAAGAATTTGATACGCTGTTACATTTTAATACATCAGGTGGATTTTAATTTTTGATATCGTCACCTTTTTTTTTGTCTTTTTTTTTTCCGGCCACTGCTCGCATACATTTTTTGCACCCCGATCTACAATCAATACAACTAGATGTTAAACCCGCGCGATGCGCAGAGTTTATTTATATACATTATAAAAAATCAACAAAAAAATAAAATAAAAAATATAAAATGTATTTGGAGTCCATATTAAGATACATTACATAACTAAAATTAAATAAATGCATGATTGTAAAGATAAAATAATTCATATCATTTGAAATGCAAGCGTTCAGTTGATTGAAGGAGAAGAAGTGGACAATAAGACTCATAAGCAGAGTAAAAAGTAAATAAAATTGTATCAATATTACACATTGAATGAAAAGATAAATTGATACGTGTAAAATATATAATAAGTAATTATCAATAGTAGATGGTAGACTATGTGTGATTGAAATGTGAAGTTTAAATTTTTATAGTTATTTTGTTGTAATTAAAGATTCTATGATGCTGTTTGACCCAATACTTAATATTACATTACTCTTCAGATTATAATTGTGCCTATTCATTAATTGGCCAGTTGGCCTACATAATCTAATTAACTAACCAATATTTTTACATAGAAAAGTAGTTAAAAACTTAATGGGTACACAAATCTTTTTAGATTAGATGAGTGCCACCGTTGACACTATCGGAAACTGTCTCTAAGTCGTCATAGTCACCTCTAAAGATTTAATCTCTCATGTAGCCTTATCGTGCAATTTATATCATATAATTAATTATAAATTCTCTGAATTGTTTATGATTTTGTTATCCCGTGGTAATAATTTAACTTCAATGGCCAAATATTTATTAGTGTGCAACTCTTCACTTACATAAAATGGATGCGTGATTAATCTTGATCATCATCATCCAAGATGGTGTTAATGAATTGATGATGGGAGATTATTTACTTGTTAATGTGGATTTTTCTTTCAAGATTATTTGTTTGAGTTTTGAATTAGACATTAATATTATTTATCCTTTCCATTTATATTTAAATGAAAAAATAGATAGTAATTAAAGATTTTATGGATTGAGTTTATTGGAAATTAATTATTTTTATTTATTTAATCATATTTATAAAAATATATACATGCATGTGTGTTTATTAATAATCAGATTTCATTATTATGATTCAAACCTTGTAATGGGTGCATGAGGCTATTTTTTGTTAATATACTTATTTTGTAGGGGGCTAGGTATAAATTTTCAAACAATTTTCAAATTAATTTTTGAGAAATTACCATGTAGGATATTATTTCGTGACCGTCAACGTCCCAATCTAGTTATGGTTGATACACTTACATTAAAATATGTTAATATAATAATAATAACAACAACAATAATAATAATATATTATATATACAATTGATGATCATCAAGTTAGTTGATGTAATTTTCTGGAGTTTAGATGATGTGTAATTAATAAATAATAAATATTACATGAAAAGAGAAAAAATTTAAGTAAATTCCTTTATCATCTTGGTCTCTTCACGTTCACAAATCACAAGAACCTTCAAAAGTAAATTATTTCTATGTAAACCTTTTTTGTTATGACAATAGAAAACAATAACTAATGAAATTATAGAAATGGGCAAAAAACATAAATTTATTAACACTTAAAAGAAATCCGAAAACATCGTTTTTCAAAAGAACATACGGGAAAAAAAAGAGTCATATACAACCTTAACTAATCATTACCTTCCCATGGCACATGATCAACCCACTATTGTTCATCACTTTCAGAGCAACAAACCAACTGTAGAGTTAAAGTTTTTGTCCTTTAATCCCTTTTTGTTATGAAAATAGAAAATAATAATTAATGAAATTATGAAATTATGGATAAAAATCATAAATTTAGTAACGTCTAAAAATGAACCCTAAAACATCATTTTGCAAAAAAATATACGGGAAAAAAAAATCATATACAACTTTAATTAACCATTACCTTCCCGTGCTACATATCGACCCACTATTAATTCATCACTTTCAGAGCAAACAAACCAACTGTAGGGCTAAAGTTTTTGCCCTTTCATTTTTGGATTTCGGGTTTTTTGGTGAGGGAAAAACTTTTGCAGCGCTGGAACATACTCATGGTTTGTGTGGCATTTATAAATAGAGATAAATTGGGATTGATGATAATTTATTATCCAAAATTTCAGTAATAAAAATAAAGCTTATAATCAATTTGTTAGATATTATTAAGGAAAAATTATATCTATTTGGGTAGATATGATATTACCCAAATAAATGCATTTAATTATAGTTAAATTCCATCCTTTTGTAATAATTGAAGGCAAGTTTTGTACCTTTTTATTTTATTGGCAAAAAAATTCAGGGTCATGTTTTTTGGAGAGATTTTAAAGATAACATTAATGTTGATTGATTGATATATATATATATATATATATATTTGAATTGTAGTCTATTAATTTACATGATTGGGCGGGGAATTTTTTTTAGAGAGGGATTAATTAAAATGAGTCCAGTAGTAACTTTGGAGATTCTTTTTGGGAGAGAATAATTTTGGTACATTAATGTTCATTAATCCCGTCCATTCAATTTAATTAATTTTTATTTTCTATTTTGAACTATAGTTTTAAATGTGATTTGATAAAACTTTATTTAGATAAAATTCGAAAGACTATTAGTATAATTGTTGTAAATATTTTTTGACTCAAGTATTACAAAAAATGACACATAAGATTTCACCTTAGAACTTTTTTTATTTTTTCTCTCTAATTTCTCTCGTAGTATATAATATAATACTATAGATAGATACTATAGATAGATAGATGGGGGAAGAAAACAGATAAAAAAGAATAATATGGAAAATATCAGAGATCTTGAAATACTATGTAACCAATAATGTTTGGGCAAAATTGATGTTTCATAACTTGATCCACTCGGAGCCATCGATGAAGCTAAGGGAAATAAAAGGCTTAGCTTCCTCATCAGTAAGCTCTCGACACCATGACACTCTTCCTGCAAAACTTGCCCCTGGTCCTGTGCACTTGTATTGCCCGTAAAACACCGTCCTGCAAACATAAACAACAATAAGAAAGTGTGTTAATAATTATATTACCAACCCAGATATAGAATGTATATATATTTCAAAAAGTACGGGTGCGATCGATCAATATTACTGACGTTCAGTAGACATGAGAAGAAATTTCTTAACTTGTTTATAAGTAAAAAATGTTCAAAGAAAATAATGAACCTCTTTATATCATCAAATTAATCAAGACACCCCTGTATGATTAGTGTCCATTGATATAGGTTTAAGTCTATTGGCCATGCTGTACTTGCATCATAGATTTTATTTTTATTTATTGTCACTTTTTCGAGTCGAATTCATGAATTTGGTAAGTAACTACAAAACTGAGATCACATAACATAACAACAAGAAACTGAATAAAAAGTTAGGTTGAGCTTGTTTTATGTATCCTTAATTACCAATTAGTAGTAGATTAAGGATTTTGTAGACAAGCATATCACACACACAAGTCATCATATATTAGTGACATCATTTTCTATTTTATTTAACCAAAAAAGGAACATTTTCTTTATAGGCTTTAGTGTCCTCTGCTCTAAATAGTGTCGAAAAGGGAAAACTAAAATATTTGAGCAGAAGTGGAGATGAGGTGTGACAAACGACCATCCCTTTCAAGTTTCAATGTCTTAATTAGTGGAATAAGATTGACATACGTATGATGAATGTTGCAAAATATACTCTTTGAAAAAAAAAAAGAGGCCAAGATAACTGTTAGGATGGGCATAACATCATCCCACTTCCATTGTACATACTACCAACAAAAATTGCAAACATTATGAAGTGGTACATACTGAGCTAAGCATAAGGTAGTGGAGCAGCAAAGCAATTAAAGACCATCGGCACTTGATAATGCTTTTACGGTCTCACTTTAATAATTATACATAAAATTGTTTTAGTTCAACTAAATGAAGTGTTGATAAAATTATATAAGTGTAGAGTATAAGGGTGGTCTTACATTTCACGAGTAGGGTCGCCCCAATTAGACCAGCCTTTTGGAATGATAATGTTGTCCATATACGTATAGGCAAAGATTACCCTAGAAAAAGGTCCCCATGCCCTTCCTAGGAAGAGTGCCCCTGAGCCTGTGACCTTACAGTTGACAAAGGAAAATCCAGTGTCGTCCAACATGCTGCTTCTTCCTTGTGCCGTGACTGCCCCGGTTACTGGTGCTATTGCGTGCACTTGACAACTCTGCAAATTTTATTAATTGATGCCCAATGAATTTTAATCAGAAAAGAAATACATTTTGATTTGACCCTTCAAATGGGTGTAAAAATTATAACTCTGTTTTGTTGATCATTTCATTGAATTGGCTTTGATTTGGAACAACAGTTAAAGAGAATACTCTGTTACATCTTGTGACAAATTCACAATCACATCTCAAGCTGGATTGTTGTCGCTATCAATCAAAGATTTAACTTTTGCGATACTGATAACTAATGACTGATTGTCACGTAAGGTTAATACATTTTTCCAATCTATGTATTATTAGTTTGTGGAATGACAATAACATAGAGACTGATTAGCTGGAGCAATGAATTAATAATGTTACTGATTGATGATGATTGGAAAAATTTGAGCTTAATTTACTTACCTCAAACAACGAGAGACCATTGCCAAATATGAAATCCACAGAGCCCTCAATGTAACAATCTTTATAATAATGTCTGCCCGAGTGATCATAGAGGGTATCCTGTGCACCCAAGAATCTGCAACCCAAGAAAACTCCTGTATCCGCCGATATCCTAAACGCTACTGCTTGTACTCCAATTTGACCTAGCTTTGGTACCGGAGTCGTGTTCTGCATTTTCCATTTTCAACTTTCAGTGAATTCAGCGATGCAAACATAATGTAACGTAAATGTAATGATTGTATATGAGATATTGGAGAAATAAAGGTGAAATAATCAATTAGTATTAGGATTATTACTTTGAATGTGATGTTCTTGGCGATGAAAAATGGGGAATTCACTGCAAAAGTCGCAGAGGCAAATGTACCCATTGGCAAGCCTCTTGGACCTGGAGCCTTTGCTGTATCACCCCATTGAACTATTGTATTTTCAGCTCCTGCTCCTTCTATGGTTATGAATGCCTTTGATTGAGGTATATTCACTTTCTCACTGCAAAAAAATTTCAGCAATTTTTTTTTTGCAATGTAGAAAATGCTTCATGAGGAGAGAAATCAAATGGGAACATAATAACAATTGGAAAAGGCATGAAACCACATGGTAACTATCATCTTCATCATAAGACATAAGCAAAAGGACAACAACAAGATCATCAATCAATCATAATGCACACATTTCATTTCATTTTACAACCGTGACGAAAAATGACAAAAACCATTTGATATTGACACTTTCAAACCTTCTTTTTTCTCTCTTGTAGTAAAAAATACTCTAATTTATCATGCAAAGGCTTTTGACAGAAAAAATGTTGCAGTGATGATCAAAGTTGAGGTAGTTGAGCTATTTGATCACTTACTTGTAGACTCCTTGATGAACTTTGATCACAACTCTGACAAGATTGACAGCAGGGAGGGAATCAATTGCATCCTGAATTGAGGTAAAATCACCATGCAATGGATCCTTGTCCACATTAAGTGTATAAGAAGGGAAGATCTTGTTCTTGGCTGTCTTGAAGACAGAATGCTTGAGGCTGCCAACAAATTTGACCCACTTCATGAATTGCTCCTCTGAGTATTCAACTTGGGTCATATTTACTGTTAGTGGTGGAATACTTGTTCTTTTTGGCCTCATCTTGGTACCTTGGGCATGGCATAATACTATTTTACTGCCTGGAAAACTGAGAAAAACTAAGACTGTGAAAGTTAAAAGGACAAGAAGTTTAGACAAGGGCATGTTGATTTGAACAACACTGAATCAGAATTGGGAATGAAAACAAGGAAAATGAGAGCAAACAACAAAAAGGTACTGTTTGTATGGAAGTATGTTTGGTTCTCTATATGGATGGACTTTGGATTTAGAAGTGCTATAACAAGCGGGAAAACGAAGATGATTATATATATAAGTGACAAGTTAATGGTTGGTTGGTCGCAAACGTAATTGTCTTTGCGTAATGATAGAGACAATTGAATAATACGATTTTTTTTTCCTTTCATACCTTCATTACACAATTTACTCTTTCCATTCCAAAATAAGTGTCATCCTACACTTTGCACATAATTTAAGAAACTCTTAAATCGAGTAATAAAATTACTTGAATATACTCAACCAACTCCATTATAAAATTGTCCACCAATAGCATCAACTCTTTTGAGAGTAATTTTGGAAACTTTTAACAAAAAGTGAATTAAAATGTGAAAACGACACTTATTTTGAAATTTCTCCATTTTGCTAAAACGATACTTATTTTGGAATGAAAGGAGTACATTTTTTACATGGGTATTGTATTACATCAGACACTACCTTTTATCTTTTAAAAGAATTCTGTTTTTTTGGCTTTTAGTTTAGGTGGAAAAAGTGGTGCTAAATTAGATTATCATATGACAAAGAACTGGAGAAGAAGAAGAGGTCACGGGTGCATCTTCATCAGCTTCTACTTGAATCACTACTAGAGAGAATGTGGAGAGAAGTGGTGGGGACTTCTTCTGCATTTTGGAACTGAGTGGGAAAGTTTCACAAGTGAGCAATTGTAGGCCACAAATGTGAACTGAAAAACTTGCTATAGAGTAATGCACTTTTTGGCCTCCAAAAAACAAAAGAACGTTTTTTTTTTTTTTTGTGTGTGTGTGTTTTGTTTAATTCTTTAATGTTATTTTGGGTTGGTGAGGTGACTGAGGTCCGTGAAGCTTCTGTGTTTTACGTGTAAAGCTGAAATCTTCCTTCTTTTTACTTGAGAAAATGCTGCTGTGATGCACTGTTTACGTTTTGGTTTTTTTGCCCCCCAATAATTAGGAGTGGTTTCCGGAGCTAATTATCACGTACTGATGACACTATTCAGTTCCTTTAACTGTTAACTGCCTCTTCACTCATGCCCAAAACCAGCTTCACAGATACACATTTTAATGTTACTCCTCAGTCCCACGAAAATAATCTACATTGAGTTTTGAGTTTTGTACTATTTTTAGTACAAATTTGAAAACTCAATATGGACTATTTTTTTAGGACGGAGGTAGTACAATATTCCATCCGTCATAAATTATTGTCCAGTTTGGATTTTTGTTTTTAATACAAATTGAACTAGAACTGAAAATCTAAACTGAATACTAATTTTGAGATAGAGGGAGTAATATTGAATCTTATTTGTTAAACATAAAACAATTCTCTTCCCATTTTTTAACGGAATTTCTGGCCAAAATCGCACCCTTTTAGACAAAAAAGAGTGGTAGATGGTTGTTGGACGGTCGGTTTGCCAACCCGCCAGCAGTGGGCCGCTGGCGGTTATCGAGATCGTGGCTTCATGGAACTATGCCCTGTATTCACATGTAAATAACTATTGGGCCGGTTGCACTGAAATCTTTGGACTAAAGACGAGCTTGGTCATCTTCACTTCTCAACAAAGACAAAGGTGGATTTGTGACTAAGGTTTGAATTTAGGCTAGCATAAAATTCCTTTCTGTATTTAAAATGATTATTATGTGTACTATCTCTCTCCCAAAAAAAACTAGTCTATATCGGATTTTGAAATTTATATTATTACATCTCTATCCTAGAAAAATAGTTTATGGAGTATTGTATTAAGCCGATGGATTGTATCTTAACTTTAGGGAATATTAGTGTATACATCCCAACATTTTATACCCTACTAGCGAATTCATCTCAAAATTTTAGAATCAGTTAATTACGTCCCAAAGTTATCAAAATTGAGCATATCCATCTCATGACCTACAAACCAACAAAAATGATCTGATATTACATGTAAAATCATTTGGATCTTATATTTAACATTTTTACTTCTTTTTTTTTAAATTTTTAAATTTTTTTTAAGTTTATTGAAATAAAAACAACATTTATAAATGGAGAAACTAAAAAATTTAATTTATTTATAATGAATCTAATTTATTTTATAATCAGATTCATCTTAATTTTTCGACAAAACTTAAAGAAACTTTCCAAAAAAAAATTCTTTATTTTAAGTGAAAAATAGAATGATTATTCTTTCATAAATAAATATATATATATATATATATATCTTGTATTCAAAAATTAATTAATTATGAGTTTATCTAAAATTATAAATTACTCCCTCCATTCCAAAATAAGTGTCATCCTACAATTTGCACATAATTTTAGAAACTTTTAAATAGAGCAATAAAATTACTTAGATGTCCTCAACCAACCCCATTAAAAATATGTCCACCAATAGCATTAATTCTTTTGAGGGTAATTTTGGAAACTTTGGACAGAAAGTGCATTGAAATGTGAAAACGACACTTATTTTGAAATGTCCTCATTTTACTAAAACGACACTTATTTTGGAATGGGGGGAGTATTTCATTTGTGATACATAAATTATTTTGATTAATTAAATAAGTTTTTTGAGTTTTTTTAATCTAGAAATTTTGTTTGTTTTTTAATGAACTAAAAATGACAAAAAAAAAGAGAAAAAAAAGAATAAATATGAGACCCAATAAATTTTACCTATTATGTCAAGTCATTTTTGTTATTTTGCAGGTCATGGGATGGATCTGCTCAATTTTAATAACCTTAGGACGTAATTGATCAATTTTAAAACGTTAGGATAAATTAGCAAATTGATGTAAACGTTGGGATGCATCCACCCATTCACCCCTTAAATTTATACACTTTCTTTGTACTGTCTAATCTTACAGTAGAGAATATTTTCTCTTTGATCATGTATAGATTGTGACCATGTGTTATATATTTCGTTGTATATAGAGAAAATATATTAAAATTTGGCGCATAAAAATTGTGAATGGGTCTGAAACAATGTGAAAACCAGTTGTGGTAATGCAACACAACTTTTACCGGTTACCAAAAAGAAATTGCATTAATTTTTGGTGTCTGGCCAATTTCTTATCGTTTTGAACGTACTAGCACATGCGATACCTTAATTTCTGAAAGAAAAAGTAAAAAATAAAAAATTGAAGCTGAACTATTAATCTGTGAGGATTAAAAACTCCAAGAAGAAAGAGGAAATGCCGATTTCTAGAACTGATATGATCAATAGCATTCTGAGATTTAGGAAATCTGTCTAATTAAAAATTGTTTGGTCATACATTTTGTCACTGCCACACTAAAGTACACTCTTAAGTCTATAACACATGAACTTTAACTAAAAACATGAAATCTAAATTTAACAACTCGTAAGATTAAACGAAAATGTCATTTTAGTTGAAGTTGAGGGACAAAAATGTGTCAATATTCATAACACCAAAGCTTCTTCTCACCAAGGTCCAGTTCTGGATGCCTTAATTCACTTTGATGGTTCTTTTTACCCACATACAATGACGGAAGATGGAGCATGGAATATTATTTCACTACTGGGAGCCATAATGCAGATCAAGACAACTCAAATCCAAGTTTTATTCCCATTCCAAGTAGAAGCCATGACCTGTCTAATGGCGCTCATCGAAGCCTCACAACTTGGGCTAAATCAAGTAAAAGTTCACACGGATTGTAAACTGTTATCTACTGACCTACGGGCTACACCTGTGCCGACGGAAGCACAAGAAATTATTGTGTTATTATTAGTCTTGATTTCATCTTTTGAGTCCTGTTAAATAATTAAAGTTAGTAGATCTGATGTTAGCGATTTATATAATATGACTTATAATTCTTGTCGATGTAATAGTATAGATACTTTTAACTAATATCAGGTACCATCTTAAAAAAAAAAAAAAATTCTTCTAACCTAACCTAACCTAACCTAAAAACGAAAATGTAATTTTAGTTGAAGGGACTAAATTTTAAAGGTGTCATATTCATAAGTCATAATTCTTAACTAGACAATTTAAGGACCGCATGTGAAATTTTGCCACTACTGATATTTCTCGTATTCTTTTTATTTTCTTTTATCTTTTGGAGGAGGTGTAAAACTAAAGCCTAATTATGAGCCACAGAGCCAGCCAGCCAGGTACAAAAGCAGAGTAAATCATCATTGTCTAAGGATAGGCGCCGGTTTCCCAAAGGAATTGTATCCTCAACCACGGAGGTCGAGTCCAGCCAAGCAGCCGGCGGCTAAAAAAAATGTATCACAATACATATTTCCCGTATTTTCCATTTCAATAAAATTCCGAAAAAGTAAAAACTAAAAAGGACTCACTTTGCCCCTTTTCTGCCACTCACTCCCACTAACGCCTACTTCAATTCCCGAGCCACATTGTGAATATTAACCTTATTTGCTTGTCATTTTCCTTTAATGAAACGACAGTTATCCTTTCATGAAAGCATCTTTTTCCCACTAAGAATGGTCAATTATTTAAACATTACTTTTTCCCTAATGGTCATTATTTGGACATTAACTCTTACAAGAACGACAACTTAAACTGGCGAACATTTCAAAGCTCCCCAGTAAAGCCTATTTCTCATAGGTTCAGAGGTTTTTTTTATATAAAGTGAGAACAGAATCAGCAGCTAATCATTGGCATAGCCATATAGAGTCGGGCCTTCATTCTAGTGTTTCGTCAATAGATGAATAGCCACCAAAAAGAGCCTAAATATCTTCTTTGTTGACACCAAACTTCAGTTCTTTTTTTTGACTTCCAAAAAGGATTGGCTGGGCTATTTCAGGATTCAGGAAAATGATATCGACCCTGATATCCTTAGCTACTACTGTATCCTTCCTTTTCGTCTCACCCCCATCCAAGTCCTTTTATCACTCCTTGTTCCTATCAGACACCTTAGGCTCCAATGATTCTGCAGCAAACCACCTCTACATCCTCACAAGACGCCCTCATATTGCCGGCACCGAAGCTAATGCCGAAACGGCGGCTTATGTGCTATCCACTCTGTCTTCCTACAACATCAAGTCGCGCATGGTAGACTACAAAGTTTCCCTGACTTATCCTGTCTCCCGCTCCTTGACACTAGCGCCAACTCCTAAAGACACCCCTATCAAGTTCAGTCTCCAGCAAGAGACTTACAAGGGTGATCCGTACGCGGATGAAGCGAAGGAAGTGGTGACTTTCCATGGATATGGCAAGTCAGGAACTGCGGTGGGACCTGTGGTTTATGTGAATTACGGGCGTGTGGAGGACTTTGCAGTGTTGAAAGAAATGAAAGTGAATGTTACGGGAAAGGTTGTGTTAGCAAGGTATGGCCAGATTTTCAGAGGGGATATCGTGGGAAACGCTTACGCAGAAGGTGCTACAGGTGTGCTGATTTTCACAGACAGGAAGGATTACGGTGGTGGAGGTGGTGATGCCAAATGGTTTCCTGATGACAAGTGGATGCCTCCAAGTGGAGTCCAGATGGGATCCGTGTTCAAAGGTGTAGGTGATCCCACCACACCTGGATGGCCTAGTTCAGGGGAATGTGAGAGGCTATCAGAAGATGAAGTGGAGAAGGGAGGAGATGTTCCTTTGATACCTTCATTGCCGATATCATGGTTTGATGGTGACAGAATCCTTAGGTCTCTAGGTGGACAAGTTGCAAATGCTGATTGGCAGGGAGGGAAAGATGCTCCAGTTTACAAGGTTGGACCTGGACCAGGAATCGTAAATCTTAGTTATATGGTAAGTGTTACGCATCAAACCAGCTAAACTTGTGAATCTGAACCTTCTTAAAGATGACTGTAACAACATAGATATACAATTGCAGACACCCATTATAAAGCTGTGGAGCTGAAGCACATATGCAATGACTAAATGAACATATGATATTTGTGTTTTTCAGGGAAAACAAGTTTTGAGCGCGATCCACAATGTCATTGGAATTATTGAAGGGGTAGAAGAACCAGATCGGTATGTATGTATGAAAACACTTCAGCAAGGGGTGCTTATCAAATACTGTGCAAAGATTGGCAATCATATACACAAGTCACTCCATTTTATCATTTTTATCTTTTCTGATGCAATGAAGAAAAATCATTTTATACGACTTTAAAGAGCAAAGCGATGTTCAGGAAACTATAAGTAGATACCCAACCATATCACTATCGTTATATTATCCTAACCAAGTTGAAAAAATGTTAATAGATTTATCATACTTGGTAATCATCGGGATGCATGGACATTTGGAGCTGTTGATCCTAATAGTGGCACAGCTGCCTTGCTTGAGGTGTGGAATCCTCACTTTTTACAGACGTATTTGCAAGAAAACAGAACGTGACCTGATACTTTGAGAAATGCAGGTGGCAAACAGGATGAGGAAGCTGCAATCAAAAGGGTGGAGACCTCGACGAACAATAATATTTTGTAGCTGGGATGCTGAGGAGTACGGCCTGGTTTGTCTTTCCTACTTCTAACATCATCCATGCATATAATCATCACATCCACCTCTTTCCTTTCAATGAACACTACTAGCTAAGGAGCAGGAAGATGTTGTGTCATGTATGTGCTAGCCAACAACAACATACCCGTATTTTGTTGGGCCTGGGGGGGTAAAGATGTATGCAATCTTACCCCTGTATTTCATTACAAGGAGATCGTTTAAGTGCGATCTAAGATACAATGATGCATTTGATGTATTGATTTCCAACAACTTCACTAAAATTAAGGAGCACCAGGATATTTTAGTACAAGAAAAACTTAACTATCACTACCACCCTTCCACAGACGGGATCGACAGAGTGGGTTGAAGAAAATAGAGAATTGCTAGCATCACGAGCTGTAGTGTATATGAATGTTGATATCGCAGTTCAAGGAGTTGGTTTCTATGTCTCCGCGACCCCACAGCTTGATGAACTACTCGTTAAAGCTACTAAGCAGGTATTGAACAAGATGAAACTAATGCAGGTTTTCAATTTTTGTAACGGTAATTCTAATCCATTGGGTCTCTTGAGATAAAGATTATTAAACCATCTACAGATTATACATCTAATGCATGTCTTTATGAATTTCTGTTTAAGGTCCAAGATCCAGATAACAGTTCGCAATCAATTTACCAATCCTGGACTAGCTCCGGAGTAAACCCTGTGGTAAGTAAAATATATAAAAATTGAATTGAAGAAAATTGTCTTCTTGTTCATCCATGCAGAGTACTAACTCGAAAAGATCAGGGGGTGCACTCTTTATGATTCAAAAGTTTAGTGAGTCAAAAGTTTTGGTATTTTGAAGTTTTTTGACATACTAACTAAAAGATTGTGAAGATCGGAAGGTTAGGAGGGGGAGGATCAGATTATTCTGCTTTTGTACAGCATGTTGGAATTCCAGCAACCGATCTGTCTTTTGGAGAAGGTAACTATTTGTTCTGTTTCCAATTCCTGCCATTCTTACTTCTCAAGGAAAAAGAAAGATGCTTTAATTGACTAACTTAGATATCACATACATGTTTACAAAATACAATACTCCTGCCTTCAAGTAATTCCTTGACCTAAACAATTCCTACGTCCTCATCCCCCTATTTTCCTCTACCATAATAAGAAAAAGAATTTGAGAAAAGAAAACAAGATGAAAGGAAATTAGCAAACAGGATCAACATGGAAGACGAGATAACCAAAAGCAGATTCAAAATATGAAATCAAAGAAGAATACACGTGGATACGAATGCATCTGAAAGGTATAGAAGCTAAAAACCTTCAGCTTTTGTAACAAGCCATTGCAAAACATTCTTCCTGAAGAACGCAAAGACTTGCAAAAAATTTATATACGACAAAAACCTTAAATGCAAGGAAATTATATAGTTTTCCAAGAGAATGTAGAAGTTTTGTGCACTAGCTTTCAACATTCTAATTATATAGTTTTGTGCACTAGTTTTCCACCCAAGAAATTTGCACACTCAAAGTATTAAGACCAAAAAAATATTTTAGAGTTAAAAAAGATGTCACCTTCTCCTGAATGAAGGATCTTCAGTGTTCAGGAAGGATGAAAGTTCGGCTGCTTCCTATCTCGCTGATGGCCAAGTTCCTTTTCAAGCAAATAATGTTCCACCAATACACTGTCGTTCAAGAATGCATCCAAGTCTCGTTCATGAAAGCATAATTAGCCATTCCGAAAAGTGTCTCCATCACTTTATACTCCATCTCAATCTAATTTTGTTCAAAACATGCTCATTCATCTAGAAATCATGCCATGCCTGAAAGAGCTATGTGAACCATGTGCATACCCTATTCTCATTCGCAAGTATTTTCTAATCGTGGCATTTACACAAGTATTTTCTTTCTCGAGTTTGGCAACAATGAACTTAAAGTCATGTCTCGGGAAAGCAATCGAGAGTCATAAGTAGTCACTCGATAAGTGGCAGGTCACCCACTTATTTCAAACAGCTGCAATCCCAACCAGTTAAAGATGAAGCAGCATTCATAGAATGAACAGTATTTGAACTTGACAATGAGCAACATTACTCATTTGACCAAAGTAATGGTCCACTTACAGCCTATCTATATTTTGAAACTAACTATTAACAAGAAAACATCAGGTCAGATTGCAGAAATCTCAAATTCTACATGACTAAAGATTGTCAACATCTTAGGAATATATTAAGTCTCCAAACAAATTAAAGCCAAGTTGCTTCAGTTAGCAGGACCATGCCCAAACCTCCAAAAAGAAAATTGACAGGTCCAATCAACAAGTTATACTTAAAAACAAAATGCTATAAATTGGAAAAACAGCTTCACTGCCAATTTGCTGAACTCATTATTACATACAAACACAGAAAATTTAAGTAGTCCATTTGCTTCATTCAAGTATGGGAACATGTTCTCTGTTTTTAGAAGGCAAATCACACATTTTTTATTTCTTCATTATGTTTTTTTTTCTCTTTCCAGAATGAGACCAGTGAGGTCTTATAAGTTCAATCCTGACTGTGCTCAAAGAAACTTTCATTCTAAACAAAAGATAAATTCCTCTAATCTAAGGCCTTTAATGATCACTTGAAACATTGCTGCTTGCAGATTACCCTGTCTACCACTCGCTTTATGATGACTTTACTTGGATGAAGAAGTTTGGTGACCCAATGTTTCAGAGGCATGTAGCAGGTTAGTCATAATTTTCTCTTACACAATATATATCATGTGCAAAAGAAATTTTTCATTGCTTATGAAACTGAAATGTTTTCATCACATGATTGATGAACTCTATAAATTCAAATATTGAGTAGAATTCAGATCCTGAACAAATTCCAAGTAGATAATTCCAAAACTTTAACCATGAAAGGAGATTCCTATACAGCGAAACTCTTTACGCCTACGCCATCATGTTGTTCATATTAGAAAAAGCAAACAAATATTAGGTCATCAAATCAAAATTGTCTAAAAATTCACTAGCCAAAGAACGCATAATAAGACCTGGACTATGCACCCACAATAATATCTCAAGGTCCTGCATATTAGCCATTCACAGATATGTTTGTTGCATCACCTACACACAAAATTCTCTTCTTAAATACAAGAATGTGATATATATCAAAACACACCCTGATTTGTCATCTTCAAAGACTGTCCTCATATAAATGGAACGAGAAGTAACAGAGGTATCTGGAGAGCAAAAGGAAGGAGGACACAGCAGAGAACATCTTATTAGTGTTTCGGCAACCAACCAATGCAAGGTTAAGAAACCTCACATAAATGCACTTTTACAAGGATACCTCTCCTTTTTTATGCAATACCTAAGGGTTTTGGTTTTGCCTCTGATCTAAAGTTGAAAGAGAAGTGGTTGGACTCCTATAACAGGGTACAAACTCACAAAATACCTGCCCTCTGACTTCCATTTCACTGTATTGTGGAAACCATTCGCTTGATGAACCATTACTCTATTTTATGGTGCAAACCTTTCATGACCATGACTCCATTTTATGGTGTTGTTTCTCTTAGCGTATTCCCATGCTCTAATATCATTTGCTTTCTGGAATTTCCACATATACAACGCTGCTAGTACAAAAATATTCCTACAAGCTTGATTCCTATTATCTTTTTAAAAAATAAAATAAAATAAAATAAATTTACTTTGAATTATTTATGTTATCAAACTAAATTCCTTATAGTAAAAGAGACTTCTAATCCACTTGTTGGTCTCATATTCACATAGTGTCAAGCATTTGGGGTCTAATTGCCCTCCAGCTTGCTGATGAAGAGTTCTTGCCTTTTAATTACCTATCCTATGCCGAGGAGTTGCAGGTATGTTTCTAGTAGTGGAGTGCAAGTGACAAGAAACCAGTTTCCACTTTTTGGTCCCCCCCATAAGAGGTAGAATCCAACTTTTTTTTTCCTTCTTTTTAATATGTTTCTGAAACAGAGAAGTTCAAAAGACCTGAAAAAGGAGTTATTGGACAAAGGTATAGATCTGTCTCCCTTATTTAGCTCTATCAGAGAACTCAAGAAAGCAGCAACAAAAATAAATAACGAGATAAAGGTACTTCTAGAGTCTCATTGATCAAAGTCTATGTAAAGGTTTTCTCCCCCATTTCTTGGTATTGAAAAATACACAAACTTTTAGGTGCTGCAAGACAGAAAAAGAGGTTGGACATCAGCATGGAAAAATGATGACCACAAAGCGAGAGAGTTAAATGACAGACTAATGATGGCAGAACGAGCATTCACTGATCGTGAAGGACTTTCTGGAAGGCCATGGTACAAACATCTGGTGAGTTCCTCTAAACCTCATGTGAATTACAACAGCTATTTAAGCTATCAAGTTTCTGCTCCACATTTCACCGAGATAAAACTTCTCAATGTTTTTCCTAAAAAGCTAAATGCAGATTGCCAAAATCAAAATTCTATCAACACCTAAAATTGAAATTCTAAAGCAACCTTATCAGACTCACACCATCTGTTTACTTTTGATAATTCAATGGCATTCTAGTTTGCCGTATCTGACCAAAGATTAATCTATATATCATCAGATATATGCACCAGCAAAGCACGATGACTACGGTTCTAAGTCCTTTCCTGGAATAGACGATGCCATTCAAACAGCAAAGAGCCTGAACACCAAACATTCGTGGCAACTTGTACAGCATGAAGTTTGGAGGGTGTCTAGAGTGATTAAACACGCATCTCTAGTTCTAAGGGGCGAACTGACATGAATAATTTTAACACGCTACAAAAATGTTCAAGTGCTCTTTCAGGCATGCGTGCTTTAGTTCTCAAAAATCTCTGGATGTTCCCTTTCTTTTTATATTACTGCTCCTATCCTATGGACTGGTCCAACTATTAGATGCGTACTTGTGTGTGTGTAAAAAATAATGTTTATACAAGTCCCCTGCATCGACTAAATATAGATGGATTCAACCAAATATCATTCTTTCAATAACTTAAAGGGAGAAAAGAAGCTGTGCATGAAACACGGGCAACTGGAAAAATCATGCTCCCTGTCCCAAAATTATTGTCCAGTTTGGATTTTCGCTTTCAGCTCAATTTATTCTACATCTGAGAATCCAAACTGGACAATAATTTCGAGACGGAGGGAGTATTAAGCAATCTTTCTGTTAGTTTGCCTATGTTAAGCTATCAACGTAGAAGAGAAGATTGCTTATAATAGCCACAGATGAAAGTCAAAATATCAAACATATCGACTACCTCACACTCAGGCAGCAAAGATCACTTTTACTCAAAATCATGGATGAAATCTAAAAACGTTTGAAAGAAAACCAAAATCAGCACATGGTTCCAAGCCTTTTGCAAATATTCATGGCATACTCAAATATCAGAGACTGAAGAAAATTACTCAAGACCGAAAGAGAACCCTATTTCATTTCAATGAAGAAAGATCACGGTCTGGCTTGTTACTCTCACTAAGTGAGAAAAAGCAGTTCATCAACTGAAAAGTTAAAAAAATTACTTTTTGTAAATACTGTACAACTGATTTCTAGTAACTATATGTTAATCCACATATGTACAATAAAGAACTATATTCTTTACGTGCTTTACTTCCAAACCTTAATAGCACCATCCCTACTGCTTGATATCAACAGTCTCTGGTTCAGCTTAACAGACGCCAAAGAAAGGATGGAGTCTCTGTGACACCCTGCTGAATCAGTTGCAGCAGCAGCAAGAATTGTCTTTGTGTTCAACCTCATTGGCAAAGGTCGCTTCCTGGCCTCCTGTAACAAAACCATAAATAAATATATTAGCCACCATCATGTAAATTTGAAGGTGTGCTAATTTTTCCCAGCAGACACAATGACAGATCTTGAGAACTTAAGAATTACACAAAACCCCAAGATAAACAAACACCTATAAACCCACTCTCAAACCTCCATATCTGACCAATGCATTCTTGCCAGGTAATTCATGCTAGAATGAGAAGAACACACAGGCAACACTGAAGTATGAAGCAAAAAATCTCCAGAAATATCAAAGAAACATCAAAAAGTCAAAGAGAAATGATCATCATAAGCAACTACCTTAACAACTTGCACCCCAAAACTAGATGTTGTCTCAAAGATATCATCATTTCCGACTCCTTTTATAGTAGGTCCACATATACAATAACTTCGATCAGCGCTGAAACACAAGAATCGGATCAATAACTATGAAGCAAACAGCTTACTAATATCTGAGATAAAAAAAATATACCTAGAATGATCCCAACGGCGAATTTTCAGGTCAGTACCCCCTGTTAACAGGTCCCCACCTGGTAATGGAAGCAATGCACGAACACCAGGCAGACGTGGGGGAGGTTCCTTCAGCTCATCTATTCTATACTTTGCATCAGCATTGCGTCGTACATCTGATTTGCTATTTCCCTTGCTGGATGGTCTGGTCAATGCCGAAGGTGAGTCAGATAATTCTGAATCAGATTCACTATTTGCGATCTTCAAGACCTGCAGAAAGGATGGGGGAAGAAAATCTACCAAATCAATCACCATAACAATTATCATTAAAGTTGAAGAAACTGGTAAAACCAAACCACTAGGTTATGCAACAACAACAACAAGCCTTTTCCCACTAGGCGGGAGTATACACAACACAAATTGAACAAAAATTCTAAGATTTAGATTTTCATGTTATCACGGTGCATTTGTCTCTTAACGTCATCTTTGAAACCTTGGTGCTGCAATCCCCACCAACCTTGCACACTTTTCGGTAAGTTAGCTTTCAAACCCAACAGGTAATGCAAGAAGTTATATTCAGTGTATCTATCTAAGTGTAATGTCATTCACTCATTTACTAATATTGGCTAAACAAAACAGTTAAGCATTGTCGGATGTCCACATTCTTATTCTGTATAAATGTACCTGGTGGCAGCTTCCATCTTCAGCATTCCAGAGGGAAATTTCGTTACAACCAGCAGCGACATAAATGAGTGGTCTGGTTGAGACTGAAAAGGAGGTATTAGGAGGGGGAAGAAACAGACACATATTCTCTATGGGGCATGCAAGAGAATATTGCCATGAATTGACGGGTATGCAAAACCTAAAATCCCACAGAGTAAGCACGCCTCTTGATGACCCAGTAACAAACCAATTTCCACAAGGGTCTGCTACCAAAGAAGATATATAACCCTCATCCGGAATCACTTTCGAGTTCCAAATATTCAAAATGGTTCTTGTATCCCAAAGATGGATTCCGCAATTTTGGGTGCTATACAAAATCATTTTACCAGGGCCACCATCAGGGGAGTAGTTCAAAAGGCTTAAGATAGCACCTTCTCCGGCACTATGTCGTTTTACATCAGTAATACCTGAATATTTCTCAACAACATTACCCAGTCCCCTGGATACATAATCAACAGAAAACATGTGAATATTACCATCACAGGATCCCACAACCACCTGAGCAGAGCCTGGGATCACAGCAGCGCACAAAGCCCGACTTCCCCCCAAGGAATATGTAAGTCTTGACCTAAATGAGATGTCCTTCTCCAACCTCTTAGAATCCCAAACCTTAACTGTTGAATCGTCAGATGCACTGACAAAAAAGCTATGATCAACAGAGACAGCAATGTCATTAACAGCAGACTGATGCTCCTGCAGATGTGCAACTAACACTCCACGAGGCCTCCAGCCTGAATCCGGAATTATTGTAGTTTGTGCAAAAGAAGTTGACTCCGCTCCCTCAGTTGAAGCAGAATTACTTTCCATAGGGAGGGAACTCCTTTTTCCTGTACTGGATACTCCCATTTCCACAAACCTGTTGGCCATTAAGGCTGTTTGATCCATCTCCCGATCTTCAACTTCATGAACAACTCTCCGCAGTTGTGATGAACCACCACCAATGCTGATTGAGCCTGAGACAAATTTCGGAGCTGGAACCGAACTAGCTAAGCTGAATGATTTATTTACTGGATCCAGCCAAGGAAGAGAAGCAGAACCAAAGCCCAAAGAGCCGTATGGTAAAGAAGCGTCAGGGACTGTTGGAGAGGCTGTTGGTCTTTTGTTATTATCAACTTTAAAGTGATATAAAGGGATGCCTTGTGCTGACTTTTCAATGAAGCTATTCATGCCACTGAACTGTGGAGACATGAAACCTGACAACTGCAGCTTTTCTGAAGCAAGCAAATCCCCGGCATCCACAGTACTAGAAGGATTTTGCACCAAGTTGTCCACAGATCTCAAATCAATGTCATTATCTTTGCAATTGGCAAGATCCAGGTGCTTATTCGCTCCTTCAATCATTATATCGCTTTGAGCATCCATCAGTCCATCAGACCAGCACGCCGCTGGATCCAGATCCATTACTCCTCTCTGAAGAGAATCCATTGATTCTGAATCCTTAGCCTGTGAAGATTTTTTATACCATATCCTTCTCTGTCTTTCCAGCATGTCTGAACTCCTGGCATTTTCTACAAGACGGTAATACAACTCTCTTGAGACTGGTGACTTCAGGCAAGAAAGAAGAGCTTCTTCTGAGGCTAACGATGCTGGTTGTCTGCGGAGGAATTGTCGTATAAGAGGTACAAGGAAAACATATGAGTCTACAGCACCTAAATTCGCACTACTTGACGCAATGAAAGTGACATTCGATCTCCGGACCCATTGACTAGGATAACACAATAATGGAAAAGCATGCTCTATCATCCCAAGTAAGACCCTCTTCCTTAAATATCCACTTTTGCATAGAATAGCTAGACAATCCAATGCATTCACAATTACGGCCTCAGAAATGTCACTCAAGGCCTGCTCAATATAAGGCAAAAGATATTCCTCCACACTTCGCTGCCCAACAAAAAAGCAGACGTATACAATTTGACCATAGAAAACAGCCCTGAGTTGTTCATCTCGATCATTTAGGAAAGCAGGGAGGATGGGCAACAAAAAATCATTACTCTGCCTCTGCCCAAAAAACCAACAAAGGTTTCCAATGTCATGCAAGAGTGCTCTCCTGATATTTGGAGTTTGCCTTGGGCCCATGACAAGTTCTTGGATGACCTCAGCAAAAGATTTTCTTAACTGTGCCAATTGGGCATCACTATTGCGAGTTTTTTTCGGCCCCGATGTATCATTGGATGCATAAAGGGACTTCTGTGGTGAATTTGATTCAGTAAGAACCCCAGCCTCACTCAAGCTTATAGAGTGAATCAAAAATCCGTAGGCGGTTAGTGCTAGCTTAGATATATTGCTTGCATAGCATATCCTTACACTTTCCTCCGGATCATCAGGAAGCATGGAAAGCATCGGAAGTATATATTCAGGGAAAATTTTAGCATCACTGGGGGGGAAATCTCTGACCAGTGGAAGAATGTCACACAAAGTTTCTAAGGCAGCACACCGAACAATTGCTGCTGGATCTGAGAGCATAGCAATTATGTATGGAAGCACACGCTGCAGCCGATCTTCATCATCTATGTACAAGGAGCATGACTTCAACAGAAGTACAGCCCCTCTCCTCATAAATGGCAGCTTAACGTTTCTTATACATGAGCAGAGTAATGAGGCAATTAAGACCATGCCTTCACAGCTCATCATATCTTGAGGCAAAGGCAGAAAAGGCATACCGAAAGTGTCTGACTGGTTATCATAATCTGACATTAGCGAATTCAAATCTGTCGTCGTTATCTTCTTCAGGAAGGGATGGTGGCTTCTATTAAATACATTGGAGATTGTCTGAATTAGCTCATCAGGGGATTGAACATTACACTGCTTCAAACTTTGAGAATACGCCGAACCTGCTACATCTTCCACTGTCAGTTTCACATCATGACGGCGACTTTTTTGTTTTACATCCCTGAGTAGAGTACTAACATCGCCTAGAAGATCAAACCTATCATGCATTGAGCTCCTGTCAACCTGTTCTATTTTGCTAAGGGAATCTTGTTCCACATTAATTTGCCGGGATTCATCTACATCACTTGAAGCCGGCTGTCCAGTACCATGATCCTTGACTACAGAATTGCTCATCATTTGTCTAAGAATTTCCTGGAAAGATGTCTGACATATCAAAACCTGCAGGAGACAGTCACAAATGAGCACTACTGCTTCAATAAAGATCAATGAGATGAGGATCATGTGGCAAAAAATCTTACCCTAGCATCTGCAGTAAGTGGATTCAACAGGGAATATAAATTGTGAAGGAAGGGAGAGAAGTAGCAAGGAAACACAATGCCAGAGAAGTTCTGCAGATATCCCTCAGCAGAAAAGCGAGATTCCACGTCCAATTGAATCATATGAAGAATCATTTTACGGATCCCTGAATCTGGGATCTTGATCAAGAACAAGAAAGAGCAAAAGTTAATTATTTACATTCAATAGGCGACGATTAAGCTCTACACAACACTGTATCCAGGAAGCATCTGCTATCCTGTACCCCAGAACTTCCCGAAGGATAAGCACTAAAAATATCTCATGACTTGAGCAGTAAAATACCTTTTCCAAATGTTGGCTAGGATCATATTGTCCTCTACGATAAGCATGCAGCTGAGACAATTCAAACAATGGCTGACCCTCAAGGAATAGCTCTGCAATCACACATCTGAAGGAGCCAGTGGCAGGAAACAAAGATCAATTTTATAAAGTCACAGGGCAGAAGGTTGTTCACATAGAATCAGGTGCATCATATTGGAAAATAATGATCTCAAGCCACAGAATTAATCTAAAATCAGAAGCTAAAAACCAAATCCAGCAAATTCAGCAAAATATGAAAGAAGACCCTGACTATGGATTCATCCGATTCCACTGAAACAAAGCAAGTACGTGGATTCCATAAATGGGGTTTCAGAAAGGCAGCTGCAAAAAGAACATCTAGCAGCAGGGAAAAATTATTACACTAATGACAGATTCGAGAAAGTTAAAAATATTTGAATATACTTTTTGCAGCAAGAAACAATTATTATACTAATGATACGTTCAAGAATAATATATTTGAATGCACTCTTTGCAGCTTCATTCATGAGCAGTATTTTTTCTCCTCCTCGTTGCGACATCATCATGGCCACAATTATTTGGAGCTTAAAATAATAGTTATTAAATTTATGAATCTCCAATTCTAAAGCATTGGCTACAATGTTAGCAATACTCACCCCACAGAAAAGATATCCATTGATGGTTTTAGAGGTGCATCTTGCGAAACTTGCGTCTCACCTCCATGGTCATAGAATCTCTGCAATGAAAGTTGGGAAAAAGAAAAAATGAAAAATAAAAAAATCAAGTAAAGAACGAACTATCTTTCACTAAAACAAAAAACTGGTAACAGATTCTGCAGACTGCATACAGTTCTCTGTAAAAGATAATTTCCACCGTAAAGATCACTAAAATTCTAAACAGGGCATGTAAGCAGTATCAAGCACACTAAAAAGGTGTGTATTTTTAAAACTGATTTCCACTTCATGCTGAGATACAAGTCTAATCATCTTGTTTATCTCTGAAACTCCATTCTAGGTGGCTTACCTCAGAGGATTGATCTTTTAGTATTGTCAATTGGTATTACAAAATCATCAGAAGCATCAAAAATTAATTTCAAGTAGAAAAAGCAAAGTACTGTAGATAAATTTGTTTCCGATGCATCAAAAAAGGTATTCCTAATCAAGGTGATTAAGCAAATGGTAGAAGTTGTTACACAGCCAGGAAATGAAGAAAACTGAGCAGTTTAAACTAACAGAACATCGTCTTTCTAAGCCAGCACCCATCCAAGCCATGAAAAAGCTGACGTGGATGCACTTATCACACTTAATTTTTCGTTAGCATGTACCTTTCAGGGCTAAGAAAACATTACATTTCATCTATACAATGATCATCAATAAAAATTCAACTTGGTGCATAGCGTATTGTTATGACAACCATAAGACAAACTACAATGGGATTAACCAACCTCAGGTGCAAGATAACAGCGCCTTCTTCCCCCAGTATCAAAAAAGAATGAGAAATCGGAGGGATCATCATCTGGAATATATGTCGGTTTGAATGATGCAAAATCAGCAAGATACAGCCAGTTCCAGGAAGTGACTAATACATTCTCGCATTTTATATCACCTGCAACAAACAAAAAAAGGTTATTTTATCCATACAAACCATGTAAAATTTCACAATTAGAAGAGATTGAACTTGATAGAGGCCAACCATGACAAATTCCCTTTTCGTGGCACTGTTTCACTCCATAAAGTAGCTGCAAGATCACCAGATCATGAAATGAGAATTACAAAAGTAGGTAGCTAGATTTTACAATTAAGAGGATATAAATAAACCTGGAAGGCCAGCCATTTCTTCTCCACGATACTCAAGAAGGGACGAGTGCTTAACCGGTCATGAAGATTATTAAAAAAGTACTGCCTCAGCAAGTAGGCAGCTTTGTCTGTTTCAAGCCAAAACTGCAGCATGGAGAAAATGGAAAAGAGATTAGAGCTTAAGACAGTGAATAGGCAGTCCACTAAGATTTGTACTAATGTTTTGTACCCTTTGGGCCAATACATTTGAAACTAATGAAACATTTATCAAAAACCACAATTTACAACAAATGAATGATCTGCTGAAAATCAGGGGTGCTTGTTTTCTCAGTTTTTAGCTGCAGCGTCATTCTACTTTAAATTTGACTAATTGCCCTCTTCAAACCAAAACCAAAAACCGAGTTGGCACTTCCTCTAAACCACAAAGTTCACCTGACTCCAGTACTCAAAAAAGTATAACTAGATATAGTGTCACTTTTCTTTTTGAAGCGAAATAATAACTTTCTTTTTGTATAGCAGCTGAATTAGAGACTAACATAAAAATATTTTCAAACCTTTTCTTGGCCCTGCAATAGTATAACTAACTTATAACCTTTGAAGCTTCATTTACCCTTCATATCCATTCGCAGGAACAACAAAGTTCCGCCTTAGTTGTTAAAGGAAGCAAAGTTCAACTGACAGTTTCTTATGACAATGTAAACTGAAGTAACATTCTCTCTTTCTATTACATTCCTAAGAAGGAAAATTGTTCCTAGCATTGTGGACTGCCAACACTTCTTTTTAACAACTAGCATAGAAAAGATAACCACAGAGTACAGCTCCAGAAACTAAATAAACCAGAGCACTCTAATTCATATACTCTATTACTCAGCAAATCTCTGACTTAATCTAACAAACACCAATGAGAAAATCTCCTAAGAATTTTTATATATTTAGCTAATCTTATTTCATCAACAGCAAAAAGAATGATTCTATTCTATAGTCCGTAACTTCAGAATACAAATTTTTCTTTCCTGTCCACTAAAACGAAGCTCCAGAACAGGTAAAATTAGTTTAACTAGCTACCTCCTACTTCAAAATCATATTTCATTTCTAGTTCAAATTGTGCTAAAAGTAAAATCTCAAACTGGACAACAATTTTGGGACGGAGGGAGTAAAACAAAAATAAAAATTTATAGATAGGCGAGGAACTAATGAGGATGGAATAAAACCTGGAAGGGCCAGACATGAGGATGATCAAGACCGGAAAAGATTTCGCGAATTTTGCCGAGGCGATGCTCATAATCCCGTAAATCAATGGTATCACCTCTTTTGAAATAAACCTTCACTAACACAAGCCCTTCGTCGTGCTTGCACAGAATCGATTTCAAGAAGCGTCCTCTTCCCAACACTTCCTTCAACACTAAATTGTACGATGACGGTAAATCATGCAGGTAGTACTCCGTCGCCGACGCCTGCGTTGTCCGCGCTATTTTATTCCCCATTGTCACTCCTCTCTATGTTCTTCTCAACTCCTTCTGTCCTTTGTGTTTTGGAATTTTATGTTTTTCTTTTTGATTTATGTTTCCATAATCTCTTCTTTTCACATTGTGATTGTACACAAAATGGGAAAACAATGGCGGAGTGCCGGATGAGGTTGCGTGATAACGGCGGCGAAGTCGGTGTGTTAAAGAAAGTCTATTAAACGTTGACGTTTCGACATCTTAAACCAGCAGAATAGTGAATCGGCGATTGCACTTAAAGGCAGATCCAAAACCCAACGGGATAAGGCACAAATTTATTTTATGCTTTACCCTTCACTTTCTTCTTTTATTGAAATTCTTACCATTTACCTTTTTCAATTTTCAATTTTAACTCCTTTCTAACTTCTCTTTTATTATCATATCTATCTATTTACTAGTGATGTCTAGTCGCGCAATGCGCGACCCTGACCCAATATATCTGTACATCTTATAAATATTTGTATCTGGAAAAAAAATATTTTGTATTTGGCCCGATATATTTTAGAAATGTTTGAAAAATTTAGAAATGTTTTATAAGTGTAATCATAGAAATATTTGTATTTGGCATAAAAAGAAATTGTATTTGACCCGGTACGTTTTAGAAATGTTTGAAGATTTTAGAAATGTTTTATAAGTGTTACTTCTTAAATATAAATAAACTTGATCAAATATATGTCTTGAATTAAATGTTAGACAAAATATAGCATCCTAATAAGTTTAAATATTAGTAAGATAATTTATTGATGTTATCCGGTTGTGCCAAATCAATACTTAGTTTTAGAGATTTATAATAGCTTTGTAGTAAGCTTCCTCACAAGGGTATACGCTTAATTGTTGAAACTATTTCTTCCAAACGTTTATAAGTAGTAAAATATCAAAAATATGATTTTGAAACTGGTTAATTGATGAAACTGGTTGATCACAAACATGAGAATGAAAATAATGTAAATTTGTATAGGTTTCAAGTTATACCAAAAAAGAACTCACCTTACCATGGCAAATAAAAAAAAAAAAAAGTAAAAATAGCCCATTTAAAATTGAGAAATTTATTTTTTTCTGTAGGTAAAAATGTTGTATAAAAATACAAATTAACGTAGAAACATCATTCTTTCCCTTTCCGCCTCAAATTCATAAAAGGCTTCCCTAGAAATTAGTTAGAAGAAGCGACCTGAACTATTTAGATGATGAGAAACAAAAAAAAGTCCAAAAACCAAAATTCAAAAAGTATGTTTTGAAAGCCCGAAAAAAAAAAGCGCTTTATTTGCAAATAAAATAAAATAATAATAATAATAATAATTGGTCAACTAGGAGTATGAAACAAAATAAAAACAATTAAACAAAAGAAAAAACACACTTCGTAACTAACCATATACGAAAAAAAACTGAGACTCCATAATTAAAAAAAGAAAACTACTCTAATTGAATGAAACATTAAAAAGAAATTTAAAAAACTACACTTTTTAACAAAAACCCGATTAATCAATTCAATCCAAACAGAACTAAAATCATACAAAACTTCTAGGCTAACTAATTATATAAGAAATCACATCATGTTACCTGACAACGGCTACGGTAGCTATAACGGATGGACGCATAAAAATAATAGTAATAACACTATTCTTGAACGGGAAAAATAAAAAATAATAAAAGCCAAACAAATGATCTGTGGAAATGAAATCGTTTAAATTTTAATACATGTAATTGGACCACCACAACGGCCGAAGCAAGATCAATAAGAATTTTTTTTTTTCCTTTGTGTTTATATAGAAAGGTAAAGAGAATAGTTTTTGAAGTCGAAATTTTATCCGATTAGGATGTAGTTGATGATGAAAAGATTGAACATGCTAATAGGAAATGAATATATTTCACCACATATTCTCAATTGATGATTGATGAGGAATTTGTTTTTTTTATTTTGGAAAAGTGATTGATTAGGGAGTCGATTGTCGTGGAGATGGGGATGAATATTTGGATTTTTTATGAACCCGTCTTTTTTTTTTGTTTTGGCAAAAATAGGAGGTGGAGGTGGATTTAGACTGCATTTGCCTTTTAAGTATAGGAGATGTGTAAATAAAGATTTATTTTAAAAATATAATGTGGAAATGCCACATGGCAAATTGTGATACTTTCTCTTAATGTGATTTTTGTTTCTAATATAGTAAGATATATATATATATATATATATTTTATAGATTCCCACCGAGTGAGGGAAGCTGATTGCCTAATGCTACAATCAGGAATATTTATTTATTTATTTATCTTTTAGATTTTTAAAAGTATGCAAAAGTATATAGTTTGTATTTCAAAATCCGAGCTATATACTTTTACCGACAAAAAAAAAAGAAAAGAAAAAGATTTCAATTGTCCACATAAAATTTAATTAATTTTATTTTCGAAACTCCCCAAGTATAGCAAGTGTAAGCTTAAATGTTAATGTTATCAAAGGGACTGAGAGGACTAGATCATATGCAATGTGATAAATAATAAAGACAAATTTTAAATATCATGAGTAAAATGACTAAATCGTGATTATTATATGTGATAATAACATTGACTATATGTTATCTTCAAAAAAAAAAAACATTGACGATATGACTTAAAAATTTAAAGAGTCATCTAATAAATCCACAATTGGCACGTTCTTACCTTGTTAAATTAATGATTAATAGATACTACTATTATTTTCTTGTCCTTCTAAGAAGCTCTTTAGTCTTTATTTGGATTAGTACAAGAATCATGAAATGCGACACCGTAATTTTGTGTTAGCACACAAAACATAAAATTTGCCAACCTCAGAGACGGGAGAATAATGAAATGTGAAATCGTAATTTTTCTGTAAGCACACAAAACCTAAAATTTACTAAGCGAGGGCAACGAAACAAACATCCGGGACTAGACCAAATATCCAAGTGAAACTAGTTCACGAACTCAGATGCCTCTACAAGGACTAAACTGTATATATATATATATATATATATATATATATATATATATATATATATATATATCCTACTATATTAAACAAAACTTCCTTTCAAACAACTCATATGATTCTACGTGGCATATAGAAATCTTAAATTGCCTTTTATCTAAACCATAACTAAATTACTAAATCTCCTACTATATTAAACAAAAACCTTCCTTTCAAACACCTCATATGATTGCACGTGGCGTATGAAATCTTAAATTGCCCTTTATCTAAACCATAACTAAATTACTAAATCTCCTTTTGCACTTTACGTGACACGTTTTTTTTTTAAAAAAAATTTTCTTTATGTTTCATTCATTTAGAGTGGTTTTTTAAGTTAAATTGATCAATTAGGTTTTTGTTACAAAGTGTCAATTTTGTTTTAAGCGTATACCCTGCGGATGAAGCTTATTACAAAGCTATTAAAAATCTCCAAAACTAAGTATTGATTTGGTACGACCGAACATCAATAAATCATCTTACTAATATTTAAATTTATTAGGATATTTTTATATTTTATCTAACATTTACTTCAATACATATATTCGATTAAGGCTATTTATATTTAATAAGTAACACTTATAAAATATTTCTATAACTTACATGGCGAAATACAATTTCTTTTTTTTTTTTGTGAAATACAATTATTTCTATGATCACACTTATAAAACATTTCTAAATCCTTCAAACATTTCTAAAATATATCGCTCCAAATACAAAATTTTATTTTTTTCAAATATAATTATTTCTAAGATTTACAGATAGACTGGACCAGAGTCGCGCAACACATCACTAGTATATATATAAGGTAAGTCAGTTCCATTCATGGGGGTAAATAATTGAGTCCCCGGGTGAGAAATTAACGTAATATAAAAGCCTAATTGTCACCAACCAAGGAATTAAAGGAAATATTTAGGACCAAAAAGCAAATTAGTTCCTCTAAATAGAAAGTCTTCCCAAGTAAAAATGACTGGCGGCCCAATAGAGCTTAGAAGTTAGAACAACAATGAGGGGCAAATTTCTTTGCATTATCAACATAACTCAATCAATCAATAGCTAATGACTATTCATCAAATCATGAAAATCGCTATTTGATAAACAATATCAAAGTTGAAACAATTCATTCCACCAAAACAAACTGGCCTGCGAAAGATAATGTATAATAACAATCTGTCATTATCAAAGCGTAGGAAAGTACTAAAAATCAGTAAATGTACTTAAAATTTCATCATCCCAGAACCCTTCTTCATCACACAGAAGAATTAAGCCAACCATAAATCACAGTGTTGCCAAAAACTCGAAATAACTGCCATGTCAAAGTTCTCGGAATACATTTTTATAACCTTAACCATCGCATCCAGGAACAGATCTATGAGTTCAGAAACATCAAATTTATTGCATATTTACATCTCAAAGTTAAAAGCTTAATTAAAAATTAGAATATCATCATTAAATTGGATCTCGGCTCCTGATTGATGCAGAAGAAGAAACGATGATGATGATGAAAAGTCTCTTCAATTAATCCTCGGCTTTAATCGGATCTTCGTAATTTGGGTCCTTCACATCAATAGCAGCAGCATCGTGGAACTGTCCGAGCTCCGCGTCGGAGTAACCGTCGCCGGCCCAAGTGAACTTCCCTCCATGGCCTCCCTTCTTGGGCGATCCATTCATTCCGGTGCCGGATTTCCTGTCCTTCCTCGTATCCTGGCCGGCCTTCACGGTGGTCTTGGAACCTTTGCCTGCGTTCTTCATTTTCACTAGTGCCACTCCTCAGTCTTCTCTCTCTGTTTTGCTTCTGTGATTAGAGATTTTTCAGCAGTGTAGAAGGTGGATTTGGTAAAACCATGAGCTAGTGAAGAGGCATTTTATAGGAGGGTTTTGTGTAGACTTGTTGTACTACCTTTGAGGGATACTTTAGTCGTGATACTGTTGGCTGATCATGTGACACTGACATGGCCTACACGAAATGGATAAGAACAAATTCTGGATTTTCCATTTCTTTTTCTTTTTTTTTTTTAAATTGTGTTTTGGATTTACTGTATATTTTATGTTTACAATAATGAAATAGTTTATTTTATGTAACACATGAACAGTATTAATTACTAGTACACACTTTTGATAAAATGAGTGATTGACACTCCCTCATTCCATTCAACTTAGACAAAACAATAATTTTAGATATTGGATGTGTTAATTTGCTCTTAATATAATTATGTTATTTAAATTTTTATTTTTAAATGCAATTTGTATTGGCACTATTTGATTATACGTAATGAATGCCAGTATTTTGTTTTCCATTAACATTTTCATTTTTAAATGCAATTTGTCTACGTAATGAATTTCATAATTTTATTTTTTTTTTGGAAAAAAAAAAGAAGGAATTAGTTCGCTATTTTTCGTGCGCATCAAGTACTGTCAACTATGGGCACCGTGAAACTACACACCTTTGTTCTTTTAAACTCCTTTGACACGCTTTTGTGGAAAATCTATGGGCTGACTTGTAGAGTGCACCTTAATTTAATTAAATTAATAAGCTCAACACTTTGAAAGAGAAAAATTCCGCAGTCTAATGATATAATTATATGCAACTCAAATGAAACGATACATGAAGAATATATTAATAATGAAAAAAAATATTTACATGAATAATGTCCAAGTAAAATATACAGTAAAATTCTATAAATTAATAGTATTGGATCTACAAAAATTTATTAATTTAATAATTATTATTACTTTATCAATAAATTAATAATTCTTATTTTATAGATAATTCGATAATTCTTATTTTACCAATAAATTAATATTTTATTAATTTAAAGATATTTTTTCAATTTTATTAGGCAACAAATGCTCTCAACTTTAACCTTGCCTCCTTATGCTAACATTTGGATAGCACTACTTTTAAAATTATACAATTTAACTAAAAATTACAAAAAATATTAAAAAAATTCTAACACTGAATTGATGCTCATGAAATAAGCACCCAATTGTAAGACCATCCTCAACGGATGGCACCAAAATTCGGTACAAATTGCAAGCCCAAGGACTGCATTGTTCATGTCACCAAATAGGTGTTCATGAACAGTAAGTCATGTGAGACATTCATATAAAATTGACATAAGAGTTTGTCTTCCCTATGTTTGTAGCCTGCTCGAAAGGGTTTTTTTTTTTAAAAAAAAAAAAAAACTTGTATGCTAATAAAGAAAAGGATACAAAAAATATGCTAAGTTGAGACCTTCCATATGTATAGAATGAAGTATTAACACTATCAGTTATATTATTTTCATTTCCACTTTTAGATGGATTCTCATAACATCAAAATCATCGAATAGAACTATAAAAAATTATTGATTTATCATTATTGTCATCCATGTTTGTACCATTAGATGAACTACATATCAATTTTAATCGCCGGTTTGAATTATCTAACCATCAAAATCTTGTTATCAATATTATTTGCATTTTAACCATCCAATGATCTGTATAATCATTTCACTCGTTTTTAACCTTAGATTTAAATTTTCTTATGCGTAAATTAGTTCTTATTTAAATTGAAAGCTGAAATATATTGATATTTAAGATGAAAATGTATTAATGTTGCTTTGTCTTAAATTACTTTGCTATTAATTGTTATTATTGTTTTTTTTCTCTTGAAATTTCAAGAAAAACATCTTATCATGCTCCTTTCTTTTAGTCATCTTAAAATTCTCAACCAAAAATAAATAAATGAAAAATCTGAACATGACATTCCTTTTCAACTTCTGCATAAATATACTTTCACTATAGTCCAGATGAATTTAAATATTTATGGAATACATGTATATTTTGGAAGTTAGTCATCTTAAAGTTATCAACAAAAAAAAATAAAAATAAAAAATCTGAACATGCAGTTCCTTTTTATCTTATGCAAAAGCATACTTTCACTCTAGTCCAAATAAATTTACCAATAATTTCACTGTAGTCCAAATGAATTTGCCAATATTTTTGAATGTATGCATATTTTAGAAGTTGGCCATCTTAAAGTTCTCAATTAAAAAAATAATAATAAAATATGAATATGCGATTCTTCTTTTATCCTCATATAATCGGTTTATATACCAATATTTTTAGTACTATAGTCAAAATATATGGACAAGACATATATTTAAAAATTATTTTAAGGATATCTTCAATATTATTCTTGCCCGAATCGTTCGATCGGATTTCTTTACCAAATCAACCGTTCATTTAATTACCGTCTTATTTCATATCACATTAAAAATATCTATAAAAACCTTCCTCCTAATCTTAAATGTTTATATAAATTTCTTGCTCATCTTTCTTCTTCGTAATATTTTTCTTTTATGAAAAAACAAATGGATTTTTATTAAGAAGGTCTTTTCAATATCCAAAATCATATATAAATCATCATCTTCACCATCATCGTCTTCAAGTGAAGATTTAATTCAAAAAGATACCATTATAAACCATGTAATACGGAAAATAACTTGGCAACTACATTGCCCAACCGTTGAAGCAACCAACCTACTCAACGTGGATCTATTCCAGGACATATAGCTATCGATCGTAACCGTGAAGCTGCACATCGTAGGTTAGTCAACGATTATTTCTCTGAGCATTCACAATACCCTCCGTATAAGTTTTGATGGCGGTTTCGTATGTCCCGAGTTTTTTTTTTTTTTTGTGTTGTGGATGCTGTTAAAACTCGTGATAGTTATTTTGAACAACGAATCGACGCAACTGGTAAATTTGAATTATGGAGTCTACAAAAAATAACTGCAGCTATCTGAATGTTAGCATACAGTTCATCAACAGATGCTATAGATCAATACATTAAAATTGGAGAGTCAACTGCTATTGAATAATGTAAAAAGTTTTCTCGTGCTATTGTCGAGATTTCCATAAAGCGGTACCTCAGATCACAATAGCTAATGATATCACTACGTTACTTCATGTCGGTGAATAAAGTGATTTTTCTGGCATGTTGGGTAGTTTAGATTGTGTGCATTAGAGGTGGAAAAATTGTCCAAGAGCCTGAGCAGGACAATATGCGGGACGTACTAGATCACCAACCATCATTCTTGAAACTATAGTCGATTATAATTTATAGATTCGGCACATTGTTTTTTTATGCCAGGTACAAATAATGATACCAATGTTTTAAAATCATTGTATTTATTTTATAATCTTGCTTAAAGTATTTCACCTCTAACTAATTATGTTATCCAATAAAAATTGTATAATGCGGGTTATTATTTAGTTGATGGTATTTATCCAAAGTGGTCGACTATTATGCAAATAATTCAAAATCAAAATACCAATATGGCAAAATATTTTGCTGAAAAACAAGAAGCGTGTAGAAATATGTGGAGCGCGCATTCTGAGTTCTTTAATCTCGATTTGCAATTGTGGAAACTCCAATTCGTTTTTTGGATAATGAACTATTGCATGATATTATGATCGCTTGTATTATTATACACAATATGATATTGGAAGATGAATATGATCTTAATAAACCAATTACAGAAGGAAGAGTGGTTCGGGAGGCTAATGTAGGTGGGGTACCAATGGAACATGCTCGATTTCAAGAATTTATTGATCGATATAAACATATTAGGAACAAGGATGCACATTATGAATTAAAAAAATGCACTGATAACTCTTTTGTGGGCAAGGAGTGATCATCGTGGGAATGATGTATTAGATATCTATTTTGAATGCTTTTTATTAGTTTTCCATTTTTTTTTTATTTATAATGTTAATATAAGTTTGTATGTTTTTATTTGTATAAGAAAATGTTGTTTTAATTATTAGTTTGATGAAATATGGTTTCTCAAATTTAATCAATTATAATATTTTTTGTGTAACGTGGATACAAATATTTTGACTATGTTCAAAACATTAACAAAAGTGGATCATCTTTTTGTAATTTAATAATAAAAAAAAGGATAAAGGAGAATTGTTGATTTGGGTGTGGAATTTGTACTGATGAGTGGGCTCATCGTCAATTCTACCTTATTGATTTCCGATTAGCCAATTTTGTCCTTACTATTTGAAATTTTTGCCAATTCTATCCAATTGGCCCAATTTCCGTTAAATTTAACAGATTTTCGTTAGTTTTTAACAAAAAATATCTCGATAGTTTCAGAAAATTATAAAAATAACTTTAAAAAATATAAAATAAGAAAACAGTCCCTTTTTATTCATTTTTTTCTATTCCATTTTATTTCTCTTTATTACTTTTCATAACCATCAAAATATACTATATAGTCTTAAAAAAATAATTATTTATTTTCAAAATATATTTTGCTTGTGCAACACATGTGATTTGGGTTGAGAGGTAATTTTATCATTTTAAAAATTTTTAATTTTATTTTTTTTATTCGTTATTTTTCTTATATTTTCTGACTTGTATATATTGACACTAGTATAATTATTAAATTTCAATAATTAGTTTATCTTTTTATTTCATAGATTATAAAATAAAAAATGAGAAAGAAAAAATAAAGTTGAAATAAATATGAAAATTAATAATTTATCATTCTAAACAAATATCGAAAAAATCTTTTTTAAAAAAAAATCTGCGAAGAGAAGTCTTTCCTCCTTGACTTACTCTAATTCATAGGTGAGTTACAAAACATAAATTTTACTTAATCTAGCATAAAATAATTATTTAGTTCGTTGTAATAAAAACTAGATGCTTGTCCGGGACAAATGCCCGGAGCGTCCTCTTACCTAATAAATTAATATGTAAATAATCAAAACTGATTAGGAATGAATTTAATTTTTGATGAAGATAATTGATTGATCGAAAATTAATTTTTTAGAAAGTCCTAAATAAGTGGAGAAGGAAAGTTACATTCACTGTCAAATTCAAAATTTGAATGAACATGGCCATCTGATTTCTTCGTTAATATAGTAAATATATATTTTGTTTTTAAAAGGAGGTGACACGTGGCAGAATGTTTTATGCAATATGGTGCATTTGGAGCCAAAAACTTTTAATAAGAAAATGCCGCATCAGCATCCTATTTTCTACTTTAATAAGGTAAAAGGAATAATTTTGTGTGTATCAATGGTGTTGCCCCTGGAGATGTTGTAAAGATCCAATGAACGAGTATTTGGTGCCATAAATAGTGCAGCCGTTTGGGATTGTTTTTTGTACCCAAATTACCAATTAGGTGTCATCCCTTTGTATGCTCTTAGACTATTAACTTTCTCTCGAATACTTTCAATGCCTTTTGTTCCGAACCAACTGTAACCCCTAAAACAAACTAGTGTATTGATGATAAAGTTTTGGAGGAAAAAATTGAAATGGCACAAACATGGTAAATGCTCACAGTAAATTACACGGTAAATGTTCACAATAAAAATTATAATCCGATTTAACATTTCCTTATTGCTGATACCACGTAAGATTCTGCAGCCCGATATAACAAATAGGATAAAATAATAATTTTAAGAGAAAGAGATAATTTTCAGAGGAATTATAACACCAAAATAAGGGTGCAAATACTTTTCAATAAAAGTAGGCCCTAGGAAATGCTGACATGGGCTTATCCCATTGGGGGTAATCCCCACGCAACAGGTCCAAAACCCTAAAGTATACCCGCGAGTCCACAGTCCTTCAGAAATTAAAAAAAAAAGAAAATTGAAAATTACCGAAGTCCAATTTGTTTGTAAGAAGAAAAGCAAGAGAGAAGAGATAGTAATGAACACTGCCGCTATATATGCCAATTTCCTTCCGCCGGCGGCCATTCTCTCTCTTCTTCCAAAACCTCAACCTACTGCATTCCCTCTTTTCCTTTCCTCAACTCGTAAGTTCCTCTATTCATTATTGTTCTCAACGTTTTTATAGCGTTTAATCTGCTCGTTCTCGAGAAGTTTTGCCCTAATAATCTGGATTAAGCTCGTCTCTTCATACGATTTAACTTCGGAGTGTTAGTTCTAATGATTAGGTTGTTGTTTATCATCGTTAAATTAGGTTTCCTTTCACTATTATACTGATACTGTGGGGGATAATGGTGGCTTCACTTAATTTAATCCTGCTGTGTTGTACATTGTCGTCTATGGAAGCTTATCTTTGTTTGGGATTTAGTTAGCCATCTTTCTGATATTGTGATGTTTGAAATTATTGCATGGTGTATCTGGCTCTTGATACTGTTTTGAATATTATTAATGGTGTTTTATTACTCTGTATTTTTGTTTTTCTTTTTCACATGGAAGTTGTGTATGTTTTAAGATTTTGTGCAATATATATATATATATATATATATATATATATATATAGTTACTGAATGGGTCTCCTTCGTGGTTAATTTTTTCATATGGTTGTTGTGAAACTAGACAGGTACTCTGAGATCAACCACTAGAACTTTTCGCTTTGCAAGAGTCCATTCTATATCGGCAATAGCGAAGGTAATAGCCATGTATTATGCCACCCTGTTTGATTTGTGATACGTACAATGATCATATAATGCTTTTGTTGAAGCCTTTGATTATTTTTGCATAGATTACAATAGCCCCTGTAAACTAGTTAAATGAAAAGAAGCAACAGTTGTGATATTCGACTTGGGGGTTTTAGTGAGTTTGATGTGGTGGATGTGCATGCTTATTAATTATGTCCAATTATGTAACCCTGATGTCTGTCCAATTATGTAAACTAGTTTGATGTGGTGTCTTTGATATTTATGATTACTCTGCAGGATACTGAAAAGATGGATAGTGTGAAGCAATTAATTGAGAATTTGTTCGGAGAGTCTCTCAAACTGACAGTCCCTGATGAGCTAGATGTAGTCCCTATTGTTACCCCTTGCAAAGATCTTAGACATGGTGATTATCAGTGGTATGTTTCTGGCTTGTTATCGAGGAAAATATTGCTTTCAGCATAACATTTTCATTTTTCCCTCTGACATCGACTAAGATAACTATTCTTTTGTTTAGCAACAACGCAATGAGCTTATTTGCGAAGGTTAAGGACAATATGCCAGAATTTAGAAACCCCCGGGCTGTTGGACAGGTATTGATGTTCTCTTCCTTCTATGTGTCAGGCATCTAATCACTGATGTGATTTCTTTGTCATGATGTTTTCAAGAGCATGAGGTGTAGATGATTGTTGCCATTCTAATTTTAGGCCATCGAGAACAACCTTCCTGCATCAGACATGATTGAGAGATCCTCTATAGCAGGGCCTGGTTATGTGAATGTTGTCCTATCAAGCAAATGGATGGCAAAGGTATATGGGCCTTGCTTATTTCACTTGTGTTCTCAGCATTGATTTTCTTTTGTTCCAAAATCCATTTGATTTTGGTTCTTGCTCTTTCCAACCCCAAAATGATATGATTGGTGATGTTTTAATGCTTTGCAATAATGGAAACATTTTGAGTTATGCTACTTCTCTTCTTGCAGAGGATTCATAATATGCTTGTTGATGGTATTGAAACATGGGCACCAAAGCTTCCTGTCCAAAGGGCAATAGTTGATTTTTCATCCCCTAACATAGCAAAAGAAATGCATGTTGGGCATTTAAGGTCTACCATTATTGGAGATACTCTTGCACGTATGCTGGAGTTTTCTAATGTTGAAGTTCTCCGGAGAAACCATGTAGGCGACTGGGGAACTCAGGTAAGCAAATTTAACAGCACATTTGCCCTTTCTACGTTTTTTTGATTGTTATCTATGAGTTTGTCATTTTTGCCTCTTCTTAGCCTTATGGGTTTGAAGTGGGTGCATTCCATTTTGATGTTTAGGACGTCAGGACATTATTGATAATGTGTTGAAACCAGTTGACTTTTTTGTTATCATAAATATGTATAGTAAAAGATTTCCTCAGTCTTTTAATTTCCAATATTTTCTTTGTAAATCTTACAGGCTTTGCATATGAGGTTTTCCTTGCCCTAGAAATTCAAGCATTGCATATGAACTTTTTTATGCCACCCAACAATCTATCTGACTATTCAGCTGACATTATGGGCAGATTTATTTTCGAAATTCTCCATGGTTGTGATCAATGTGTTTACCCTCTCTATGGATGAAACAAATTGATTAAGTTTTTTTGTATAATGGTTTATCATCTCCTCATGGACGTCTGATTCATTATACCTAGGAACCCTATTTCTTCATTTTTATTGAATACTGAAGAATGTACTCATCATCTACAGTTTGGCATGCTCATAGAGTACCTATTTGAACAATATCCCAATTGGGAAGCTTCTGCAAGTCAAGACATTGGTGACCTTCAGGTTAGTGGAAGAGATTAAAACATTCTTCTTCCCCTCTTTTTTGTTTTTTTTCTTTTGGGCGTGGAAATCTGATGAATGGTTTGTACCCTCATGTTTTATTTTTATTGTGAGTACTTTGGTTTTTATTTTGCGCATTTTTACAATTATGATTGCACTATAGAAGTTGCGATGCAGGTTGGTATAATTGATTTTTTTTTCCCACAAATTTTTGTAGATACCGGATGCACTAAACTGATATGTTAGCGTAGTTTGGAAATTTAGGTTCCCCACCTCTTGAAAGATTGTTGGTTAAATTCTGTAAAAGATGATCAGTTGGTATCATAACATGGATATGTTAGCATGCCACTATTTGATTATACTGCTGTAAAATTATTCTAAATACTATGAAATGTTTTCTCTATAGAAATTCTACAAGGATTCAAAGCGGAGATTTGATGAAGATGGTGATTTTAAAGAGAGAGCCCAGCGAGCTGTTGTTAGTCTTCAGGTGAATGCCGACACCTTGAATTGGCTGATTAGCTAATAAGTCACCTTTTCCCACAAAGGTTTTGAATTGTTTTGAATATGATGGTTTTGGTTATGTTTTAATTTGATACCATGGCGATTCTTCTTGTTCTGTTTTGTAATAGGGAGGGGAAGAGAAGTACAGGAAGGCTTGGTCACAGATTTGTGAAATTAGTCGAAATGAATTTGAGAGAGTTTATCAACGACTTGGTGTTGTCTTGGAGGAGAAGGTAATTATTTGAACTTTTTTAGTATTATGTTGTCCTCTTGAAGAATTAATGAAATGCTTATCCCCGCTATTTGATTGCTCAGAAATTTCTTGTATTTATTTGGTTGTCCGAGCTGGGGGATTGCTATATGAGGCTGTGCTCTCAATGGCCCTAGTTTAATAATATGTTTCAATTACCTTTCGGTGATTGATTATAATTATGCTTTACTATGTTGATATGGTTTTTGTTCTTGCCAGGGAGAAAGCTTTTACAATCCATACATCACCAAGGTACTAGAGCTTTTGAGTAGTAAAAACCTGATTGTTGAAAGTGAGGGTGCACGTGTTATCTATGTCGAAGGCGTAGAGAGACCGTTGATTGTTGTCAAGAGGGATGGTGGTTTCAACTATGCTTCAACGGATCTTGCTGCGTTGTGGTGTGCTTATACTTTCTCAATTGCTTATGAAATTTGAGTTTTCTTGTTGTCATAATTACTTTTAATGGTATACTTGTCCAAATGTTGCATCTGTAGCAGTATATTAGGATGGTGAACTTCAATCCAATTATGTAAAACTGAGATAGAGCACGGTCTGGCTTAAATTGTTGTTACCTTTATGAGGTCATCACTTCTAAAAACCTGATGATTTCTCTTGATTATAGGAAAAGAATGCCTTAGATGACAACCATAACTCTACCCTACTCTCTGTCATCTACTATTTGATATGCAGTTAGTCTTTCTCGATTCTGAGACTTCCTACCTTCAACTTGTAGGTATCGACTAAATGAAGAAAAAGCCGAATGGATAATATATGTTACTGATGTTGGTCAGCGTGAGCATTTTGAAATGTTCTTCTCTGTAAGTAACTACCATACTGGTAAATGTTGGATTGCTCCTCACCTGGAAAATTGGAAAGCTTTTCTCCTTTTGAGAGTATGACCTTTTTCGAATTGCCTTCTAGGCTGCCAGACTAGCAGGTTGGCTCCCAGGTGGAGATGATAAGTACCCCAAAGTCAGCCACGTTGGTTTCGGTCTTGTTTTAGGAGATGATGGAAAGAGATTCCGTACGAGAAGTACTGAAGTGGTTAAACTAGTTGATTTACTAGATGAAGCTAAGACCCGTTGTAAGGCAGCTCTAATTGAGAGAGGTATGTAAAAAATAAAATAAAATGTCCTCCATTGGATGAATTTTAATGTGACGATGTCACATGTATATGCTGCTGTAAGTAGACCTGTTCAGAAACAATGATTTTCTTTTTAAAAATATCAATCAGGTAAAGCTGTGGAATGGACTACAGAGGAGCTTGAAAAAACTGCTGAAGCTGTTGGATATGGGGCTGTGAAGTGAGTTTTTTCATTTTGCTCATGTGTGTGCATATATGCTAGCGTTTTAGCTTGGCTTCTAACCTTTTCTTTCATTGGTCATAATCAGATATGCTGACCTGAAGAACAACAGATTGACCAACTACACATTCAACTTTGACCAGATGCTTAATGACAAGGTCTGTGGGTTGATACCTTGATCTTTGCTATTCTTTTGTGGGACTTACTGTCCACGTGCATATTGTTTTTCTTTCTTATTTGGCTATCCATCTAATAGTATCTTATCTCTCTCGGCACTTGTATCGAAATATAATACTGGTACTTTACTGCATTGGTGTTAATCTAAGATTTGCCCTTTTTGTGGTTGCAGGGAAATACTGCAGTGTATCTACTTTATGCACATGCTCGAATTTGTTCAATAATCAGGAAATCTGGTAAAGATATTGAGGAACTAAAGAAGGTAGAGTATCATCCTTGTTATTGCTTGCATTATGCATGTGAATCTTTATTTACCAGGACTGGAAGTCAATGATTCCTTGTCCTGAATGCTACTTTTGCCAGTTAGGGATATAGGAATCTGAAGCTTGGTACAAGCATAACGTTATTATAGAATGATGAACCACTTATTCTTTTCTCCGGCTGATTCTTTCTTTTTCCAAAAAAAGAGGAAAAATGTTGTTCATATTAGTGATGACCTTTGTTCAGATTAGTGAATAGCCTAATATGGCCCCTTGTAGATATCTTGAAGTGGATTCTCCCATGTCATATGTATGTCTTTTAACTACTTGTGGAAGTTCTTCTCCAAATTTCTTTCTTGGAATTGGTGGCTTGAGGGACTAAAGAAATGCATTGCCTTGAGCAGGTCGGAACACTGGCTTTGGATCATCCCGATGAACGGGTTTTGGGGCTTCATTTGCTTCAATTTTCAGAGGTAACTTTTACAACAAGCATTTGTTGTTTTTCCACCATGGACATTACCCTATCTGTTGATAAATCATAAAATTTTCCATTTTGTTGCAGGTGGTTAATGAAGCCTGTACGAATCTATTGCCTAACATCTTGTGCGAGTATCTGTACAATTTGTCTGAAGACTACACTAGGTTTTATACAAACTGTCAGGTATGAAGTGCCAATGGAGATGAATGTAGATGAGAGCATATTCTCTTCATTAAACCTCTAGATCATGTTAATGAAAGCCCTTGATGTTAAATAAAAGGTTTTCTGATTCAAAGTTGGTCCTTTTTATGAAATTCTCTAGGTGGTTGGTTCAGCAGAGGAGACAAGCCGGCTGCTATTGTGTGAGGCAACAGCGGTTGTGATGCGAAAGTGCTTCCATCTGTTAGGGATCACGCCAGTGTACAAAATTTAAGGCCTTTAAGAAGGTCAACTAATTTTGTAAAACCATTATAGTTCAGGTTTTCTTATAGGCGATTTCAATCTTATTCTGCACCTTATCCTCAATTATTAGGACGAAGTGATTTTTGTTTGGTATTCGGGTTGAATGTGAATATCATCAGTTTGTTAAATATATGAGTATGGAAATACAGTAAGTCAGAAACTTCACTCAAAGTTGTCATCATATTCTAATTTTACGCTTTTTTTTTTTTTTTTAGGCTCAATGTCAATGCCCGAATATATGAAGTTTGATTAGTGTTCATTCCGCTTTGCTCCTTACAAGTATCGTTTCTTTCTTTGTGCTCAAGTATAAATAATAACTAGGTGTTAGACCCGTCCGATGGACGGGGAGCACATATACATAAATATTATTACACAAACAAAGTAAAAAAAATGTTAATATTTGTATTGATTTTTGTATTTTTATAAAATATATAATGAATTCATTAAAAAATATAAAACACAAACATCGACAACACTTTACCAAACGAATACACTGGTAATTTATTTAACGCAAAAAAGATTGTTAAGAAATTAAAAAAAAAAGAACTTTGAATTAAATAATTATATATCTTACAATATTTTTTGGTAGACTACATTGGTAGTCTGGGTTGAAAAGGTCGGTTAGGGTGATTAAGAAATTATGATAAGAATTTTTTTTTTTTTTTTAAAAAAAGTTTATGATAAGGAATGGTTACTACAGAAACAACAACCCTAACTTGTTGTAGAGGCCATCCAATTTTTTAATAAGAAAAATTGAAAAAATAAAAAAGTTGGATATCAGGACCTTTATTCCTCGTTTCGGAGTGACTTTTGATTTATTAGCTCCGCTACATCAACCCATCACCATAGTATTTTAACTCAATTCCATATTTGAAACTAAATCATAGAAGTTTCAGGTTGGCCTAACTTCTTTAATTATTTTAATAAATTATTAATATAAAATTCCTTTTCAGTTGTGTTTTTTTTTTAGGAGGAAGAGATCCGTCTATCGGATTTGCAGGGATTTGGTCGAATCAATATAGGATTTGGACCTTTTCAGTTGCGTTTTTTTTTTTTTGGTTTTTATTGTTTTATTTTGTGCATTTTTATATCTAAAAAATTAAGAAAATGCCACATAGTGCTCCTTAACTTTAGATTTCTCTCTCTAATTTTTGCCTTAGTATAGTTTTTTTTTTATTGTTTTGTTTTGTGCATTTTTATATTTAAAAAATTAAGAAAATGCCACATAGGATAAAATTTTATGTGACATATGCTCCTTAACTTTAGATTTCTCTCTCTGATTTTTGCCTTAGTATAGTATATAGAAGATAGACAGATAGATAGATAGATTTTTTTAATCTTTAGATCATTACTTGTTAAATAAAATTTAATCAAATGCTCAGGGTCATACGCGTATGCTTTTCGGAATCGTCTCCAGAGGAAGAATTGTATCTGAAATCAGATGTGAAGAAGTACTAGTACTACAGTAATCTTAATTTGTTTTGTTGATTACTTTCATCATTAGCCATGATTTTTTCGTATATCCATTCCCGTAACTAATTTAAATTTGCATGTAGTAAATTCTTTTGAGAGGCAAAAATCCTTTTAAGAAGAAAAATAAATTTATATGCTTTCTACGATGATCCATTAATGGCGACATACAATATACTTTCAGACGCAATTTCGAAGCAGGGGATAGACTCCCCTCCTCTCTCTCGAATTTTCTCAACTCACACTCGAATAACCCCCACCCTTCCATTTTGAGACCAGAGGGATATATCAGTTCAAACTCACTTCAATCCGTTACAAGTCATAAAACAATGTAAGGAAAATGGACAATCTGGAACAACCTTATTCATTCCAAAGATCATTGACCTAATCGAACTCCATCTTCCTTGGTTCCGACTGCCTTAATTTTATTGTGCAATTGTGTTTGAGAAATTTTTGTTCATCAAATGTTGGAAACCTTGCAATTACAATCAACCCGAAGGAACTTAAATATTTATCAATTCACACATCAATAATCCGTTTAAAGGAAATGGGATGACTAAAACTACCAACAAAATTGCTTTTTACTACTCAAAAGAAGATGTAAATGATGAAGGTCTTAAAGGCATCTTGGCTATGGTGGCTTTCGGTCCATATTTTCGATGTCCAACTAATTTGTAAATCAGATTTTGCTTTCTTTGGCTTTACCAAGGAGAGGATATATACTCAAGAAAATTTGACTAACGACTGTGAATATCTAGAATTCTAGCCTCTACAACCTAAAACTCTTTTGAAGAAACTGAATGAAAGAATGAATATACAGGGCGATTCCAAAACCTTGTGGCTGAGTAAATGTGAACAATTAAAAATGCATATGGGATGAAGATGTAACGTTCTGATAATATCAACAAGTTAAATGAAGTGTTATATTTAGGATTTTCGAGAAATGAAGTGTAAAAAACATTTTAGTTTCGTCTTATGACGAAATTTGGAATTGTACTGCCGGCTTGGTAGTGGAACTCCGGTTAGGGTTTCTTACAAAAGAGGACCTCGGGGTCTCCCGAGGGTAGATACTCCGATGCTTAAGTCAGTAACAAGGTTTAAGGAACGTATATGAATAGTATTTGTGCTAGAGATAGCGTACCTGTATTGTGGTGTGATCAACCCTAATTATAGACATGGAACCCCCTTGAGGGATGCCGAATCCTACTAGGTTTTATGTTCCGAGTTCGCCTCTGTAAGGTCGATTGAACTACAATTGGTGGGTGGGCCGGTCCGGTAATCCTTAGCGGATATGGACTCGTCAAGTACTCTTGTTAAGTGTTAGTTATATGAAATAAATAAGAATTGACACAAAATAAAAAATACCTGGACTCGGCCCAAATGGAATGGGCAAGTTTCGGCCCAATGTACACCAAGGAGGCCGGTTGGAATAATTTGCGGGTTAGGATCCGATCCGAGAAGGTGACCCGCTTCAAAATCCCGCTCAAAATGTCAACCCGTGCGTATTTAGTGGGCACATTCCCCAAACAGCGGCCAACATCATTATAACTGCCTTGATTCTCGCTGTAACGACAGGAACGTGGGTGATTGAGCCTTCTTTTATATCCTTTAGGACAGAATTCAGATTTGACATTCACTTTTTTAAAAAACACTCAAACAACCATCCTGTTGCTATCGCGCACCAGTTTATATTGCCAGAAGTATCTGTTTTCCATCGAATCGAGAGACGCAACGCTTGAAGAAAGGTTTTTGAACTGCGTCGTTAGCGACTTGTTTGACTGCCCCATCACGATTGGTGTGACGATTCAGACGATTTCCAGGAACTACTTGTCATCGGAGATTGCTGTAACCCTGGGAGGCTACAAATCGAAAGGCCAATGGAGACCTTTTCCGATAGTAAGTTCTCAGATTCATCCATTTCAGTTTCATTTTCAGCCGTTTTCTTTTCGAATTGCTGTTTAGACCAGAGTAGATCTAGATTCGTTGTTTCAAATTGTGATAGGTAACATTTTGATCCGTAACAAAACAATTTGGTGATTTTGGTCTGTAACAAATTCATTTCAATTTTTCTAGTCCAAAACTAACAGAATCGTTTGTGTTGACCGTTGTGCCAAGGTCAACAAGGGTATTAAGAGAAATTCAGTTTATACACTTGTTTTAATTTTTTTTTAAAAAATCTGGACATAATAATAATAAAATATTATTTAAATATTTAAATTTCAGTTTTTCTTTTTTTTTTTTAAATAACAATTATCCAATCACTTTTACTATTTATTTTTCAAGTTTACCATTCGGTCCTGAAAAATATTTTCTGCCTAGTAAAAGTAACTTTCCCTCCTAATCGTTAAATATTTCTCCCTAACCTAAACTGATGAAAAATCCTCCCAAAATCATGAATCCAAATCAGGGAAAGAACCCAGTAAATTCTCTAATTTCTGCAAACAATACCAAACCTTCAATTCCACGCATAGGTCGATGAACATCCATGTTCTCTCCAGTTATTATTATTATTATTATTATTATTTTTTTTTTTTTAACCAAAGTCCATTTCGAGAGGAAGTAGCTTCTCCTGTTATGAAACAAAAAGATAAGGGCATTGTTATTTACAATTATAAGAATTGTTTATTTACAGTCGTTTGTACTTTTTTGCCCCTAACAAGCAACCTTTTTCCTCAAATTATCAAATTCAAATTAATTTCTCTTCTTCTTCAAATCCTAAAGAAAAAAAAAAACAAAAAAAAATCAAAATTTTAAATTTAAAAACAACAATTATTAATATTAGTCATTTAAATTTAATTAAATTTAAAAATATAAACAACAAAGATTAATACTTCTCAGTTAAAAAAGACTAAGTATTGAAAAAATAAAAAATAACTAAAATAACTATAACACAAACAAATTGAAAAAAATAAAAAAACTGAAAAAATTAAAAAAAAAATTAAAAAACAAATTTGGTCCAAGGTAGCCGGTTTTGATGGAGGACCAGCCGCTCCGAAATCGACTACCCAAGGAGAGGTAGTCGAACCGTAACCGGTAGCCAATTTTGGACCGGCTCTCCATGGGTAGCTGAATTTGGGCCGGCTACCTTGGACCAAAATTTTTAAAATTTTATTTTTTAATTTTTTAAATTTTTTTTCTGTTTTTTTTTCAATTTTTTTGTGTTATATTCATTTTAGTTTATTTATTATTTTTTCAACATTTAGTTTTTTAATTGAGTAGTATTAATCTTTGTAGTTTATATTTTTGAAATTTAATTAAATTTAAATGAGTAGTATTAATAATTGTTGTTTATGTAAATAAAATTTAATTCAGTATTTATTGTATCTTTGTGTTATTGTTATTATTCTTGTTATATTTATTTTAGTTTTAATAAATGAATAAGAATTATTAATGAATTTTAATAATTAATGTTTATTATATTTTCAGATGGAATTAAATTTATATAAGTAGTATTAATTAGAATTTGAAAATTAATTTAATATTAATTATATTTTTATTGTGTATTGATTTATATTAATTTCTATGTGACTGAAATTTAATTTAGTAATAATTTAGCAATGAAATTTGTATTGGGTGTTTCTCGGCAATCCATTATTGTTTTAGTTTCTTAATTTTTGTAAATCTAAATTTGAAAGATGGGAGTTTTAGTTTTTTGGTTTGAGGTTGGAGAAGAAGAAAGGAGAAGAATAGGAAGAAGAGGAGGAAGAAAGGAAAAGAAAAAGAGGAAAAGAACAAAATTATGTATAAGTGAGTAATTTTTATGACAGTAAAAAACAATTCAGAAAAATAAATCTATGCAATCATTACGCAAAACAAATTGCCGGTCAAAATAATAAGTGTATTTGCTAATCTTTTGAGAAAATGTTTGCAAAATACAGTAAATCAAAAACCCTGCTAGATGTGGCTCTTCTCCGGCAATGTCAGCTATCGATGTTCCCTTGGGACTGATAAACCCAGCTCCAGTGAAAGTGCCCTACAGCTCCTCGATGTTGTGCTAGGCATGACGTCAACCTTGCCGCCGCCACCGCACTATGCAGCGGCAGCATCGACTGCACGGCCCCCAATCCCGACGGGATCCTTGAGGAGAGTGAGAAATTGGAGTGGAAGATGGAAAAGATGGATGAATTTACATGGCGGCCGCCGGAGTGGAGAGATGAATGTTTTTTGGTCGATTAGCATTTTAGGTTGGGGACAAAGTTTTTTCCTCGGAGAGAAAATAAAAAATAAAAAAACTGATAGTAAAATCAGCTGTTTCCGATCAAATGAATTCTCGTAAAATCAGCTGTAATTCCCGATTGTCGTACTGTTGAGTGTTGACCTCTTCCACAACCACCACCACCACCAGATTGTTGGGGCCGCCGACCACCTTAGGCTGGTTTTACTTGTTTGCCCCTATGAATAGTATAAGGTCGACTTGGGCTTTTATTCTGGGTAGTGGGTTCTGTTTGTGGGCTTTCTCCAAATTTACCCATATCTAGACTAAACCGCACCGAACCACCCCCAATCGGCAATTAATAATATTAGGCGCCCAAAAATAAAACGACTACCTCATCTGACTTCTCTTCTACTGTTCTACAGAATAATACTAATAAGTCTTCTTCTTACTCTGGTCTCCGGTTCCACAACCGTCGTTTACTCTCTCGTCTCCGGTGCCTCAACTGTCTCCAGTAGCTACTCCCATTGCCATAAAATTCATCATAATGGAGCGTTCTTCATCAAAAGATCCCATCTTTAACACCTCTGTTAGCCTACCATCGCCAGTTGTATCTGCTGCCACCCACTCCGCCGTCCCCCCTTCATCATCGGATTTTCAAGAAATGCCGGCAAATTCAACGCCCTCTCCACTTCTTGGCGCATCTTCGAATCAAGAACCCATCTCTTTTGGGGGTTTCGGGAGCAACCTTCCGATTTCACCCGGTGCCTCTGTCTCCGTGGTTCCTTCTTCTCATCATTTGGAAGCCAGGGTCCCTCCGGCCATGAATATAACAGAAGCAGCATCATCATCATCACTTCTGGCACAACATCCGAACCAACCACGTACCGAATTTGGACCCAATTCATCACCAGGGGCGCTCATGAATGCAAGCTCATCCCCAGTTCTTGGCTCATTTTCTCCGAATCTAGATTCCATCTTTTCTGGGAGTATCGGGAGCAACATCAGGAACCCATCTTCTTCATCGGCTTCTTCTCAAGAATCCACCACGGTGCCATCCAGGAATGTAACTCAAGAAACGTCGTCATCAGCCTTTCCGCCATCATATTCTAACCAACAAAGTGCCCAGTTTGGGCCCATTGTTGCATCAACCCACGTCTCTGGAATTCAATCTTTCCCACAGTTGCAACCAGTCGTCAGGGGTCCGGCTCCGATCGTTGGTTATGCATTCCGAGTTGTGCGTCGTCAACCCGGTGTTTATGGCTATTCTTCACCTGATTATCACATGCCCATTCCGATTTCTGGGACTGTGTATATGGATTCCCCTGGTGGATTCATTTCTCTGATTGATGAGGCTATGTCTGAGGATGGCTCAAGAATGATTTGCAATTACATCCGAAGTATTATTCACTCTGACAATCATGTGCAGTGCCAGTTCACTTTCTCAGTTGCCCAAGATCCTGAGCGTGCTCTGAATTTGATGACCCATGAATTTGGATCCCGGGTTATCAAGGATTGCTTCACATACTTGCGCCCGGGAGCTACAGAGATTTTGTACTACATTGTTTTTGACAATATTCACTTACTGGCAGTTGACCCTAATGGTTACACTGTAGCCAATAGCTGCATCCAGTTTTCTGAGGGGAGAGAACAACTCTTAAACAGAGTTTCATACTCTCAAACTGCATTATTGGAGCTGTCACATCACGATTTCGGAAACTACGTGGTCCAAAAGGGCATCAAACTTTCTGAGATCTTTGCTGAAAGAATGTGTACCAGGCTGAGTGGGCATTTCCTCTATCTTGCAACTGAGAAGGGTGGCAGCCATATTGTTGAAAAATGCTTGAGGTTCAGGTATTCACCTATTCTGTATGACGTGCTCAAGGACGAAGAAGGAATTCTGCGTCTTGCTGGACATAAGATTGGTCACCATGTGATTCTAACTGCTCTTCAAGTGACAATGAATGATGACAAGGGTTGGTTCAGGCGGATTGTGGGGATTTTGGGGGAAAGGTTCTCCCATCTGGTGCCGAATCGAGGGTGATCCCTCAATCAGGACAACAAATTTGGATGGTTCTGCATATAGAAGTTGGTTTAGTCCTGCATAGGAAGGGAAAGACTGTGAGTGTAGATTCGCATAGATAGTTGTCTGAGATACACGATTTTTTGTGAGTATTTCGGTTGAGGGAATTTTTGATGTTGTTTCTGAATTTTGTAGTGGATAGTACTTGTGATTGATTAGGGTGTGTTTTTGAGATGTTGTTCCAAACTTCCAATGGAAGAATGATAATGGGAAATGTTACTGATGTTGTTCATCAATTGGAGCATTTGATTGTGTGTTTATCTGTGATTACATATGATCTAGTAGTATCCTAGTCAAGTCAATGTAGCATATAACAACCTCATTTGGGAAACCAAAAAAGATTTCTCAGTTTTAAACTTTAAATTGAAGAGTATCCAGTTGCTTATCTGCTTTGGAAGATTGGTTTCAGCTTCTGGGGGTTTACCAATTGATCACTCATGATCAATTAAGACCTGTTTTTCATGTTTTAAGTCTAAAGTACTGTATGGTCTGGGTAACTGGGTTTTAACCTGCATTGCACAACTTGAGCAAGGTACCAGTAAGTGACTAATTGATTGAACTTGTAACCGTGGTTGATAAGTTATTGTATTGACGAACAAAGGATAGAGACATTAGTTTACATGGTTTAATCAAGTTTGTCAAGTACAAGTTGAGAAGACAAGGGAGAGGAGAAAGAATATTGTTAAAAGTCCTTTTTTTTTTTTTGTCATACATACCTGGCCAGAAAATATTTCTAACAATTAGCCAATAAAGAAAATAATCTGCTTAGTGCTTATACTTATTCGTGGATAATCAATTAATCACAACATATACATACTCCCATCTCACATCCAAAATGCGTATTCTCTTCTAAGGACATAATTCTCAGCACATGAAATGCAGGCAAACTCGTCACAACTGGAAATATCAATTCTCTAATCCTCCTCAGATCCTGCAATTTCATTTCAATAATACAATCAAATAACCCATCCTTAGATATCGAAGATCAGATGGATATACTTGTTCAAACCAAAAACTAATGTAAGGAATAAATACAATAATAATCTCTAACTGCGTTATTTATTCCAAAGATCATATTGACCTTATGGAATTATATCTACGTTGTTTCCTACGGCCTCAAGTCGATTGTGTTCAAGACAATTTCTTTTCAGCAAATGTTAAGAAAGCTTGACGTGAGAATAAAATGAATAAAGCTTGTAATCTTGAACAATTTACACATCACTAACCCTTTTGAAGGGAAAAGATGAAAATGATGACGGTCTTTAAAGGCTGCTTGGCTATGGTGGCTTTCGACCATATCATCGACCATCAAAACATGACTTCATCCTCTGCCTGAAAGGCCTAATTTCTTCAAAAGATCTTTAAGGCTCGTCGCGTTTGGCAAAGATGTGAATGATTCCCTTGATAATGTTTGGAAAGACCCCTCCTGATGACATACAGAAACAAGATTACCATAACAGCTGGTATGTATTTTAAAAAACAGAGAAATGCCGAGTTTTCATTAGATCTGATAGTTCATACTCCCTCCGTCCCATAATTATTGTCCAATTTGATTTTTTATTTTTAGTTCAAATTGTACAAAAAGTGAAATATGAAATTGGACAACAATTTTAAGACAGAGTGAGTACAACGGCACATATTCAGATGCGGAGATGTTGACAATGTCGGTGAAGATGATGCATCTTCCTCTAACTCCGGTGAACAAGTCCATTCTGCAGGGTTATTGCCGGAATTTTCACCTAATCAGGACTCGATGGATTCCATTTCCGACCCACTATTTTGAGCCCGCATAATCATCCATTGGACATGCACTGGTTCACATAACCCACCATTTTTCTTCAACCCAATCATTTCTTCAATCAGCTGGACTAGCTACACATCTAATGTTTCGTCCACCATGATTTTTCCTTTCCCCCAATTCTCTCCTCATGCAAGGGTGGATTGGGACTCTCCCTCTGTCTAAATCCAAACTAGACCACCTCGTACTTATAACATTGGTTGCTGCTTGCTGTGGAACTTTGACGAACAACATTAATTATTGTTTTTTTAGATGAACAACATATAAATGTCAAACTAATTTGTAAATCACATTTTGCTTTCAGCTAAGTTTTTAGCCAGGAGATGATATATATTCCAGAAAAAAAAAAACTAAGTAAACGACTAGGAATGTAGACAAATTGATATCTTGAATTTGAGCCTCTAGAAGTTAAAAACTCTTTTGAAGGAACCGAAGGAATGAATTGAATATACGGGGCGATTTCATAACCTTGTGGGTGATTTAATGGGAAACAACTTAAAAGGTACATCCATGAATATGTAAAATATCTTCGTCCTGGTCATATCAACCATTTGAATAAAAGAGTAAAATTGAGGATATTCAAAGAATTAAATAGGTACATAAAATCAAGAAATCGTAAAGTAAGATGAGGATATAGATTCAGTGTAGGCTCAAACAGCACAATTCGAAAGATGGGAAGTTTCAAGAGGTCTGCTGAGTTCAACAACATTCTATCAAAACACATCAATAACCCCTCGTGCCCTCTCTGTCTATCTACAATCTCTCATCTGTGGCAAAGGTGGCCGAGCCAATTATTGTAAGGTTGGAGTTATCCAGACGATCACATCGCCGTTGAAATCTGTTTGGAGATCACTAAGGAATGTCTCATCTTTCATGCTAAATACGCCAATGCTTTCTTGACTACCCAACATCAACAAATCCTCCTGCTTCCGTTTCTGTCCAAGACGGTGGGTGACAAATATGGAATTCGGGTTGGAGTGATAGGGAACTGAAACCACCGAGATGCAATTGCCTGTGTCAGGATGCATGGCCCAAAATATGGAATCATTGTTTTCCAATTCGGTAATGTCCACCCATCTAGAGGCCTGCTCGCTGAGCTTGTAAACATCAAAGATCCATGAAACCTTGTTCCTGTTCTTTTTGGAGACGCGCCTAATTCTTTCAAAGAATAATAGATCCCCGTTGGAAGCATTTGCCAAATAACGCCCAGTAGAAAGTTTACGAGATCCCTTGTGAAATCTACCGTCAAAAAGATCGGGTTGGCGCAGAGTGGTGCATTCAGGTAGGATTTCAACTATGGTGGCCAATCCATCTCCCTTGTAATCAATTGCCACAAGCTGATTCCTTTCCAAAAGGACATAAAACAGCCCTTGGTGAAAAATAAGGTCTCTGATTTCATCCCTCGGAAACTTTGGGTTTGCAAGAAAAGTCCAAGATTTTTCACCCACTTTGATAAAGGCCAAAATCTGGGAAAGAGAACCACAAGCAACACCAGACACTGCTGCGAGGACGAAATCATTTGGATAAGTTGTAGGGTCACAAGACAAAATAACCTTTGTAAAATCACAGGATTTATTGCAAGGAATTTTCATCATCTTTCTGGTAAAGGGGTTGACAAGTTTGAGCCAACCATAGAATCCCACGAATAAAATCAACCAACCATGGGAAGAACTGAAATCAATACATGAAGGAAAACAAGGAACGTGGATTTTCGGATCGTAAACTTTATCTTCGACGATGCTGTACAGCTTGAACGAGATTGAATTTGGAGCGTTGTGGAAGTAATCATGCTGTTTGGCGATCAGAAGCATGGGGGGCTGTTTATGAATTGATGCAATGCGTTGTGGTTTTTGATCAACCATAATGGATCGCCAGGACTTGCAAACAGCTCCAAATCGGATATAGTCTGGAAGAAGAAATACCTGTCTTAGAATTGCATCCAGAAGCTCGGCGGGAAGGTTGCTCCAGTCTCCTTTGGATTTGCCGAGTACCATGGAAAGACATGACCTAGGTATATCTTGCAAACCAAGTCCTTTGAATTCAGAGGGAAGGGATGCGGTACTGGACATGTTGATAGACTGTTGATTTTAGGCGTTTGGCCTGTTATACCGCCCCCAAAAAAAAAGAGAGAGAGAGAGAGAGAGAGAGACCGAGTTTGGAGTCAAAAAGAGTTATGAGCACAGTACAATTCCTAATCTAATTGATTTACCTTGGATATGTGTGCTGAAAGAGAGGATCCTTCGGAGTTCATAACTCGCAGGGCTAAAGATTTTCTTTCTAGCATAAATCAATGCTATCTTGAAGGCAACTGCCCAAAGCTATCTTGAAATCAAAGGGAAGCAAATCTTACAAAGTTTGATGGAGACTAATTATGCTTGATCATTGATGTCTTGTTTGATACCTCCCAAGAGTCGAATTCCTTTGAAGCTACACTATCCTGCAGAATTTTACTTATATGGGTCTGAAAACACTACTTTTGGACACAAAAGGCCACATGAATGCTGATATGGACACATATACCCTTCCCGCAAAATAGATATACGGTTTTCACACAAAACTGCGTACAAGGAATACAGAAATACAAAATAACCGCATCAACACATTGCGGTAATAAATACATCCGCATACAAAGAATGTGGTTTTGTTAAACCGCAAACCGCCAACGCGGTTTTCTTTGAAACATTAATTAAAATAAAATAATTAATTACGTTTAACTCTACTAAATTTGAATTAATAAATAAACCGCATACGAGGTATGCAGAAATATATAACCGCAATACTTGGTTGCAGTTTTCTGCATTACCGCAATTTTGTAATGCGGATTTAAATATTTGATGTTACAAAATTTTTAATGCCGATTTATTAAATTTGTGAGAAAAATAATAATAAAATATAATTAATTAGTTTGTGAGCAAAAATATTTTACTATTATATATTATAATATATTATGCACATTTTAGTGTATAAATTAATTATTGCGATTATAAATTTAAAAAAAAATTGATATAAAAAATTTAAGAGTTAAATTTAATGGATAATAAATATTTAAAACCTTAAAATGTTGAGGATACATGGAAAAAAACAAAAGAGAGTAACCGAAAAAGGACACACTAAATATATTAATTTCAAGAAAAAATAATTGATCTAAACCCATAAATAAGGAAAAATAGTAAGTGTTTGTTTGTCCAATAACTCATTTTCTATTTTCACTCATTTTACCTCTTAAACACAAAACCCAATGATAAAAAAACATCATCCAAATAACTTGTAAAGTCTTCGTTTTGGTCATTGAACTATTGTAAAGTCTTCATTGCGTTTGGTTACTAAACTATTGTAAAGTGTTGCGTTTGGTCACTGAACTATTGTAAAATCTTGTGTTTGGTCGTTATACTATTGTAAAATCTTCATTTTGGTCGCTGAACTAGTTTAATTTCATAAACGGTCACTACACTATAATAATTTCTAAATAAAAAACTAAACTACCTTTTAAATCTCCTCTCAAATCCAAATAAAAAACTAAAACAAAACGTTGTCCGAACAAGCACTAAGTTTTCTTAAAATTATGATAATTTATTATTTGTTGACATTAAACTTCATAAAAGGTAAAATAAGTTTTAAAAATTATGCGAATGTTTATATAGTTTTCCGATTTTAATTGTTGATAATACTTAAGATAGTAAATTAGATTGATGCCAAATAGGAAATGTTTGCTTGATAAATTATTGTTCCACAATAACCAAAGTACTCGAGCCAAAATATCAAATTAGTGCAAGACATAACAAAACACCAAATACTACAAGTCATAACACTACACAAACGCTACTTGCGCTTCTTGTCCTTGTCCATTTGACCATCAGAGTTATCTTCACCGAGTCCGCAACTAGCAAGCTTTGTAGGCACCTTTATATTTCTTGCCTCCTTAGCCAAAGCTAGCTGTGTAAAAGGTAAATTATGACGTGGTCTTTTCTTCTTGCATGCTTGTTGACCCGCAAGCTCTGAACCCTGTATAAGAACCTCTATCAATTAATTATATATAAATTAACAACCTCCATGAATAAAATTAAAAAAAAAAACTAATTGATAAAATAATAAAATATTAATTTATCCGTATTATTGATTTATCGAATGAATAAAATGTATCTGAGCTCCAACTTGATATTGCTGAGTCTGATCTCTAGCCTGGTCCTCAAAACAATGTTGTCCCACGGCAAAATCAAACCCAGAACCCGAAAACAGGTGGCTCTGGAACTGAAACGCCTCCTGAGAAAGTTGACCCTGGTCTGACATACCAAAAGCAAGAAATTGATCACCAAAATCCAGCTGAGTCTGGTTCTGTGGCGACAAAGTAGAACGGTATGGCGTCTGATTTTCCTAAAAAATAGGATGGTATGGACTCTGGTGGGGCTGTGATGATGACCCACCCTAATCCTGAGTGTACCTAAGTCTGGACTGTCTCCCACCTCAATCTAGTCCATGAAAGAAATCACATTCACACTATGCGGTTTTGACCAAGTATGCTATCTTTATTAGCCTCACTTTTTCTTACTTTTCCCTTTTTTTTTGTCTACTTTTAAAATAAATAAAACTAAGTGATCAAACTATTATACAAGCACCAACAAATGTGCAACAACATTACACAAACAAGAGAAGGTTCATACTTTTTTAAATAACACAAACTACGACAAATGTTCAACAACTACATAATTACTTGATTTTTTATGTACCATCATTAGGCACACCCTTTATTCCAATTGGATCATAGTTATGATCAAGAGGAGTCCTGCCCCAAGGTGGATGAGAATTGGGGCATTTGTCAGCCTTATGACCTTCTTGTTGACATCAGCTACAAGTTGGTTCTCGACGACTTCCACGATTTGAATAATCTTGGACACCCTTCATTCTATTCACCCGCTTCCTACCTTTTCCAGAATGATGAACCAATCTTGTGTCATCCGGTATTAGCTTCCATGGTATAGCTGGGCCATGTTCCATGAACCGCGGCAAAGTCTCCAGAGAATTGGGCAATCCAACCTTCCCTCATGTGACAGGGATCTACTAAGGGAATGGGATCACGACCAAATGTGATAGAAATAGTAATAGCATGAGAGCATGGAAATCTTTATGTCTGCCACTTCAAACATGTGCATATACCTGCACCAAACTGAACTTCTTGGGTCTTGCGTCCCTTCCATGGCCTATTGTCATGTGGTCCTGTAACAACTTCGTACAGCTGGCTGTGTTTACTAAAAACGGTAACTTTGTGACGCATACCACACAACATCCATTTGTTATATTTAGCCATGTAGTGTGGGGTGAGTATAGTCTGACATTTCTCAATTTTTTCATAATTGTCATTAAACAGTTTGACTGTCTTCAACAATGAGGATTTAATCAGAGCTATGATTGGCAAGAGGCGAGCACCTTTCAAGGCGTTGTTGTAACTCTCCGAGGCATTCGTGGTCACTACAACCCAACGATTGCCACCATCTCCAAGTATGGTCCACTTATTTGCTCCGATACTATCAAGGCACTGTGCAGTTGCTGGACTTTTATTGGCCAGCTTCTCCCATGCCTTTACGCACTTTGTCGCGTTCAGTGTGAAGCCAACTCTCTGATAAAGGGATCTCAACTTCTGCCCAGGAAATTTCCCTGCAATGTTAGCCTTGATGTGCTCTAAGCAGAATCGGTGCATGCCCATATTAGGAAATTGTTCGAGCATCATGTCTATAGCAGAAAGGATACCCAAGTGCCGATTAGAGATAATGCATGTCTTCCTGTTTTGGATAACAAACTCCTTCAAACATTTCAGGAACCACTTCCAACTGGAAAAAATCTCCTCATCTACCAAGACAAATACTACAGGAACAATCTTATTATTTGCACTCTTGCACACCGCCATCATCAATTTTCCCTTGTATGCACCTTGGAGGTGGTTGCGTTGATTCTAACAACCGGCATAGAAGCATGAAAACAGATTATAGATGGCAAGAAAGCTCAAAAAAACATACCTCAATACCCTCTTATCTAAATCTTTAGTGTCTTTTGTGAACTTATACTTCACCTTAGTACTAGGATTGGTTGCGCACAGTGCAGACATAAAATCGGGCAAATCTCTGATATTATCTTCCCAGCTACCATAAATACTATCTAATGCTTTCCTCCTCCCATACCATATATTCTTGTAGCTTACATTCACATGGTACGCATCAAAGACATTTTCTTGAAGGAGCTTGACTTTGTAAGTTGGCTCTAACCGAACACTAGGTGCGACAAGTCGAGCAATCAGTGTCGACGTCACGTTTCGGTTGTCTTTCTTGTTGTTTTCCCTAGGACAAGTATGGGAATCCGACCATGTCACCACTTTCCATAAGTCTGTATCATCCTGCTTCGTCACCCGTACCCATCAATTGCATAGAATGCCGCCAAGGCGCTCTTGAGGATATTTTGGAAATGATGTCGTGCATTTTACACACCATCTTGAATTATCATATTTAAAAGTGATGAAAGTTCTACTTCAATCAGTAGACCATTTGGTCACAGCACCCTGTACATCATCCTTGTACAAGAAATGTACCCCACCCTCAATATGATCAATGACACCGTCCCACATCTTCTCAGCATAAGTATCATTCTCTCTTTTCAGCATAAGTATCATGCTCCGAGGATTGTCCCATCCATTTAGTGTCATTGCCATCTTCTTCATCATAGGATTCACTCGATAGGACGTGTTCGTCGTCACTACCAGCCTGTTCCCTACCTTCCTCTTCACCCCTTTCATCTTCAGTCTTAATTTTGACTATCAACAAAACTTGTACCTGCACCACTTGTACCTGCACCAGTAGCTTGTCCAGATGAACTTGCATGATCAACCCCACCAATTGGCGCAAAACAAACGTACAATTCAGGCCAATTCTGTGACACTAGGTATATCAACGGTATATCCTCGTTGTCATGAATATGTAGATACCCCCTTCTACCAGAATTATCGGTCTACACAAGAACAAAACTGATTGTCACCCTTCCATTATCAAAACCAGTAGCTCTACAGACCTTGTCCACGAGTTCAATGTAATTCAACTCGAGGTCAATAAATATTGTTTTGTCTGTCATTCTATTGTTCACAGTAAAAATTCCATTTACAATTTCAATACCGCTAGTCTAGTACACATACAGACCAAACAGACCAGAGAAAGATATTTTCGATACCTGTATAAATAATTTAAACCCCAAATTAAAATGTATCCAACAGTTAATATAGAAATATATAGCGACTATCTGATTTAAATGCTTTATTCAACTGTCTAATTTAATAAATTTCTTATCTCATCTTCACATCTATACATCTATCAAATCTATATTCTAATCCTTTCACAAAAAACAAATCTATATTCTTATTTCATTCCTATACCCAACATAACGTCTAGAATTAATTCAACTACATGTTCATCTTTAAAATACATACATTCAACCAATTCACCCATATCATACATCACAATTATATCATTCATCTCATAACTCTATAATAAAATATAAAGACAACAATCTATGTAATAGAGGGTGTAAATCTAAACATTATTCAGATGACAAAGAGTAGAAACATACCAAAACGATTCAAACACCAATCCTTCTTTCAAATTTTCGCATTGCTTTCGCCGGAATTTTGCATTTCCGATTAGAAGCTCTCGAAGCTGAAAATCATATAATTGAGAATGAAAGAAATGCCCGTTCGCGTTCTGCTTTGGCAGATATTTTTACCAAATTCCACATAAAAAGAATGCGATTTTGAAGTTTTTATTGTCAGCTTATCCGCCACGTGTCGTTACCGCAAGACCTGCTCAAGCATTCTGGATAAGACTTAAAACCGCATCGGAGAAATGCAGTTTTAATTTCCGCAAACAGAGTATGCGATTTTTTGATTTGAACATTCAAATTTTGCCGCCTTATGAAATTATTTTTTAAAAATTGTAAATGTCAATACCGCATTCAGGGTTGCAGATTTAATTTATTACTTTTTTATTCGACATCGAATGTCCTGCCAGTTTTGGAGCTTTTTTTTTAAAGAAAAAAAAAACAGCATTCCGTGAATGCGATTTTCTTAATTCATTTTATTAAGATTTCCGCAATATAGCATTACGAAAAGGGTATTTGCTTCTACAACTTAAAAACTTAGAACCATATAAGTCCACAAATGGTACTTTCAAGAGGATTAATCTCAAGTACCCAATTATCCCCGCCAAAAAGATCCCCAGTCTGTGAACTGAGCATCCCGATCTTAGTTCCCTTAAGCATGGGCTCTTTTTTGGGTATCTTGCACTTACAAGCTTAGGGCTTTGATGAATGCCCACATTTCTGTCTACTGGTGGAACATGGTTATGGCATTGAATATCTTTTTACCATCAACCCGCAGTTTTTTTTTGACATTTTTCCTCATAAAATCCAATGCATCTTTTATTATCAGGACTTGAACTTGCACTCAAAATTCAGCCATCGAGTTACTATAACTACTTTGCAAAGACTTTCCTGTAGCTGAAAATAATGGCATTGTGTATGTGGCCGAGCTGTTGCCTTTGGTTTGAGGAGGATTTCCTCTAGCTGAGCTAATAAATTAGCTTTTCGTTTTGGCTACTCTGTCAACAGTTTCAATTTAACAAATTTATCCACCCTCTAGTCTATTTGTCTTTCCCAACACCTCAAGTACTCCATGATAATTTTGGCTTTGAGGGATGGAAGACCTATGTTACCCAGACTCGGATACAAGAGCCAGGTGCGACACGGAATCTAAGTGTCCGATTCATAAATTTTGAAAAATCAGGATACGTGAGTACAGATTTGGATACGGATACGGGTACGGAGATACTTCTAGCAACTAATTCGATATATGTATATATACATATTATGATGGTTTAAGTGAATCTTTTAGCTTTTTTTTTCTTTTTATAAAATTATAGCATTATTTCTATTTTTAACTCCCATTATTTTCAAAACTAATATATACTTAAAAATAGTAAAATTAGACCAAATATTTGTTTTTTTTTAATAATTATTTTTGTGACCAAAGTTGGATAAAAATATAATCTGTGTATTTGGGCTACGAAATTAAGGCTAATTTGTATTTATAGTTATATATATTTGAATCAGCATGACCCAGAATTTTTCAATTAATCCAGACCTCCAGGCCTAGTTTAATTTCTTAATAAAACATAAGCCCAATAAGGGCATCTTCTTCCTCAAGCGCCGCCGCTCTCTAGAAGGAACAGATCGCCGAAACCTCCGCCACACAAAGTCAACGCACCCAAATAATGCGGACCGGGTAACACGGGTACTACGGCATAACTAGCCGAGTCCGGGTAACAGAGTGGGAGACAGTTTAATGTTGATGTATTCAACCTGAGGCTAACTGGTATGCTTTCATAGAGTATCCTCATTAGTTCTCTTGCTTAATTCCTCTTTTTTTGGCTTTGCAAGAGATGAGAGGATTGCATGGAAAAAAACAAGTGTGAAATGGTTGGGCCAAGCTTTGCAACGCTAAGCTCAAATATAGTTTCTTTTGACGAAAAGTTTGGTTCAGCAGGTAAGTTTAACCTCCCATATAAACTACCAAAAAATACAGGGAGATAAAGGATCTTCCGGTCTAATCTTGCTAACAGGAATGAAAAATAGTCTACTTGGTTGTACTGTTGAACTATTTTTTTTGAACGGAGAGCGTGTATAATGGGTGGTAATGATGTATACTGGTACAAGGGTTCGATTTTATGGAGTGAGAGTTATAAAAATCCGTGGAAAAAGGTTTTTGACATTGTGCAAGACATCCTTTTCGAAGATATCGCAATAACTTTGGAAAAGGATGAACATACTGTGTTCCAGAACCTCTCCAGGATGCATGGAAAATAATGCAAGTTTCACTGTATCTACCGCTGGCCTGGCCATCTTTGAATTCATCTATAAAGTAGAGCTACTGCTCGAGGGATTACAGCCAATTTCTCATTACCATCATCACATATAACCTAAGCAAGTGAACAGAACAATGTAGAAATCTATGACCTGGCTATGTAACATTGACACACCTAGTTCTATCTGTTTTTTAAAATTGTTGTTGTTTCTGTTCTATTTTGTCTTCCATACCAAGTACGTATCTTCCCTCTATGCTGATAATTAAGAATCTGCTAGTTAATTCCAGATTCGAATGTTCTTCATATCAATGCTAGTCATCTTTCAGAGCAAATTATCAATATTTTCCCAAATCCACCCGCCCCCCTCCCCAACTTTTGGCACATAGAATGCTATTCAGAACTACTACCGTCATTTCTTCATAGCTGAGACTGGGAAAAGCAGGTCCCTACGCACCGCCCCGAGATTAATGGTTTTATTTTATCATCCAAGATGATCAAATTAATATAATTTCACGGAGCTATCAAGAGAATAATAATGCTAACTAGTCCACACTCCAGACTCGCACATACACACACAAGGCAAGCCGATCCAGCCGCCATGCCCAAAGGTTCAACAATAACCAGGTTCTCAAATCTCACTTTTTCCTAAGAATTTTTACCATTTCTTTTACTTTTATTCCCACCACCACCACCACCACAACAACAACAAAGAAAGAAAAACAAAATTGAGGGAGTGAGTGTAGACGGTAGAGTCTAATTTACCTCCGGAGCTGGGAAATAATGAGGTCCCTGCAAGTCGGAAATCCCCTCCACCGTTTGAGTTTGTTTCCGATGAAATGATTCTCGTTAAATCAGCTGAAATTCCCACCCTTTTGCATTTTGTTGGTTGCTTTGAGCTCCGCCGTGGTTACCTCGCTGAGACGCTGACCAGTAGGCTGTTTTGACATGTTTGCCCCTGTAGAATAAGCAAGCATAGAGGAAGGTTGATATTGGGCTTTTTCAGTGTAGAGTTGTGTTTTTGGGCTCTCATCTCCCCAATTTGTTTACCCAAATTGGTTTCTGGACTAAACCTTTATAAACACCACCGCCCACAATCCATTACCCGCCCAAGTGAAAACGACTATTTACTCTTTCTCTACTTTCTTCTTCTTCTACAGTAAAATCTCTTCTTCTCCGGTGGTGCTCTCAACCGTCTCCGTCCGGTAGCTACTCCCAAAATTCATCTTGCCAAATCACAATGGAGCGTTCTTCATCTCCACCAGCATCAAAAGCTCCCATCTTTTAACACTTCTGTTTGCCCACCGTCACCAATTGTATCTGCTGCTACCCACTCCGCCGCCATTCCATCTTCGTCGGAGTTTCAAGAAATGCCGCCCATGAATGCATCGCCATCTCCACTTCTTGGCACATCTTCGAATCAAGAACACATCTTTTTTGGGGGTTTCGAGAGCAACATTCCAATTTCACACGGCGGCTCTGTCTCCGTGGTTCCTTCTTCGTCGGCTTCTTCTCATCATATGGAAGCCAGGGTGCGTCCGGCTATGAATGTAACAGAAGCAGCATCATCATCATCAGAACTTCCGGCACCATATCCGAACCAACAACGTAACGAATTGGAACCATTTTTTCCTAATCAAGAACCCATCTTTTATGGGAGTATCGAGAGCAACATCAGGAACCCATCTTCTTCCTCAGCTTCTTCTCAAGAATCCACCACGGTGCCAGCCATGAATGTAACTCAATCAACGTCATCAGCCTTTCCGCCATCATATTCTAACCAACGAACCCAATTTGGCCCTATTGCATCAACCCACGGCTCTAGAATTCAATCCTTCCCCCAGTTGCAAGAAGCCGTCAGGGGTCCTCCGATCGTTGGCTATGCATTCCGAATTGTGCGTCGTACACCTGGTTTTTATGGCTATTCTTCACCTTATTATCACATGCCAATGCCGATTACTGGGCCTGTGTATATGGATTCCCCTGGTGAATTCATTTCTCTGATTGATGAGGCTATGTCTGAGGATGGCTCAAATACGATTCGCAATTACATCCAGAGTATTATTCACTCTGACGATCATGTGCAGTGCCAGTTCACTTCCTCACTCGCCCAAGATCTTCAGGGTGCTCTGAATTTGATGACCCACGAAATTGGATCCTGGGTTATCAATGATTGCTTCACATTCTTGCGCCCCGAAGCTACACAAATTCTGTACGACATTGTTTTTGACAATGTCCACTCACTGGCAGTTGATCCTAAAGGTTCCATTGTAGTAAATCATTGCATCGAGTTTTCTGATGGACACAGGAGAGAACAACTCTTAAACAGAGTTCCAGACTCTCAAATCTGCATTGCTGGAGCTCTCATCTGGTGCCCAATCGAAGGTGATCCGTGAATCAGGGCAATGAGTTTGGATGGTTCTGCATAGAGAATTGAAGCTGGTTTAGTCCTGCATAGGAAGGGAAAGATTTTGAGTGTAGATTTCTATAGATAGTTGTCTGAGATACACGAGTTTTTGTGAGTATTTTGGTTGAGGGAATTTTGATGTTTTCTGAAATTTGTACTCGATAGTACTTGTGAATGATTAGGGTGTGCTTTTGAGATGTTATTGTTCCAATGGAAGAATGAAAACGGGAAATGTTACTGATGTTGTTCATCAATTGGAGCATTTGATTGTGTGTTTATCTGTGATTACATGATCTAGTATTAGTATAGTATCCTAGTAAATGTTGCATAACTCCCTCATTTGGGGAACCAAAAGATTTCTCAGTTTAAACCCTCAAGTTGAAGAGTATCCAGTTGCAAAATTATATGCTTTGGAAGATTGGCTTCAGCTTCTGGGGGTTACCAATTGATCACTCGTGATGAATTATACTCCCTCCGTCCCAAAATTATTGTCCAGTTTAGATACAAGATTTTATTTTTTGGTCAAACTTAACCAAATTTTGTCATAAGTTTCCACATATGCCCCAGCATCCTTAATTAGTTCTGCCAGCCAAAGAATACTTTACTCTTTTCTTTTCTTTTTTTTGCTTTTTACTTCAGTTTCCAAATTGAAAAACCAAATACAAATGCAAGAACACCTTGAATCATTACTCAGTCAGGCACCTATAATTGAAACAAATTTCTAAATGAACTTCGAATTGATGTTTATATGAATACAGTTCTTTAACTTCACAGGAACTTCCTCTCCGACATGGATCGAATAGAGTCCAACCTTTAAGCTGGTTTGTGCCAATCAAACCAAAATTTTCAGACGAATTGATCAACTACGATGATCCATATGAATTGGAGTAAGATGCTTCAAATGCATCGAAATGGTAATCTGTAGCTCAGATCCAATCGACACCGCCACCAACGCCGCCCACCACTTGAGGCGGCTGGCGGCTGAACGATGAATAAGGAGAAGAATTTGCACGCCTCGTTGCCGAGGGGAGCGATTGAGAAGTTGAAAGAGTTTCCAGAACGGGAGAAACATTGTAAAAGGGCCCGGTAAGTCGTTGATGAGAGAAAGATCCAGTGGGTTTACGAGATTTGGGAAACGATGGACGTGAATATAGCATTGTTTCTGCTTCTGGGAGAAAAATAGTTCCAGTGCAGTTGTTATTTGATTTTGACTAAAGGTTAAAAGTGTAACTTAACCCTTAAAAAGTCAAATTGGACAATAATTTTGGGATAAAATTTTTTTAGTAAACAGAACAATAATTTTGAGACGGAAGGAGTACCTATTTTTCATGTTTTGCAAGTATAAAATAAAGTACTGTATGGTCTGGTTTTAGTCTGCATTGGTTTGGTTTTAGTCTGCATTGCATAACTTAAGCAAGGTATCAATGACTAGTTGATTGAGGAGGTGCCTGGTTCAAACAGGGAATGATAGTTTGGAATAGGAATCATAGATTTTGACTGGGATTCATAGAATAAAGGATTATAATTAGTAACAAACTTAATTTCAGATTATTAGTTTTGATGTAAACATAAATTGGTATTAAGCCAAAATTCCAATATTATCCTCAGCCACATCACCAAATTGATGTCCTCTCTTTCCTCGATAACCACCCACCCTACTCCCTAGCCGCCTCTGACTCCCCCATGACCACCACCCGCCCCTAAATGAAGAAACTCTCCAATTTGAATCCCAAATTCAGGTTATATTCCAATTTATTAGGAGTCCAGTCGAAAAAAAAGAATGGAACAAATTCAAAGAACGACCAACACAAAATGGCCGACCACCACCACTTTGGTCACCGTTGAAAAGTTAAACTATGAAGGCCGACTAAGTAATTGCAAGGAAGGAGATAAAATTGGAAAAGAGGGTGGATGTATAGAAGTCAGAGCCCGGCGACATGAGCTTCCATGAATTCTTTGGTCTCAAAGTTCTTTTGTGGCTGAATATTACTGGCATCAATCTGTGGTGATCTTCTGATTCGAACAACAATTTTCCGATTTCTGAATCTGTTGGATATCAAGAATTTATGGTTGTGGCAGCAATACTTAAAAGAAAGAAAAAAAAGAAAACTCAATTGTTGGTGGTGACAGACAGCCGAATTCTATGTATGTGATTTTGTTGGTGGAGAAGATGATTTTGTAGAAGAATAAAAAAGAAGGAGAATGTGTATTGATGGTTGAGGTGACGATTTTGCAGAAGAAGGAAAGAGAAAGGAATGATGATTCTGCAAAAGCTGAAGATGTGAGAAGGAAGAGTAGAAGAGGAAATTATTTTTGGTTCAAGTAGAGAGAGTCATACCCCTCAAGTTAATTAGGAATGAAAAGGGATCTCATTATTGAGTTTGAAAGTCATTTTAGTGGGGTCATATTTCTAACCAAGCAGCAATATTAGGAATGAAAGGCATAGAAATGAATTGATACCCTCAAACCAAACACCTCCTGAACTTTTAAGTTTTAACCGGGGTTGACAAGTTATTTTATTGACGAACAAATACATGGATCACTAAGAATAGAGATAGGAATTCTGATGGGTTGATCAGGTTTGTCAAGTCAGTTAGCTAAATAGTTCTTCAATCCTCGTCCCTAACTTGTTGTACACTTGTACTTGTTCATCAAGTAGTTCGTTTTTTTAATCAAAACCGAATTAAAACCAAAGTTTGATCGAGCTACTCAGCATGAAATTTGAATATTTATACTTGTCCCTTTAAATGTAACTATGTATTAAGAAATGTGTTGGGAGTAGTATCTTAATTCCTTTTTTTTTTTTTTTTGAAAACGTTAATTTATTTGTTGATTACTTCAAATATTATGCATTTGGTTGCTTTTTTTAGTAGATTACACATTCAGCGTATAAAGATCATAATTCCTATTTGAATTGTATAGATTCTTTTGGGAGACAAAAAAAAAAAAAACGATATGCTTATTTTCAAGGATGAACCAAGAAAACAACAAACCTAATACAAGTAAGTCGAGAAAAATATTTCCAAAAAATATGTTAAAAGTCCATTTTTTATCACTCATCATACCTGGCCAAAAAATATTTGTAATCAATTAGCCAATAAGAAAAGTACTCTGCTTATGCTTATTTGTAGATAATCAATTAATCACCACATATATCTCAGCTTTCCAAGTCCAGAATGCGTATTCTGTTATCAGAACACACAAATCTCGGCGCATGAAACACAGGCAAACTCGTCACAACTGGAAATATCAATTCTCTAATCCTCCTCTGCTCCTCCAATTTCGTTTCAATTAACACTCGAAAGTCGAAGCGACCCATCCTTAGATATCGAAGATCAAATGGATATATTTGTTGGAATTCACTTCACAGTTTTCTAATAAATTAATGTAAGGAATAAAACACCATTATCTCTAACTGCGTTCTTTATTCCACTGATCATTGACCTTATCGATTGACATATCTACCTTAAGTCGATTGTGTTTAAGACAATTTATTTTCAGCGAATGTTAGAAAGCTTGATGTTAGAATAAAACCAATAAAGCTTAAAATCTTGAACAATTTACACATCAATAATGCTTTTGAAGGGAAATGGGATGCCTAAAACTACCAACAAAGTTGCTTTTACTGCCCAGAAAAGATGAAAATGATGATGGTCTTGAAGGCTTCTTGGCTATGGTGGCTTTCGGACCATATTTCCGACCATCAAAACCAGCATAACTCTTACATGACTTCATCCTCTGACTGTAAGGTCCAATTTTCTTTGCAAGATCTTCAAGGCTCGCCGCGTTAGCCAAAGATGTAAATGATTGAGACTTCCCTTGATAATGTTTGGAAAGACCCCTCCTGAGATAACATACAGAAACAAGATTAAGCATTTCATTCGAATCAGACTGAAAGATTTTTCCTCTGCAATAAACAGAGGAAAAGGTGGGATTTTTCAATTTTTTCATGATAAAAATGCTTACTTGATGGGGAGTTGGTTCATCAGATCTGAAAGTTCGTACAACGGCCCATATTCAGACGCCGGAGATGTTGACGACGTCGGTGAAGATGATGCATCTTCTTCCAACTCCGATGAAGAACTCGACTCTGCAGAGTTTTCGCCGGAGTCTTCACCTATGGAGGATTCCATGGATTCCGTTTCCGACCCATTATTTTGAGCTTCCATAATCACCCATTGGACATGTAATGGATCACATAGCCCACCATTTTTCTTCAACCCTTTAATATCTCGATCAAAAATCTGTTCTTGGGGATCCATTTTGCAGAGTATATCTTCTATATCCCTCTGAAATCTTGAATGAATTGGTGGTGAGAAAAGAAAAGCCAAATGCTTCAGCTTCAGTAATGATATTGATAATATAAGTCGATGATGATGACTGCAGGAATTGTAGGTGGATGAACCTCTGTATTTATATGTATTGAGTTTCTTCCCCACTCTGATATTTTTTCTGATTTGTTTAATGAGTCAGAGAATGGATCTTTATACAGTAAAGTTTGTTTATTGTTTGAGGATAAGTAATGAGTTGTTAAATGAAGCATTAATTAATTAATTAATTGTATGACAGTTTCACAATTACACATGGTATACGTTTCTTTACGTTGTTTTTTTTTTTTGGGGTAATTAGTACTATCATTAGTTGTGTTAATTTGTGTTTAATCCGTTTGGGTTTGGGAGGGTTTTGTGGTTATCAGTCATTATCATATGGGTTTGAAAACACTTGGCTTGGCTTTGCTTTCCCATTCTACAAGAAAAGAGGATAAGATTTTATGGCTTAGTGTTTCAAAGACATCCATATCCTAGTCACCAATGACTTTCAAACATTCATGTTTGGGAAACCAATCGCACATTTTTGGCATCTTTCTGCACTTTTTGCCCCTCTAAAGTTATGACATCAATTTTAGAACTTCTTATCCATTTTTTCATCTTTTCAACTTTTTCGACACTTCTTGATCAAGTAGGCGCATACAATGTAAATTGTAAAACAATAAAAGATAGTAACTCCAAAAAGGATAAGAAGCTCTAAATTGGATGTTAATCTCATTTCTCTCTTAGAATTAGAAGAAAGAATTTACTTTTATTTTTTTCTTCAATTAGTCCCGATACTGGCAGCTCATTTGATTTGGTAGCTTTTCAAAATGCCTAACTAATATCCTCTTTCCATTCCAAAATAAGTACCGTCCTACACTTTGCACAAAGTTTAAGAAACTCATAAATATGGTAATAAAATTACTTGAATATCCACCAATAGCATCAACTCTTTTGAGGGTAATTTTAGACATTTTTGACAAAAAGTGCGTTGAAATGTGAGAACTTAAAACGACACATATTTTGGAATGGAATGAGTACTACTCATTAATAGATTGTTTAATTTATAATTGGTCATTAACGAATGAGTGAAACATCCGCTACTATCTTTAACAAGGGTATATTCATATTATTGTGATCACCAAAGTATCAATCGGTGAAAATGACAAAAGTTAATCTTTTTAGTAGGACTGACTGACCAACATACCATTTACGAAAAGTTAATCCCAATGTTAAATCGATTTGTTGTTACTAATGAAGTTGATGTTGAGAAGGTCAACGGAGAAGTGATAAGCGCCATTCGTTATGTGTTTGTGGGAGTATATGATCCACTATCATCGTCATAACCTCCAAAGCACATGTAGTAATCCTATTACTCGTCTAGTCAGCTTGACCAATTGTGACCATTAGTTATTCCAATGCCAGGCAGAAATGAGGGTCAACAAAAACCACACAAAACAAAGTTTTAAAAAATGACTGTTTCCAAACTACAATCAATCTTCTAGTAGAGTCACATCAAATCAAAATGTCCCATTTTAGGAAGAAGGATTTATTTTATTAAAGTTGGTACTAGAAATAAATCCAACAAGGTTCAGATGAAGCAATGACAAGGTTGGAGGAGGCAAAACTCGGCATCTGAACCGATTATAATATGGTACTAATAAATATACATAAAATTAGTTATTAATTATTTAATTTGGAGAAACGAATAAGATAGGGAAGCTGACTGTATTGCTAGTCATGCCAGATTTTACATGTGATTGGAGGAGGCATTTCCATCTACCAAACCACACGTGTCACCATTCTGTGATGTTGGTGTAGCTTACCTATATCATTTCTTTTTCCTGTGGGTACGTTATACGTAGCCCCTAGATCCTTCCTTTCTATGCGTATGTGGCTGATGCTATGGGCCATATAGTAAATAACAGGATTTTTAAATCCTTTAAAAATAATTTTCTCTTTACTAGTATTTTTCAATTTTCGAATTTGAGGACGGGGGTACGAAACCGCGTAAAACTTGCAGAAACAGGATCAGTCAAGACAATGGTGATCTAATTGTATCATTAATCCTTAACAAGCATCAGAATTTATAACCCAATTTTAGCACATCCGACTTATAGTTTTATACTCAATGATCGTCGGAACCTGGTAGAGTTATCCGAGCTTTCGTCGAGATGATATACCGCAGATGAATTGTAAAAGGCGGAGCACAATTGAGTATGTAGCTACCAGCGATAATCATCTTGCCAGATTTAAAGGTGGTTCTTCCAAGCTAGCTACCAGGATGCCAAGATTGATGTCCTTGTCTTCAAATTTCTGAATGAATGGATGATTCTGATAACACAGACATCAAGCATTCACTCAATTGAGAAGTCTGAAAATAAATGGCAAAAAGTAAACCAAAAATATCGAGAATCAGTTCTTACCAAAAGTTCCTGTGCTGTAGATCTTTTAGCCGGATCCCTTTGAATGCTGCACCATCCAAACCAACAGATAAAGACATAGCATTAATGCCAGAAACACAAACATATAGAATCAGATGGTTTAATGAAGTCAATGATGATTGAGAAAATTTGACACAATCAATAAGAAAATGCACCACACTGGCAAATGCTGACGGCAGAAGTACAATAGCAGGGGGCTGAATTAGTTTTACATATATTCAAGATGAAGGCATCTTCTTATGTCTTACCAGGCAGAGACAAATGAACAAAACTCAGGAGAGAACTGATCTGGGGGAGCAGATGGTGGAGGGCCTGTCACGATTGCTTCCAGAAGCTCATAAAAGCTTGGCCAATTCTGTTGATCTTCACATTGGATGTAAGGGAAACGTCCAATAGCACATTCAAGAATCACCATGCCTAGACTCCAGATATCACTTTTATAATCATAGGAACCGCCACTGATTCTTTCAGGCTAGACATATATTAAGGAAGAAACAACTCAATGAAGTCAGTTTTCATACTGAAGACACATCTATGGAACTTTACAGAATTACAATATAGTTGTATGCACAGAAGGAAAAGGGCAAACACAAGCTAATACAGAAGGGGAAAAGAAAAACCATAAGAATGATTGATCATAACTTCACTCACAGCCATGTAATTGTAGGTTCCAACAAATGTATCTCTTTGACCCATGGAGGTTGCAAGCATTGCACTAACACCAAAATCTGTAATTTTTACATCCCCTTTTTGGTTCACAAGCAGGTTGGATGGCTTTAGATCTCTGTGAATTACGTGTCCCTCGTTGTGCAAGTATACCAGACCTTGTAGAACCTGAATTTGCCAAAAAAATAAATAATAAAAAAATTAGATACCCATCTTGCTTCAATGAGTCAGTGTAAGTTGTTTAACTAAAAAGAGAAGACCAACCTGCTTACACAGAACTGCTAGGTATGGTTCAAGAAGTGTGTTGACTTGTTTGAGAACATCAGCCAAAGAACCACGGTCCATGTATTCAAGAACCAATGAAATGGCACCATTGTGGTAGAAAGAATGGTAACAAACCACAATGTGTGGACATAATGATGCTTGATTAATTTTCAGCTCCTGCACTATTTGCTTGCGTATATCTTCTTGTATGTTCATCTGGATTACCTGTTTCCAATATGCTCTTAAAGTTCGAAAATCCTTAGAGTAAGCCAACACAAGGAGGTGATAATGGATAAGGCGGCAAAAAGGAAAACTTGTATGGCAAAATCGCATAGAAGTCAGGGATATGAAGCTCAGAGAGACCTTGAGCAAATATTTCAAAACTACATAGCCCTATCTGACACGTCAGTTTCTCAAGCAAGACTAGGTAATGCAGCTGCTCTATGTATCAGCAAGAAACAGACTAAAATTTGACATTTCAATTAAGTAATTGCAAAGATATCCATTCTTCAATGCACCACCAGTTAAAAGCTGGTGGGTGACATACGCTAATTGCATTCTGGTCATGCTGGAGATGTAAGATGGCAATGTAATCTCATGCGACATGCATACACAAAATAACAGGGAAATAAAAGTAGTAACTTTGTGCCAACCTTCAATGCAAAAAGTGTGCCAACCCATTTGTGACGGGCAAGTTGAACCACCCCGCCACTTCCCTTTCCAATGACCTTGACCGTCTCAAGATCTTCCAATGAAAATTGGTCAATTTCCTTCAATTCAGATAACTGTTCATAGAAAAATCAATCTGTCACTCTTGGAAGCTTACTTCACCTTTTACAGAATTCCATAAGACCCTTCCCATCTATTGTTAACAACGTTTAATTATACCAAAGGTATTCTATATATCCGGACACAGTTGTTGCATATTCTGCTTAATTCATGCTTGCCCTGATTATCAAAAAGTTACGTGTGGAATTGCATGCAGGTTTTAGATGATACTCCAGGACAGCATTTCTGATCCTCTTTTTGGAAATATATGTGTTATGATGAAATTAAAACATAAGCAATCAAATTAGCCACCAAAAAGTTCTTCGTAAGCGCCATTCAGCTGGCTGGTTATACTAACAAGATCCAACACAATGATAGCCACGAGTTGCATATAGTTGGATCCAAAGTCCCCTTTTCTGCATCTCTTACACACTGAAACATTTTGTCAAACACTTAAGATGGTCTTTTTACCCCAAGCCTTATTCCAATTAGTCCACCACCTAATGTCTTCCAGAGTTCTACTTTAATAATTTGGTTTCCTAAACGCCTCTGATTAATATATTACTGATGTAGTCTACATTAATCTCTCCTTAAGATGATTCAGCCACTGCATGATAAATGCTTACTTCCGCAAATCATAACAAAAGTAACATCAAGCTTAAAACAATTTAATTATGACAAACCATAACTAATCCATTTCCCTCTTTTACAAGGCCACCATATGAGAGACTTTTTGCTTCCAAGATCAATAAGAATCCCCGATTTATATCATTGAAGAAACTTTTTCCCCAAAACAGAAACAAAAATTAAAATGAAATTACCGGAGGATCATTTTCTTCAGAAATGAGCCGCAATCCTTTCGTATTCAAGAGTAAATCACCATCGTGAAATGTTCCGCTAGCAGTCCTGCAACCAAAAAAAAAACACTTTCGCACTTGAATCCGCCACAAACAACGTTCATTACTTGCAAATTAAAAAAAAAAATTGAAATTAAAAATCATACAGAAAGCTGGAGACGGAGGTCTCTTGAGGCGGAACAGAAAGCTTGAGCTCCTTGAGTGGCTTCTTGAGCTTCATGATTAATTAGATTGCTGATTCGTTCGGCTTCGTCAATTTGAAATTTTGAAGCTGTGTGTGAAAGTTAGGGCGTACTGTATTTTATTTTTGGGGAACGGGGGGGTAAATCGGATTCGGACAAAAGTAACCGCCGACTTATTAGTGCGTTCAAATCTGCGTGAGCGCGAAAGATAACAAAATTATTACATTTTTGGTACTCATATTACCTCCTCGGAGTTTTACGGAAATTATCAATTAAACTCTAAGGTCTCTCGTATTAGCAATACTCCCCTGTCTTTTTTAAAAACTATAAAAATTGATGTACTTACAATTAAAATGAGCCAACCGACTTGGATTCTTGGTTTTTTTTTATATATTTTACAACAATTTGTGTTGGAAATGCATTTTTTGTCGTGGACAAAATAGTTGAACAACTAAATTTGGAATATCTGGTTTTGGTATGTTGGTATTTTTCGTTACCTCGTCACAAATTGAGATTATATACGTACAATAATTATAGTTTATATAGCAACGTGGATCCAAATCATGTTCGGATAATTATGCGAAAGAGAGCAATTTGATATTCTTTTTTTTTTTTGTCTGAAACGATAATCATTTTCATTAAAAAGAAAACTCAAAAATTGGTAAAAAAAATTTACAATCGATCTAAGTCAACCTTGAACAATCAGCTAAAAAGGCCTCCCCTAACCACAACGGAAATGGATTATCCCAGCATTGTGTATAAGAATGAGTGAGACCTTGCTAACCTAATATTAGATCTATTCCATTTTTGGATTATTTTGTTCATGGAAAAGGAAGTAGTATATTTTGCAATTTGTGATTTGTATTTTTTAAAAATAAAATGCACTAATTACAATGTAAACTTTTTATTTTTCAGACCATTACTTACTACTACATCATCTATATTGAGAAAAAAATTATAATATATAGTAAATAATATACGATGTGAGGATATAAATAAGATTCAATTAGTAGTACTCGCCAACAAGAGAGTAAGACCATCCCCAAGGGCACGCACCAAATCAGTACAAAGTGCAAGCCCAAGGGGGAACTATTCATGTCACCAAACACTTGCATATGAACAGTAGAGCCCCAATTTGGTGACTTGGTGCGTTACTGTTCATGAGCACTAAATTGGTGCTTGAATTTTTTATTATTTTTTACTTTTATTTAATTTATGTAATTTATAAAATAATCCCTTTAAATTAACTAATTTAAAATTTATGACTATTATATATTATCATAAACTTACGAAATTTTTATAAATATAAATTTGATGAATTTTAATTGATCTCATATATATGACTTAATATTTAATTTATAAAATTACAGAAAATGTGGGCAAGGAGTGGTCATCATGGAAATTAATGTACTCCCTCCGGTCCTTATTATAAGCATTTTGATTTCGTCTTAGGTCAACCTAAGATATCTTTTTAATTGGAAAAAAAACTTAAAAAAATATTTTCATATTCGTTGTATTCTCTTAATTATTATGAAATATTTTAAAGATTTTTATTCCAATTAAAGAAACATCTTAGGTGAAACCTAAGACGAAATCAAAATGCCTTATAATAAGGAGCGGAGGGGGTATTATATATTTATTTTGAATTAATTTTTTTTAGTTTGTTTTTTTAATTTATAATGTTATTACAAGTTCATATGTTTTCATTTATATAAGAAAATGTTATTTTAATTATTAGTTTGATGAAATATGATTTGTCAAATTTAATTTATTTTAATTTTTTTTTTTAATGTCGATACAAATATTTTGGCTACATTCGAAATATGAACAAAAATGAGTTATCTTTTGTTATTTAATAAACTTAATAAAACAAGGAAGGAGTAAGGAGAATTGGTGATTTGGGTATGGAATTTGTGCTGATGGTTGGGCTTCAAAATACTATAATAGTCACCAAATCACTAAATTGATGATTTGGTCATTTGGTGTGCACCAAATCAACCGAAGTTGTTTGGGTTTTGGTATCTAGATGTTTGTAACTATTTCAAAAAAAATAAATAGTCCACTGTTCTTCACTTGTTCAAATTAAAATCACAATAGAGGGGACTAATTATTTTAGGAAGGTGCACTAAATATGGAATCTTAAGACCAAAAAAAAAAAACAGAAAAGAAACTTTTGTACAACATTTTTCTCAAGAAGAATCGGGGTTATAAAGAGAGAGAGGCCCAAGTGGGGACTGGGAATTGTTGCAAATAGAGCAGCAGACATCCCAATATGCCAAGATACTTGTTTAACATTGGTCTTTGATGTCTTTGAAAGCCGCGGAATCGAGGCATATTTTCAAAACTCCATTTCATAGTTCCTTCTGAAGTCCGGCCACAAATTTTTATAATTTTAATGAAGAAAATATTTGACGACACTCCCCTGACACTACTGCACAAGAGAAACAGAGTATAGTCTTTTCTTTCTCTGTTCTTTCTTCCCAGCTTTGTCACTCACCTCTCACCTCTTTCCCTGCGAAATTGTACATTCATAGACGTTGGGATGCTAAAGTGAACGTTTGATTTTCAGAACCCCAACGTAATAATCACTTACCCATAAAAGGGCTCTTCCTCAAATTCAAAATTGAAATCCTAAACCCAGTTTGAGAAGGCATTGTTACAATGGCGAGGTCCTTCCAGCTTGCATTTGCTGCTTGTTTGATGCTACTTCTGCTTGGTATGTGCTACTGATTTCTTTATTTCTCAGTGTTTTTTTTTTTTTGATTCATTAGAGAATGCTAAGCAATAAGATTAGCGACCCCTTAATCATGCTTTGTTCCGTGTTGTGAATGGTTACTGTTTAATGCTTTGAGCACCGACATTTCGACAGTTCTTTCTAGAGTCATTTGGATAATGTTTATGTTTCCTTTTGTTATCTTTTCTCCTTCTCCAATCAAAGTTCACTAGCTAAGAGATTCAATTGCAGCTTCTGATGCTTTAGCTAAAGCTCTGTGTTTTCTTCTTTCTTTTCCCCCCATTTTGCTTTCGCTGGGAACTTTTGACTAACGCGGAACTTCGCTTTTAGTTGTTATTTTCAGAGTTGTGATTGCATAAATGATTAGCCTTTGTGTGGATAATACTCTAAGCTCTTTATTCGGTTATAGTTCTACTACATTTTTGGTGTTCTACCGCTGACTGCTATCTTCGTAATAATCATTCTTTAATTGAAATTGAGAGATGCAATGGGGGTGATTAAGTTAGCAGACACGTGAATATGTTCATCAGTGTTAGGAATATAAGTTATAAATTGTTGGCAGATTCTTTGGATTCCGTAAATAAATCATGCTCCATCTCTCGCCTTTACTGTTTTTTGTCTGTTGGGTGGTATTGTTGGTTGGATTACTTTAATTCTATTGGCTTTATGCGAAGATTTTGGAAAGGACTAATATGCTCGGATTTTATTTTAGACTAGCTTAATGCAAATGCAAAAAATTAAGATTGATGTATGTCGGTATGTGTGCCAGAGTTGCATGGCAGGTGTATTTTAATCCTATTCTGCAGCTTACAAGGAATTAAGGCCTACTAGATGCTTGTTACTCTTTGATCCTTCATTACCATCATTAGGCTAATACTTTTTGCCTTGTCTTTTACAAAGTGACTAAACAAATTAGCTCCTGAATAACCAGCAATCGATACTTTAATTTTCTGCAATGATTTGTTTCACATGAAATTACAAGATCAGGATTAGTGTCAGCTGTTAATTTTCTCTTCTTATTTACTTAATGCAAAATCTTGTGACAGGAATGTCCGAGGGGAGCACGGTTGGAGTTTGCTATGGAAGAAATGCTGATGATCTCCCCCCTCCTGATAAAGCTGTTGAGTTGATTAAGCAGCATGACATTAAATATGTGAGGATTTATGACTCTAACATCCAGGTTTTGAAGGCCTTTGCAAACACTGGAATTGAGCTAATGATTGGGATTCCGAATCTAGACTTGTTACCTTTCTCTCAGTTCCAGTCAAATGCTGATACCTGGTTAAAGAACAACATTCTTCCCTACTATCCGGCCACAAAGATCACATACATAACTGTTGGTGCTGAATCCACTGAGATGCCCAACAATGTGACAGCCATGGTAGTACCGGCTATGCAAAACGTTTTCACTGCTCTCAGGAAAGCTGGTCTTCATAAGAAAATAAAGGTTTCCACTACTCATTCTTTGGGTGTTATGTCCCGCTCGTATCCACCTTCTGCTGGGGCGTTCAACAGCAGCTTTGCATTCTTTTTGAGACCCTTGTTGGAATTTCTCGCTGAGAATCAATCACCCTTCATGGTGGATATATATCCTTACTATGCCTATAGGGATTCCTCCAGCAATGTTTCTCTGGACTATGCTTTGTTTGAATCATCCTCTGAAGTAATCGACCCAAATACGGGGTTGCTTTACACGAATATGTTCGACGCCCAGATTGATGCTATTAATTATGCCTTGATGGCCCTGAATTTCAAAACAATCAAAGTAATGGTCACTGAGACAGGCTGGCCTTCCAAAGGATCGCCTAAAGAAACTGCAGCAACACCAGAAAATGCTCAGACCTACAACACGAATCTGATTCGTCACGTCATCAACAACACTGGAACTCCTGCAAAGCCAGGAGATGAACTAGATGTTTACATATTCTCATTGTTCAATGAGAACCGGAAACCAGGGCTGGAATCTGAAAGAAACTGGGGTTTGTTTTTCCCAGATCAGACAAGTGTTTACAACCTTGACTTCACTGGCAAGGGTACCGTGGATATCACAACAGGTGCAAACATTACCAGCTCAAATGGGACATGGTGTATTGCTTCATCTAATGCTTCTGATTCTGATCTGAAGAACGCCTTGGATTGGGCTTGTAGTTCTGGGAATGTAGACTGTTCAGCTATTCAGCCTAGTCAACCTTGTTTCGAGCCAGACAACCTTGCATCCCATGCCTCTTATGCTTTTAACAGCTACTATCAAATGAATGGGGCAACTGATATTGCATGCAGCTTTGGAGGGAATGGAGTTAGAACCAATAAGAATCCAAGTAAGCAATAATTTTTTCTGCTTTTTATATTCTGTCTTATGCACTGCACCAACATATTTGGTACTTCAGCACTTTGCTTGGAACAATATTCTGTCTAAGTGCCAAATAGATGACTGTTTGATTTGTCAGCCGAAGTAGTTGAAATTCTCCTTTGTTTGTGTTGTGCTTTGGAACTTGGAAGTCATGTCACATCCTGATTGGGCTATGTCAGAAAATTCTGTGCTGACTCCTCCCCCAAAATAAATGTCAACAAACAGGACAATCAATTTGGGACCGATAGAGGGCAGATTTTTGATGCTTAGGGAGAGTAGTTTGATTTAATAGTGTGTCAGATATAGTGTCTTGGTGCTTTTGAGAATTGAGTGGAAAAGTAAAATCACAAAGGCTTCTCTACTATATTATTATTGGAAATAATCATTCTGATGCACTTTGGAAGTTTAAAGATTTATTTGCCCCCAACCCAAAGAAATACTAGTATCTTGCAGTGAACCTCTGCATTACTTAAAAACTTTGTTCGCAAGGATCTTGGAACTTGAGACTTCCTTTAATCTTTGATTTTTTTTTAAAAAAAGGTAAATTGAAAACTGTAATAGTGCTTTTCATTAAGTATGAATGTTTGAATTTAGAATCAGAGAGTTTTCTTCATCAGTACTGATCCCTTACTTGAGGTTCACTTTTCTTACCATCATCTCATAATGTTCTCTTCTGCAGGCTATGACAATTGCATCTACATGGCTACAGGGTAAGTTTTGGTTAAATACATTGAATTGTGAGTATTAGATTCGAGTCTGTGCTTGCTGTTTTCCTTTGTATTCTTACTTTTCTTTTCCTTGGGTGTTTTGATCACAGGACCCAGAAAACTGTTGCAAGTAATTCAACAGCTCCAACTCCTGCTACTAAATCTTCTGCAACTGCCAGAAAAGTATGTGGTGGCATTCAGGATGGCCTGATTTTAGGTTTCGTAAGCTTCATCATTTCATCATTGGCAACTTTTTAAGTGGAACTTGATTTTGGGTGAGTATAATGAGTCCCTTGCAAGGAGCGGAGACAGCATGGTACGAATGTGGTACCTGGAACTTGAGAGTTGATTTTGCGGAGTTTTAGGACAATCTTCCCTCATTTTGTAAAGTAACAACTGTATTTACTTAGCTCGGAGGGATGATATTTAGTTATGTTGAAACCAAGCCTGGTCGTTTATGATTTGAAAATTAGGCATCTTTCATTCATTAATCTTACATATTTATAATCTTATATTATTATTATTAGTAATTGTTTTATGATGTAAGTATGGAGAAACAAGCTGGATCTCTGGGTTAGCTATTCCTTAATTTTGCTTGCTTCTTTATTATCTGATGTAACCAGAAAAAATCCCCTTTTTGGTTGCAGGATATCATTCATGGATGTAGGAAGTCTCAGGCAATAATTGGCAAAATATAATTCTCAAAGTTTCAAATTCTAAAAAACATTATTTCCAAATTTGAGACTCCAGGAAATTCTCAAGGCGTGAATTGTCAAAGGCTCGTACCTCTTGAGAGGGCCGGTTACCCTCTAATATAATTAGTGATTTCTGGTCGCGCAATGTGCGACCCTGGTCCAATATATCTGTAAATCTTAGAAATTTTTGTATCTGAAAATTTTTTTTTTTTGTATTTGGCCCGATATATTTTAAAAATGTTTGAAGAATTTAGAAATGTTTCATAAGTGTGATCGAAATGTTTGTATTTGGTATAAAAACAAATTGTATTTGGCTCGGTACGTTTTAGAAATGTTTGAAAATTTTAGAAATGTTTTATAAGTATTACTTCTTAAATATAAATAAACTTGATCAAATATATGTGAAGTAAATACTAGACAAAAAATAAAAACATCCTAATAAGTTTAAATATTAGTAAGATGATTTATTGATGTTTTCCATTAGTTGTGCCAAATCAATACTTAGTTTTGGAGATTTATAATAGTTTTGTATTAAGTTTCCTCCAAATGGTATACGTTTAATTGTTAGAACTATTTCTTTCAAAAGTTTATAGGTAGTAAAATATCAACAATATGATTTTGAAACTGGTTAATTGTTAAAACTGGTTGATCACAAATATGAGAATGAAAATAATGTAAATTTGTATAGGTTTCAAGTTATAGCAAAAAAGAACTCAACTCACCATGGCAAATAACAAAAAAGAAAGCAAACAATAACCCATTAAAAATTGAGAAATTTATTTTTTTCTGTAGGTAAAAATAATTTAGAAAAACACAAATAAATGTAAAAACATCATTCCTTCCCTCCCCACCTCAAATTCATAAAAGGCTTCCCCATAAATTAGTTAGAAGAAGCGATCTGAACTATTTATATGATGAGTGACTTAAAAAAGTCCAGAAACCAAATCCAAAAGAGTATAGTTTTGAAAGCCCGAACACAAAAAAAAACGCGCTTCATTTGCAAATAAAATAAAATAATACTCCCTCCGTCCCATAATTATTGTCCAGTTTTACTAAAATGAAATATTTTATTTTTGGTCAAACTTAACTATATTTTACCTTAAACAACCGGATATACCCCTACATAAGTAATTGTTTAACCACTAAGATTTTATGGATAATATTTTTTACTAAGGACAAATGTGTAACTTGATCCATAAAAAGTCAAATTGGACAATAATTTTGGGACAAAATTTTTTGGACAAAGTGGACAATAATTATGGGACGGAGGGAGTAATAATAATAATTGGTCAACTGGGAGTATGAAACAAAATCAAAAGCAATTAGACAAAGAAAAAACATATTTCATAACTGATCATATACGGAAAAAAAAAACCGAGATTTCATAATTAAAAAAAGAAAACCACTCTAATTGAATGAAACATAAAAAAGAAATTTAAAAAATCACACTTTGTAACAAAAACCCAATTAATCAATTCAATCCAAACAGAACTAAAATCATACAAAAATTCTAGTCTAACTAACTATATAAAAAATCACATCATATTACCTGACAACGGCTACGGTAGCTGTAACGGATGGACGCATAAAAATAATAGTAATATCACTATTCTTGAACGGGAAAAACAAAAAATAATAAAAACCAAATAAATGATTTGTGGAAATAAAATCATTTAAATTTTAATACTTGTAATGGCACCACGACAACAGCCGAAGCAAGATCAATGAGAATTTTTTTTTTCCTTTGTGTTTATATAGAGAGGTAAAGAGAATATTTTTTTAAGTCGAAATTTTATCCGATTAGGATGTAGTTGATCATCACTAATGAAAAGATTGAACTTGCTAATAGGAAAGGAGTATTATTTCATCACATATTTTTAATTAATGAGTGATGAGGAATTTATTTTTTTTATTGTGAAGAACGAATTGATTATGGAGTCAATTATCGTGGAGATGAGGATGAGAATTTGGATTTTTTACGAATCCGTGGTTTGTTAATTATTTTTTGTTTTGGCGAAAATAGGAGGTGGAGGTGGATTTGGACTGTATTTGCCTTTTAAGTCTAGGAGAGGTGTAAATAAAAATTGATTTTAAAAATATGATGTGAAAATGGCACATTGCAAATGGTGGTGTTTTCTTTTAAGTGTGGTTTTTGTTTATAATATAGTAAGATATAGTAAGGAAAAATACACAATGAAAATACAATCCAACAAACAGTTGAAAGAGGATCCCCATTGACAAGAAGAATTGCAACAAAGGCTATGACACAGAAGACCGCTGTGGTAAGCGCGAGAAGTGGAGGATGCTTTAGCCCTGATGCAAAAGCGGCAATGGTGCCAAAGACCGTTAGATGTGGAGAATAGTTTTGCCCTGATGCATCATCACTGCAAGGTTGCAAAATCGGAGAACCACCACCGGTGCTTGTGTTCCTCAGTCGCAAGTTGGCGGCTGGAGAAGCTGCAGTGCCTCTGTACGGACCTCTCATAACCATACCTCGAAACTTCTGCCTTCTTTGATCGGCTTCTCCCGACAAGGCGCTCAGACGGGATGCCATATCAAACTCTCAAGCTTTTGTTTGAAGCTCCAAGTTCAATACTAATATTAGAAGATCATCAGCGGAGGGTTGGCCGTTTGTACTAATAGTTATAGTGATTGTAGGTTCTTTAACCATTCGAAATAGGATATTTTCCGATTCCGATTATGAAATAACTAGTCCTCTAAGGTTAGATTGGGACTGGGATATGCGTAGAGCTTTATAATTCTATAAATGAGTCCAATTCCCCATCTTCTTAGTTAAATCTCAGTAATTTCAATCGGGAAAGCCTTTAAGAAAAGAAAGAGGTATTCGATCGAGTACATCGGTATGAATATTCATTTATTCCACCACCAGTAACAAAGCCAAATATAGTGTGCAAATCAAGTTCAAAGGCCAAATGAAAATGGAAAAAAGAAAAATTCAATCATGACAAAATAAAAATACACAAGAAAGTGTCGAAAATTCCAGGACGAAAACCGAGACAGCTACAAGTTGACTTTTTCAAGAACGTGGAAGCGCATGATTCCAAACCCGACAAGTTCAGCTGGCTGCAAGCCCTAATACCAAACTTGCAAAAAAGAAAAGCCACCAAAGGAATCTACAAGCTGTACCCGTGTTCTTAAACAAGAGAGTGCTTAACGTCCCTGATTAATAAGGTAATCTCCAAGCCTCTCAACAACCCGGTTGCACTGGGCTGGAGTCATCCGATCATCATGTATTCCAATAACTAGAGCCTCTCCAGTCTTCTTAACTGCAATACCTCCGGTACCCTGATGAAGGAGAAAGTCAAATATAGGCATTATGAATACATTACAGTATGTTGTCAAACGAATAACTCGTCCAAATTGACTTAAGCAATCTCACCTTCTTCACTCCAATTACAGCTCTTGGCCCACCTTGGATCACCATGTATTTTGTGCCGCCCAGAAACAAGCCTGTTGGCTCAAGTGTGCCGGGTTCCTCAAACTCCTTCATGATCGCAGCCATTTCTTCAGGCTTGAACTGCAACATGAAATTGACAACAGAACTGGTTTAGCCTAAACTCTACTAAAATCCTACCTCGCAATGAATACGCATCCATAACATGAAGTAACAACAAACATGACGCTCAGGAAAAAGTTAAACGATCCAAGGCACTTTGGGATTAGACTCAATACAATCATGGACCAAATCTGAAGCCTCAATACCACAGAAATATAATCAAGCTCTAGATAGAATTTCAGTCGCACGTTAAGAATATTGTATGCCTAAGCTGATTAAGTTCATAATCTGACAATCTCAAAACAAAATGATAAGTTCAATCTATCATAATCCAGCACGTAAATTGAAGTCAACGGGGAAGAATTCACTTGGAGAACAGAGTCAGGATTTTACATCAGATCTGACAAACACGAAATAATGATCGCCCAAATTCATACTATAATTAATGCTCCTGATGAATCCTACACCACTTTTTACATCTTTCTACTTGCTCGATCGAATCTTCAAAAGAAAACACAAGGTACAGTCTCTAACTTTCCCAATCACAAAATATATGGATGAAAAAGAAAAGGAGAAATCTAAATGGAAGACAGCAACAATAGGCGATAAAAATATAAGACTAACATTCTAAAAAGTACAAAATCAAGAGGAAATTCCAAGTTCAAAGAAAGGAGGAAAAGGAACCTGAGGGAAGTCTTGACTCTGGGCCCAAACGGAGCCGCCATGGCCGAGGATAGCAGCGGCGACGAGCACACGACCGTCTCCCTGGTCGGACATGAGAATATCGACGCAGGTTTGCTACGACTCCATTTCAAAACTCTGAGTTGGATTGGATCGCTAATTCACAGCTCTGCTACTACAGAGTTTGAAAGAGGAGGAAAAAGCCTTCTTCGGCTTCTTCTTTCGGTGGGAGAATTTGTAAGAATTATTAAGACCGATTTATTTATTCTATATTTTTTCGCTTTCCTACCTTGGAATGCCAAGTTCCTGTCGGCCCACATTAAAAGGTTTAGGCCCACATTCAAACTCCGCAGAAGCCCATCAAGAACAATAAGAAGTCCACGTGGATAACCGATGACGAAGTTTCTACATACATCTCCAACCCAATTGGCTGAAAACAATGATGGAGCAAGGACTATAAATTGCATCAAATTACAGTGTGGAAAATTCTTGTTTCGGTCTTCACTTCGTAATTGTCTGAGAAAAATTGAATTTGACCTTCTTAGTTCTCACGCCATAGAAGAACTGTAACTGGAAGGAGGGATCTTGGAATTACCTTCAGGATGTCTTCTCCTGCTGAGTAAGTTATTGCCACTATTTTTTTTTTTTTGATATGATAGTCACTGCGTGATGGGCGAATCTTTGTCTTATAACATTTTCATTTCAGAAGAAATTTTGTGGTTTCGTTTAGTACTGCTGATATATTATTGGGGCTTTACTGATTCAGACATAGATATTGTCTTGAGTCGTTTCCGGTTGAAGAAAATGTGTCTTTCAGAAACCTAATTGACTCGAAATTGATAAATTAAGCTGTAGAATGTAGGAAGAGGAATCGGTGTGGATGTTGGTTTTTTTTTTAAAAAAAAAAGAAAAAATACTGCGAATTAACATGGGAATTTAAAACCGTGATGATTGATAATGCACCACGATGCGATTCTTGCAATGTTGTGATGGCAGCTGCGGAGTTTCTTTTATGCTTATTGAGGATGCCTGTTAAACAGAGGTTTTTGTCTTCTCTGTTTTCAGATACTATGCGTCCCTTCCGCCTGTAACCAAGCTCTTTGGGACGGTCTGTTTTGCTTGTACTGTGATATGCCAGTTGGGGATATTGAGCCCTTACCACTTTGCCTACTTTCCTCAATTAGTGTTCTACCATTTTGAGGTAATTGTTCTTGCTTGTGGACTTGGAATATCCCAGATTTTCCTTCAATTGTCCTTTGTTTCAGTTTTTCATTTATTCAGAATCTCTAACAGAGTGTTTAAGAAGCTTGAACGAAAAATTTGTTTTCTTCTCATCATTTCGACTTAGTGAACCTTTCCTTGTCATACCCGTTATGCATTAAAGTTGGCAGGATCTTTTTTGCCAAATTTACTACAAACTGGAAAGTTTTACTCTAAGATAGCTCACTTACAATAAATAAATGTATCAGCTCCATATTTGGAACTTCTGAAGTCCAAGGGTGATGCATAAACACAGATCATGAAATCTTGTTTTCTTCCAAACTATGTCAATTTCCCAGGTTATAAATGTCTCTGTATTTTTAGTTTTGATTGGGGTGAATAACTTGGAGGGTTTACGTAATGATTTTTAACTCTCTGTGCTGTTGATACTATATAAGAAAGAGAATACTCTTTGGAAGCATCTGGATTTGCTTTGAATTTGTATCACTTCTTTTTATCCAGCTCCGGACATTTAAACATAACTAAAATGGTTAACATGCATCTCATGCTTTTTAAGGGACAGGTCTCATGCAAATACCATTGACTTACTGAGCATATTTTGTAGCATTTCATATTGGAAGATTAGAATTATAATCCCTATCGGACCTATTAGCATGTACCTTTTACAATGATGTTTATGTATTTTGTTGCATTTGCAGATCTACAGGCTTATCACTCCCCTATTTTTTCTGGGGAAATTCTCCATTAATTTTGGCATCCGTCTCTTAATGATGTAAGTATCAGTATTTCTATTTAATACATGATATATCTACATGTTATGAACTCCGTTCCTAGAAGTCGGGGTCTTTTGAAATATTCGCTCTTTACTGTTGCTTACTTTTATTTGGAGTACCTTTTACCTTGATTGGAAGGTTTGAGTCATGTGTACCTGTCTCACACATGGTTTTAAAGTTCATTAAATTTGGGCTTTTTCCTTCTAGTTTTGAACAAGGCAAGATTTGTTCAACTATTCGCATTTGTCTGAGTACTATAATAGACGCTCCTGATATTAACTGATCTATTATAAGTTCCTTATCTTTGTATTTTTTTGGTGGTGTAACAGAGCTAGATATGGAGTACAACTTGAGTCTGGACCTTTTAATGGACGCACTGCCGATTTCTTGTGGATGATGATATTTGGAGCCTTCTCATTATTGGTCAGTGTGATTTCTCTCTCTCTCTCTCTCTCTCTCTCTCTCTCACACACACACACACACACACACACACACGAGAACACACACACACACACACGAGAACACACACAAGTCCTGCTGGCATGTGCCCATAGCCTTCTGCATGACTGAAAAAATTACTATAAGGTGCCCTGTTTAGCAAGGGAGATTATTATTCCTTGCTCCCGCACCGTCCCTAACTGCTGGTTGATGGCCAATGTAGGAAATATATTTCTACTTTTTAGACTTGTAAGGAGAATTTCAGCTAGGGTCTAGTTAAGATGCTCATATGATCTTTAACTTCTTGTTCAATGTTAATTGTAGGTTTTAGCTGCTATCCCTCCCCTCCAGTCACCTTTTTTGGGGATTTCGTTGGTCTTCATGCTGGTTTACGTGTGGAGCAGAGAGTTCCCTAATGCCAGTGTCAATATTTATGGCCTCGTAAATTTTAAGGTTTGGTACTTTTCTTGGTGATTTGGGATTTGAACATTTTTGTGAATGATTTTCTGAGACTCTTTTGTTTCTTGCATTTCACAGGGATTTTATTTGCCATGGGCCATGCTGTTTTTAGATGTTATTTTTGGCTCCCCAATCATGCAAGATCTGCTAGGTCTTGTAGCTGGACATCTGTTCTACTTCTTTACTGTTTTGCATCCGCTTTCTACTGGGAAAAATTTTCTGAAGACTCCACAATGGGTGTATCCTTTTTATTTTCTGTTGGTGAAATGAATATTATTTGTGTTTCCGTAGAACCTTTACCTCCACACGCAGACACATATACAGCCTTTCTCTCTCTCTTACTCAAATACTCTTAAAATCCTTACTGCAGAGACTCAGCCTATCAGCCATTAGTGAGTGTAGAAAACATCAGTTTGCACCTTTGATTATTAGGCTTGCTGTCGGCTGTAGAATCGATCCTGCAATATCTGTTCCACTAGTTCTAGAATTTCTTCTCTCCATAATCATTCTATTATTATTTTCTTGGTTCTCCCGTGTGGTTTTCTTTAACTGATGTTGAACAGACACAAAATAGTGCGGCGATCCAAATACTTTAATCCAGGGCGGAACAATGTTCGTGAGGAAAGGGCAGGTTCTGTTTTCACTGGTAGAGCTCGTCGTGTTGGTGACAGGTGAGGATCAGAGACATGGACTTCATACAACATACAATTAACTGGATGACTTCAGTGGCCCGTGGTTATTACTGTTCGTTGAGAAATGAGGGCGATGGCGCTGTCCGGAGAGAAGTTAGGTGCTTAGATAACACCGTTGATGTGAATCAGCGATACAGCATAGGATTTACTGCACCGGATGCATAATATGTTTACTTGTCTTGTACTTACTGATGTGAACTTACACAATTACATTCAGTTTCCGGAAGGGTTGCATTGTAGAAAATTTGTAAGAATGTTACACGATATGAATGATTAGCTTGATTCAGAAAGGTCAAGGCAATGCTTTCGTTTATTGTATGCGCAACTGGAAATACCACACATATAGAGCTCATTACTCATTAGTGATGGCTACTGGACAATTTCAGCACCAATTTTATTGTTGTTTTACTTGAAAATATAACATAGACACATGAAAGAAAATATCGACCTATGTAGTAAAAATCGGTCAAAAACCCGAAGGCAAGTACAAATTATACTCTCCAAACAGGCCAATACTGTTTGTTGTGAAAACAGAAGAGACGACGTTATAACATTCTTAAACATGTCAAAACCTTTTTCTTCTGGAGAGGAAACTTCTATCTATCATTGCAATTTCGCAAATATTGTGCAGTAAATGGTAAAAATGGCGTTTTTACTGCTGAGTGAGACCGGGAAGAGAGGGGTAAGGAGTTAATAGTAGAAAATTGGGTGTTTCTGTTACCTTAAATAAAGGCGGAAAATGAATGGCAAATAACCTATTCAATTCATTCCATTAATATTAAAAAACCACAGCCCTCTCGACGATCATGCACGTCCTCATCATTTCCTTTCCTGCCTCCATTTCCTCCTCCTTTTCTTCATCTTCTTCTTAAATTTATTTACTCTCTCACAATCTCACTTCACCATTTGCAGTTTGCACTTTCAGTATCTTTGCTTGATATACCCATAAATTACTATTAACTTCCAAAGCATACAAATTTCATAGAAAATATATATTCATACACAAACACGAAAATCCCATACGCTCAATTGCGTTCCAATAAAAATTGAGGTGGGGCAAAAAGGAATCGCATTTTTTGTGATTATTAAAGAAGAAAAAAGAGTGAAAAAAAAAAAAAAACATGTCGTGGCAAAGTTACGTGGATGAACATTTGATGTGTGACCTTGAAGGCGGAGGTCACCTCACTGCCGCTGCCATTCTGGGCCACGATGGCTCTGTTTGGGCTCAAAGCGCCAATTTCCCTCAGGTCCATTTCTCTTTTCTTTTCATCCCTTTTACTATTTGTGTTGAATTTATGTTTTTTTCGTTTTCGAAAAGTTTTGGCCTTTTTTTTTTGTATTTTTCAATCTAGTATCGCAAATGTTGTATTGATTTCCTTTTTAGTTATCTGATGTTGTTTTGTTATACACGATCTTATAATCCCGTAAATTTCCCTGATTGATTGGATGCAACCCTTTTCGCGTCCATAAATATAAATGAATGATTCTATACTATTATTTGAGATTTGGTCATTTTTCCCCGGATCCTGTTAATTAATGATATGAAGAAAGTATTTTTTTTTTTTAAAAAAAGGATTGATCTTGTTACAATTGTGATGAGATTGGTTTCTTAATACATCTGGTTTAATACTGAATGCAGTTCAAGCCAGAGGAATTCAAGGGAGTCATGACCGATTTCGATGAGCCAGGACACCTTGCCCCAACAGGCCTACTTCTTAATGGTGCAAAATACATGGTTATCCAAGGCGAGGCTGGCGCTGTTATCCGCGGCAAGAAGGTACAACATTCTTTCCGTCTCATTTTAATAGTGCATATTGTTGTACTGTTTTGGTTCAACAAACCCGGAAAACGGATCATGTTTTGCTCGGGTGTCCCAAAATCGATGAATTAATTGAAAAACTTTATTGGGGGAATGCAGGGAGCCGGAGGAGTGACCATAAAGAAAACAGGTCAGGCACTAGTGATTGGTGTGTATGAAGAGCCAGTGACTCCAGGACAATGCAACATGGTGGTCGAGAGGTTGGGTGATTATCTCGTCGATCAGGGCCTGTAGAAGAAGCCGCCCTCAAGATGATCAATCTGCTTCTTCCGCCATTTTTATCTTCCTCAATTTCTCTCATTTTAGTCCTACAAAAAATTGAGATTCTAGATATTTTCTTGCTAGTTGACATTTTATTTTAAGTGCCCCCTTTTTTGAAAACATAAAATTTGAGTGGGGGATCGAGTTTGGGCTCGGACAAATAACCTTACAAGGCATCATCATCGTCAGTAGTTTGTTGTCTTGTAGGATGGTTTTTGTAGTCTCTGTTTTTTCGCTGAATCACTGAAGTTTTGTTCATACATTTTATTAAAATTCTGAGTTTTTTTTTTTTTGTCAATAATCTCCTGCTTTTTATTACTATTATTATTCTGATTTGTCGCTCCTTCAATTTGGCAATCAACCTGGTTGGTTGTAATTGTAGATAGCATGTTGTATGTTGGCGTTTGGACAGAGTCGAATGATACGTTACTCTCTCCAAAGCTCATCATAATTGACCTGTTTAAATGGAAAGACCAAAAACATTCTCTGACAGGCTATAAAGTCCACACTGTGGGCAGCAACAACTCATAAATATGCTGTACCTCCAATCCTCCATGCTATTGTAACCAATTCAGATGGGTTCATAACTCATTAACTTCATTTCTCTCGTCAAGAATCTCATTTGTGTGATACGGGACCATGGAAATTCGCATTAAACTTTAAAACATTAACGTTGGGGTTTGTTACTGTCAATCACACAACTGGCAAAATCCATCTTTGTAGCCAACTTGTTTGGTAAAGGACCCACGTTTTTTGGTCGTTTTAAAAAGAAGGTATGGTAGTTTGATGCATTAAAGCTCTAGTGTGTGTGTGTGTGCAAGGTTCGAATAACAAATGGAGTTGTAATGTTTTAGTTTAACCAATAAAAGAATTTTATCTTGAGATGAGGAGTATATATTTTGTAAGGAAATTACTTATTGACCAACAATTTATTTATTATGCAATAAACTATTATCGATTAAAACCCTGAATAATGAGTTTGAATCACAAGATAACATCTTTTACTATTCTATAATGTGACTCTAATTCCGAGAGACCGATCTATGGCATCTTGACGGAAGAATGTTTCTTAGGAGTTAGGACCATTTAAAATGGATGGGGTAGACAATATTCAACTAATGAAATCAACATTTTAGCAAATGGTACTTCCATTAGTGTCTGAATTTCATTATGTAAGCTTAATCATGGATAAGTGACTTCAATGTTAGCGTTGTTGAATAGTTATAGTTCATTAAAGTTCCTACTAATCCTACCAATATAGCAGCAGTAAACCATCATGTGTTTCAACTAATTCAACTATCCCCCAAGCGTGGTCTCTCCTTCTCATAGTTCCCTTTAAGCCAGCAATCATAAACCTCTATCAACCGCTAATTACTTAAAATTAGTAGTACTACCATAACCATTCATGTAAGTTGGTTTTTGCTTTATGGAGTGGCATCAAAATCAGTGCCAATGAATGCTCATCATCATTACTGCTATAATTCACGATCATTTTCTTCATTTTGGTACCTAACCCGCAAATAATAACAAGCACCTAAGTATACTTTGCAAGGTGTACCTTATGAACGTATGTAATACATTCTCTTTCTACACAAATTAATTTACTTTTTTCCTAATTTTTAGTTATACGTGCATTAAATCCTCTAATTCTCATCCCATTTTTTTCTCACGCATTTAATTTTAAACCGTTTTCTTTTTTTTGCTTATGATGTTATCTTTTATATTATTTTATTTTCTGAGAAATTTTTTCTATAACTATAGATTTTATTTGCGTAAAATTGAATATGATTCATCATTGAGACTTATAAATCTGAAGAATCAATTGGAGCAAAAAATTTGAATTAATTATCAATAAAATCTGGAGAATTAAGCGTCAAATATGGAAGATTTTTAATAGATAACGATGTTTGTTCGAATGAATAATAGTATTCTTATCTATGAATAATGATAATATTATGGATGAATAATGGTGTTCTTATAGTGACAAAGTTATAGATAAATAAATTTAAAATTTTTAAATGAATATAGATATATACAAAGATGAATAACGAAGCAAATGTTGATGAATAATGATCCCATCCAAAATGAATGACGTCTATTTACAAGATGAATAACACTATTTTACATTATTAATAATACTATTCATTGTTTTTAACATATACGGTTTTGAATGATTCGCCGATGCTCAACACCTATATGTTGATTGTTTGATTTCAGCAATTCTGCCAAATATTTGATTCCCGACCAATCGAGTTCATCTTGATAAGCATTTCTTTGCCATTGATTAAAAAAAAAAATAACATTACAATAAGTGAGATTTCACATTCAATCAAAACTCTGTTAATCATCAATAACAATGCTATTGAAGATGAATAATCATTTTGAAAATGATGAATAAACATTAAAATTACATAAACTGAATCCAGTTGATAACAATCGTATACGGTACATATTACATGATGAATAACAACATAACTGGTGATAAATGACATATCTTTTGTACGATGAATACACATATCTACGGAATGAATAACACATATTCAAACGATGAATGACATATATTAACAGGATGAATAACACTATTTTACAGGATTAATGACACATATTTACAATTGTAATCACATATTACATGATGAGCAATATCACTTGTAGTTTGTATCACAATTAGAATGAATAACTAAGCGAAATAATGAATAACTAGAAATAGATGATGAATAAACATTTCACAGAAGAAGAAAACATGACTAAAACAACCCAAAATTGATGATGAATAATGATATCGAGATGATGAATAACCACCAGAAGTAGATAATGATGTCAAAATCTGATTTTTAAAATCAACCACAAATCGATGACCAAGACTAAAACATCGATGAACTAACATGTTTTAAAAATGAATAATGGTATTAAACTGATGAACAAAGCCTAGATCTATTAATCTTTTCCAAAATCAACCACAGATCGATGAACAAAACTAAGAAATTAATGAACTAGCATCATTAATCGATGATAAATGATGAATAAACGTTTCACAGAAGAAGAAAACATGACTAAGACAACCACACATTGATGATGAATAATGATACCGAGATGATGAATAATGCCAGATCTATGAATATTTTTCTGAAATCAACCACAAAGCGATGAACAAAACTAGAACATCGATGAACTAACATATTTTAAAGATGAAAAATGATATTAAACTGATGAAGAGCACCTATATCTATTAATTTTTTTCAAAATCAACCACATATCGATCAACAATACTAATCGATGGGAATAATCTCAAATTTTTTCTACTGGACAAAACACTAAACAGATCTATTAAACTGATGAACAACACCTAAATCTATCAATCTTTTCCAAAATTCACCGGACAAAACACAAAACAGATGAATAATCTCAAATCTTACCGTAGTTCTCATATTCAGTAGCGTATATTGCAACCAAACTCACGGGATTTGATGCACAATTGGATTTCGTCTTCAAAAATACCGCCGACGAGAGGTTTTGATGTCAAATCGCTGCAGAAAATATTTTATTTTTTAGATTTTTTAGTTTGAGTCGTCTTTGAATTTGAATAGGAAGTTAGATTGATATGAGTAATGATAGCTGAAAATTAAGAGAAATATTAAGAAATTGAAAATTTGAAAGAAAAAAAAATTATCCTCTTTTTAGACACGTATACCTAGGAGCTCTATATTACAACGGGTACCTAACCCAAACTCCATATATCCACATAAAATCCATGCTCGTTTTGATAATGTACTAGTACTGCCCATTGCCTCTCTGGCTTCACGTACAATAGTTAAGAAAAAAAAAAATGTAACCAACACTAAAAAATAAAGAGCAATTAGAAGGTCCCTCTCTGTGTAGTAGTCCCCGGAGACAACTAACAACACCTTCTCTTCATGACTCCATCCCCAGGCCCCCTCAACCCCACTCCTCAATTAGTATATTTTCATTGCGGACAACATTAACGGCAGTACTTAAATGGATACTAAATATACTACGTCCCAAAGAGAACGCTATTAAAATAGGACAGGAATGAGTACCATATAAACATATTAATTTGACGTTGTATAGTAACATAGGTGTTGTAGATTGTTTGTCGCAATGGTAACGAACGAAAGAAACTTCACTCAGTGCTGATGATGATTCTTTTGTCCGGATATGAACTATTGAACTACACAACGGTATAACAGATGTGGGATGTTACAACGTGCGCTGTTGTGGGATACCCACTGAATGGAATAATTGTTTACCGACTTATTGAAAAATACTATATAGAGTACTCCTCTATATAATCTCTCCAAATCAAGCGAAATCGTCACTTTCGCTTTCTTCTTCTTCTTCTTTTTTTTTTGGTGTCAATTGTTTATAGAAACTCGTGTACGATTCAAGGAATTTGTAGAGTATGTTTCCTGGTTGTTGATTCTTCTGCTAAGATGGCCCTAATTGTTTACTTCATAATTGGAAATCAAGACAGGTGAGCAGCCTTGAAATGTTGGGTTCTGTTTGGAACGTATGTTTTTTAAAATGTGTTCTTCTTATTTGAAAAATGTACGTTTTAAGAAAAAGGTGTAACAAAACACAAAAATTGATAATAATAATAATAATGATAATAAAACAATAATAAGAGAAAAAGACTTCAATGGTAATAATTTTGAAAAGAAAAAGGAGTATATTAAATAAAATTGGAGCAGAGGATAACGTATTAATGCAACAACAATAAAAAGGCTGTGATTGTGATTGAGAATACAAAACGAAGTGGTGTGCTTCATGCTTGCGGGGCATCCCAGCGGCACAAACACACAAAGCCAATCCTATTTCAAGGAAATGAATTCAAGAAATAATAGAGGATGTCCCCATCTTTGATTTAGTATGGTCTTGCCCGGGTCACATTCGAAAAGAAATTTTATGAATGGGACTTGATGGCGATAGGAAAAACTAAAAAATAAAATAAAATAATTTTTTCCACCTTAAAATAATTATTTAATTTAATTTTTTATTTTTAATGTTATAATTATTTAGTTTAAATTTTGATTTTTAACATATCATTAAAAATAAAAAAATTTAATCGAATAATCATTTCGAAATTATAATATAAGAATACTTACGACGATCAATTTAGTGTGGTACCTTTACGAGCACTTTGTCGAGGATTTGATTTTTTTACATTTACGATCACTTTTAGCGCCAAAGTTGTGCAAAATTGCAAAACCTAGTCTACAACCTCTATAGTATGTATCGTTTAGTTAATTGTCCTTTTTTTTTTTTTCTCAAGCTCTACCTTGTAATGTAGCCTTATGGTAAACTAACTAACTGACATAATCGGTTTAATATCAAGACCTTGAATAAGTTGTTGATGATGATTATATTGAAACTCAATTATATATGGAAGGTGTATTTTGTTAAGATTATAAGAGCATGTAATTATTAGTACCATTTTATTTGAATTATTGTCAACCTTATAGCCTTTGACTGGACTTTCGAATAGTGGGTCATTTAGTTATGGCGGTGGGATAATATCTTCCAAACAAAGCTCTCACAGCATAGATAATCATATTGATTTTTATTTATTTATTTTTTTCATGTCAACTCACACTCTACTTGCTGGCTGGTAATGTTCCATTTCTAATTATCTTAAAGACTTATTGTTTAAGAAGAGTGTTCTAGAAATTCCTTAAAAAATTTAATTAAACAAAAAAAAAATTAACTAACCGTAGTTGATGAGGCCCCGATTGGCACAAAATACCATCAACATACCACATGAACTCGTTCCATTTTCGTAGGCAAGATTTACCCCACTAAGGCATTATCAATTATATCTAACTTTTTAAAATGAAAAAAAGAAAAGCAATTAATTTTCTCCTTCTTTTTCTCTTTCTTTTAGTTTACGAATTCAACGAGATATATATACATTGTTGGCCGCTTTGGATCCTTTCACTTCGATAAAAACTTCCGAAAGATGGACAAGAAAAACACAAATATATATAGACGGAAATAATAAAAGAAAAAAAGAAAAAAGAAAAATGCATCTTCCAACTTTTACATAATGCATGATTTGTGGGTAAGGTTTGTTAAAGTAATTGTTATTTTGTGATCACTAAAAAAAAAATCTGATTAATGATGATCCATCTTCTCTCATAAAAACCTTGAGACGTGGCACTTGCTTGATTCCGGCCCGGCATTAAATAAAACATATTTTCATATTCACGAATGAGTGATGATACACAACTCACTTAATTTATCTCACCTTCTCATTTCACCTTACATGGCATTTAGTTATTTGAAATTTAATAATCTAATTAATTATTAGATAAAATATAATAAGTTAATATAATTTTTTTTTGTTAGATTCATTCATTTTTTGAATACTTCTATATCTAAAATTTTACAATAAATAGACCCTAACCCCTAAAAAAGTAAACCCTTTAGAGTAAAATTGTAACTAAACAAAATATAATCGGTAGGCCGAATATTAATAAGAAATATATTTATATTTTAATTAAATTATATAAATTTAAATAACAAATGCATTGCCTAATCTGTAGATGCCATGTAAGGTGAGATGATAAGGTGAATTATTTAGGTGAGCTACATATCATTATTCTTCACGAGTTAGTCAATCAACTATTCTCAAATATTGCTAAAAAAATACTTTAGTCAAGTAAGCAGTAAATAATTTTTGAAAATGATACTTATGGTTTAACAAGGTAAATGAATCGTCTGTTTATTGACAATATATAATTTTATATAAGTCTTAAGTAAAATAAAACAAAAAAAAAAGCCAAATGACAAAAATGTGCACACAAACAAGAGATAACAACTAGCAATAACAGTAGTATGAAAAAACGAATACCATCGAAAACAAGGGACAATGTGGCAAGACATTCCTAGGTTGAATTTACTTACCTTCTCGAACTATATCATACGTAATTCAACAAAACTGAAGCCAATTTAGAAATAGTCCCGATATAACCCATGATATTTTAGTTGTTATTAGTGATAAGTTAAAATGGTCAAACACGAATCACGATAACCCAACTTGAAGATGATATAGCTACAAAACAGATTACATGTACATACATATCACATGGGTTTCTAAGATTTGACAATGAAACCAGGATTATATTAAAGAGAAGAGGTATGTACTATCTTAATATTTTTTTTATAAAATGGACAATAAACGACGAGATTATGAGATCGTTAGAGCTAAGCTAATTCCGCTAAATGACAAAAATAGTTGAGTTTTAAGCTTTGATTAATTTTGGATCTTCGACGGCGGAAAGGCAAAAAAAGAAAGAGCAAAAGGACAGATGATGACTTGGTAATATCTAATTTATTAATAGTAGTATAAGATTATACCGATGCTGATGCCGATTCCCCCAGCTCATCTGGATGGACGGGTCTTTCCATCCAGATAGAACATGCATGCTTCTTAGTTCTTAGCACATTTTTTCTTAATTTTTTTTTTTCTGTCTGTTTTGGATTAATTCTTATTTGAGCGGATAAAAGTATTTAATCCGGCCCTTCTAATTTTCTTTATCAACTATTTATCTTGTCCTTCCTTGCGACATTTACTACATTCCATTACTTTCTTCTAGTTTATATTCTTTCCGTTCCGAAATTATTGTCCTATTTGGATTTTCGTTTTTAATACAAATTGAATTAAATATGAAAATCTAAACTGAACAATAATTTTGAGACAGATGGAGATTAGAGATGGAGTATTTCCTAGCTACTTTTTTTTACGCATGTCTAAAAATATTGGAACGAATTGCTTTCTTACTACGGGGAACATATAGTTCATTTTGTTGATTATCAAACTATTTTTTTTTTTCAACCAATGATGCAAATAGATTGAACTAATGTATATGGATGTTAAATGTGACAAAAGAAAAAAAAGAAAGTAAAAGGGCTAAAAAGTAATTAACGGTTACATCCACTAATGCACGTATTTTCCCGGCAGAATTTTTGATGTAGCTCTCCGGCGGGTTGTTCCCAAAATATTGCAAGACCTTGAGTAGAATATAGAAATGGTCACTTGTTTGTAATGTTGTTGTCATCATTTTTCTCAAACATGAAACGCTATAATTTAAGGCATGTAGCCTCTTGATCCCATGACTGTCTTATAATATTTGAACCAATTTGGGCGATTTAGAAAAGGAAATGGATAAGAACATCATTTATGATCCAAAACGTTGAACTATTTGAGCCATTGATTCACGCCCACGGTTTGGGTGAGGAGAAACAATTACATTTAGGTGAAAATTCCTTGATTATATGTTTAAAAACCACAAAACACATTACACACTCATCAATCATCATATAGAAGATAAAAAGAATCTCACTAATGAACAATTATTAGCTCGATCTATTGACTCACTAAATGCGGAAAAAAAATAAAAATGTACAGGCAAAACCATAAATGTTGGTATTGTTTGGTAACCAAAGAGAAAGAAAAAAAAAAAAAAAAAAAAGATAATAGCGGCAACTAAGCATAAAAACAACAAAAGCATCGAACTGTACAGATGGACACAGAGGTAAACCAGCTGCTTTTCCTTTGTGTATGAGCCGACATTTATTCCTCTCTATTCATCCAAAACCAACACAATACAGAGAGTAATACTAGTACAAATATAGTTGTCTCCTCCTTCCCTCATTTTCCTCCTCCCTTATCTTCTCCCTTTCTCTCTTCCCATTTTCTATTAGTACTGAATCGATCAATTGAAGCATTTTTTTTAATCCTACATTTTGCATGAGAAATGGATCCTTGCCCATTTGTTCGTTTAATAGTCGAGTCTTTGGCGCTGAAACTCCCTTCCTCGCCGCATAAACCCGCCGCCGGCGCCGGCGTACTCCATCCTTCATCAACTCCGTGCTATGCGAAACTTAAGCTCACAAACTTCCCTTCCCAAACTGCCCTCATCCCTCTCTCCACTTCCGACCACTCATCCTCCTCTTCGCCGCCGGACTCCTCCACTTCCTCCGCCGCCGGGTTTCATCTCGACCCGGCGACCCTCCGCAGGATCCGTTCAAAACCCGTCGTCAGTCTCAAGGTCTCCGTCTTCACCGGACGGATGGGACGTACATGCGGCGTCGCTTCCGGGAAACTGTTGGGTTCGGTGAAGCTGAGTATTAACCTGACCGGCGCGCAGTCTAAGCCGGCGGTTCATCAGAATGGGTGGATGAAACTCAGCGGAACGGGTCACTACTACGTGGGTTTGGAGCCTAAATTGCACGTGCTTGTCCGGTCTGAACCAGATCCTCGGTTCGTTTTCCAGTTCGGTGGCGAACCGGAATGTAGCCCGGTGGTTTTTCAGATCCAGGAGAATATAAGGCAGCCGGTTTTCAGCTGCAAGTTTAGCGCCGATCGTAACAACCGGTCACGGTGAGTACGATGGATGACCAATTTGTTCTTCCAAGCTGTCCTCCAGCTCATTTTAGCACTTCTCATTCATTTCTGTTTTTTTGTTGTTTTGCGCCTTGCTTATTTGCCTATGTGTCCCATGCCAGTTGTCTCGTCTTTGTGTTTATCATCGTGCATGATGGTTTTTTTATCTGTGAAAAAGAAAAAAAAAATGAAGTAGTGTTGTTTCCAAAATTGGGGGAACAGAAATCATGCATAGTTTTTTTTTTTTTTTTTTGCTTCGTTTTTAGTTTACAGTTTAACTAATTCATTTTTACGGTTCGATTTCAATAATAGTGTTTGGTAAAATTTGGTTGAGTTCATCATTATGTCGTGTTTGAGGTTAGATCTTGTGTCTCAACACAAATCATGTCTAATTAGACGTTTTATTTGCCATACCTCAAAAATATTAAAAAGATAATTTTATGTCTTTTTATCTCAATTGATGGTGGTCTAATCAGTAATCAAGGATCAACTTTACACTTTACAGTTGACTAGATTAATTAGATTCTCATACGTTGGGAGCAGTAACTGTAGGAAACTACTAGTACTAGATCTCTGTTTCTGTTACCACGTCAACGTCTGTCCTGTTTGTTCTTTAACTGCTTAAATTATAAACCGAAAAATTTAGTCCGCTGGAGCCATTCATCATCATCATATGGACTTTGCTGACATAAAATAATTGTAAATGACGATTTCATAATCTTTGCCACTGGTCAAACGTACACCACTAAGTGTTTGTTTAATTATGGAACTGTTCAAGGGCAACTAATCCATCCAATTGATTTGATTCCCCACTCCCATGTGCTGATATTTACTTGTATCTATTATGTATGATTGTGTTTTTTTTTGTATGTTTTTTTTTTTGGTGGGGGTTAATAAGCTATGATGAATTAACTTTGTTTCTTTGACTTACTGTTTTACTAACTCGTTTTCTTGTAACATCAGATCCTTGCCTTCAGATTTTAACAATGGTAACAAAGGATGGATGATGAGAACACTGTCAGGTGATAAAGAGAAGGTAGGAAGGGAACGTAAAGGTTGGATGATTATAATCTACGATCTGTCGGGTTCAGCTGTGGCAGCTGCCTCAATGATCACTCCATTTGTTCCGTCTCCGGGGTCGGACCGAGTTTCTCGATCAAACCCCGGAGCGTGGCTGATCTTGAGGCCTAATGGATCCTCGGTTAGTAGCTGGAAACCATGGGGCCGTCTAGAGGCGTGGCGCGAGCGAGGGGCTGTGGACGGATTAGGTTACAAGTTCGAGCTTGTCACCGATTCAGGCCTAACAAGCGGAGTGCCTATTGCAGAAGGCACAATGAGCGTGAGAAAAGGTGGTCAATTCTGCATTGATAATGCAAGAAAAGAGTCCTCCATTTTGCCGGTTCGAGGTTTTGTGATGGGATCAAGCGTGGAAGCAGAAGGGAAAGTGAGTAAGCCATTGGTACAAGTTGGGGTGAGGCACGTAACTTGCATGGCTGATGCAGCTTTGTTTGTTGCACTTTCAGCTGCCATTGATCTGAGCATGGATGCTTGTCGACTTTTCTCACAGAAACTCAGGAAAGAGTTCTTCCCAGATGACCAAGAGTCACTGTCGTAAAACCCTAAAAAAATGGCACCAGAAAACATGGATTTTGGTGCCTTTTTTTTTTTGTCCTTTCTTCTGATGCATTGATAACCTCTGGTTTTGGGAAGACCTTGGTTTGAGCGTGGAAGATGCTTTTCCTTAATAAAACAACTACAACAGCAAACATCTCCCCTGATCAGAGAAATGTGAGGCACTGACGAATGTGGTTTGTTTTGAGGGTTCTTTTTTTTTTTTGTGCCTTAATTAAGATTTTTTGTACACTTAGTTGAGGGCTTGTGAGGATGGTGAGTGATTCTGATTAATTACATTGTGCATTATTGCAAATTGAAATTGTAAAAAAAGTAGAGTAAGGAATTTGTTTTGATACACTAATTACTTTATTATATATTTATTCATTCTTTTTGGAGAGATCAGTACAATCTTTTCACTTTTTGATGATGTTTTAACAGTTGAATTAATGAATTCTTTTTATTTCTTTTAACCCATTCTTTATTTGGTTTTAATATATTTTGTTGGTCGAGTGGGCCATATCGCATTATTGTTTCGGAAGCAGGCATTATTTTGCCTTAATCTACATTTTATAACTTAATAATTGATTTCAATCCAAAATAATAGAGTGCTGATGTGTTTTTGCCACCTACCTGTGACCCATGCCAGCTATGAAAATGATGAAAGGTAAATCTATAAAAAGGAAAAAAAAAAAAAGGAAAAAGAATTACTTTTACCGCCATCTTTAATGATTGGTGAACCATCAAATGAATATTGTGTGATATGCATAATTTATCTCTTTAAGTATAATGAAAACACCAATGATAGTCTCAAGGAGTAACTCTCATCCCTTTTAAAAAAACAAGTATGATATTCCTGTGAGTGTTATTATGGGAGGAAATGAGTAATTGAAAGGATAAAAACATAAATACCACTTTCATTTAACATCAGATAACATTATCTTCAAAAAAAAAAAAAAAATGAGATACCATTGTAGTACAATAGATAGTACTACATCTTACTATATTATAAACAAAAATCACACTTTAGAAAAAACACCACATTTTAGAAAAAGCACCACCATTTGCCATGTAGCATTTTCACATCATATTTTTAAAATAAATTTTATTTACACATCTCCTAGACTTAAAAGCAAATGCAGTCCAAATCCACCTTCACCTCCTATTTTCGCAAAAAAAAAAAAAAAAAACTACGTGTTCATAAAAAACCCAAATCCTCATCTCCATTTCCACGATAATCAACTCCCTAATCAATCCCTTCTCCACAATAAAAAAATTTTTTTTTTCATTAATCATCAATTGAGAATATGTGGTGAAATATACTCCTTTCCTATTACCATGTTAAATTTTTTCATTAGTGATGATCAACTACATCCTAATCTGATAAAAATTCGAGCTCAAAAAATATTCTCTTTACCTCACTATATAAAACAAAGGAAAAAAAAATTTTCTCATTGATCTTGCTTCGGCCATTATGGTGGTGTCATTACAGGTATTAAAATTTAAATGATTTTATTTCCGCAGATCATTTGTTTGGCTTTTATTATTTTTTGTTTTTTCTGTTCAAGAATAGTGTTATTACTATTATTTTTATGCGTCCATCCGTTACAGCTACCGTAGCCGTTGTCAGGTATATGATGTGATTTTTTATATAGTTAGTTAGCCTAGAATTTTTGTATAATTTTAGTTCTGTTTGGATTGAATTGATTAATTGGATTTTTGTTACAAAGTCTGGTTTTTTAAATTTCTTTTTTATGTTTCATTCAATTAGACTGGTTTTCTTTTTTTAATTATGGAGTCTCAGGTTTTTTTTCGTATATGGTCAGTTATGAAGTGTGTTTTTTTCTTTGTTTAATTTGATTTTGTTTCATACTCCCAGTTGACCAATTATTATTATTATTATTATTTTATTTTATTTACAAATGAAGCGCTTTTTTTTGGTATTCGGTCTTTCAAGAATATACTTTTTTGGGTTTGGTTTTTAGACTTTTTTTAGTTCCTCATCATATAAATAGTTCAGGTCGCTTCTTCTAACTAATTTATAGGGAAGCTTTTTATGAATTTGAGATGGAGAGGGAATGAATGATTTTTCTACGTTTATTTGTGTTTTTATACATCATTTTTACCTACAGAAAAAAATAAATTTCTCAATTTTTAATGGGCTATCTTTTAATTTCTTTTTTTTTTAATTTTCCATGGTGAGGTGAGTTTTTTTTTGCTATACCTTGAAACCTATGTAAATTTACATTATTTTCATTCTCATATTTGTGATCAACCAGTTTCAACAATTAACCAGTTTCAAAATCATATTTTTGATAGTTTACTACCTATAAACTTTTGGAAGAAATAATTTCAATAATTAAGCGTATACCTTTTGGAGGAAGCTTACTACAAAACTATTATAAATCTCCAAAACTAAGTATTGATTTGGCACAACCAATGGAGAATATCAATAAATTATCTGACTAATATTTAAACTTATGAGAATGATTTTATATTTTGTCTTGCATTTACTTAAAGACATATATTTGATCAAGTTTATTTATATTTAAGAAGTAACACCTATAAAATATATTTAAAATCTTCAAACATTTCTAAAACGTAGCGGGCCAAATACAATTTCTTTTTATGCTAAATACAAATATTTATATGATCACACTTATAAAACATTTCTAAATTCTTCAAACATTTCTAAAATATATCGGTCCAAATACAAAATAGTTTCTTTCCATATACAAACATTTTTAAAATTTACAGATGTATTGGGTCAGGGTCTGCGCGACCAGATATCACTAGTTTATTTTAGAATTAAACAGTATAGTAAGTACTATTTGTTACGAAGTACAATGGTTTTCATGGAGATAATCTAATTTTTTGGCCATGCAGTGTGTATTTTTAGTGTTTTTTTAGTCTTAAAATAAAATAAGTTTATAATTAGGTGCCGAATCGGCCAATGTATTAGACTATTACTACTAGTACTGTAGTCGTTTAGTAGGCCTAATCTCAATCCAACTAAAGTTGACTTAACTTTGCTGGAAAAATGCGCTTTCTTCTCCTTTCCGGCATGGGTTTCAACCCGATCCTCATAGTTTTATCACTTCTCTTCCTCCGCCTTCACGGATCAGTCGCTTCACCGGATTCAATCATCCGGATCCTACCGGAAGGTCGGGACAATTATTCCCACCGGAAAATTCCTCGGGAAGTTTATCAACAATGTGAGAGCTGGAGATTCACCGTCGAGACCAATGACGCCGGTCCCTTTAGCCGTATCCCATCGGAATGTGCTTCCTTTGTGAAAGACTACGTTACTGGCTATGCTTACATCTCGGATTCTGAGGCTGTAGCCGATGCGTCTATTGCTTTTGCGAAAACAGTTCAACTTGCCGGCGACGGCAAAGATGTTTGGATCTTCGACGTCGACGAGACTCTTCTCTCCAACCTTCCATACTACGCGGACCATGGATTCGGGCAAGTCAAGCAATTCTTAACAATGCTTTAATTCTGATCTCTTTCTGATTTTTGGATGCTATTTTGGTCAACTTTAAGAGTTTAAAAAATTTAACATTTCGAACGATTTAGCTAATGGTAAAATATAAACGACCATGTTGATTGGCCGTGTTAAATAGGGATGAAAGAATCAATTAAGACTTGCCTTGTGTTGGTTGTAAGGTATTTGATGTTGATTTTGCTTTACTTTTCCAGAATGATTGAGATTTGATGATGCGTTGTATCCATGTGAGTTTGTGGACCTTAGAAATCATTTTAAGAATGTGTTGGTCACTTGGTTTCATGGTATATTGGTATGTTGATGAGACTGAGAGTGGTGGTCCTTATGGACCTGTCTTAGTCTAAAAATGTACTTTGGAATTATCGGGATTGATTGTTTTCTTAGTTATGGTTTTATATTTGGTTTTGCTGTAAATGGTGAAGAGCTTCCCAGTGCCTACCACCCTCAATTCTTTCCAATGCCGTGTAATACTCTCTTTGTTCTTTCTGGCTTAACCTTGGTTTGGTCCTTGAGGTTATGTATGATGTGTTTGTGCAGATAACTATGTTGTGACAATGTACCTGATTCTCAGACAAGTAAAGGGGAAAATTGTCGTGCCCAACCGGGAACTTTTTACATCTCAACTGGTAGTCTTGAAAATAATTTATATGTACTGCATCAGAGATTAAAAACTGTGAAGTTCTTCTATTGGTTTACTGAAGTTTACCTGTTCTGCTTTATAGTTTGTATAATAGCTCTTTTGTCGAGTTTCTCCATGATGGTTTATTAAAGTGCACTTTGTTCAACGCAGATCGGAGATTTTTGATGAAAAAATCTTTAATGCGTGGATTGATTTGGCCGAGGCCCCTGTCTTGCCTGCGAGTTTGAGGTTATACAGAGAACTTCTGCAGCTGGGTTTTAAGATTGTTTTATTGACAGGCAGAGACGAGTCTCAAAGGGAAGTCACGGAGAAGAATCTTTATAATGCAGGATACAGCAATTGGGAAAGGCTTTTGTTAAGGTACTAAGCATTCGCGAGTGATCAAATATGAATTTCCCTAGTTTTTATTTTCACAGATAGTTGAGATGTTCTGATTGTGTGCATGTTCAGTATCAGTTCAAGCGCCTTTTTGTTTTTTCTTTTTACTAATCATGAGTTCTTTTTCATTTGTGCAATAGGGGGCCTTCTGACAGAGGCAAAACAGCCACCCTTTTCAAATCTGAGAAGAGGAAGGAGTTAGAAGATGCAGGCTACAGGATTCAGGGTTCCTCTGGTGATCAGTGGAGTGACTTGAACGGATTCGCAGTTGCAACGCGCTCCTTCAAACTCCCAAATCCTATGTATAGCTTTCTATAGTGAAAGAAAACAGGTGGGTGTTCCGTTCAATTTGTATATCAGCATATCCTCATTCATTTATCAAGCAAGAATCATGTATGTTTCCATTGCTGAAGATAGCCTTGAATTCTCATGAATAATTCATGCTGTTGCCAATTGTAAGAATTAAAGCCTTTATCTATCATTCAAAGTGTGATTACTTTTTGCCTTTTAAGTGACCAGTGATTTTGTGTGCTTATTTAACTTTCAATAGAAGGGTAGCATTTCTTGATGAGTTTTTTGACTCCCTTGTCAGCGCAATGTTAGGTGTATCGCGAATGGTGTTTTTGGAGTTTGGTTTTGATGTTAAATATGGCCTTCAAATTGTGGAAAAAAAGATTTATCAACGTATGGAAAAGATATGCACTAACTAATCTAGAACAACACCCTCATGGACACAATGAAAAGCTTTTGTGATTGGGTTATAGGATTTCTGACTTGTCATTGTTAGAAAATATTCCCAAGTTCTCTGAATCCCTCCCTAGATGAACATGGGTGCCTGGTTGGGTGGTTTCATACCCAAAATATGAGATGATTTGTGATGCTTGGATCAAAAATTGGGAATGAAAAAGTCCCACATTATTGGGATTGATTTCCAACAAGTCATTCCCCCACTTTTTGGAGGATATGAATCCCTCCAACAAAAATTATCTTCACTTCCCTTCTTTATCCTCACTCACCTAACCGTTCACGAGTTCTAACTCCCCCCATCATCACTAAGTAAATCTCATATTCACCGTCCTCTCCCCACATTCCTGCAATTTGTCATTTCCAATCTTGTCAAATTTAACGAAAGCCATTTCAAATTTTCTAATATTAACAAATCCAAGTAGTAATTTGAGAGTTTGGCCATACCAATTTATCAAAACCCATTTCAGTTAACAAACCAAGAGGCAATTGGAGAGTTCGGCCCCCTCGCACCGCCGTCGTAATGACGGTTTGCTCTCACAATTTTGCAATTGGAATTTGGCTTATCTGACTTGGGTTTGTGATTTGGATTTTGTGTTATTGCTCATATGTTCAATGATTTGATTAATTTGTGATTCAAACTGTGTTTGATGTGTTGTGAAGATGATACAAGGTGATGAAAGTTGGGCAGAAGGATGAATTTGGCGAAGAAGAGGTGGTTGTGGCTTGTGACTGGGAAAACAAGGAAGAGGATGAACATAAGAGATAAGATTCTAAGGGAAAAAATTGGCGGATCTACCCAAAGCTTTACATGTTTCGTCAATTATACCTTATTCTTTTTTCGGTTAGCTAATATTACCGTAAACTATCCAACCGTTAGCCGATTTTGTCCAATTTGCTATTTTCCGTCTAAATTAACGGAATTCTATTTGTTTTAATTATAAAAATACCCTAATAGTTTTAAAAATTTATAAAAATAACCCCAAAAATTTACAAAAATAATTTATTTTCAGTTTTTATTTAAAATTTTCTGTTTTTTTATTTCTTTTTACTGTTTTTCATAACTATAAAAATATATTATATGATCTTTTAAAAAAATATTTATTTTTAAACTTTAATGTACAAACTTTTAATTACATATTTGTATGTCATGTTTGATTTACATAAGCATATTAATTTTTTAATAATAGGTTTTACAATAATGATACTATTTTTTAATCTTTTTTTTTCAATATAAAGAATAAGATTATTTAACTAATACTAATTTTTCACAAAAAAATTAAACAATTCGCATAGATTAAAAAAGAATCTATTGGTATACTTCAATGTATTACAATTTAATTCAGCTGACTTTAGATTGTATTTTAAAATTTAAAAAGAAATCAAAACTAAAATATAAATTTTTTTTAAAAGGCCAAGTACAGACAGAAAGTAAAAAAAAAAAAAATACCTATTTCGTTTCTACGTTGGCCCAACACAAAAATATAGTGTCGTGGCATTTTTAAAAATGGTACAAAATATTTTATAAAAAATATGTATATTTATTACTGCGAGGGTTTAACATTTTGTGATAATGTTTTGAGAATTAATATATCTAACTTCAGCAGGAAGTCTTTTTTTTAAAAATAATAATAAAAAAAAATCTACTCCAGTACTGGACTCTACTTTTTTTTTTTACATTAAAAAAAATTAGATTTTTCCAGTAAGAATCGAACCTCGAACACAGTTTTAATCATCTCATATTTTAAATCACCTAACCATCTAATGGATCCCTATTACCTTTAGTGGATCTCGCTTAAACGTGGGTAAAATCACTCTCCCGGTTAGAAATACTTTGGTGACAATTAATCTTATATCTATTCTCATGAAATTTAACACCCTAAACACTACAGTACCATATATTTTAATTTAATAATTTTTTTTAATTGGATAATACAATCTATAGTCTATTTAGTTAATTTGCAATAAATTAAAATGTACTAATATATATATTTTTTTAATCTATGCTAAATGTTTTTATTTTTTGTAAAAAATTAGTTTTAGTCAAAAAAATCTTATTCTTTAAATTGAAAAAGACGAATTAAAAGAATAATATCATTATTGTCTAGCCACATTATTAAAAAAATTAATATGTTTATGTAAATCAATCATGAATTACAAAATGTATATCTATAAATTTGTACTGTAGTGTTTAAAAATAAATTATTTATTTAAAAGATCATATAGTATATTTTTATGGTTATGAAAAATAGTAAAAGAAATAAAAAAAAAAGAAAAATTTAAATAAAAACTAAAGAGAGACTATTTTGTAATTTTTATAAATTTTTGGGATTCTTTTTATAAATTTTTAAAACTATTAGGGTATTTTTATAATTAAAACAAATAGAATTCCGTTAATTTAGACGGATTATAGCAAATTGGACAAAATCGGCTAACGGTTAGATAGTGTAGGATAATATTGACTAATCGAAGAAAAAATATAGTAGAATTGACTACGCATGTAAAGTTTTTGGTAGATCCACCAATTTTTCCAGATTCTAATTGTTTAAAGGGATAGAAATGGAATTTTAACCCCATTCCAATTCTATCTCACATAAGAACCAAGCAGGCAAAATAAAATTTTTCAAACCCTTAGCCATCTTTATTATTCTATGAAAGTGAATCTTCTATTCTATGAATCCAATTCCGAAGAATCAAACCCTCACTGAACCAGGCATACCAGAACTTCCAGCATTTATTTTCAAGCTTTTACACCCTCTTATACACATAATGGCAATGAATCATAATCTGTCTAGTACACCGATTTATACAGTTCAAAATGGTTACTACTCAGTTACCCATAAACACCACCGCATTAATTTATTTGACCAAAGGGTGGTAGATTAGATCGTTGGATGGATAGCAAAATTCAAGAGAACTTAGATCTTGGAATGGTACTGTTTTAATTCTTGGAAAAAAAAAGAAGAGAAAATTCTTATTATGAACTCTGTAGGACTTAAAATTCCTAATCCATAAAATAGTGTGTAAAATGTACTAATAAGAATCCAAATCTTTGGATGCCTTTTAAGAGGAATTTTCTCAATATAGAATATTCTCCTCTCGAAAAAAAAAGAGATTTATTTTAATGTTTTAATTCGAAAAAAAAAAGATTTATTTTAATGTTTTAATTCGAAAATAACTCTTATATTAGCAAGGCCTTTTTATCTCCACACAAACTTACAAAAGTCGACCTGAGAAAAGGCGCGGGTTACATAGGAAGCGCGAAGATAAATCTGTAAGCGCTTTCTCGTTCCGGCATGGGTTTCAACCAAATCCTCCTAGTTTTATCACTTCTTTTCCTCCTCCACCTCCATGGATCAATCGCTTCACCTGATTCATTAATCAGAATCCTGCCGGAACGGGATTCCTCTAACCGCCGGAAACTCCCTCGGGACGATTATATACGATGTGATAGCTGGAGATTCACTGTCGAGACCAATGACGCTGGTCCCTGGAGCCGCATCCCATTCAGTTGCGCTACCTTCGTGAAGGATTACGTCTCCGGCTATCGATATACTTCGGATTCCGAGGCCGTGGCCGATGCGTCTATTGCTTTTGCGAAAACGGTTAAACTTTCCGGCGACGGCAAAGATGTTTGGGTCTTCGACATTGACGAGACCCTCCTCACCAACCTTCCCTATTACGCAGACCACGGATTCGGGCAAGTCAAAGCAATTCTTAACCATTCATTTCATTTTTTGAATGTTTGTATTCTCTTTTTGGATAAATCCCGATATCTGCTATTTTCGACTAAATTTTTGGAGTCACAAATTGCACATTTGAACTGTTGGCCTAATGAAAGTAATTAGCTCGCTGTAAAAAAAGGTGCACAAAAGTTTGATTGGGTTTAAGTTTTGTCAGGATTAAATAGAACTCCACTGTTTTGATTGTGACACTATTGATGTTATTCTTGCTTAATTTCTGATGAATGACTGAGATTGGTTGATGCATTATAGCCATGTGGAGTGTGGACCTCAGAAAATCACTTTTATGAATATGTAGTTAAGAGTATTGAATGGTCGCTGAGTCTGAAGAGTGGCTGATCCACTAAGGTCTCTTGTGTAGAAGTTCACATTGTTTTCTTTATACGATTTTATTATTAGGGTAGGATGTAGTTTCAAAAAAGTAATGCCTACCATCAACCATGTTGATAGAGTTTGTAACCATGGTAACTATGATATTCACTGATTCTTTATTGTGCTGCGTAACATGAGATAGTTTGCAAAAATATTGTTTTGTTATGGAGGACACGAATAAGAATTTACTAATGTATTACTAGTAGCGTGATTTATGTAATCTTAAAATAACTAAAACCAAAATTGTAACATGCAAAACGGAAAGTTTGCTGATCATTTGCGAAACATATGTCTAGTGCAACTCAGAATGGATGGGTGAACTTCTTCTATTGGCTAGATAGTTCTTTGGTTCCCTGGCTAATACTTGTTGTTGTTTGTTGCATTAAAAATTCGTCATTGATATTTGATTTGAAGATTCTTTTTTCTAATGCAGATCAGAGATTTTTGATGAAGAATCTTTTAATGCGTGGGTGGACTTGGCTGAGGCCCCTGCCTTGCCTGCAAGTTTGCGGTTATACAGAGAGCTTCAGCAGCTGGGTTTTACGATAGTGTTATTGACCGGTCGAGATGAATCTCAAAGGGAAGCTACAGGGAAAAATCTTTACTATGCAGGATATAGCAACTGGGAGAGGCTTTTCTTAAGGTAACTGATAACAGCATCAATTGAGTAATCATTTCTTAGTTTTATTTCTCAACATTCTCAAGTTGCTCTGTCTGTTCTCATTTTCTATATGCATTGTTTTTAGTGACTTCTATATATATTTCATGGATGTAACAGGGGACCTTCTGATAAAGGCAAAACCGCCACCATTTACAAATCTGAGAAGAGGAAGAAGTTAGTAGATGAAGGCTACAGGATTCAGGGCTCTTCTGGTGATCAGTGGAGCGACTTGCAAGGATTTGCTGTCGCCAAAAGGTCCTTCAAGCTCCCAAATCCTATGTATTACATTGCATAGTTAAAAAACCAGGTGAGATTTCGGTTCAAATTATCAGCAGCCTCATTCATTTTGGAACAAGCTCGCAAAATCCTATGTATTACATTGCATAGTGAAAAAAACAGGCGGGAATTCAGTTCAATTTGTACATCAGCATTTTCATTCATTTTGGAGCAAGAACTGATTTATGTATTCCCTATCTGCTGTAAGCCATGTCTTGTTCTGAAGTTGCCAATTGTACAAATAAATCCATTTATCAACAATGTCATTTGTGATTATTTTTCTTATTCCTATCGACCATCCAACTTTTAATTGAAAGGAACGAGTGAATTGGTATTTTACTGGTATAAATATGCAGGCTGCTTGGCTGCACAAGGCCATGGGTTATGCAGATAGTTTTCGGGTTTTGTTCTTATCATCACTGCCTTCAAAATGCCCAGTTTTGATATTCTTAGGTGTTGAACTAAAACATAAGAACAATATGAACTATTAAAATGGGATATAGGTAATATTAAATTGGAAAACCATGCCTTAGAAACTGCGCCAAGAGAATACATCGGAAATCAAATCCACAATTCAATCAGGCAATGGATACAATGAAAAGTCTTGTGAATGAATAATGTGATTGGTATGGTTAGTCCACTGTCGATGTATTTTGACCAGTGGAGTAGAAAAGATTGTTGGAACAATAAGTACTTGATGATATATTTCATGAGAGATAACAATTATTGAATGAAGATGTCACGTGAACGTTATGAATCTATATCCTTATTGAACAGAGCAAGACACTGAGATTGAGAGAGTGCATAATTCAAGACTCAAAATTTGTGTTGGGCAAAATATGCTTTCGAGCATCAAAACAAAAATTACCTCAGAAAGTGCAAATTTCATTCGTTCATTAAACAAACGCATCATTGAATTGATCACCCCCCCGTGCACTAGCTGCCAAAAAAATGTTTGTCACCCCTGCAGTGCAGTAATCTTTCTATTGAAGACAAGACACCAATTACCCAAAACTCTAGAGATATTATCATATAGTAATACTATATAAAATAATGTTGTTATCCACAATCTTAATCAAACAATTGCATGTGGAAATTTTAGCATCATAAAGTACTAAACAAATGGAAAGAGCCTCTGTTCATGGCTTCTCTCTTTCAGTTAATGAGTGACAGCCCATACAAGGCAGTCAGTGGTCATGGTTGTAGCCTCTCTTTCCTCTATCATTGATGTGATGGGGTTGGAGAAGTTTTCTCAGTCATCTGATTTCCGAACAGTGACCCACAAACCAGCGGCTTCGGCGTCGGAATTCTCAGGCAACTCAACCCACCTCCCGGAATAACAGAGCATTCCGGCTCAGGCCTCTGCATTCCGATCCCCGGTATACAATTCAACGAGATATCGAACCCAATGCTTAACCTGGAGCAGTCATGGTTGAACCCAGAAAAGAAATTGTAAGCAACTGTCAAATTCAGCAGGTTTCTCAACGAACAGACCAAATCCGGCAACACCCCAGATAGCTTGTTGTGTGCAAAATTGAGAACCTCGATTGTGTTCAAGCAAGAAATGCTGTCCGGCAAGTGTCCCATCAACGAGTTGGAGCTAACATCAAGAACTTGCAAATCCGTCCATTGCCCCACTCCTTCAGGGATACAACCAGTTAACTGGTTGTTGAGGAACAGGATTTCTTTGATCCCGGTGTACCCAAAACTGAACGGAATATCACCGGTTAGCTTATTGTTAGCTAAATTCACCACAGAAGCTGGAGAGTTACCCAAATTTTGGGGAAGATTACCCTCAAACTGGTTGTTGTTTAGAAAGATTGCGTCGAGTTTCTTGTTGAATAGATCTTCAGGAATGTTGCCTGAGAAAGTGTTGAATCTGAGGTCTAAGTAGAGTAGATTGGGAATAAAGAGGACGGTAGTAGGGAATGGCCCAGAGAATTGGTTGTTACTGAGGTCTAATTCTGTAAGAGAAACAAGATCTTTGAAAGTTTCTGGAATGGAACCCGTGAACCTGTTGCTGTTGAGGTGAAGCAGAGACAAATCCGTGAGCACAGAAAGTTCTGTAACAAGAATCCCCTGAAGATTTGCATGGTTAAGATCTATACCAGCAATAACTTGCCCAGTTGGATTACCCATATAATCTTGAGTGTTGGAACAGAACACTCCTTTGTAAGAACAAACATTTGGTCCGACCCAATTCTTCAAAATCCCCAATGGATCTTCTGTAATGGCTGACTTCCATGCTTGAAGAGCAGTGTAAGCTTTACTGAGCTTTGACTCATCTGAAGGACCAGCTGAAGGCATTGGGTTGCTGATCATTCCTCCTCCACCTCCACCGCCGCCGCCCATCCAAACTCCGGCGCCACCTCCACCAACGCCAACGCCAATGCCAACGCCACCACCAACCGTGAGTGAAGCCTGAATTCTGTGGACAAGGAGGAGAAGAAGAAAGGAGATCAAAGCTGAATTCTTTCTCTGTTTCTCCATTAATTATGAGAGTGATGAACAGTAATAAAAACAAAGAGAATCCAATAGAAAGTTATGGGGCCTTTTTCTAAATTCTTGCGAGATTGTGCAAAAATGAGGTTGCAATAGCATTGAATGACATGAAGGGTGGTTTGGTGGGGTATTCGTTTTGTCTTAAATGAAGGGTTTTCAATTAGACATATATTTTATGAATGAATGATAATAAACCTGTAAAAAATGCTGTAAACATCTTTCCCGGGTTTTGCTTTTTGCATTTTCTTCTGGGACCTATGGGGATTTATGATTTTTATTTTATGTTGGTTAAAAAGCATAATAAAGTTTCTTCTGCTATGGCCGATTAATAATGGCTAGTCAACAGCTAAAAAAACAGAGCATGCGACCCACTTTTTGGACATGGAAATTGCTTAAAGGTGACACTTTTATGCAGTGGCTCATCCACAGAGGAGAGATGGATCAATCTTGTACTTTTTCCTGATAATTATGAGAAAATGACGGGGTATGATGATCACCATGTGAATTCATCTACATCCCAATGGAAAAACAAAGAGTATGTATTACTCAAAACAGAGTCTGGGAAAATGATTGCAGTGATTTTCTACTGCACGTAAAAATGGTAACATTTCATATTCATAATGTTGTACGAACGATTGTGTTATGGAAATTTCCATTTTCCACCGGCATTTGTCTGAAATTTTTATCTTCATTTGAATGATTGGTTTACTACTTCTCTGTCTGCAGTCTGCACAGCCATTCCGGTGGCAAATTGAACCTGAAAATGTTCCCCCAACCAGTAAAAAGGATTTTTCAGTAAAAGAAAACGCGTGCAATTTTTTTTAATGGTCACCAGCTATTATGAATTTTTCTCCTAAATTCATTATGACATCAAAGATGTTAGTTGGAGGGAATCAGGGAATCATCCAAATAGTCAATCGAAGTTTTGTTCTTCTTTTTTTTTTTTAAAATAAAAAAATAAAATAAAATTTATGCACCCATGTTCCAAACTGTTTATCCAAGTTTTAGCCCAATAATATGATTTCTTCTGAAAGGCAGAAGCTCGCCTAAACAAAAATTGTAATCACTGCAAAAGTCAGTCATTGTTTGTTTATTTTGCTGTAAACAAAAGTCAATCATTGAATCGTCCTTAGATTCCAACAAATGGGTTTTTTTTTTTTAATATGTCACATTTAGAGAAAACTGATTAATTAATCTCCCATATTGTTTATGAAACTATAGTTCTTTATTATTCATTCATTCAACATTTCAACTGAGTTGTCTTTTAAATTTGGTAGCTGGCGCATTAGGTGTGTTTATATGAGTTATTCTCCATTTCGGCCAATTATTATAAAAAATGTCCAGATATAGTACTATAAATTCTTGTTCATAATGAATCTCATAAGCAGAAAAATTTGAAGTTGATAGAGAAGTAGAAGTACGGATCGTGCATGTTTTTGGAGATGGGAGGTTTATTTATTTAATTTATTACTGTTAAGGTATAAATCTCACTTTAGATAACCCGGCTCGCGTTGATGGAATCTCATCATTGGGGATGTGGTGTTCCAATTTTAGCCAATACAACCTGCCAAATAAAAGGATACTCGTCTCCAGAAGCGATCTTGAGAACAAGCTCCCATGGTCAAGTTTAACTTGTCAAAAATGTTAGTTCATCCACCAAAGTTACAGATAAAACCCCAATGCAAATACTACTAGCATAGAGAAAAGGAGGAAGAAGATCTCTTACCCTTAAGGATATAATTCGTCTTTTATTTTTAAGCCAGACTTATAAAATATTTCTAAAAGGAGGCATCAAACTTTGGTATTACACATATTATAGGAAATACGGACTGTGAACTCCTCAGAAGGGATCTTAGAAGGACAGTCATCCTGGTAGAAGCACACCCACTAGTGCTACTTTTAATTTTACTTATGGATAATTTTATTTCTTGTCTGCTGATTAATGATAATAGAAATGTACAATATTGCATACAATCGAATGATATAGTATAATTAATACAGTACTGACATTGCAAATAATATACACATCGGCTATATACACATTGGCTTGCAGTCACAAAGTTCCTTCTTCCATTAGCATAGAAATGGTTTACACTATCCCAATGTAATTGGATGTTTCGAAATCCCAATGGCCCCAAGCTATTTGCAGACCAAAAATACATCCACCAAAACTCAGCTTCCAATACAGAATTAGAATAATTTGGGCCTAAAGCATGGGCCTTGTCACCAGACTCATTCTTGGACCTAGCCGATAGCTAGTTTGCTACAATTTTCTCCTCCAAAAAGAGAATTAATGCTACCATTAAGTACCACTTCAAAATAAACAATAATGTTTATTTTATTATATATATATGTATATATATATTTTTTTTATACAAAGGAAGCCAATGGCTTAAGTTACATATCAGGAATATTTATTTATATTTTATATATATTTTTTTATAGATGAGGGAAGCTGATTGCTTAATGCTACAATCAGGAATATTTATTTATTTATTTATATTTATTTGTCTAAAGCTATTACCATTTTCGTCTTCCCGAAAAGTTTTGGCAAATACAGTGAAAGACTGCAGTTCTTATACGGGAAAAATTGGTTAATTTACCTTAAACTTTACATGCGTTGTCAATTATACCTTATTATTTTTTGATTAGTTAATATTACCCTAAATTATCCAACCGTTAGCTGATTTTGTCCAATTTGCTCTTTTCTGTTTAAATTAACAGAATTCTGTTTGTTTAAACTACAAAAATACCCTAATAAATTTAAAAATTATAAAAATAACCCAAAAAATTTACAAAAATTATATTTTTTGTTTTTATTTCTTTCTAATATTTTCATCACTATAAAAATATACTATATGATCTTTTAAAAAAAAATTATTTATTTTTAAACTCTAATGTACAAATTTATAATTTGATATTTGTAAATCATGTTTAATTTACATAAACATATTATTTTTTTTAATAATATGATTTAACAGTAATGATATTATTTTTTTAATCTATTTTTTTCAATCTAAAGAATAAGATTATTTAACTAAAACTAATTTTGCACAAAAAAATAACACATTTAGCATAGATTAAAAAAGAAATTATTGGAATACTTTAATGTATTACAATTTAATTCAACAGATTTTAGATTGTATCATAAAATTTAAAAAATAATTAAAACTAAAATATAAATTTTTCTGTAAAAGGCCACGTACGAAAAGAAAGTAAAAAAAAAACACCTATTTCATTTCTACATTGGCCCAATACAAGAATATAGTGTCATGGAATTTACAAAAATGGTACAAAATATTTTATAAAAAAAATTTATATTTATCACTGCGAGGTTTTAACATTTTGTGATAGTTTTTTGAGATATTAATATATCTAACTTTAGTAGAAAGTCCTTTTTTTAAAGAAAAAAATAATATAAAGAAAATCTATTCCAGTACTGGACTCCACTTTTTTTTTTTGAAAAAAAATTAGATTGCCCCAGTGAGAATCGAGACATCGAACACAGTAATTTTATCTCACATTCTAAATCATCTGACCATCTAACCATCTCGCCTTTAGGAGACCCCGTTTAAATATGGATAAAATCACTCTTCCGGTTAGAAATCCTTTGGTGAGACTTAATCTTATCTCTACTCTCATGAAACAGAAAATTTGGCCGATTATTTTCTAATCTAGGCTAAATTTTTTAATTTTTTGTAAAAAAAAATAGTTTTAGTGTAAAAAAAAAATCTTATTCTTTAAATTGAAAAAAATGGATTAGAAAACTAATATCATTATTTTCTAGCCATAGTATTAAAAAAATTAATATGTTTATGTAAATCAACCATGAATTACAAATATGTATATCTATAAATTTGTGCAGTATTGTTTAAAAATAAAATTTTATTCTAAAAGATCATATAGTATATTTTTATAGTTATGAAAAATAGTACAAAGAAATAGAAAATAGAAAAAAAATTAAATAAAAAGGGAAAAGAGACTATTTTGTTAGTTTTACAAACTTTTAGGGTCATTTTTATAATTTTTAAAACTATTAGGATATTTTTGTAATTAAAACTAACAGAAAATCCGTTAATTTAAACGAAAATTGACAAATTGGATAAAATCGGCTAACGGTTGAATAGATTAGGGTAATATTGACTAATCGAAAAAGAATAGGGTAAAATTAACAACGCATATAAAGGTTAGGGTAGATCGGCCAATTTTTCTTTCTTATACTGGTTGGCCACTTCTTAATTTTATTTTTTTATTATTTTTAAATACTAATCTAATTAAAATGTTTAAACTTCCTTAAACCTTAAACACTAAACATATTATATTTTTTGTTTGTTTTGATTTTTTTAATTCAACCTTAGTTTAATTGAATTAAAAAAATTATAAGTTAATCATGTTACATCACGCACTAGATCTTAACCAAATTAAAATATTTAAACCTTCCTAAACCTAAATCATAATCATTAGACCCTAATCTAATTGAAATGTTTAAACCCTCATAAATCCTAAATACTAATTACTAGACTCTAACCTAATTAAAATACTTAAACCCACCTAAATCCTAAACCCTAAACACACTATGTTTTTTATTTGGTTTAAATTTTTTTAATTCAATTAGGCTAGGGTCTCCTAACTTAATTGAATTAAAAAAATTTATAAGTTATTCATATTAAATCACACACTAAAACGTAACCTATTAATTACGTGCGTAAAATGGGATTGAAACTGCATTAAAAAAAATTTTAAAGTTAAAAAAACTAAAATATAAAATTAAAATCAAAAAGAAAAAAAAAGAGAGCAGTGAGCAGGCGCGTCAAACGCGCTCCTGCCCAGCCCGGTGCGCCCTAAGCTGAGTGCACCGGGTGCTCAGTATAGATTGCGTTCAGACTGAGCCTAAAATAGACAGTAGTTCATCCAAGAGCCTAAAAGAGGTTTCAATTGGGCCATTGGCATACTTGGTGGAACTGAAGCTTTTCAGCTAATCGCGTCATCACGTGCGGATTTAGTTTTGGTGAAGCCAATTTCCATTTCAAAGTTCCTTTTAATTAGCAGGCAGTCCCCATATCTTTGCAGTGAATGACTATTGGCCACCGCCACTTTCTTGGACCACATGGTCCAATTGACATTGAGGTTTGGTTAATGGGTTACGTTGGAATTTTGTATTTTTCCGTTGTAAATATAAGTATAAACTTATTTCAAGAAACAAACAGAACAACCATTATAGAAATGATAAATGTAGAACAACTTATTATCCACAATCAATTTTAGAATAATCAACATCATCATTTAACTATCCCAGCAAATTTAAATACTATATATTCATAGACTTGAGCTTCAAAATCACGAATCTACAGAACAACATTATTCACTACACAAGTTATGGTAGAAATATAAATCCACAAATTCAAAGATGGAAAAAGAAAAACGTATCGTTGTAAATTAATTATTTCTGTGAAAAATTACAAATTTTTATTGACAACTATAACACGGTAGATATCATATTACAATTACAACACCTCTTAGACATTGAATATCCTTGAGAAGGTATTGATTTGGATACTTGAGGCAAGGCTATGACTCTTTTCATCTTAGTGTACCAAAAAAAGGTGAAACATGATCGAAAAAGACATTGCATATGCAGTTTTTCGAAAGTATAAGCACAATATCTGGGTTGAGAATTGATGATATGTCTAGAGTCTTGACTGCTAATTGAAGAAGTTCCAATCAATTTTCCCACTCAAATTGAAAAACGAAAAAATATATATAATTTAACTCCTATTTAAGGTAAGAAGATCGTTAGCTCCTGTAATTAAATTTCGAGATTTGACAGAAGGACCACTGGTTGGATAATTTTTTAAAAGAAAATTACATTGACTTTGTGTTGTGTTGATAAAGATAAGAGATAGCATGTTCTGTAATTTTCAACGCTCGTGTTTTGAATTTCAGGTTTTACTTGGACAAAAGTGATGACACTTGCATTACTTACTGAGTAATTTTCAAACCTTTGTTTATTTTTTGCTCTTTTTTTTTTTAATTTTATTCTATAGGCACTATTCAATATTTTAAAATGTTACCGTCAGACGATATCAACCTCAAATGTAGGCTTTCTATTTAATGTTGGATAACAAAAATCATTCCTACCATGATGAGTAGATCATTGGTTGAATAATTCAATTACTGAAATGATTCACGTCATTTATTAGATCACCAGAACACTCCTTATCCGGTCTGATCAAATAACAATTTTTTTTTCCCGCTATAGTAACTTATATTTTACTTTCTATTCTTAACATAAGACATAGTAAATAAATAATTTTACGAAATTTCATGAAAATAGTTAAGTCAATTTGTTTTTGATAAACTACCTAAATGACACTTGTTAAAATGTATCCACACTTCTACTACCTAATCAAATTAAAGTTACAGGAAAGTTGGAAGTATATATGAATGAAATATTAACGATATCAAATGCTTTGTAAATAAAATTAAGAGTTTTTTTTTTTAAAAAACAAAAACTTATAAAAAGACTGGAGGGAGTGGTACGCAAAGATTGGTTTTGTTCGTTTATGTGTTCTTTTTTTAAAATATATATATATGTGTGTGTGTGTGTGAATAAAAACAATTAAAGGAAAATTCAAGGTTTTAGTTCCAATATCTACCAAAATACTCATTATGATCCAGAAAAATAGTTTTCGTTAAGTTTTTAAATGTATACTGTTTTTAATATCAATATCAATACTCAATGTGGACTTTTGGGGGGAGGGGGAGAGTGATTACTAGATTTTAGTCCCGGCTTATACACTTTGGCCAATTCAGTCACATAACACTTTACTAGTTCATAATTTAGTCCTGTCATCCTGGGAAAAAAAAAAAACAGGACATTAACATTTTTTCCCCCCTGGTTCCGTAAAGGGAGGTTAGGGTCTTGTTTTAGCCTTTTAGGGTTCAATCGGGTAAAGTCTATGGTCAAATTAGTGCCTTTTTTGATCTTTAATGTAGTGTTAGGACTTAGGAGTTGGGACTGACTCAGCAACAAGTATGGTCCTCTAAGAATGGGTTCAATTGGGAAAATCTTATAAATTGAGACTAAATCCCGTTAATTAGGTGAACTTTGGGACTGAAACCTCAATTCACCCTTCTACTAATTTTGGTGTGGAACTTTCCCCATAATAATAATCTAAATACGGGTAGTAATTTATTGGTGGATGTGCGTTATTCCGTAGACATAATAATAATAATTAAAAATTAGTGTAAATTCTCAAACTCAAAAAAGTTTTTAGTGAATATACGCCTTTTCTTCTCTCTCCTCCCTCAGTTCCTCCCTTCTCGGCCTCTCTGAAGTGTACTGGGTTTGACGTCATTAGAGGTTTCTCGTTCACCGATACACCCCCCCCGTTCCGCCGCCACTCTCATCAATTGGGAAACACACTGGTCCGTCATGCGTGTAACTGAAAGTACCCACCGATCTTCAATTGTGATGGCAGCTCCTTCTTGTTGTTGTCCCCATTCATAGTCATTATCGACTTTTCCCCTTCTCGAATTGGTATTTTCTGTTTTAAATTTTCGGAATTCATCGTCAGTTTCTATCGAGGCGATCAGGGTTTTCCAGATGAAGATCGAAGATTTGGATGAGAAAGATAATGGGCGTGACAAGGGCGGATTTAGCGATGATGATAGTGATGACGATTGTAGGAATTTTAGCCAGTACCGGAGGTTGATAGTTAGGGTCGATGCTAAGAGAGCTCTGGTCGGTGCGGGTGCTCGGATCCTCTTCTATCCGACGCTTTTGTATAATGTTTTCCGCAACAAAATCAATCAAGCTGAGTTCAGGTGGTGGGATGAAATCGATCAGGTTAAATCTCTATCTCCCGTTTCTTTTTTTGCTTTCTGAATCTCCATTGGCTGAAGAAACTATTGGTGTAGTTTTGAGACGAAGTGCGTATAAGGATTATTGAACTGACTTTTCTTTTTGAAGTTTCAATTGAAAATTTTGAGACTAAGTGCGTATAAGGATTAATTTGCTGGTGAAAATTCTATATATCTGCGTGTTAGGTTTTAGGGGAATCTTCTACTGATTGGTGAATGGCAGGTAAAAGTATTAAGAAACAATAGGTGTAGTTCGATGGCTGATACATTGTTATGATCATTCCGTTGGATCGTTTGCCTATCGGTTTGGGAGGGCACATGATATTGGTTTTGTGATAAAAGGGAGAGCTGTTTATGGAGTTTTGTTTGTTATTGGTTGCAAGTTACTAATGCCTAGCTGTAGGTTGTAATTTATTTGAAAACAGATTCAAATACGTTTGGCAGTATCGGGAATTATTAGAGTATCTGTTACGTCCTACAAGTTCACTTTCTTGTTTTTCTTTTTGATGCATAGATATGGTAATTCCATTGACCTTTTATTCATTTGTTTCCCACTGTTTATTTTCTATCCAGTTTTTGCTTCTTGGAGCAGTTCCATTTCCGAAAGATGTTCCTAGGTTGAAGCAGCTTGGTGTTGGTGGAGTTATTACTCTTAATGAGCATTATGAAACCCTGGTCCCAACTACATTGTACCGTGTAAGTGATTTGAGCGACTCTATTTCAGATTTTGAGTTTAAAATTGTCACATATGTTCGGTAAAGGATACAAACTGATGGAGATTTACCTTGCATCTGTCATTTAGTTGTTTCATCTAATTACACTTCATTTTCAGGCTCATGGGATTGCTCATTTGGTTATTCCTACCCGAGACTATCTGTTTGCACCCTCTTTTGTTGATATCAATCGGGCTGTGGATTTCATTCATAGTACGCACATCTTCCCTGTACTTACACCGGTACTGCATTTGAAGAAAAGTTAATAATTGGCACTTCATTGATCATGATGTGTATCTTCTTTTGATTGCAGAGAATGCATCCAAAGGTGAGACAACATATGTACACTGCAAAGCGGGTCGAGGAAGGAGCACGACAGTTGTTCTCTGTTATTTGGTATAATATTTTTGCTCCTTGATCTAAGGCATTTTTTATTAGTGGGACTCTTGGCTGATTGGTTTTGCTGCTTGTATCTAGATTGTTTGCTATAGGAAAATGTGAGATTATGTGGTTGTTTGTTGACATGCAGGTGGAGTACAAGAATATGACTCCAGTTTCTGCTCTGGAGTACGTCAGGTCTCGGAGACCTAGAGTATTGTTAGCTCCTTCTCAGTGGAAGGTAACCACTAAAGTCCAATTGATGCATAATTGTTTATGCCTAGATTGAGTGCTTTAATATTTCAGTGCTGTATTTTTTTGTTTGTCAATAGGCAGTACTTGAATTCAAGCAGTGGCGAATGCATTCTGCCTCACTCTCTCCTTGCAGAGATGTTGTATTGATCACAAAAGCTGACTTGGAAGGATACCAGAGCCCTTGCAGGGACACTTCGAAGAAGATTGTGATTGTTCCCAGAAGGACTAGGACAAAGCCAATGATAGCAAGGTTGACTTGCTTCTTTGCAGCCCTGAAAGTTTCGGGAGGTTCTGGACCCCTAACCCGGCAACTAACTGCAACACGGGCATGCTAATTCCAGCCTGAATGGTATGGTTTTGGATGCTTGCTTGTACAGGGGGAGCATAAAAGGTTCCATCAGTGGTCTTAAAGAAATAACAGGAAGAGAATTTGATGGTCCCTCTTTATGTGTGACTTAGATGCTGGCTGTTCAACTCTCTCTTCCAGTGAGCGCATAGATAAATAAGACGAGGCTATTGCTGATCCCCTAAATCTTTTGTTTTAACATGAGGTTTGGATGATTGGCTTTAGTCCAATTGTACATATTTGCATCAGTTTTTTCCCGCATTTTGGCAACCCTTCCTTCCCTTATTCTTCTTTCTTCACTCTAATTTTGCATTGGTTTAGATCTTCCCGAGCATGACTTCTCTGACCAATATGAACGCTGGTATTATTGGCCCAGTTCTCCTCTTACATAATCTGAAAACAAGTTAGGGCAATTAATTTAAAATTGATCGTTGGGCCTGTATTGTGGCACTCTGCAGAACCTTGGGCTCTACACTCGGGCTATATACAATTGTAACCCATTAAGAAATTAATTCTAAGGTGTGTATTGGATCATGTATTACGTCAACCGCTCTAAAATAATAATAATAATAGGAGGCCTGATTATTATACCGGAAAATAAGTGGTTATCCGTTCTAGGTTTCAAAAATTTTACTCCCTCCGTCCCATAATTATTGTCCTGTTTGAATTTTTATTTTTAGTTCAAATTGTACTAAAAGTGAAATTTCAAACTGGACAATAATTTTAGGACAGAAGGGGTATTTATTAATATACAAATATATTCAACAACATTACATGAAATTCTCAAAATGAATTATTATGATTTCTTTTTTGGGCAAGTGTCTATTGTAAAGTAATTGGGTTTGGTCCGTTTGGAATTGGGCGGAGCCTGAAAATACAAAAAGAGAGCTAAACAAAAGGAAGGAAAAGCATTGGGGCTAAAAAGCCCAAATAGACTCGGAAATAATTGTAGCACATCCTTTTTTTTTGGTTTAAATTGATTCGCTCAACTTTAAGATTGATCTACTGATGAAGTGTTATGATTTGATTTATCTATTTATTATTTTATGGAATAACAATTACTGGACGGAAGCAAATCAGAATATGGGTTAAGACGAAGGCAGAAATCTTTTTGAAGGAACACTTCCATATCCAGGTTTGGAGAATATTAGTGCTAATCTTTAATTAATTAGTTCCGGCTACAAATCATATATTTTTTAACACTATTTTAACACTGATCGTCACAATCAATGTCTCCCATCATGTTCACAAAATCAACTATTTTTGGCAAAATAGATTTATTGGGGGAAGATATCCTTAGGCCTTAGCATCTGAGGCCGGCCGAATACTAGGGATAGCCTTTGAATTTCTTTAGCAAACTGATAATTATTTTTTAATTACTTGTCAAACACCATTTTATAATCCATATTCTCCTCACATTCCCCCCACTCTCTTTTTATCACTCTATTTCCCCCGCGCCACCCCCCGCCGGTCTTATATATAAAGTACAAATTAAACCTAAACTTAACTGAAACATGTACCTTATGAATAAAATAAAAGAAAGTTCAATGTATATATTTCAAGTTAGATGAATAGTGTATAGAATACATATGAATATAATGACGTTTCTCAATCACTAATCAAATATTTTGATCTCTAGTTTTCACCGTTATCCTGTTAGTTAAGATCATTTTATAAGAAATTAATGATGTAAATACTTCAGTCATCTAAGGACATTGAAGTATGATACTTTGAAATGTAAAATGGAGGGAGTATTAATCAACTAGATATATAAAAAGCTAGAAAAGAAGTTTTTTTTAATAAGAATAAATGTGGAGGGTTGTTAACTCAAGTCACAATTATATTCCCAATCCCTTTTCTTTAGAGAAAGAAGAAAAACCATCTTCTCAAAATCTAAATGGATTGAAGACCATATCTGCAGCCTTCAAATCAGGCTTAGATTTATGGGGTAAGAACTTGAAAATGTGACAACTTTTTTTTTTTTTTTTTTTTTGGCAAATTAAAGATCTGCTCGAAGAATAAAAAAAAGGTAACTGTGTTTTTATTTTTAGGGTCATGTTGTCATATTCTGCATCCCATTATATACACTTAAAAATTCCTTCCTGCAACTTTGCTAAGGGTCCGAATCTACACCACTGGCTTCCCAATTAGTAGTACTGAACTGTATCTGTACGCTGTGTAGAATATGAATTAGTACAACTTTAAAAGCAGCCCACAAAATCTTCCCCTAAAGTGATGAAAGAATTGAATTTCGACTTTTTTTGATTGAACACGACAGGCAGCTGGCTCTGTAACTGTGTTACTTCATGCAATAAAAGTAAGAATCAAACTCCCAACCTCACGTTTAAATATCAAATATCTTAATTGATGGTTAGGGCGCCATGATTTGATTAATTTCTGACAACAAAACAATCATTCTTCACTTTCCCTCAAAATACTAAAACTAACAATCAGAATCCTTGTTTTGTGCATGACAAACAAATTTCACCGTTTCCAAATTTCCAGTGTCATAGACCTTATTATTCCTTCCTTCAAAAAAAAAAAAAAAAAATGCTCCTGCGGATTTTAGTGTCTCTATCTTTATATTCATTTGCACACATTGATAATTTGCATTTGAAGCATCTTGAATAATCATACTAATTTTTCTGTGTCAGGATATATACTAGCTATATTCTCAAACAACTGGCAAAAAGTAAATTCAAGATTGGGTATAGTGATTCAATCTTTTAAAAGTATCGTTTTCTTCTCTTACCAACTAACTAACCCTTTCAAAGGTTTCATAGTACATATTTAAAACAGATGCAAAGGAAAAAGAAACATCCATTTTATATGTATACAGTATTTTTTTGGTTATGACGGATCTTTTGCACTGTTTTGGTAGGCTATTTTAGTTACTACATGATATTGTTTGGTTCATAAGATATATTCTTCCCGCCACAAAATATTACTACTACAAATTTGTTGTTGAACTATTTTATTCAATAAAGTGGATTATTAACCTAATGTAATTCTATTTTTTCTTTCTACCAGGTTTTCAACATAATTATGGTGTTGCTCGCCAACTTACAAGAAAAATTAGATCAATCCGCCAAATTTGGGGAACGAGGTTTATTTGCAATTTACATAGCGTTCATTTAAAAACTATTTTATTTTTCAGTATATAATGCATGCATGCGTGTTCAAAACTTTGATATATCTCGTTGTGCATGAAAGTTCAAAATTATTTTAGTTTCAGAAATATGACTATGATCATGACGTGTGTGTGTCTACAAGATGATTTTACAAGCAATATTGTTTTTTTTTTTCTTGGGGTTAGGTTATACATGGACAACAAATTAAATTCAGTAGGTTAACTTCACCGAAGAAAGGAAGTGAAGTTAAACTGAAATATTGTAAAAAGTGGAAAACACACACACACACACACACACACACAGAGAATGAATGGAACGTGGTCATTTCAAAACTAAAGCTTATTCTTGTCGTCTTTATGCAAATTATTCCCCCGAATTCTTTCGTCGGGTGTGTGTGGGCTCTTTCTTTAATCTTTATTCCTCTCGAGAAAGAGATACTACGATGAAGTTGTCTCCTCAAATCCTCGTCTTCTTTTATTTTAGCTTTAGTACATGCACGTACCATATATGACTACAACCAAAAAAATACTCCATCCGTCCCACAAAATAGTCCATATTGAGTTTTGAGTTTTGTACTGTTTTTAATAGAAATTTGAAAACTCAATATGTATTATTTTTTTTGAGACGGAGGTAGTAAAACACCACCATGCACGTCACCTTATCTCTCTCTCTTTGAATTTTCTTTTTCCATGATATATTACACCCTTAGAAATTATTGACTTGATAATTCAAATGAAGTAAAGTAAATTTATATCTCTCCCCCTCATATGTATAGAATTTTTTTTTAACGCATTTGAATCTGATAAACAAATCGATCATTCTTGTAAGAAAAAAGAAAAAAACAGAAACGATCATTCTTGGTTTACAGATTACAATGTGGACATAGATTAACGAGGTTAATTGGAGCCTACTTAGGCCATCTTCATTCACGGCATCAAATTTAGGGAGAGATTCTTAGAAACATAGGAAAAAGTATAAGACACATCAATGGGCTTTTCATAAACCAGTAGTAAAATAGTAATTGCTATCTCATTTCTATAAAGGAAATAATCAGCATCTTTTGCTCTAAAAGTGAGTGCCGAAACACACAGCGCTAAGTAATTAACAAAGTATTTCATCCATCTTCACTTTGCACAAATCCTAACACATTAATCTATCATTTTCCTTCCTTCTTTTTTTTTTTGTTCTTGGTGTTTTCTGTATAACAAAAAAAGAAACATATACAAGTATCTAACAATAAACAAATAGTACTAATAAGAATAGGGAGGGATAAAGACGATGATATGGTAATCATAGAGGTGATGATTCCGTCAAAGTCTGGAATGGAATGCAATTTTTAGAGCTTTTGATAGCTTTTTGGGTCATTGGAAACCCCTTGCTTCTGTCAGAACAACCCCCCAAGCAGCCTTTCTAGCTTTGCTTTCTTTTTCTCTGGGGTTTTCTTTTCTTCTTTTTTTTTTTCTCTAATATTCTTTGGCTAGCTTTTCCAACATGGGTTTCTGTAGTACTAGTTAGTTCAGTTGAACCATGAAATTCAGAGCTTGGGGACCTTACCAGCAATTTCAGTGCCAAAAAAAAAAGAAAAAAGAAAAAGAGAGAGATCATTTGGATAAAGAGCCTAAAGGAAGAAGAAATATATGTATAAGATGGTACCATATCTAGCTAGTTGTTACTCTCTCCAGGGCCACTTATTTTTGGAAAAAAGAAAGTTGCAGCTTCTCCAAGTACTAATGATGAAGATTGAGATGAGTATGTTTGATCATTTTCATCTTTTTTTTTTCCTTTTTTTTTTGGGTTTGGGTTCTCAATCTCTTCTATCCATGATGATCCGGGTTGTCAGGATCAGGCCAAAATGAGGAGTACTTCAACCATTCTGCTTCTTGTGGGTTGTTCATCGATGATTCCTGCAAATTATACAATCAAAAAAACTAAGTGAATAATCTTTAAAAATAAAAAATAAAAAAATTCCACTTCTTTGGAGTTTTTCTATAAAGATTGTGACCAGGCGGACCACATTTTTGAAGTTATAGGTCTTTCTAATTAATCCCTTTTTCTTCTGCAGCTGATTTTGTGTGTGTGTGTGCGCTTCTGTTCACGTGTTTTCTTCTTTTTGTTTCCCCTTATCAAGAAAAAAAGTTGAGTCTCTATTTTGTAGATTTATGTTTCACTTACACTAATGTACTTTTCAGGTCCTTGGATCTCTATTTAATACTTGGCTAAAGGGAGCCTTGCCACACTATTTACCATGTATAACAGGTTATGTTATCCAGCCATAAAGCAACAAGTGATTATACTAATAATTGATTTTCATCTTTTCCCAAAAAAATATTTTTTTATTATAACTATTTTTGTTCGATAGAATGGAATATTAAACCATGGTATGGAGGAAGTATTTTATTGGTGAAACAAATGATGTTGTCATTGTATAATATATCTGTGCAGATATTACATATATGCTTAAATGAACAAATCACCCTCACAATAATAAAAATATATAATTCGTTTCATTTTTGTAATAGGTAATTAAAGAGCTTTTCAAGTAGATCTTTTGGATTGTTCGAGGCCTGAGGGGAGTGTGTGTGTGTGTGTGTGTGTGCGCGTTCTTTTTTAAAATATTTTTAAGCTTAAATTGCATATAGCTATCAGATCTAATGATCCATGCCTTGTTAGTTTCAGTTAATTTTATTTTATTTTTATTTTTATCTTGGCACACTAACAATTAAGTGTTCCACGAACGCATAGTACACTCAAATTAATTCTTACTCAACCCTAGCGTAATCATTTCAAAATATATTGTTTGCTTTCCAAAATACCAACATACCCAAATGCAATGCTTTAATTTCCTTTTCAATGAAAAATCAAACCACCTTCACTTTAAAAAAGAAATAGACTGAACCCAGAAAATAAACAATATTTACGGGCAAAAACTGAAGATATAAGTTTTGATTTAGAACGTATATACTCCATCCATTTTATTTTAATAATTAATTCTCTTAGTTGAACTTAAACCAGATAACAAAGTGAATAATTGAAAGGTAACTGAAATGATCCATGCACACACTTAACCATGACAAACAAGAAAGAAACGTAACTGAAACGTAGGGTGGCGGACGAGATAATCCCTTTTCCCCCAAACTTAGTTCCTTTATAAAGTAAAGTGTAATGAAATCGGGGATAAAAAGATATGGACGATAATATTTTTTGGTTTTCTGTTTTTGGGCAAAAACTGAAGAGTCTGTTAAATACTTATAAAGCTCACGCATGCACAAAAGCAGCTGGATATATAATTAGCTTCTGCATATTAGAGACATTCTGCATGGTGTAAAATGGCAAAATTTCCATAAAAGATGTACCAGAATTAAGACACCCTAGGAAGAGAATCATTCCTCTTACACAGCAATAGAAAAGAAGAAAGATAAAAAGAGCAAAGCCAAAGAATAAAGAAGAAGAAGAGAGGATATAGTGTTCTTCTTTAGCTTAAGATAGCACTATATCCATGTGACTGACTGTAAATATCTTTCTTAGCTTTCCGGCACCCTTATATTTTCTTGAAAAGAAATTGGTTCTACCCATATAGATTTTTGGGTTTTGCTTGTTTGATCAAATGCTTATATTGCGTGCAGTAAAAGTATACAAATAACAAATTTAAATTGCCAAAAAAATGGGATATAACCGTTTCAAAATCATAATTAATCATTCGTCCGTGATAAAATCATTTTAAGATATAAATAACAATTAGGCCTTTGAAATCTTTTGCAATGTCCACTAATTCATGTTAATGTAGTTTTTACAACTTTTTCATAACATTTTTGCATATTTTATTATCTCTCGCGCTTTGGGTTTTTTTTTTTTTTTTGGTGCGTGTTTGGTGGGGTTTTAATTTTTTCCTCCTTTCGTGATGACTTATATACAAATTTAAAAAAACCAACTTAGTTATCTAGAAACAAGAAAATGTGGAGTATTTTATAAAAGAAAAATACACACACATTTAAAGCAAAATAAAATTAGTCTAGCATATCGAACTGCTCGACCAAAGTGAATTATTTTTCGAGGCAAATAGAATATAGAAAGTCTTAGAAGTAAGTAACTAGACAAATAGGCCTAAGTTAAAGGGGAGTAAAAAAAAGTAGGGGACTTACTTCTTTGACATCAGTAGAAGATGTAGATGTGCACCCCATAATGAGCTCCTCCAAACCAGAAGCAGACCTCCCTCCCATTTTATGATGTTGTTGTTGCTGCTGCTGCTGCTGTTGTACTACAGACTGCTGTTGATGTTGTTGTTGTTGCTGCTGCTGCCCAAAAAGAAGATGTTTAATCATTTACTATTATGTCTAAACAACAAAACATAATCATCACTTTCATCATGAATTTGTCTACTAAAAAAATAATTGCATGCTTCCAAGTTGCCTGACAAAAACACAAACAATTAATCATCCCTTTCCTTAAAATAATGCTATACTAATAAGTTACTTGCATATGTTTCTGAAAAAGTGGAACTAATTAAGTAAGATGGGAAAAAGATGAAAACTTTTTACCTGAAAATTATCAGTTTGGAGGATGAGCCTGGAAACATGGAAGGAGTCGTCATCAAGGATGACGGAAGTATGATGAAGGGGCGGCGGAGAGATGATGGTGGATATGGAATGTGAGGGCCTTGTGATATGAAATGCTGTTGCTGTTGTTGCCATTCCCATTGATTGATGATGATGATGATGGTGTTGGACCTGCTGTACTACGTGTTGTTGATGGTGTTGAGCCTGCTCGTGGGTCACGTGATGATGCTGCTGCGGTGGCGCTCTTCGGTCACGCTCCTCGCACGTGACTCCCCCGGCCGCGGCCGCCGCCGCCACCACCACCGCCATTGCAGCGGTTGCCGCGGTTGTACTGTCCCTTCCTAGTAGTACCGAAGGCTCCCCAACTCCACCAGTACCCTACCAAAAAATTTAGAAGAGAAAAAAAAATTAATTTCATACCTTTTTTGTAATTACCATAATTGATTACTAGATATATATTTAATTATTTCCTCTAATTAAAATTAAGTATTAATGAATTGTTTTGGGGTGGATAAACCAACTGGAGACTAAGATAATTTCAAGTTGGGTGAGATAGTTAATGTCAAGCAAGTTATAGCATAGTTTTCAAAAGCTTCACACACAAGTAATGCGTACGGGAAAAGCAATCCTTTGATTGTTGTTTTTTCCCTGATCACATGCCAAACCAGTTTTTATAAATTGTTTTTTTGACTGTCACCCTTATCAAAAGCTACTTCTATTTCTTTTTTTCCCCCTCTTTATTTCCACTTCTCCCTTTGTAAAATTCGCATCCTAAGCACGCATACATATTAACATCTCACTGCCTAGCCAGCCACTTGATTTCTCAATCCAAATTCAAATAAAACATGCATGCATTTTTTTTCTAAAAAAAACTCAGTTTATTAAGTCACTTTCCCGTCTAATTAAATTCTACTTTCGGATAGTTGAAAAAAAAAAGAGGTTGATGAAGAAGTTGTCCAAATTAAAACTAAATTCTGGTACCACACTAATCATCCTTGGACCAAAATCAACCATCTTTTTGACCAAAATTAACATGTGAGAAACATTGATTTTGATGGATTAATTAGACTAACTAATAACATCGGAGAATAATGAGTTATGAAGAAGAATTCCCGTAACCAAAATTAAGTAAATTACCTCGTCAAAGCTTTTCCTAGAATACGGTAGAAAGCTGAACTGATCAGCTTTCAATTGTTGAATGTCGAGAGCAGCACCATAACTTGACATGGCAGCAGAAAGTTCATCTCGATGACTACTCATTAACTCTCTCGAGGAACTGCTTCCTCCTCCAGTAGTACTAGAACTATCTCTTCTTGTCAGAGCATCCAAACTATTATTATTACTATTATTAATCCCTCCTTGAATATCCACCAATACGGCATTATTCGAATTTGCAGTGCTGCTTCTTTCCGCTGACCAGTTACATTGCCTCGGTTGAGTTTGGTAGAATATTTTGGAAACCACAAGTTCTCCTTCTTTCTCTTCTTCATGCTGTCCTAAATGGTATTGATGCATCACCCAATTCGTCTTTTCGGGTTTCCGGTTTTTCCCGAAATTCGTGTAGAGAACCAGGATTTTCTTACAACCTTTTTGCTTGCCGTTAACCATAACCGGCCTTGTTTTACCTGTCTTGTGCCATCGGGTTTCCCCGCCTTGCAAGTCACATTCGGTTTGAATTTTTCTTCGCTTTCTTGTTCCTGTGGTGTAAGCCTTGGATGGTCTATGGAAGAAATGTCTACTCAACCCATCTCTTGTAACTCCTAAATTAAGAAAAACCCAAAAATTTAAAAATAAATAAATAAATAAAAATCAAACTTAGGTATAACCAACGGCGAGAGAACACAAAAGGGTCACTTTTAAATTTTCTTTTTAAGTTGAGGTGGTAAAATAAACCCTAGAATTATTGTTCATGAAGCGGTTTTGGATTAGTTCCATCCATCCATCCATCCAACAACAAGAAATGGACGCCAAGAAGAGTAGTAAAACCTAACTCGCACCATATTTGTCACAAAGCAAACAATTAATTATACCTGGAAGTTTCTCGGGATGGGTATAGCAAATCCCGTCTTCACCTTCAATGGTTGGGATGAACTCATCAATCAAAGGGTGTGATTTTGATTCTTTGCCTTCAACTTTAGCTTCGAGGTGTTCTATCAATTCTTGATCTGTCGGATCAAACTTCACTCCAGCTGGTAGACCCACCCAGTCCTATGCAAAATAATTAAGCTCAAAACATGACAAACATAAATTCTCAAACCCAAACCAAAAAAAAAACAAAAAAAAAAAAAGAAAGAAAAAACATAAAAGAGATAACAAAACAATCCGGTTAAATCCATGCTTTATAGGAAAAAAAACTATTCTCTTGAGAGAAGAAAGAAACAAGAATATGGTGAGGGGGGAATGAGAGAGATGATTAAAACTCAAATTAATAAAAAACACCATCTGGGCAGGTGGGGGATTCTTTTTATCTGGTTTTTTTTTTATTCTTCTCTCTTTCAGAAAATCTTATGGAGGAAGCCAAGAATATTAGCATGACAAAGAATAAATTATATAATTATATATATGTATAAGCAAAGCAAAGCAAAATATTGATTGATATAAGTCCGTACCGGCTTGCCATCGAGCTTGTGGCCACAACCAGGACAGTGTTTGGATCCGCACAATTGATGCTCTTCAAGCTTTGCATCTATGAGATCAGAACTGCTGATGCTCCCCAACTGACTACTACTTGTACTACTCTTATTCATTTCTTCTTCTTCTTCCTTTTTTTTTTTTTTCCTGAAATATTACTACATCAAAAAATAAACAGCTCCTTCTTCAAGTACTTTCATCAACACAAACAAAGAGTGATAATCTGCTTGATGTGGGTTTTTCTCTCCAATTCAAGTACCATGAAAGCGGCCTCAAGCTAAAAGATATCACAACCATTTACATATGATCAGTCGAACATATATATACTGAGACTAATGAAGAGATCGGATGGTAAGAAAAACTCGGAATTTTTTCAATTCATCATCATCACCAAAGAAAATACTTTGGGTCTTTGGGGTAGTCGAAACTCGAAAAAACCACCTTTAAAAAAAATGGGTTCATACCAAAATGAAATTTTCACTTCCAAGATCACAACTTTTCAGAAAACCCAATTGAATTCCCAAAAGAAATCTATGGAACCAAAAAACTTATCCAAGAACCATATAATATTAAGTACTAGTTAGTCTGTCTATAGAAAAAAGAGGGAGAGAGAGAGAGAGAGAGAGAGAGAGAGAGAGAGAGATTTTCTTTTGTTTGTTGTTTCCTTTGTAAGAAGAAAACGGTCGAGAAGATGAGGATGAAAGAGCTAGGAGGAGAGGGAGGATAGAAGGGAATAATAACAGAAGGAAAAAGAGAGGAGAAAAGAAGGAAAATAAGGAGAGTGGCTGGAGGTATAAAACCTGCTTTAACCATATGAAAAACACCCCCCAAGTCCTTCAACTTTAACTGAAGAAGCCCCAGTAAGTTAGCCAAAAATAAAGGGGGGAGAGTTAAAAAAAAAAAAAAAAGGTCTTCACAATTCTTAGCTAATACCTTCTACCTTTAACTCTCTTTTGCTAATTTAAGGCTAAGAGATTGCCTTTTCTCTCTTTGATAACAGTAATAATAATAGTAAGAGAAAGAAATTAAGAAAAGGGGAAAAAAAAAAAAAGATGAGAGAACAAACAATGAGCATCAGTTAGAAAGAAAAGGAGGAAAAAAAAAAAAAAAAACTGGGAGTTGGTTGTTTTTGGGGCTTAAAAAGGTTCAAGAGGGGAGGACATAGCTTTGTTATTAGTCTTCTTTCTTGACTAGAAAAGCAAAAGCTATGAAACGGCCTTCCTTCCTTTCCCTTCTCTTATTTTCCCTTTCTTAATTTTTTTTTTTTTTGGGTTTTGGCTGTTTAAATTTGTTACTAATATACTATATCTGATAATAATATTTAAGAAAGCCATACAAATCTAAAGCTACCCAACTGGTGGTACTATACTACTATTGCCTAATTTAATCAAGAATATCAATCTACCGCGTACTATGCTGTCTCTATTTTCTTAGTTAAAAAAATATTTTTTTTTAAAAAAGTATACCCTTCTCTTCAGATATATCAATATCAAGCCATAAAGTTATTCATAGTTAGTCGGTTGTTTTGACCTTATTATAGGTTGATGATCATCCTAGTCCTATTTATGAACGAAAAGGGTTCATACGTACATATTTTGTTTAATCTTCTGATTTAGGAGTGTTTAACTTATTTTGAGTGCATGGGAGAATTGGGTGTGAGATTGTAACTACCAAACAGTTAGGCCAGGGGTTTGAATATCAACGAAATCAATAAACTATAGCAAAATAATTAAAAGTGAGGTTGTGTACTGTTTTAATTTTCTTTGAAATTAACTTGAGATTAATGGGATGATTTAATTACACTTTCAAGGAAAATTACATAAGCGACTAGTATTATGAAAATGAAATTAATTGTAATTTTGAAGGGGGCAAAAGAAATTAAAGAAATGGAAGGCGAAAAAAATGATAGGAACTCACATGGGGATTGAGCTGGAGTGCTGATCATGATTCTTTTGTGGCATGAATGTTTGAGAGAGATAGAGAAACAGAAATGAAAATTCAAAAAAGAGAAAGAAAAAAACAAAAAAAGATTGCTTGATATGCAAGGCAAATGAGCAGAATACTTGACTTGATGGACCACCACCAGCGCCCCTCTCTAATATTTTTCTCCATTTCTCTGATCAAAATCTCCTATTTTATTCATTTTTAAATTAATCTAGCATTGTAAAAATAATCATGAATTGAGTAATTAGCAAGCGCCACCAGTAAATTATTTAATTATTACATCATCCAAATGGCAAATTGTTAATAAATAATTTCGCGGTCATTTGTTTATTATATATATATATATATATATATATATCCAAAAGATACGTATCCACCAGTAAAATATCACCGTATGTTTTTTCACATCAACTCAATGGATCCCACCGGTTGTTGATCCTGCTCCCTGTAACTAGTAAAATCCTTATTTTTTTCAATTCAAAATATTATTGCCTCCGATCTTATTTATAATTAACACAATATAAACTACATTTTAAAACATGTCTTAAAATTGATATCGGGCCTAAAAAACTTTTGTACTGGTTGAATTGCTTACATATCTGGTATAATCACTTACAAGTTACAGTAAAATTATATCTTTTCTGCTCCGAACTTCAAATAAATTCATCCAGCTTTAAAAGGGAGATCAATGTCTTAATTATAAATTGACTACATATTATCATAGCTGTTGAGCTAGCATCGACCATGTACATCCATACATTTGTAATCAATGGTATTCATTTTCTGCATGGTCAAAATTCCTAATGATTAAATTGTCTCCAGATCAATTAGTTGTTTTTGTTTGTTACACCATCAATTAATGGTTATCATTACATCTGTTCATCTGTCTCATAATTAATTAAAGATTAATTTCTGTGATTACTTTTCCATTTCATGAAAAAAATAAAAATGATTATACTTGCAAACTCTAGCAAATATTACTAATGTATGAACTTTCAAGTTTCAACTAATTCAGCATTGACTTTTCTCTTTTTTTTTTTTTTTTTTGTGCTACAAAGGAAAGAATCAGAAGCAAAGAGGCAAAGACTATATAGATAATTGGGAGATATATTTGGTGAGACTAATGATCTGCTAAGTTTGACTAGAGGCTGGCCCCGCAGACGTAAGGGGCCCACATATGGAATTTGGTTTCATGATGCTGGGCCTGGGGTCTAGCATATGCCACAATCATCTTGGCATTCTGTGCACACCAAAATCAAAAAGCTTTTAGTGTACGTACGGCAATCCTACTTCCAGGATTTCTTTTTGGGGGGTTAAACTATGTTATCCCTCAACTTGGTTGGTAACCTTGGTATACTTAAATCCAGGGGCGGAGCTAAGCACCGAACACTAGGTGGGGCAAAAAATATAACGTGTATAAACTATTTTTTATTCCACAAAAATAATCCGCATACAAATTATATATAAAATAGAAATTAATTCTCCATTAAGAACTTTTTCCTCCAAATCAAAGTTATTTTGTAGTTTTTTGTTTATGCCCCTTGTCTTTTGAATTTTTACTGAGGTAAAAATGAAGAATATTGACAAATTTTTTTAAAAAATAAGGATAAATTAAGGTAATGAGGAAAAATTCAGTTGGGACAATTGCCCCATCTCGGTTCTACTTAGCTCTGCCCCTGCTTAAATCACTGAAAAATCACGGTTTTAAGATGAATAATTCCGATAATATCATATCCGATATGTCATATAACTAATTACCAAACATTAAGTCCTTATGATGGATTTTTTTTTTTTTTTTTGAAACCCCTTATGATGGATTTAGTTTATGACATTTTCATGAATCGGTATGCGTCAATGATGCCAAATAATCGTGTACTCTAATTATCCATTAACGTTAACCGCTTACAAATAATCTTTGTACACATAACTTTAATTACTAAGCATGCCTTCAAAAAAAAAAACAAAAAAAAACTGTACGTTTAGTTCTTCTTCTTGTCCCAAACTATATAAAGCATAGAGAAACTTGTTTTCAGTGAAATATTTTGGTAACTAATCATTGTAAGATATGCTTAAAGTCAAGCCCATTTATTTTCTACTTCTTTGACTGCTAGGAAACCCCTTTCAGCTGAGCAATCAAACCATTACGATAACTTGCCCATTAATAATAGTAGGCCAGCGCTCGAATGATTTTTTTTTTAATTTTTAATTTTTTTTTATGTGAGTCAAACGGCCTAAGCTAGTTATTGTAAGTATTTGTTCCACACAAAAATAAAATAAATAAGTTTTGTATTATATTAATTACAATACGCATATGTGGGGGTTTTAATAATTAATTAGTTTTCAAAAGGAAGTAAAAAACAAAAATAACTTTTGGAACAAATTTTACGAAGACACGTCAAGGAGTGTGACAGACGTGATATACTTTAAATAAGTTGCAAATTTGAGTCATCTAAAATGTTATGAACCGAAAGTAATGGGAAAGTATAGCTAACAACGTAAATTGGTGGTACGAAGAGAATGAAAATCAAAATCACGACGTAAATTACAATAATGCAAAAGGCTAACAGAAATTGCTTGACAGGGTCAAACGTAAGGTACTAATTAATCATGCATGTCATCTTAATTTTTTTAAAAAAATAATAATAAAGTAAAATTGTGTGTAGGGATTAATTAAGGTCCCTTCTTCTGGCATATCATGACCACGTGACTTGTTCGTCTTTCTCTAATCATTTGGTTATTAGCAGGCATGCGAACTCGCTCATCATTAACTCAAAAGTTTTTCGACACTGGCTAGCATCGATCGAGGTTCTTTTTCCCTTTTGAAATGTGAATAAAAATTGTTTTCTCTGTTCCATTTTATTTATGTACTTTGTTACATTAATTAATATTGTATTAGAAAATAACAAATTAAAATGAGAGGATGAGTACTTATTATTGTGTAGATTGTGAATTTTCCTTACATTTTCAAATATCCTGATAAATATGTGAAAAATGAAATAATGTCGATCTAGCCGATCGTATTCATACTATACATACCAAATACATTAAGAAACATGAGCCAACTTTTTTCAAACAAGCAATCGATTTATTGGGTACATGCAAACCCGATGCACATTTGTGTTCTTCTGTATTCCGTAAGATATGATTGTCGCTTAGAGTACGTTGATGCTATCTTTGAAATTTTTCGTTGAGATGGAAAAATTGAACTTTTTTGTTCTCTTTTTCCATTAAAGAACGGAAATGAAAAGAAAATTATTGTTGTAGTTTGGTCTACATCATAAAATATAACTTCAAAAATTTAGAATTATTTTTTTTTAAAAAAAAAAAAACCCCTTCGATGTAGGCAAAACAGAAGTGAAAAATTTAGAAATAGATGGATGGGAAGTTGAGCCGTTGAGGAAGGAGTTTGTTTATTTCGTATGAGTTGGGGGGGTCGGGTATGACTCTTCTAGGGTTTGGTTAATCTAATATTAGCATATGATTTTTGCTCACTCTAGCATTAAACTTTCCGGTGACACCTTTTACAACATTGGCCAACAAATCCAAGACCTTAATAATTAATTAGTACTATAGCAAATTTATGTAAACTTACATTTTCACTGTGACATTGACTGATTTGAAAAAAGTGATCTGTGACATTGACTGAGTGACAATTTGAATGTTTTCTTTCTTTTTTTTTTTTTTTTTTTAAAGTGACTTTGTTATATTTGATTTGAAAAACATAATTAATTGGTCTGTGTGACATTGACTGAGTGCCAATTTGAATGTTATTTGTTAAATTTGTTTTGTTGTATTTGATTTGAAAAATATAACTAATTGAACTGCGAACATCTCAATAATTTTTTCGTTGCACCAAAGATTTTGCGTTTCCTCTATTCCCTTCCCCATGTAAATATCTCAATAATTTTTTCATTTCACTTTTCTTCGAAGAAATAATCAATTCAAAACCTATCTTGATTGCAACATTTTTTTCCCCCAATTTATCACCAATAGTCTCAAATCTCGTTTGAGTGACAAAATTTCCAATGTAATCATTACCGTTACAACCATAATCTTACAACGGAATCTACAATATTTAAAATCATATATTTTCAAACCTCTCTACTTTAAACACCAATAAAATTAAATTATAATACTCTCTCTATCCTAAAAATAAAGTCCATTGAAAAAGTAAATCTTAAAATTGGACTTATCATATAGACATAATTTAAAATTTATTCCTCAATTGATGAATAGTCTTGAAATATTATTCAATTTTTCATATTAATTTTTTAATTTACAAGATTAAGTCATCTAATTTTAGATTTTAATTTTTTAAATTGTACTATTTTTGTGCGACGGAGGTAGTAACTACTAACTACAGTATATAAAATAAACAAATTACAAAGACTATTAACCTACACAAATAACAACTTTATTACAAATTACTTTCAACAACTTCTAAACTATTTTAAGAATAACTTATAACAAATTAAAATGTTTCGCAAAATCAGAGCAGGGCTGCCTGAAATAGAAATTAAAAGTTTGAGGGGGAAACAAAAATACAATGTCGAAGCCTAGGGATTGGAACTGTTGACATGGCCGGTGCTGCTGGCGTTGCCGTTGACTTGGCCGTGTCCGCCAGTGCCGCCGCTGCTCAAACCACCGTTTCCGCCGTTCCCGGCGCGCTTCCCAAATTCCAGATGCCTACCGTAAAAAAATAAATTAAAAAAGTTTATTTTTAAAAAGAACCATTTAAAGGAGAAATTGGAAGAACTTAAAAATCAGAGCACGGAATTGAAGGAGAATGAAGAGTTGCGTAGGAGTAGACAAACACAAAGTTGTTGAAAATTGGGCTCAATTGAATTCCGAGAAATATGCCAATAGCCAACATCCTGATCTCCATGACCACAGTTTTTGTGTGCGCCTTGAAAGCTTCGTCCACAATAGCTTTAGTATAAGCTTCTATATATAGCTGCTTTTCTAGCGGCGTCCATTGCTGCAGCAAGGGGAAAGAAACAAAAGACGATGACAGTAATGGTTTTTTTTTTTTTTGAAATGGTTGATGACAGTAATGGTACGCATTTTTTTTTTATAATTACTAGCGGGCTCCTTTTAGTTTTATCCATGTTAATTGAGGATTTGAGGAATCATATCCGGAAATATTTGCCTTGTGATTCTGAGGAGTTAGAATTGTTGTTATCGAAAATAAATATTGTTAAAAACTGAAACAATTTGTTTCCTCTTCCTGTTTCCGGTTCTCGGATTCATTTTTCCCAATTCCATCTAATCTGGCCAACTGGAAGCCTTTCCGACAACTGTTCCGGCTTTCCATTTCTACGTCTAAGTCCAGGTCCTGACAATTGGTATCAGAGCTATCGATTCTCGGATTCGTAGCTCATATCAAATTGAAAATGGATTTCAACAAATCCGAAACTTCCGCTGTTTGTGTTGATCGTCGGTATTGAATTGGCAGTGAGTTTTGCAGAATCACGGTGAGGATGATGCTGAGGAGTGGCTGCAAATTCCATGGGAGGATAGAGTCAAGTGGGTGCAGCAGTGGTTATTATGTATTGCTCAGGACTGGAATACATCATTTAGGACTATGAATCATCCATTTGCTTGGGATGATTTCTGCAAGGGTTTTGTTTGTCACTTCGGCGTCCAAGAAATTGATTCGACGGACATCAATTCGCCCGAGCGAGACTGGAATTATATCTACAACAAGATCCTGAAGGTGTTGGACGACATGTTGGAGTCGATCAAGACGCCTAACCGTGTTTCGGAAACAGCTTCAGTAGAGAGCTAGGGAGGATTGTGTTTCTGACTCCAATCAACATTTCAGCCTAGAACTCGAGGTAAATTCAGTGGTTCAAGAACGAGGTAAAGTCATTCTTCAAAATGTTGATGACTCGTTGATTCCTGATGATGAAGAGGATGTGGTTGAGGAAGATTTTGCTGTTTTAAACAATAATCTTGAGGAATCTGATGATGAATTGAGTTTTGATTTAATAGAACTTGCATGTTGTTTTGATTATTCAGTTGGAATTACAAATGGTGTAGTCAGTGATCTTAAGGAAGGATATGATGCTAGTTTTAGTGATGGAATTCGACTGAACTTCTTCTGTATTGACCCTGGTGAATTGGTTAGCCCTTCTAGATTTAAGAGTTCAATTGCTTGGGACAAATGTTGGCAGTGTGTGGATAAATCTGAATTTGAGAAGTGGTTATTCCTTATAGATTTTGGTGGAGTAGAATAAATTTTCGGTGTTATTACAAAAAAATAAGAGGGCGTGTATCATAGTACCGGATGCGCTCAAGATGGTCTCCTCTAACGTGATCCTGCGTCAGCAAGTATGAAGTGGAAAAAAAAAACCTACTTGTTCCAAAAAAAAAGTTGATATTGAATTTTGTGATTTTTAAACACTGCAAATCACAAACTAATATAATCTTTGGGGGTATTAATTTAGTCAAAATGCTCATATTAGTCAAGCAATACAATCTTCAATCCCAAAATCAATTTTTGTTATAAACGAACATTAAGATTAAAGGATAAAAAAAATCTAGTTTCGAGCCCATATATTTTCGTTTACACGAAGAAATTTCACAGGAGACAGGGTCACTGCAATGACTACGCGGATGCTAGTAATCAGCTGTCCTTGGGATTGAAATCTGACTGTGCCAATGTTAAGGAAATCAACTGCGGAAGCAATGACTTCTGCTGGGACAAAGGGAAATACCAGGAAAGTGAATCATATATGTAGGGAACTACCTTCGGAATCAATCATGTATTGAACTGATCAGTAATGGTGCGGTCAAGCCAACTCATAATAGGACAGCTTGTGGAGTGGTCTTTCCAACTGGTTTCGAATTTGACGTTTGGGATTCACTTCTGATATTTGATTCTGCTCACCTTTTGAAGTTGACCTCTAGGGAGAATCTATCTATCATGGGTAACATTTTACGCGAAAGCACAAATTTCCCAAAATCATGTTAGAAGTCGATTGCCAAGAAGTTGTGCAACTCCCACAGGATGAGCGGAACACGGTGCTGCAGGAAGCATTCAAGGAATAATTACGAGTTTTTTTGTATCTAGAATGGAAGTCCCAGTTAACATTGTTCTTAGAATTAAAGGCTAAAATAATCATGTGTTGCATATTTGATTGATGAGACTTAAGTATAGTGCTTTATTGCTCATTTGTTGTCAGAGTATATATAATATATATGTAAGGGTATCATCGTCGTTGTGTACTTCTAGGGTTTCCGGTTGTATTTTGTATATATAGGATAATTACGCCGACCGATTCTGTCACTTGTTGCTTCCATTTTGCATCTTTCAATTGTAACAGAATCCACTTCCTGCGCGTCATTAATCCATACAATTCTTATAAATCTTTGGTTGATTTCAGGTGTCTCATCTAATGTAAACATTTTTTCTTTAGCCAATTGATATTGGAGTTAATCATGCTTGGCCTCTTTAATCAGGTAGTATTTGATTTCGTCTATCTTGCTCATTTCTTGATAATTATTCATTGACGTTATTCACTTACAGATTAATTTTCCCAAAACTTTTTAGATTTGATACTCTTTTTCTCTTTCCTTTTCCCTGTGTTATCCAATTAAATTTTTCAAAAGTTCTGTATTTTGCCGCGTTTGTTTGAACTTTTAAGTCATATTCATTCTATGTTGTACATCATTTTATATTTGGCACCACTTCATGGTTCATGCAAGAAAAGTGGCTCACAGTTAGACTGTTTTGATTTAAGAATATTGGACTGATGAGTGAGCCTCTTAAAAGTGTTAATTATCTTCTTGTTACTAGTGAACATTGTTGTACGAATATAAAATATAGTAGTTTAGCATTATAGCATTCTGCTATCTTTGATGTCGCTACACAACTATCATAACATGTATCTGAGTTAAGAATTCCTTGCATATGGTGGTCCTATCACCATAGTACATAGGATTATGGGCCAAGAAAGTTTGTATGGTTATTGTAACTGAACTGGCTACTTTGTTGTTTTCCCAGAGCGAATCGAATCTCGGCCGGCATATCTTTTTCTTTTTTTAATCTTTGAAAATTATTGGTTAAGTAAAAACCGATTTCAAGAATGGACAAGTACCCGCTGCCTCCTGTGGAAATAATTCACCTGCTTGGCTGTCGTCGGAGGCTTCCTTTTCTAGATGTTGCTGATTTTTTTGGTACAGGAGTTTCAAGAGTTTCGATGGCAGAAACTTAATTTCAAGGTTTTGGCGCCGCCTAAACCGAAATATATAAGTACCAGAAATTTTTTGAAACTTTTGTTAGCCGCAGAAATTGAGAATTGTAGCAACGAGGACGAAGGGCTTGTTTTTATATATATATATATAAAAATTTTTGTTCTTAATGCCGATACCTCAGCGGATTTTGCTACCTGGAATAAGTTTTTTAGTTTAGTGGGTGCTAAATCGAATGATCCCGTGAGTTTGTTTTATGAAAGTACTCTCAATTCCAGTGGTGAGTCTGATAACTAATATATGTTGAACATGAAATGGATAGATGTCATAAAATCAAATTTCAAAAGTACCCATTGTGTCATGATCGCGCTGCAAATGATATTTTTACTAGCTACTACTCCCTCCGTCCCATAATTATTGTCCAGTTTGGATTCTCATTGTTAGTTCAAATTGTACTAAAAGTGAGATTTCAAACTGAACAATAATTTTGGGACAGAGGGAGTATTAAGAAGAATCGACTTTAGTCCCATAAGTATTGAAATCAAGGGGGAAAAAAAAGTGTTATTTTCTCCTACAAATCTAACTCCCCCAGCATTTGTATTTCTTTCTCAGAAAACACACACAGAAGCCAGAGGCTAATTGGATCTTCTGGGAAAGATTTGAGGACAATCAAATCAACTTCAATAAACATACATTCACAATCACAACTCACTGCAAATGGCCCTCAAACTTGCATTTTGCAAAAATAAAGTACCAAGTAATAGGCAGTCCTTGAGATTAGAAAGCCAAACCTGACTTGTTAAAGTTCACCATACGTAGATTCAAACCAAGCAACCTTTGTAGCAAATCAATCCTATACCAAATGTTCATCATTTCTAGTCACAAGATCACGAATCCTAGTTTTACAAGTCATTTGTGTGGCACAAAACCTCTTCTTTATTACCTCAAATAAGTTTCCAAGAAAAAAGAAGTTTTTCATTTAAACAACCATTAATACTTAAACCAATCAGGAGGAATATAATTCCTTTTACTGTTAAAACAATACATACAAGGAGCGCCATCGAATTTAACAAGCTCAATAGAAGCCCTAACACTTAGCTCACCATTTTGAATCCTGTTAGCTTCACTCTTCATAAACTCAAAATTCAGGTTCAAATAAGTGAAAGATCGAATGCATCAGATCAATCAAATCACATGGACGTCAACAACAGAAGTCACAAAGTTTGGAACTCATTATTGAACAGGTACAACCCAAGGAGTACTCCAGCCACCATATGTTCGCAGTTTCAAACTCTCAAATAAAAGTGTCTTCGTAATTCAGAATTTCCCCATCTATAAAATTCAAAATGACACAAGTCTTTCTTATCATTTAAAACCACAGAATAGTCACCTGAATTCTCAGTGCTCGTACGTACAAGTCTCTTCGTTCAGTTTACTCTTACTATTTTTACTATTTTTTTATTTTTTTATTTTTTTGATTAAAGAGGGAAAATTTACTCTTACTATTACTTGCTAGAGTTGTATTCCAGAAACTAGCTAGAGCTAATATTTTGCTATTGCTAGCATTGGTCCCGGCTTTGGAACAAGTTACTGTTTCAGGCCAAGCATCAAGCCTTTTCTTAATACAAAATCCGTCATCAATAGCATAATCATGACTCTCGAGTTTATTAATAACACGTACTAACAGTTAGTTGTAAGGGATCAACGGAAGGAAATTCTATGAGAAATCATTCTGCCACAATGTTCCTCCCTCTCCCAAAATCTTGTCGTGTCCTAAAAATGGGATCCTTTCTTGTCCAAAAGTCACAACTGTGGGTCTTCTCTCTCTAAAAAATTTCTCTAAAATTTATAGATTTCTTGGTTTTGAATTCACAACCTACTCAACTTATTGCAAACTTCCAATGGCTTAGATAGCTACCCAAGCAAGCAGTAATTTGGTGGACAGTTTTTCCTGAGCGAGTAAAACAATGGTGTTTAATAAAATTACAGTCTAGATTTTACTTCAATATTTCCTCTCAATCTAAATGGATACAGTTAAATGTGTCCGCAAGTAATAAAAACAAAATACTAGTATAATATTAAAAATGTGCCAGCCCTTGGATTGTTTTTCAATTATTATCATTAGTGGCCTATTCCAAATCAAAGAAATCATCGGAGACGAGCAGTCACAAAAGCGATCAGCAATGACATCGGGATCTGTGGTATTTGGGGTATTTTTGGCCGTCAAACTTGGCCGAATTTTCAGCGACTATGTGTAAGACGACCTCTCGATTCCGCTCTAATTCTATACGTTCCGATTTATAAGTTTTTCCCAATTTCTTCTTTAAACGTATGTATTTTCAATATTCTATTGATTTTATTTTCATTTATTTTTTAATTATGTTCTCGACAGGGAACTGGATTTTGGTTGGCATAACGATAGCGCCGGCACTGAAAATTGCAGCACCTGCAGCAACGGCCACGTCAACGGAAACGGAAACAGCAACGGCAACGGTGACCGTGCCTAGTGGTGGTCGAGTTAGATTGTGGTCCGACCCCTAAGTTTCTACTTTTGAATGCTGATGAAAATTCACAGGCTTTAGGTTTCTTCATTGAAGCTGTGATTTTTATGCCGATTAGTACTCCCTTCGTTCCAGAAAAATAATCCAGTTTAAAAATGTACAACTTTTTATTTTGGTCAACACATCAAATGTACAACTCATTTTATACCTTACTTTTACTAATGCCCCTTCTAGTTAATTCTATAAAAGTTAACGACATATGTATTTATTTTACAATTTAAATTTGATCAAAATTGTTATCTCAAGAAAATATTGACAATGGATCTTGATGGAAAGATTTTGTTATGTAGATTAATTTGGTAGATAACACATTTTTTAATTATTCATTTATTAAAAGATATAATCATTTGAAAAAATGGGAGAAAACTAAAAAAAATAAAAATCAAAAGAAGTGCACTTTGTTTTCCTTACCACTACTCTTTTGGATATTTAAGTCATTTCAATTCAATTAATTTTGACTTTTGTGAAACTGGATTATTTTTTTGTGACAAATATTTTTATTTAACTGACTATTTTTCTGGTACGAAGGGAATAGTAATTATAGGCTTATGTTAGTGGTTAAGTCATGGTAATGGGTAACTTGACAATTATTTTTTTCAAAAGAGTACAAAACTCAAAACTCAATGTGGACTATTTTTTTGGGACGGAGGGAGTACAATTTTTTTGAGACACCATTTTTCTATATGTTACAAATATATACAAAGTTATGTTACATCTTCATTTTTCTCAATAATTATTTCTCTTTTATTTTATATTAATTAAAAACTTGTATTTTTTATTTTTTCCCGATCTGTTTTCATAACTTTTGTTAATATTCCATACTACTATTTATAGAATTTTTTTCTTTGTTGATATCAGTGACGAATAAGGAATCAATACATCTGTTGATCACTTTCAATACCACAATCACCAATCAAAATTAACAAGTTAATGCAGCTCACTTTATACATGAAATTTGATATTTTAGTTTTTTTCGATATTTTAGTATTTATTTATACTAAACTCGTCAAAAATTGATTTAGTTCCAGGGGGTAGGAGTTGTGACGAACGACTGCTAAATCATATTGAAAAAATAGTGTATAATACAATATATTCATCTATTAAAAAATTTGTGTATAATACAATATATTCATCAATGAATATATTTTTAAAATAAAATAAAATAAATATTTAGAAACATAACAGGTGAATTTGTAACATAAATTTATATATTTATAATTATTTCATGTAGAAAAATAAAAAATTGAAAAAAGTAAAAGTTACCATTTCAAGCAAAAAGAAATTTTAAAATTTTTTTAAAGAGGATATTTAGATTAAATTTCATAAGTAGATTGAGAAATATCATTTCGGTGCAAAACAAAAAAAAAAACAATGGACAAAAAAATTAAAAAAATTTTCTATTAAGAGGATATTTAGATGAAATTACATAAGTAAATTGAAAAATATCATTTCGGTACATTCAAAAAAAAAAACAATGGACAAAAAAATTTTAAAATAAAATACTTTTTTATAAATTTTATACCAGTATTTTTTAAAAAATTCTAAACTATTAAGCCTAATTTTAATTAGTTTGAGAATTTTTTTCATCCAAAAAACTAATTCAACGACAAAATTGGTGAAATCCACAACTAGAACAAACTCATGAAATCCACAACTAGAACGTTTGGACTGAATCGATAACCATAATAAACGTTTGGGTTAAATCGACACTTCTCACGTTTTCAGAGTGTAATCAATAAAATGACATTCTATAAATCAGCGGACGGTCATGGTTATACATCAGCTGATGATTTTGTTGTCCTCTCTTCATGGTCATTGGCAGTCGATCAAATTTCAGCTGACGGTCAAGACGGTCAAGAAAGCAGATGACGAAAAAAAAAAAGGCAACTTTCATATTTGATAATCCTCGAGATTTAAACCGTTACAATAAGGATATCAATGGATTTAAAGGATTACACGAAAAAGATTACAAAAAAAATTGCAAGTCAGCCTGTCTCTGAACTTACAGAGCGTGCATCAAGGGTTATTGCTAATGAGCAGCAAAATCATGTGTTCAAATGTCAAATTTAAATAGTGAAAAATATTTATTATCGACATCTGAAGCCATGGGCAGCTCAAAATTTCTCAAGTTTCTTGGAGCGAGGCCTCGGTCGTTCTACAGTGGACCACAAAGCGGAATTCCTTCTCTACTGAAACTTGCGGCTGACAGCATCATAAGTTGGGAGGTATAGAACTGCCAGTAAACCACAAATATTAAACAGCCAATCAACGCCTAAGTACACACAAAAGGGAAGCCAGCACCAGAGAGGCCCACAGATATTTGACATCAAAGTACAATGCGAAAGAAAAAAATGATAAATTTCATAATTTACCATCTCCGTATGATGCCATAGTTAAAGGGCTCCTAAGGATTTTCTGAGCAAGAGAAGTAATGTCTTCCACTGTTACTTTATCAATAGCTGACAAAAAGTGCTGAACAGGTTTCCTGGGGAGAATTATACAAAAGAATCAAGACAAGAAGAGCACGAAAGGAAATAATGCTTAGCTCTCTCCTCCATCCCTCCCCCGTCTTCTTGCTGGGATGTCTAAAGAAAGTGAAAGTAGGAGAACAATGTAGGCCCAATTATCAAGTGCTCTTAATAGAGAAAACAATCTACAAATATAGATTCTAGTGTTGATTCTAAATTCTTCTGCCAAAATGCTCTCAGACCAAGTACCTACAAACACTAAGATCTCACAGCAGTCCTGAGCTTTTCTCAATACTCTTGATAAAAGATGCACAATGATGCAAAATTTAAGAAGATACATATCCGAAGATAACGATTTAGATATAGAAAAAAAAAAAACACCAGTTATGTGTTTGAAAAAATATGCATACTATGCCATTACGAATCTAACATATCTTAATTGATGCGGGATTTAGTCCCCAGTTCATCCTTTTACGGTGATCAAATCTTTTACAGTAATTCCTTTCAGTTAAACTAGTGACCAAGAAAGCAAACTAATCATTACAGTTTTCTTGTTATAGTGGACTTTTTTTTATTGTTAGTGGGGGCGGTCATATTACCTTTCAAAACTACAGAAAAGCATAACCAGAAAATCCAACCCTAAACACCATTAGTACCAGATAGCTATATTTACAAGTCCAATCACGCATGGTCTGAGCATTTTTATTCTTAGCCTCCTTAACAACAGAACGACAATAGGAAATATAAGGACTGGATCACTATAACCTACCTCTCCCCGTATGTTGAAATTTGTTTTGCTATATCTTCAGTTGCAACCATCTGCAACAACAGCAACCATTGACAAGTCTCAATTGTCCAGGACAGTATGATAAAAAGAAACAGTCACACTTAAGCACACAAGAAATAAATCCAAACAGTTCAGCATACTCTAGATTCCAGGTTCATTAAAATGGCAGACTTAGTAGCCCGTTTCGCACGGTCTAGCTGCTTCTGATCAACTGCACAAAGAATTCCCCTCTTAGTATCAAATACAATAAGAACACGTACCGTGAATGAGGAATCAAAATTCCAAAACCCGGAAAAGTTATTGGGTAGATCGTACCTTTTCCAGGAGTAGCAACAGCAAGAAGTTCTTTTACCGCAACATCAATGCCTTTGTTGGCAAAATCAGAACTCTGGATCCAGAAAAATAAGTAACTTCAAACTTCTGATGAAATGCCACAGATAACTAAAGAGCTCATTAATTTATCCCATAACATTGAGACTAGAAATCAGCACATCGAATCTGCTAACAATCCTGACTACAAACAAATCAGGCGTGCTTGGCAGTTAAAGACGAGGCTCCATACTTGTCAATCAATGATATTCTAGGGATTTCTACAGGAAACTATTTTACATTCTCACACTTCCAATTACACTAAACTTTCAGCTCAGATAAACTGCATCTACACAAGTGAATAAGCTGCAGATGCATACAAGGTTTACAAAATTTTTTATACTAGCATCGTAGCACTAATTTACAGGATGAAGAAACGTTGACCACAAAACCATTTATCATCAAGCAACTCGTCACTAGAACACAACAACAGTGTTGAAGTAAAATTCCAGGGAAACAATGGAAAATGGCAGTATCATGACAGCAATAACTTATTCAACAAAAGAACAAGTGTTTTAAGTCAAAGAGTTATGCAAGTAATGATGTTTGAAACAACAAGACTAATATGGCAAAAAATAATTGGTTACAGAACCATACCAAAACAATAATCAAATTATACGTGTCAAGATCTCAGCAAACATAAAAACATACAGAGACATATCAGGGTAACAATTAAGTCTAATAGTGCATGAATAACCACTATTTCATTTACAATTTTCCTTCCCACATTGAAAATATATTTTCATTCTCAAGAGACCTTTTTACATTCCAAAAAACAAACTCTCACTTCCATAGTTACATTACAACTCCTTAACATTTTTAAATGAAAACTAACAAAAACAATTATGCCGATTAAAAACCTAATTTTTTAAAACAAAGTAGAATGAGAACTTACGGTGGTTGCTTGGATGCCAAATATACCCGTAGTGTTGTAAATTGAAGTGAATGCACTAAACATCTGCATCTGCGGATACTCATTCAACACATTGAGGTCTGCATATACATTATTAAAAAAAAAAAAGTCACCTTCAAAATTATCAAAGATGAGATACAGCCAAAAGTTCATTGGCATCACATGGAATAAAAATGTCGCAAAGCAACCTTGATCATACACAAAGCTACCTCGATCACATGTAAACCATAAAATGATAAACTAACTTCAACACCTAACAAGAAGCAAACGATTTCTTAAGCCTATCTATCATGTGAGATAGGCCGGCCTAGAACATCAAATACAACTACAACTACAAAACCCATGGACCAGCTTCCAATCACAAAAGAGCTCCAAGAAAGTAGCACTTCCAGGAGAAAACACTTACATAGTCTTGAGTACATGCCTTTCCCAGGACCACCAGCTGAGAATGATCCACCTCCACCCATAAGCATCTAAAATAGATTAAATTTCAAAACTTAGAAGCATGGTTTTCAAAGAAAGGAAACATAAATATTTAAAGAACGGAGTTAGCTTACGTATAATGGTTAAATTCAAATGAAGAAAAAAGCACATAGACTAATGGCTATCATTTTCCCACCTGAAGCACAGTGGCAGTCATTGCATTTTGCTCATTAAGCCACCCCCCAGGAATTTCAAATGCAAGCGCAAAATGAGTAGTCTGGTCAAGAACATAAAAAAGAAACACATATCAAATGATTCCGAAGATTGTTGAATAAAAGCACAAAATAACATATGATATCTCAAACCCACCCCTTCTTCAGCTTGGCGCCGATAATCACCTCCCACATACACAGGCGTTGGCTCCTTAGGGCGGGCAACAGCAGGCATGTCTGAGAGAAGCGGTTCTGCATACTTCAAAAGCTCATCATGTTCAACACCTGATGCAGCAAGGACCATCCGAGAAGCAGTATAGTTTTGCTGCAAATGCAAAAGAAGTTTAGAAAAGTGAACATAAATAAATTTTCGTATAGAGCAATCATATTCACAAATGGAAAAGATCTGCTCACTCACGATGACAAACTCCTCCAGCACGTCACCATTCAATCGGTTTGCTGCAGATTCAGTCGCCATAAGTGGGTTACCATACTCACCAGAATAACTCGCAGAATGGACTGCTTCCAAAAGCAAATGCTGAGGGTTTTTGGAAAGTTCACTAATTTCATCTTTCAACTTTGCAATCTGAAAAAGTTTAAAGCAGCTCAAGTTAGCTCTAAATTCCAGGATGTACTAGCAGATATACATGCACAAGTAGTACCTGCTCATTAACCTCCCAATCTAAGAACGCAGGATTCCTCACGCTATCAATTAGGAGTTCAACCATTTGCGGCACAAAAGTTTTCAAAGCATCGTAGGTGTAAATCATTTGCTCCCTAGAGGCAGCAGCACTAACACTTCCACCAGTTGCCTCGACTTCTCGTACAACTCGGAGATGGCTTCTGTTTAATGTACTCTTAAAGGCCATGCGTTCCAAGAGGTGAGTGGCTCCAAACGAGGCAGGAGTTTCATATATTGAGCCACAATCAACAAATAGACCTATTGAAGCTGCAGGACTCTGCCATATTTGGAAAACATATTAGAATAGTGACTAGCAGGATCACTAAGGGGTTTAACAAATAAAAAAGGGATGGCAATTATCAGGGTTCATACTGCTGAAAGTTCTGAGCCTATTTTAAGACCATTTTTAAGAGTTGTTATCTTGGTCGGCGGTGTTTCATAGCGATCTGGTAAAGGTGATGGAATAGTAACATCATTCAGGGGGAAATCTAGAGGTGGAAGAGAAGAAGATTTTCCTCCAGTCAGCCAACTAAAGATGCCCCCAGATGAGGATTGGGTAGCAACAGCACTTGTAGCAGCAAACCTCTTCCCTAATACATTGTTTGTCCGACCCTACGGAATAATCCAACGAAGAATGAATCAGCACATGAAAACGGAACAATCAAAGCTTCTCTATCTAGTAGGATTAAGATAACAGAAAAAGTAAAAAACGGACAATGGTAACCTCCCCAACCTGACACCAGCATTTACACCATAAACGAATCACAAATTCCTCATACTCAAGTAGTAGCAAACCCATTTCATACAATCTCTGGATTTCCAACACCATCCACATACACAAGTAAAATCATACAATACTAATATTCTTGGTTCGAAAGTAACTTTATCGAAATAATGCACTTGCAAAAGGACCTAAACTTTCTACACTCTTAGAAAGTGAGCAAACCAGCAATTCACATGTCAAGAAACAGCACCTCTCCTTTCCTAATGATCGTCCAATAATGGCTGAATGCCTTTACATAACAAAAACCACTCGTACCTCAAAAAACCCCACCCCAGCCCCATTCCCAAAATTGAATAAATACATTTGCCCTTTAAAAGAAAAAAAAAAATTACACACATACACGCTAATTTTCGCGGTAGATTAAAAACTCAAAATTTGATCCAATATCTTTAGACAATACTAATATCTAAATACGGCAATAGAGAAATTCCAAAAAAAAAACGACCGTAATAAAATCAAAATCGATGCAAAACGGCAATGAGAAAACGAGGATGCAAAGTTGGAACCTTGAGAGCTCTGAGTCGAGAAGCCGCTGTTCGATACATGGGGAGCGTGTAGAAACGATCGAGTATCAGAGTCCCCTTCTTAAACGGGTCAAAGTACGATTCCGATCCCTAATCTCCGCGGAGGCGCCACCGAGGGTTTTGCGATGAGCTGAAGACTTTCTCAGGTCTGGTGCGAAGGGTAAAAAGGACGATTGATAGGGTGCTGTGACGGAAAAATTTTGCTTCGGGAGTGTGCTCGTGTGAAGTGCATCTGGATACCGTTGGATGTAATTCAAGCATATGAGGTGGATTATATCTTAACCGTTGATAAACCCAGCTTGGTCACTCAAGTTTGGATTTTACACTTAGCACCTCGACATTTGATTTAGTTGTCGGTAAAAAAAAAAAGAGTCTGGTTAAATCAAATGGAAAAAAATCATAAATAAATAGTCCGGTTACATGAGAGTTAAAACCAATTTCATTAAAACTAAAATATAATTAAATAGGGGCAAAATTAACAATTTGTACGTAACCAATGGTTGTACATTTATTGAAAAAATATAAACATTTTTGTTTACAATGCGAAGTATTTTCTCTAGAACGGCACGAAGTACTAAACTTAGAATATAGGAAAAAGATCCCTCTAATTCTCATTATAAGGCATTTTGTTTAGTCCTAAATTTTATTTAGTATGTTCTTGTAATTGAAATAAAATCATAAAATGTATTTTCACATCTCTTGTGTTTTTCCAATTATTATATTTTAGAAGATTTATTTTCAATTGAAAAATATATTAAATGAAACTAGCAACAAATTAAAATACTTTATAATAAAGACTGGAGGGAGTACTTACTAGAGCATAAATACATTTTTTAAAAAATAAATAAATAAATACACGACAACTATCAGTTCTGATGGTTTGTTTTCCTCTCTGTAATCATCTTATCTACGATATATAAAGGGACAGTTCGATTGGGGGGCACCTGTTTAGGTCCGGTCGGCGGTCAAAAATCCCACACGTGTCATGCGGTCAATCATCCAATGCAGTATCTAATGTGAAATACCGTTCCTCCTTTTCAAATTCTCATCTTCCCAATTCTCCACTCATCACTCAACCTTCTATGATTCTTTCTCCTCTTTCAGTCGACGGAGGATTTAATCTGAATTATTTCTGAAAATCTTTGAATCGTCAATCCCAGTAACTGAGAAGAAAAAAGGCTTTGCTCTTGTTTGGAGGCCCGTCACTCTCCCCAGTTATCTATTGAAGTCCGCAAATCGATCGACCACTTTCACTGATTCTTCCGATTTTGGCTTTATCTTCTCCAGTTTTGCCAAGAGCCTGTTCAGATCTTTTGTGGTAGCGGAGCCGTACAGAATTAGCAGGGACAAGAAAGAGTTGAGTTAAAGAAGTAACAAAACGTACAATACGGTTAGCAATTTTTAGATTCTTATTGATTATTCTTTGATTCAAATTTATTTGATTCGGTTCAAACCATCTCTTCAGTTCATTCATACCAAACTTTATTTTGTTAATTAGTGAGTGGATGATAAAATCATTGATTATTTTGAAGAGAAGAGTAAGATGGATTTCTTAGGTTGCACATTAAGTGTTCGAATCTTGTTCTTAAAGAACTCATTCAACGAAGACCTATTTATGAGCGGTATTTCGTCTCATTTCACGTTTCTGAATCCTGTTTTAGAAGTTAAAAACAAAAAATACATAAACAAAAATTGGCATGTTTTTATTAAAAAACAAATGAGCATGTTTTAAACTTCACTGGATCAATGAGTTCAATATGCCAATTGAATGGAATTAAAGATGTGTATAATAAATGTGGATTTCTGTAGTAGTTTTAGCTTTGGCATAAGTTTTCAACAACTAATTTCCAATGGCAAGATTAGTCATAATCCTATAGATGTTAATTTGTTGTCTATAACTTTTGTTCTTTTATAACATATCAGTATGACTGCCATGTTTTTCTCCATGGCGTAAATCTTTTTTCTGAACTTTCAGATGACAATGAGTTGATGTTGGCTTGATACAGCTTGAAATTTTTCGAAATCAGAGTAGATCAACTAACATCTTATACCTGATTTATTTTCCATCTGTTACAAATTAAACAGATTAACTTACATTCTATTTTAAATTGGCTATTGCTTGATCTTTCTTTTGTCATTGAAAGCGGGTTCCGTGTTTGACTTACATTACATAATAATAATTTGTGAAGGATGAAGATAATTTATTAAGATATTCAACAGAGCATTTGATATACTTGTACTCCTCTTTGCATATCCTGCAACCCAATTTTATTCTGTATTAGCTGCACACGGTACCACGGGATTTGCTTTGTAAACTCCAAATGAAGCACACATCTTGCTATCAAATAACTTCGGCTTTAATACTTCACTTCTGTTTCATAACCTTTATTTTGTTTCCTGCAGACTTGTTTGAATATTACCTTGATGTCATCTCCTATTTTGACCTAGGAGATTCCATTGCTTCTTTCTGTTTTTTTGTGAATTGATTAACTGGAGTTGACTCAAATAACTAATACAGAATTCTACCCTAGAAAACAATAAAGGTTTCAGAGATACTTTTGTTAGTGCTGGAGGCAAAAATCAGTTGACTTTAGCACACAATCAATCAAATGATGGCACCACTGAAAAGATAAACCCTATCCAATGTTGTGGTGATACAGACAATGCTAACCAGTCTCTGTTGCTCTCATCTCGGTGTGATGATGTGATTCTTTCCGTTGGGCAAACAAAAGTAGGAGATGAAATTGGATTTCCATTATTGCCTTTTTCAAGCCAGTCATCATTTGAGGCATCACATGATGCAAAGCCAAATCAAATGACGAGGATACAAAGATTAATGATATGTACGTATTATTACTAGCAACAAATTTAACCCCGGAACAGTTGTTAAAAAAAGTCATTGGACAAGAACAATCCTTCCGTTCCACAGGGGTCTAAACCTCTACACCTCTTGCCTAAACCACAAGAGTCCATTATAGTTGTTGGACTGGAGACAAATGTTAGCATAATCTCCTCGCAGTTGCAAGCCTCCAATTGAAGGATCAATTGCTTCATCATTAGTGGTTTAGGATAACTGACCAAGGATTGCAGAGAATATGTGGAGAGTATCCATAATACAAGATTAGGAAGGTATTGACAGGATTACCACCCCACCACAAGCAAATTATATTTATTCCATTGAAACCAATATTCTGGTAGGAATTGACATGATCAAGAGTTCAATTTTGTCGGCAATTGAAATTTTGTTGTGATTATGATCAAAGGGGTGGACAAGACATGAGAAAGATTACTAGGAGTATTCCAGTTTTTATTGGTGTTGATTTTTGCAAAACTAGATAATGGAAGATTAAGGGAGAACCTGGTTAAAGTCCAACTTAATTGATTTCAATCAACTGAAACAAAGGAGAAGTCCATTTATACCCGCATTGAGTGAACAAATACTGTTATTGCAGCTGTAGAATTGTAGAATTGTACGTTCTATGAACTATTGTATCTTAATACTGTTATTGCAGTTGTAGAATTGTAGATTCTACAAACTATTGTATCTTATCTTAACACTAACTTATGGGAAAAATGCTGGGCTACCAGTCCCCTTTCGCTGCACAACGTGATAGTATATATCACGAACACTTTGATACTCTAGGGCCTATCCATTAAAAAATAATTTTTTTATGTTTGTTAGTCTTAATTATTTAGTACAACAAAGAGGAAAAGTAACCAAAGAAGTGTAATTTTAACATTTTTCCCTTTATCATTTGGGGGCTAGCCTTCAAATTTAATCAGAAGATGATGCTTCAAAACTTATTGTGACGGGTGATTGAATTGTAATGATTAATGAATAAGGTTGGTCAAGAGAAGCAACGAGTGATAATAATAAGATGATGAAATTCCATCATATATATAAATTTCTTGTTACATCCGACAACTTGACATTATTCTGACCAATCTTTTTAATAGTTAAGTGCCCTTCCGTTGGAGACTGAAGTTGGTTAGAGCCTAAAATGCACTGCACGGGACAAGATATTCTCATTTATTTACCACCATAACATGATTATCTTAAGAATTTGAGTTTTTTTTAGGTGAAGTAACAAATTATGATCATATATGTATGTTTGGTTTGCAAATACACGACTCTTGAATGCTCTTGCGAATAAGATAATCATTTTGAGACCGAAATTAAGGGATGTTATGACCATCTTAATTATAGGATCATAACACAAAATACAATCAAATTGCTCCTCCTAGATATGGAGGGATATACATATAGGAGAACCTTGCAGGTTTCTGAACATGTCAAATTTTAGATTTCCACCACTATACTACTTGTTCTACTAGCTAGAGGATGCTAATCAATTCCCTCCAGTAAATATTCTCCTTTTTTTAAAAAAAATTATTGCAAGTAACAGTTGCTTAGTTGGGGGTTGTAACTTATAAAATGAGCCAAATCTCAGTTTTGTCTTAGAATCATTGATTATCACTGCACTTTTGAATCGGTTCTTGAAGCTTCTTTGTCATAATGAGGAGGTTGAAGGTACAAAATTTAAAGAAAAATGCTCATTTGGAAAGCTGGATAAATCAGCAAGGTATATAACATTCCATCATATTTCCAGATTTGAGTGCATCCCGAACTATTCCATATTCTTCCTGACCGAAAGGTGTAAGTCAATTGATTGATTCTCTTCATTTCAGCGAGGAGAAATATTCTCAGGAGCTATAAGAGAAGAAACTGGGCTGAGATTTGATCTTCAGAACACCATTTCCTGAACTGATGAAATCAGAGATACTCTTTTACTTATCGAACATTAAACATGTGTCCAAATGATAAACAATGTTGTCTTTTGTGTTATACATATATACTAAAATGATGACTTAATGAAATCGCGTCAGTTCACTAATAAAACACGACAAGTACATAATATAGCACGTGTGAGAAAGGATCTAATTTCACCTGAACTAATGCTAATGTACCATTCTCAAAGATTTAGCCATTCAGGTAGAAACCATTACCGTTTCAAAAAAAAAAGAAAAAGAAAAAATAGAAACCATTGTTCCCAGTAATGGTTTTTGGACATGTTTACCGAGCTAGTAGCCTTTGAGAATTCTGACGAAATGGAAATCCAGGAGTAAGCATTCATTTATTAGAGCTTAAATAATTAGTAGCAAGCATGCTCGCGAAATTTGGCTGAATTTTTTTTCTTGCTTTTTGTTATGCACAATGGATAAACTCTTCAAGCACTACTAACTGGGACAGTGAAGACGATAAGATATCAAGATAAGTGTTTGAGAATCATTAATACAAAGGATTTTTATTTTTATTATGTTTTTTTTGACATTATTACGAAGGATAAATTTCACATTAGCTAATCTTAAAGTTTAGATAAATTTCACATTAGCTAATCTTAAAGTTTAGAAAACTCTCTGTACTGTGTTACAAAAGCATAAAACATCAATGAGTTAATCAAAATGCAAAAATATGTCTAATCAAATTGTATGTAACTTTAGAAATTGTAATTAGAGAGAGAGAGAGAGAGAGAGAGAGAGAGAGAGAGAGAGAGAGAGAGAGAGAGAGAGAGAGAGAGAGAGAGAGAGAGAGAGAGAGAGAGAGAGAGAGAGAGAGAGTCTTGTTACGGGACGGTTCCGTTTTAACCGTATGATTAATTAGACTAATTAATAACCGTAGGATTAAAATGAGGGTGCATCATAAGTAAATACACATAAATCCACATGATTAAATAGAAAAAAAATTAAGAAAATGGTCAATTTTACCCAAAACTTTAAGTGTCTGGCCAATTTTGACCCAAAAGATCTTTGGGAAACCAAATTCATAATCTAAGTTTCAATTTCTGGCCAATTGACGAAAATTCAGTTAGAGTTAATATCTCTGCCAACATTTCATTACTTTGTACAGTTTTTTTTATTAGAAAAGGTTTTTGCGGACTCCATAATTTTGACATCTTTACCCAATGATTTTAGTTGTTCTAAAATATACCCATTGAATTTTCAAAATCAATAAAATAAAATTAATAAAAATTTATTTTTAAAAAATTTAAATTTAATTTTTTAAAAAACTTTTTTTTTTTTTTTTTTTACCCAAGTCCATCACTGTAAAATTTTCATCCTATATTTTATCAATTGCAATGAAAATATTTATTTTCTAACAAATTAATATTAAATAAAATAATACTAAATTAATTAAAAATTGAAATCACAACTAATAAAATAATATAATATTAATAAAAAAATTATTTTTATAAAATCAAAATTTAATTTTTTTAAAAAAATTTTGACGTACTTTTTAAACTCCAACCCATCACTGTAGAATTTTCATTCTATTTTATCCTATATTTTGTAGATTCTACAATTTTTTTGTTAGAATCTACTAATAGGTAAATATAACTCACAACACTTTCATAAATTAAAACATATCCAAAATAAGAAATTATATTAGAATAAAATCTTAAATTTTAACTTAATTATTCATTTTATCAGAACTTGTCATAAAAGTAATATTTTTACTTTATTCTAAGCGCACCAAGTTAAAAATTATATCAAAATTTGTGCAATGAAATTTTAAAAAAATTTCATTTGAGTTTCAAAAATTAAACTTTTTAACTTTTTATTAATTTAATATTTATTTTAATTCGTAATTATTTTTATGAATATAATTATTTTAATATTAATATTTTATTCAATAATAATTTCTTTGTAAAATAAATATTTTTTATTCCGAAATACCCTATTGACTTAAATATAAGGATGGTCAAACTTTTGCAATAAAGATGGTCAAAGTCAAACTCTTGGAATAGTGCCAAAGAACAAAAAGTTACAAATAAAAATATAAAAGATTATTTTAGCCAAATGTTAATTTATAAGACCAAAATGTACATTTGGTATAATATAAAAGACCATGATACCAAAAGAGTAGTTAGTTTGAGAAATTGCAGAATGTTTCTCACTCCATGATTATATCTTATATTCTCAATATTGATTGGTTGAAGATTAAACGGTACGGTTTCGTAAAATTAGTCAACGGGATTATAGATTTTCCCATATATATATATATTATATTCTCTTTTAGACGTTTTGTGTTGTGGACCTTTTGTGGTCAAAGTGGCGACCCAAAAGAGGAAAGATGGGCCTAGAAAAGAGTTTGGAAAAGAAGGAAGCAAAATTGGGAACTAAAGCAGAGAATGCAACAGGAAAAACACTATTATTATTATGGGATTAATAAGGGGGCCTGAATGGTGATGTAATTTTCTGGGGCGGCTCGCTTTCAGCTTTGACTTTTTTTAGTTGTTGAGAACGTCAAGAAATCCGTGTGTTTCTTTTCCCTGCCATCGGAAATCTGCCGGTTGTGTCTCGGATATGGCCGCCTGCCTTTGTAAATAATAATACTGGAAATTGGAAAATGACCCCCCAACCCCAAATATGTTTCTGTCACGGGGCCTTTTCTTCTTCTTTGTCACAATTCACATGCAATTGGCTCCTGGTAGGTTCTCTTTTTCCTCTTTTTTTTTTTTTCCTTTGGTGATGTAAATAGACAACTTTTTGTTTAATTTTGTCCACTTAGAATATCGGTTTTCTTTATTTACCTGTTTTTTTTTTTTTTTTTTTTGCTTTAGCTTTCCAATAGCAAAATGCATCCAAAAACTCTTTTTGTTTCTGTCTTTTGTTTTTTTTTTTTTTAAAAAAAAATATATTACGTACATCATAGTTTAAAATTGTGAATGGTTATACCTCATAAACTCACAAGCACTGATGGGTTCATCACATAAGCCCCACCCCACATATATGTGAGGTAATCTAGAAGGGTCGAATGAATCCATGGGTGCAAGAAACTAAATCAAGGATTAGTTGTGCAAGTTAGAATATTGAAATTGTTTATTTGACTTCATAATCCTCCTGATCGGCAAATGAGTCCGTCAAACTCAAATGGTATGAGATTTTATAACTGTTTTGTCACCGCCATACCTAAAAGTGAATGTAATTTTTTTTAAATTTTTTTTTTCTAGACAAACTAAAATGTTGTTTTGAAGTTGTTTCGACGGAAAAAATTTAAATAATAATAATAAAAAATGTTGTTTTGAAGTTCTTGCAGTTGACTAAAATTTCAGGTTATGTTTCTTTTGTAGATTAAGAAGCGAAAAATCTATTTGTTGACATTTAAAAGTGTATTATATTACCCAATTTGCAACAGGGCTTGCATTAGGAATTAATTAATCTGGATTAGAAAACACACCACACGATTCAATATCAACTGAATATAAGTAATATTAAAAATCTTAAAAATTATATAAATAACACTTTCGAAATACTCCACTATTGTTTTACATACCCGTTTGTGTGATTCTTAATGGCTCGATTTTTTTTTTTGTTTATAGCTAAGGAAGCATGATTCAAACAGGCTGCTACTGTGACGCAATTCATCATGTGTATTGGATATTAGCCAGATGCGTCTACCTTCAAACGTTGTGTGTATAATACTACAACAGTAGATTAATTAATATCATTAATGTATGGTAATTATTGAGTGTTGACCCACATTAAGTTTTAAATTATTTTTATTATACAGCACTATATGGATAGAAAAACTAAACCGAATCTGGAATCAAAGAAGGTATCTTCCCACAAGGACCACAAGTCACCGGATCTTTTACGTCGCCCATAAGATAAAAAATGGAAAAAAAAATAAAAATAAAATAAAAGGTAGTAATCATCACACTTTAACCATTACGTACGTACGATTCATAGTGGAAAGCGATAATATGATTTTGTTAACCAAAAGAGAAAAGAAAATAATAGTACAGTATGAGTTAAGGATAACATAGCTAGTGAATGAGGTATTGGTTCCACGGCCTTCCATTCAAGAGCAGGTAATGAGTTCAAGTTCACCCTAACAAGAATAAGTAGTGATTCTAACTTTACTAATAATATTTTTAGAAAGTTTGTTACGACAAACTCATTCATGAATTTTCGATTTTGCACCTAAACTTTTCATTCGGATTTGTCTATGGTAACTCCTATGATAGTTTGCAGATTATTACAGTGGGTGTGTATTTACTCATCTTTAATAAATTTTCGATGATAAAAAAAAAAGAAAAAGAAAAAAAAGAAAATAACGTACAGAGCTCTAAAATACACAAATTTTTATAAAATTAATTATTTTTGTGAGACAGATAAAATAATATATAATGTTACGAAAAATAACTAGTCATAGTCATTTTGTATGATTCTCAAAATTATTTACTCAAGAAGAACACGATGTAATATATGTCCATTTATATTTCAAAATTATAAATTTCACTGGAGTACACTCAATCCTTTCGATTATTAGTTTTAATTTGTGTTTTTTTGTTTATATGACTCGAACAGTATCACGTATTTAGTCAGAACGAACTAGTGCACACAGAGATGAAAGAATATAAGGATATTACAATTCCCAAACAAATATTCCCTGAGCAAAAAAAAAATATATATTCCCCGAGATAAGAAAATGATTCTTTTTTTTTAAAAAAAATTTTTGACAAACCGTATTTCATATAGTGAAATAAGAGAAGAAGAATCCCACTCAGCTTCACAACTACAGTTTTGCGTGAAGAAGAAACCAAAAAGACCAAAACCACTAGAAATTTCTCTGCCCACATGTTCTTCTTTCTTTCTTACCTTTTCCACAATCAATCCCAAAGTAAAACCATTAAACCCCCCTAATGATCATCATTTGCCGTATTAACTATTACTTGGGCAATAAGCTCCAGGTTTTGAAAAATTGGAACTTTTTGGGTCAAATTAAATACTAATAATAGTCAAATTATATACACCTCAACCCACCATCACAGCCACCATCCATATATAAATAAACCTCATCACAAATATTGTAGATTGCTTCATTGATCTGAGCTTGTTTTACTTAAAATTAATTTCTTTTTATATCATTTCTGCTGTTGTCATATCACTTCATTTACTGGGTTCCTTCTAGAATTTTTGAATGGATGTGGTTTGTAATGGTGGGTCTAATTCTGTAGCGTTCTCGAAGTTGCCTGCTTCTGCTTCCCCTGCTCCTGCTGCTTCTGATCATAAGAATCAAAGTAGTAGTAGTCTTCCAAACGGGGTTATCAATCAAGTGAGTAGTAAGAAGAAATTGTCCATGGGATCAACCAATGATACTCCACAGCCCAAGATTGTTCATGGAGAATTGGGTTATGTTCTTGAAGATGTTCCTCATTTGACCGACTACATTCCTAATCTTCCTGTATGTATGCTTTTCCCCTGTCTTCCCACTTTTAATAACTTGATTCTGGTCTGGGTTTAGGCTGTCATGAGAGTTGGATGCTTCAAAGAACTGTTTTTTTTTTATCAATCTTTTCTCTTTTCTTGGGCTTTCATTTTTTTTTTTGATTCGGGATGTGTTCTGTGATCAACTGATCGTCCCTACATGATGGAAAGGTGAAGCAAGAAGATGTGTTGAAGATACCATAATTTTCTTTCTTGTGACGTTGCAGTTCAATTCTGACTCTTTATTTGTCTTTTTGCTTTAGTTTCCTTTCTTGACTTTCTAAATCGCCAGTGGCCGGAAAACAACAAAACTATGACTTCCATGTGTTTATTTCATCTGGTTTCACAACGTGAACAAATGATCGGCCACAGTGAAACTTCTTGAGCTGCTTTGATTTTAAGCTAGTAGGAGGATTAAGTTCGTGTTAGTGCCTTATTGGTGGAGTTGTACGTGCTACTTGGTTTTTTTGCTTTCTCCCCTCTTCTCTTTTCTTCTCATTTAACCATTGATGAGCAATTGAAGCCAAGTTTTCATTTTACTGGATACTCAAAACCTGCCATACTTATTCTCTGGATTAATTGAAAAGTTATACCAGTTCCTGAATCTGTTGAAGTTTACACTTTTAGTTCTTGTTGGTTTTAGTTTTGAATGGTCTAATGGCTGAATCTTGATTCCTTTTCTTACTGTTGTTGGCAGAATTATACCAATCCCTTGCAAGATAATCCTGCTTATGCAGCTGTCAGGTAAGCAATCAAAAGTTCGTTTTTGATTCTTTTCTGATTGGCCTCTAAGGATTGAGCTTGGCCACTTAGCATATACTCATGATGATCCTTAATTATCTACAGGCAATACTTTGTTGATGACGATGACACCGTTCCACTGAAGGTTAGTCCTATTAAGAATTTGTTCATAGATTGATTTACGAGTGAAATACATTACATTGAAAGTCAAGAGAACAGACTTCTGAACTTCTGCCAACTGCTTTCTGCAGAAGCAAGATCTTAATCAAACTCTCAATGCCTTGTGTCTTGTTGGCTCTATTCTTAGTGGCCGTAGCCAATATTTCCTTACAATTTGATATAAAAGACTGTTTTTCGAATATATAGGCACCGACCTGTTTTTCATTTCCCAAAGTTATTAGGGTAGCTCTGCCGTTGTCGAAATGATAAAATAAAAGAACTGTAAAAGTCTTCATATGTTCAATATCCTTGTCAGTTTGTATAAATCTTGATTAGCCTTTTGTTAGGTTGTTGTTCATGCAAATGGTCCGAGAGGAATACATTTCCGGCGAGCAGGTCCCCGTCAGAAGGTGAGTTTTGCTTCGACTCATTACTAAAGTTTCGTAAGTGCAGACTAGTTGTTTGTATATAATACCAACTCTTGGTTTATGTTACCAGGTCTATTTCCAATCTGATGAGGTTAATGCATGTATTGTCACATGTGGAGGTTTATGCCCTGGACTGAATACAGTGATCAGAGAGATAGTTTGCGGCTTAAATTATATGTATGGTGTAAAAAGCGTTTTAGGAATAGATGTAAGTGCCTTTTTCCGTCTGCAATGAAATATATCTCGAAAAATTTCTCCTTGTAATGGCTTTCCTCAGGCATCAGTGTCTAACAGGAATGATGCATTTTCAGGGAGGATACCGTGGGTTCTATTCTCGCAATACAATATCTTTGACACCTAAGGTTGTAAATGATATTCACAAACGTGGAGGGACCATACTTGGAACATCACGTGGTGGTTATGAGTTGAAAAAAATAGTGGACAGTATTCAGGACCGTGGAATTAATCAGGTTTGGAAAAGTTTTCAGATGTCTGTTGTATGTTCACCCATGAGAGCCTGTTAATTTATGGAGAGTCTCTGTTGTCTTTATTTAGGTTTATATCATTGGTGGAGATGGAACACAAAAAGGTGCTGCGGTTATTTATGAGGTATGCTCCAGAAAATGTAACTTTCTTTCTTCCCCCTTTGCTGTTTGTTCTGTCCAAAGTTCATGTCATCGTAACCTTATTCGCTTGATCCATCATATCATATTCATTCAGTTGTAACTCTTTGTACTCACCACTGCAGGAAGTCAGAAGACGCGGTCTTAAAGCTACCGTTGTTGGTGTGCCAAAAACCATCGATAATGACATTCCAGTAAGTTGTTTCTCCTGCAGATTTAATATATTGATGTCAGAACAGATGTTATTGATTATTCAGTAGCTTTCAGCTTTTCACCAGCTTTCATCCTCAGAAACTTGGTTCTTCTTCTTTCTGTAGGTCATCGATAGATCTTTTGGCTTTGATACTGCTGTTGAAGAAGCTCAGCGTGCTATTAATGCTGCACATGTTGAAGCAACAAGTATTGAGAATGGTATTGGTCTGGTCAAGTTGATGGGAAGAAATAGTGGTAAGTCTCAACAAGCTTTTCATATTGTCAGTGACTATTTCAGCTCTTTTGCTCTGTCAAGTGTGCAATAAGGTCGTTATAATTTTAGTGGCTAACTCCAGACAAGCTTTTGAGTAAGGTGTAAGGTTGACGCAGATGGCCTTACCATGTGGCAGTATTCAATGAATGTAATTTATCCGCTGTAAGATAGTTCAAGAAAGGAAATGATTATAATTTGAAGCTTTTAGTACTGACATAATTTTGGGTCTCCATTGTGATTCTTCTTATGGTAATACATATTTGTGTAGCTTCTGAGACAATGTTATGTGGTGTCGTGCTCAGGGTTTATAGCCATGCATGCTACACTCGCAAGCAGAGATGTCGATTGCTGCTTAATCCCCGAATCACCATTCTATCTTGAAGGTCCAGGGGGACTTTATGAATATATTGAAAAACGATTAAAAGAACAAGGGCACATGGTAATTGTGATAGCAGAAGGTGCCGGGCAGGAGATCCTCTCTCAGAGATTGCAATCTATTGATCAGAAGGATGCTTCCGGAAATAAGGTTTTTCATGATGTTGGGCTGTGGATATCTCAAAGCATCAAGGTAGGACTTCTGATGCTTCATTATGTTTTATTTATCTATTCTCCTTTCGATGCCTTTATAATCATGTACAACATATCACCTGACATCAATTTAAATAGACCTTCTTTTATTAATAACGTTATCTTCAATTCTTCATTGACACTTACATGATCTATACCATACTACATGCATAATCTGTTTACTAGGACTCAGATAGATTATGTATCTATCTATCTATCTATCTCTATCTCTCAATCTATCTGATGCTTGTACAGTTAGCTTGTTAATCAACTCTTCTAATACAGCAATTCAAACACTTTAGTCAGCATGGATTAAATCTTTTTTTTAGTAGTATGTCCCTGACAGTTACTGAGTTTTTCATCTACGGGCAAAAGCAAAGTTCCTATCTTATGTTGGGTTAGTGCAGATAAAGTTTCAGTTCCACTAGTTGTAGATCCAACTTTTTGTTGGAGGCTCTTCAATAATGTATCAATCGGCTCTGTGGCTGGCTCTTTAATTTTGTCTAATTAACTTTGAACCTTATATACACATGGCTGTAGCTGCTTTGAATCATCTTTATTAGTTGCCTGACTTCACAGGCTGAAAATATCGGGTGCTAAGAGACACAGTTATTTCTTTTACAGGATTACTTTGGAAAGGAACAGAGGATGGCTATCAACCTCAAGTACATTGGTCAGTACCTTTTCCCTGTGGTTTAAAATCACATTACCTTAAAATAATTATATTCTAACGTTGTCCCTTGTTGTTTGAGACAGATCCGACGTACATGATCCGAGCTATTCCCAGCAATGCAGCAGATAATGTTCAATGCACCCTTCTTGCCCAGTGTGCTGTTCATGGAGCCATGGCAGGGTACACAGGTCATACAGTGGGGCTGGTGAATACCAGGCACTGTTACATTCCTTTCAATGTAAGCTATACAGTTACATAAGATCAGTCTGCCTTAGCCTGTTTCAGGATTTGTTACATGTTCATATGTTTGATGATTGTAGCATTCTTGGAGAGTTGCTCAACATTTTTAGGTCATTACTTCTTTCTAACCACTGACAGCTGACGCTTTGATTAACAATCTGCAGAGAATAATCGAGAAACAGAACCAGGTGGTAATAACAGATAGAATGTGGGCAAGACTTCTTTCTTCGACAAATCAGCCTAGCTTCCTTGAGAAACCTTCAAAGGACGCCGAGAAGGAAGGATAGGACACATCTACATACCAAGATAGGATGTTCATCACTAACAAGAAAGACCTATGCTGTTAAGCTTTCGTTGGGTTTGCTGTTACTACACATAAATAGTTTGTCCATGCATGAAGAAGGCCATATTTCTTTTCTGCACTTTCTCATCTTAGCTACTACTCCCTCCGTCCCATAATTATTGTCCAGTTTGAGTTTTCATTTTTAGTTCAAATTGTACTGAAAGTGAAATCTCAAACTGGACAATAATTATGAGACAGAGGGAGAAGTAGAGTTCTACATGTAATGTAAAAAAATAAATTAGAGTGTGAGTGTGACACTGTTGAGATCTTCCTGATGAGGGTGAGCTCTGTTAAAAGTGTAATTTTGCGGCATAGCTATTATAAATTAAATTTGGCCATAAACGATCTTTTTAAGTGCATATTTTCGCTTTTTCAAATAATAATATATTTCAGTTCCCACTTTTAACTCCAAAGTCCAAACGATACTATTAGATTTTTGACGATCGAATAAGTCCAATACTGTGTTCCAAATTTTATTATGCTATTTTTCTTTTTCGCATTTTTTTTTTGAAGAATTTCTTTCTTTTTCGGATTTTAGCTGGTTACGTACCCATTTTCACTCACTCTTTCTTATCCAAAACCGTTAATCAGTAATTAACACGAAGATGAACAGAACGATTTTGAACAATTGATATAGGTATAACAGTCAATTTAGAAATCAATCAAAAATTTAAAACTAACTTAAAAAAAAAACAAAAAAAAAAAAAAACAAAATGTGCTACGAAAGTAAAAACATCCAGTAGAATTTTAGAACAAGTTGGAACGGCGAAAGCTGTCATTTCATATATGAACCAAAAAAAAAAAAAAGTTCAGATTGACCTGGAAAAAAATAATTTTAAAAACTAATTTATCTGTTCCAAAAACCTAAAAATTGAATTACATATATTTGCATGTCAAAAATGAAAAATAATATTTGGAGACTTACAATAAACTTAATCATCGACTATTATTCACAAAAGTATAATTCAACTCATTCAAAATTCAAAAGTTGAGACGTGCATATCGATTGTCAACTCATACAAATTTTTTTTAAAAAATGTTATGTTTAACAAAAGTTAAAGGTCAAATAAAACCTTTATATAAATCCATATATACAGTCTACAGATGGTCCGACCAAAAATTACTTTAAAAAAAAAACCAAAAAACCAAACAATCCCTTGAAATATTTTCCATTCTTCCACGAGCTCTTTCCCCTGAACAGCAAGGAAGAAGAAGAGGAGGAGGAATCGAGGATTGAATTTGGATCGATCGATATTGTATTTGTGATAAAAACGGGAATCAAAGATTTTGGGGTGAGGATCAGGAGGAATAATAATGGGGATCAGATTTATATTGATGGTGAACAAACAAGGGCAGACGAGATTAGCCCAGTACTACGAGTACCTCACCATTGAAGAAAGACGTGCCCTTGAAGGTGAAATCGTCCGCAAATGTCTCGCTCGAACTGAGCAACAGGTTCTTTCTTATTCCCACTTTCATCCCTTTTCCCTTTTGATTTTTTTTTTTTTTTTTTGGTTAATCAAATTGGGGAATTCTTACCTCGGAGATTGAAAGTGAAAATATTTGGAGTTGTGGTACTACTTGCTGAGGAGTGATGTGATTGGGTTTTGTGTATGAATCTTTTTCTTGCTTTAAACCTGTTAATCTAGTGCGGATCAAATTGCATTATGATTTCTTGTGTTGTTTGTATCTTCATTATTGGAGTAGTCTACCCATTTGATTGAAAACAATGCCCTCTTCCTTTCTTGTACAAATTGATTCTTTTTCGGGGGCTTTTTGGTGAGGTTACAAGAAAATTTTGGGCATTACTGGGATAATTGTGCATCCGAGCTGTCTCTGTTGTGGTTTTCTAAATATCACATTTATTCCTTTTGCTGAGGAAATATGGAAAAGAATCGTTTTTTGTTATAAAAGAGGAGTAAATTAAAAGTTTTGAGCTACATTAAAGTTTTAGTTAGCATGCTTCATCTAGTTAAAGTGTTGAATACTATCATCTGTTCTTGTGCGCTGATGGTTTTAAAACCAACTTTTAGGGGAAACGATATATCTTATGAGGTACTGTACTAGGATTTGGAATTTAGATTCTAATAAGGATGAGACTTCTTCTTTGTTACAGTGTTCATTTGTTGAGCACCGAAATTACAAGATTGTCTACAGGCGATATGCATCATTATTCTTCTTGGTTGGAGTTGACAATGAAGAAGTAAGATATTCTTTCTCCTTTTCTTTTCTGAATGTTTCTTGTCAATATTTGCCATGACAACGTAGCCGTAGCTTTTATTTTTCTAAGAACAATAACTCAGCCGTGGGCCAACTTACTCTTTGATCCCATCAGTTTGTTTCTTGTCTTAAAGACAAGTAATTGTAAGGTTTGCTGTCTTAAATCTCAGTGAGTAAAGCTGGTGATACTTTCAGAGAGAGATAGTATCCAACTATCCATTAGCGCTTTGATTTTTAAAAAGTTCCCAATTTTTAACCACCCTTTAACAAGAATGATAGCTGCTGTAACTATAAGTCGCTTGAAGATGTTTATTGCCGCCAGGAAGAAGAATCTCTATTGTACTGAGCATTTTCATCTTTTGGTAGCTAAGTATGTTCTATGATGACTTGAATTCTCAGTAAGAAGAATCTCTACTACTACTGAATTTTTGAGTGGAGATCTTTTATCTTAACTTATTAATCCTAATAGTGCTAGTGTGACAGCAGTTAATGTATTCACTTTAAGGGGATCAGTTTGTGTTTGGTATTTAGGGTCCAGAACAACAATTGTCTTATGTGTTTGTAAGGTCCTGTGTGCAACAGTTATTTTGTTAAAAGTTTGTGAATCCCTCTCTTTCAATACATAATAAATGGAAGACCTGCACTTGATAGTACTGAATCAGCTTATGCCAACTGTTAAGCATCTTTGCCAAGGCTTTTTCATTATTTTCTTGGTCTCTACTTTGGCAGAATGAACTTGCAATCTTAGAGTTCATACACCTGTTGGTTGAAACCATGGATCGGCATTTTGGCAATGTGGTACGTTCTGAAATGAAGAATTAATTACTCTTTGTTGTGCCTTGCTCTGTTACCAATGTCTTGAATTTAGTTAATCTTGCTTCTGATTCTTGTTTCTCCTTGCAGTGTGAATTGGATATCATGTTCCACTTGGAAAAAGCACACTTTATGCTGGAAGAAATGGTCATGAATGGGTGTATTGTTGAGACTAGCAAGTCTAATATTCTTGCCCCAATACAGCTGATGGAAAAAGCTTCATAAGGAAATTATACAAAATTTCTGTAGCAATCCATAGAGTTCATATGTAACTGTTCCATTGTGTATTTTGTTTTGTTTTTTGAGTACTTATTCATGTCATGAATATTGCTCTTGCAATTATTTTAAATGATGTAGTTTTGTTCGGCAAGTGGACAAGCATGAGTTGTTTTCCGTTTGAGCCTTAGGACTCTGCATCATGTTGTATTTGCTTTTTGTTGATTACAGAAATGAGTTGGAAATTGGGTTATAATCTTGGCAAATTGTAAAACAGTATTGCGTTCGAGGCATGAATATCCAGCTACTCTTCGAGATGAAGGGTGTTAAAACTCTAGAATTCTTTGCCCCTCCCTTTGGGCATTTACAAAGAATGCATTCCACTATCTGCAATATATGCGGTCATGTTTCATATTTCCATGTGTATGTACAAAAGTGCAGGTAATTCTACAACAATGCAGCAAGCTGCAGAGATTTCAACTACCCTCATGAAAATATGCTTGTACTCAGCGTATTCAGGGGGCCATATCAGATAGCTGCCGGCCTCCCATCTTTTCTAGGATCACTTACTGCCGTCAGCATCCCGAGGACCCCATTGTTTGATATCTTTCCTAGTTTCCTGCCAGAATTGATTGGCCTCTGAAAGGTTTGAACTATAAGTTGGCAAATTGCACCCCCTGATTGAGCCTTTAGCTGGTGACCCCTCTCTGCTAAGAAGTGCCTCTTTTCTTCAGAGAGTTCAATGTGCTCGCCATCGATAATCGTCCAGTTCTCATACAAAACGATATTTGGGATCAGCTGCACAGATAGAGGTGGACTTGAACATATGATTTAAACACCGTTGTTCAGTGAACTGAAGATTTAGCCAAGCAAATTACCTTGTGGTAAACTCTAGGACTTTGCACAGCCTCTAGAGGTTGCATTCCCAGGATGAAATGGTTGATGAAGACCTGCAGAACTGCTGGAATAATGTTCATGCCACCACTACCACCAATCACCCCAGCTAGCTGATTATCCTAAAATCATTGCCAGAGGGTAACTTAATAAACACTTGTAGAAGTTAGGCCAAACACAGAATTCAAATGGTGTTCTAAGATTGCCTGTAGCTATACCTTAAGAACCACAATCGGGTTCATGGAAGATAACGGTCTCTTATTTGGTTTAATAAAATTAGTTGGAGCAGGAGGAAGTTTATCAGGAACTACTTCTGTAGGTATCGAAAAATCACCCATCTCATTGTTCAGCACAATGCCAGTAGAAGGAGACAGTACTCCACCACCAAAAGGATAGTTAACTGTTGTAGTCATTGATACTGCATTTCGATCTGCATCCACAACACAGAAATGGCTGGTTCCGTGATCTCGCAGCTGACTCCACCTAAGAAAGTCATAGTATAAGATATAGAGCAACAGCATATGTACAATCTAACAATCATATGTGAAGAAATCAAGGCAACTCATCAACCTGTGCATGTAGTACTCAGGAGGGAAAGTGGTGTTGTCAAATATCCGTTCTCGAATTCCTTTTGCAAATTCTGGGCTGAGCATCTCAGAGATAGTCTTACTGATGTTTACAAAGTCAGGGTCACCCAGATTCATACGGAGAGCAAACATGAATTTCAATGCTTCGATCATGCGATGTAAACCCAAAGAACCCTTTGCAGCTTCTGAACTACCATAACTGTTTAGGATGTTCAGCACCTAGGTTTCACCAATTGCAAGCATTGTTAAGTAAATTCTAACACCTGTTGTTTTTGGCACAAATCAATGCAACTTTCTAGACCCCTCTACAAATCACATCAGCTGAAAACTGAAACACATTTTCTTGTTTGAACTTAATAAGGATTAAAGACAAACCAGAGACATTCCCACTGTTCCACTTGATGGGGGTGGCATTCCTAAAATTGTGTAGCCCATAGTATTGACAGCAACGGCGTCCGTGACATTCACCCTATAATTCCTCAAATCCTCCATTGTTAAAATCCCACCTGCTTTCTGGACATCATTGACAAGCATTTCTCCAACAGTTCCATTATAGAAGGCGACAGGGCCTTGTTCTGCTACTGCCTCAAGGCTTAGACCTAGTTTCACATTGTAGCATATGTCACCAGCTTTCAGCAGTTTTCCAGCTGGTGCATAAACCTGTTGTAAGCCAGGGTCAGATAATATTAATCCCGCATTACTAGCAATGGATTTTCCGAGGTATGGAGCAACCACGAACCCTTCTTTAGCAAGTTTGATGGCAGGTTCAAATAAAGATTTCCAAGGCAATCGCCCGTACTTCAACCAAGCCTCATGAAGCCCAGCTAGCTCACCAGGGACACCCATAGACAAAGGTCCATCATACTTAGATTGTCCATCTGCCTCATACATGTCCTGTTCATCACATTTTCCACAATATAGAATAAACAGCCAGAATTTCAATGTCCCAGGTATTTTGAACTAAACTAAACTAATGCAATCTGCCAAGCATCAGGTTTGCTTACATCTTCAATTACAAATCTCCTTATCACATTGAATAAGACTAAACTAATATAATCTGCCAAGTATCTGGTTTGCTTACATCTCAATTACAAACCTTCCTATCAGATTGAATAAGACTAAACTAACTAATATACTCTGGCAAGTATCTGGTTTGCTTACATCTTCAATTATAAACCTTCTTATCACATTGATCACGACTAGTTTGATTTTATGAAATTTGTTAGTAATCGAGAAAGTTGGTTACCTGTGAAGCAGCTAAAGGGGCAGTTTCTCTCATGTCAAATGCTAATGCTCCAGGGCCAGATGAAGAATGAACAACCATGAAACCTCCCCCTCCTATACCACTGGCCATTGGATTGACAACCCCAAGGCAGACTGCAGTTGCAACTGCAGCATCAACAGCATGTCCACCTTTCTCCAGCACTGAAACTCCAATTTCTGAGCAACGGCCATCGTCAGCTGCAACGACTGCTTTATCAGACTCAACCACCCCAGAATTTCCAAACTCCGGTTTGCTGTTTTCAAAACTCACAGCCAAAAAACTTGAATTGCCTCGCAGTATCAGCCCAACACCTATATTTGAGAAAGGGTTAATTGTAAAACATCCATACTGAATTGAAAGATTCTCACTTTGTACACATGAAAACATCTGTAATTCGAAACAAAGAAGGCCTCAAACAACTTAGAGTGGTTTTTAGCATGATATCAGAAACTTCCATGATTCTTAGAATATCAGTTGGCCGGCACAGTCACATAAATACATTAAGAAGCACTTGCAGCACAGAGAAAATTCATTCTAATCCTGCCATGTTTAGAGACCAAAACCCATTTGTTATTCTTCAAAATTAACATCCCTTTTTCGATGATCACCAGAAAAAGTTGCGAAAGGCATACAGCAATCCCAACCCTGTTCGTTGAAACCATTCATTACAGGGAATTAACAACAAAAGAGAAGCAAAAGAAAAAAGGAACCCACATGTTAAGGAGACAAAAAGTGCCAGGAAACAGTAGGAAAGCAGAGCAACAGTGATCCCTCCCCTGTTTCTGGAATTCCCAATGCCACCATCATCATCAGCCAAGAGTGAAGCTTCAAGCTTCTCCTTCTTCTGCTCCCTCAACATCATGGTTTCCAAATGTGACTGATGCTTAATTTTTTCTGTTTTGCTTGCGTGCTCCACCAAAATCTAAATAAAATGTGATTGGAATTATGTGAAGGTGAAGGCTGACCTGGCGTTCATTGGTAGGATCGTGAAGTTAAAGTTACAATCATGACACTCCATTGGGGCCATCTAACAAATAACATTAAAAAGGGGTACTTGAAAACGACAAGGAATCTTTTACTCTTGCAATTGCTGAAGTATCGGAGGATTCCACTCCTAACCCACAAAAAAATATCTTATCTTGTTAGTAGTTCAGGTTCTTACATATTCAACAAATTGAGCCGAAACCAACTTCCTTTGAAACTGGCTTTTTAATGGGGGAAAGCGGCGTCGGCAATCATCATCAGCATTTGTGACAAATATTTTTCTGATCGGGTCCTTGTTACTTGCGCCACTACGCCAATCTCATTTTCTTTGGTTTTATTTGTCAATATCAAAATTAGAAATTGTTTCTTACAGCAAGCCTACCACGTTGGCTGCATTGACATTTAAAAAAAAATAAAAAATTTATATATTGAATTTTGAAGGAGGGCCATGTGCCCACTAACCAACCACTGCCACTGTCTCCTCCCTCCATTTTGGGTTAAACAGATTGGTGTCACAGAGTACGTGGGAAAATGATGCACGAAAGGAAATCTGTATTTTTTCTTTTTTCCCCTTATGTGGGTTGGGGTTGAATTGATTAATCTACTTTAGAATTGAGGAAAGTTATTCCAAATTTCAAATTGGATGCAGGATGAAAATGGAAAACGTAAGTCATAGCTCGTAACTGTAGTCCTTGAATATCTTGAATATATACCTAATCAATGACCATATAAGAATATCAACGTCTTTGATTCCCTTTTCAAAAAACCAAAAAAACGTCTTTGATTCAGTTTTGGGGCCTGCGTCCATTCCGTTTCATTCTGAAATTTCTTTTAGAAAATGTATCGAGTCGTTTTTTCGGGTGCAGTACATACTACATACACACATTTTCTCTTCTACGGAGCAAAATTTGAGCTAAATTAACTGCACAAATCAAATCGTTTGAAGTTTTTTGATGCGTTGTTTGACTTTCATCAAACAATTAGCTAGCAAAATTATTTAACTTCTAATGCTTCAAAATAATTAAATAGACGTCGTGATTTGCATTTGATTTGATTAATAAATGTCAGTGTCAGATGGTCAAGGGTAGGAATGGTAAGAGGTAAAGAGGCATTAGCCAAACTTAATTCTTAGCAAACCAATAGGACAAAGCAAATCCATAACCCCTACATTTCAGATGTCTCTCGTCTAAAATTACACATTTCTACCCTTCTTCATGTCTCTGGTTGCGCTCTCAACGACGTATTGCAGCAATTGTATTCAATAAAACATTGCATCTGTATAGAACCAGCGTCTGACAGAGGGATAATCAACAAGTTTCCAAAAACGGAAAAAAAAAAAGAAGAGAAGGGAAAGACAACATTAACAACACTTCAAGATGTATATTAGTATAATCTTGTATGTACAGTTGGATATTTCTGCATTGCATGATCACTCAATAATACTCACCGGCTGCCCCCTGCCCCCACTAGTGCACAAGTTAAAAAATCAATGCACACTTCCGCACACCCTAACTCAAAAGGGTATCGACACTCATCTCTAACAAACCTTTGTCACTACCGGCAAACTACCATATCAGCGTCAGAGAGGGATGTGATTAGTAAGTATTGACCCGTTAAACAAAAACTTGGGCAACTTAGCTCTTATCTCTTGGTTCACGACCGCCAAAATGCTTCAGGGTCAGTACTGTACAATGTACGATCTTGGACCTCAAGGTTAGCAACATGGTAATTAATCAGCCGTGCCTGGCAAATTTTACACAGGAGCAGTCCAGAAGGAAGCATCCACCATCCACTCTCATCCCTGTAATCAGAGTCGTCATAAGAACCAGACATCAAAATGCAAACTGAACAGAGACGTTATGAAAAAATATGAAATTTAAAGGACCATTATATTCACACTTGAAGAAGCCCCTTACATGCTAAAATTCCAGGATTGAAAGTTCGAATGCTTTTTATTTGATGAAGATTGTGTCTTAAAATGGATGAAGCCACATATGAAGGCAACCACCTGTTACAAATTAGAATGAGTATCAGAATCATAGTGTGGAACTACGATATTCAAAGCATCATCATTAGAAAACAGGGCAAAACAAAAGGACATGGGGCGTGCATGTTGTTCCAAACAAAGAGAACCAGTAAAAGCATGAGTTCAATTAGGCCGAAGATCTAATGGCCTTAGAATTTATGAAAAAGAAAGATTTAACTTAACCTATCATCACGATTCACAAAAATCTCATCAATTCAATTCCAACTTCAGGATGTTCAGGAGACATAACATCACACAAAGAAAAGAGAATAGAAGAATTAGTTCAGAGTGAACTTGTCAACCAAGAGAAAAAGCAACTGCCTCTAATTAAGCGAAGTTCAATCAAAAAAATCGACCATCAAAAATAGCAAAAAATCTACTCCCCCTCTCTTCCTCTTACAAGAGACGAAACTGAATATGAAACTCAAAATACCACACACACACACAAAAAAAACTGAAAATACCACATAATGAAATTTTGCCCTACACTTTCGACTATATATAATCTTCAGTCCGTAGTAAGGCTGAACATATTCTCCGTCAAACTTATCTGCAAAACTACAACAAACGTCCCTGCCAATCTGGATCATTCATGTTCTACATGTAGGGTTACATGATGAAAACATATGACATCATTTAATTGACAACCGATTGAATCTCAAAACGTTTAAGAGTCAGGGGATGGAGTTTCAAAAGACTTCAGTGAGGGACCAAAAAAAGTTCTATATAATTTTGTGGATAAACTCATTAGGAGAACATGTTTTTCTGAGTGCAGTATTTGAGGCAAGAGTAGTAAAGTACTTACAACATTTAGGACCGAGGTAATATTCCAGAGTGCATATCCACGCATAAAACCAGCCGAACGCCTAGGTCCATGACTAAACAATGCGTTGATTCCGGCAGGGAACGGAAGAATAATACACAAAGGAAGAATAAACAAGACCAGAAAGAAGTCCAATAGCGAACTTGAGTATAGCTGAAGCAAAGTAAGCAAGACTAAGCTAACATCTCCTAAAAGAAGAACTGACATCATCATACCAACGACATCCTGCAATAAATTAACACAGAGAGAGAGAGAGAGTAAGTGTTGGTACACTTTGATTGAATATGATCAATTGACCTGGTTTTCTTTGATGGTACACACATACCTGATGCCCAATTGGTTTTGTATTGCGAATTATGAAGTAGAAAGGAAAATCAATAGTCATCTTCTCCTTGAGCATCTGAAGGTTGCTTTTATTTAGAATTTCTCCAGAAATTTTCCTCTGTGGATTTGAATGCTCGCTAACTCTAACAAGATCAAGTGCTTTTCTCCAACGTGTCCCAGGCAAACTGCACATTTCACGTTACCACGTATAAATATTTACATGTCAAATTTCCACTTTATTCTGGAGTTTGATGCTAAAAATTTACCGTGACTCTTTCTCAAGTGAGAGTTGTCGATCTGGCCTCTCAAACACTGATTTTGATATCTCATCCCCAACAGCACAAATTACAAGTCCAAATTGACGATAGCCAGAAGCAGAAGGCTGGAAGCAAGCCAGATCAACAATCACACCATGAGATCTTAAGGTGGGTTTTGCATGTGTCTCAAGCCAACAAACAACTGGAGCTAAAGTAGCCCTTAAATGTCCTTGGCGGACAAGACGAAGCTGAGCATTTAGACCAGCAACTAGGCGGTACCAGATAGTAGGCGGAACTGACTGAAAATCATTAAGAACAATCATGAACCTCAATGCAAAACTACAAGGGAAATGAAGATAAAAGATCAAGCATCAGAACCATAATGTTAAACACACCTGGCTCATGAGGCAAGTTAGTATATTATCACTCTGAAAAGAGAAAGGAGCCATATAAGATCCATCTCCACCAAAAACAATACATAAGGGAAATCTTTGATGAAGGCGAGGAGGAAGATCATCTCTTTTTTCATCACCACCAAGGAAAAAATCGACATACGCAAGCATGAGATCTGAAGATGCCGCCACCTATAGCAGAAGAATATTATTACTAACTTCTGAACAGCTTAGACTCGGTTAAAAAGACAATGTTAGGTCATCCATATCATCCAGGTCCATTTTGAAAGGGAAAAAAAAAATGAGAGAGCATAAACTACAGTAATTTTACGAATTTGTTTTTATACACTTGATTGGAGCAAACTTACAGAGTAATTTCCCTGCCCATAAAATAACCTAAAGGATTTGTACAGTCAGGACCAAGAAAGGTTCAATCACAACCCAATGTTCAATTCAGATTTCCGGTGAAAAGGCTCAAGTCATGACTAAGTTTTCCCAAAGTTATTTTCGTCTTTCTGCTGATGACTCAAGCAAATGCTCAAAGTGATTTACCAAATTTATCAAGATACAGGAAAGGAGTATCCTCTGATGTATCTTTACAACGCTACGATGAAAGGAAAGTCGTGCCATTAAATTTAAACAGTAATACAAACAGTAATAAACTAATGTTTTAGCTCCTTTCATCTTAAGAAGTTCTTGTTGGTATCTGCATAGATTCATTGAATTTTTCCGTGCAGTTGGCCCAAGCAAGTTTAACAATATAAAATCAGCCCATGAACAAGCAGAATATGATTAAGTGCACCTTGAGCCCTTCATAAAGAGCACGTGAACGGCAAGAACGCAAGCAAGCATGATCATATTCAGACCGAACAAATTCACGCAGCTGTTGTATTTTTTTCTTCCGGCAGTGCTGCAGCCATGACCAAGCAAGTGGGTACACCAGGATAGAAAGAATGCTATACACTGATCCTTCCCACCAATGGTAATAAGCCAAATTGTTTATTTCATCCACAAATCTGTTAAAAGCATCTTCATATCTGCAGAGGATAGTTATTCGTAAAAAGATAAGCATCCATCCTGACAAGTCATAGAAAATATATCTACGTATCAAATAACAATATCCTAGCTTTTCAGCTTGGCAGCAATTTGTAACGATATGCAAAGGGGTGAGGAAGGCAGAATTCTTAGATGAGAATTGCAGATAACATACACAATTTCCTTTACTTCTTTGGGTGGGGAATGATGAAGATGCCAAGGTTCCCAAAAGGTATTCGCGCCCATGAAGTACATTCTATGGACATGAGTCTGCGACTCCTCATTTCGACTTGTTTCCAAGACCTTAAAAAGGCATAATTGACACTCTTAAGAAGTCCAGAAAACATAAAGAAAACTTAAAATGCCAGAGATTTTTTATTCGTTGCAAAGCAAAAACACGAATCTGAATCAAAAGAAAATGGTGAACTAAATCTCACCTCATTCAGTGACTCCAGAAAAGGAAATGAGCGATCAATTGGGGAACTCCGACGAGTAGACCCATGGCCTGGTGATTCATCCAGGGTGACAAATTTCATCCTTGCTACACTTAGAACAAGAGCTAACAGAACAAGAAGACATAGTAAGAGAAATCCGAATATCCATGGTCCCCCAAATGTATAGATCAATTCTTCAAGTGCTGTGTAACAATGTGGCATGTGATAAAGATCGGAGACACACTTGTATGGGCAAGGAGCGTCAGTAACACCTCCTGCATAAACATGCAGATCAAAATGAGTCACCAAAAAAGAACAAGAAAGAAAAAGACGAGACACGTACCCACACAAAACAAATCATGAAGATACAATTTCACTACACAAATAGTATCAAAAACATGAACATGCTCAATGGTTTACAAATTTACACGTTGATACTGGAAGAAAGGGTTCAAATGATTTAACCACAACAACTGAAAACTATGATTTTACCTCGAACAGCAATGTATATAGCTCGCCGTGGAAGCTCATGAGATGGGCAACTCTGACAAAGGGCTCCATCAGATCCACTTTCATTCTTATATGTTCCGACGGGGCATTCCTGTTTCATTAATTACTCGTTGTCAGAAATGCTAAAGTAAAGCTGAGTCAAATAACCATTGGAAGAATCAGAACTTGAAAAGTTAGACTCTAAGAGCACACAAATCCAAGGTAAATATGGATTTCTAGATTTCAAGTCCTCTTTGCATTCTGGAAGGAGAAATTATCCAATTTGGAAATATGTAGTGCACCCAAATAACAAATACAGCATGCAGAAATCTAGTGGCTTCAAACATTCATCATTCAAATTGACACTAGACCACTTAGCAATCATTTATGATAAATACTTTATGAACATAACCATCAGATCCAAGAAAACTGTCACTGACCTGACAAAAAATGCCATAAAGCCCTTTTGGGCATGCTCTTCCACTGATTGTTCCATTCTCTCCATCATGACCAAATCCTCGACCAATTCCTCCACTGAATTTCATAGTCAAATTCAAATTGCAAGCTAAATTTTTAGAGTACAGCGGCAATAACAACAAAATCAGACAGATTTCTGATAGGGACAGGAAAAAACAGACTAATTGTTAACATGAAAAAAAGTACATGAAGAAATGATTAAGAGGATAAGAAATGATTGGGGTTCAAAAAGGCAATCATCTCAATTCATGTTTTCTTTTGTATGTGCCCAGTTAATGACTTTAGGTCCGAACGCCTCAAATGTATGGTTTGATAATACGCCTGTGAAACCTCTTTTCGGGTTCAAATGCCTCCAAAAACTTCAGGCACCCAAGAGATACAAGACAACAGACTCATAAACTCAAATTAAGAGGGAAAAGAAAAGTCCTAAAAAGAATTGGAAAGAACCATCAAAATAAACATGAACTGTGTGAGCTAAATTTGTGTTGCAAAACAGCATGAGGAAGACTTACAACCCATATACCCAATCCACGGAGTAGGATAAAGGCATAGATGCTGTTGTTGTCTTTGCTGCACAAGTCTGACATTGTTGAGTTCATCCTCACACGGGACTATGTATAAATTCAGGGATTACTAGATGAGAACACCTTTAAGGTTCATGCAACATTTCAATCCAGAAAGAGTAGATAAAATAGAAGTGTGGTGAAGGCATAAAATGGAATCACGCTAAGCAGGGATATTCCTCTCAAGCATTTGGGTCATGACTCTTTGAAATCACAAGGAATCCAAATTCCAACATAAATTTGACACATCCTAACTTTCAAATTGCAAACTATGTCCAACACAATTTTTTAGTAAGTAGTGTTAGGAAACGGTGAATGCAACTTGACATTGTAAAGTTGGGCATTCACCAAATAAGCCTAGCTCTCATACTGAATTTAGTAAAAGTCAAACCAATAAGCAGATAACACAAACCTAGCACTGATAATTCCGTTCACGCTTGCTATAGGTAGGTACTCATCTCCTGTAGAAATATCTGACCAATGAAAGTGAACCCTCCCACCTCCACCGCCGCCGCCGCCATTGGTACTACCATATCCCCCAAAAGCAGAGATGATGGAAGAATTACCAAGGGACAGAGTATGAATGAACAAAAGGATTGTCCCACCAGATCCACCCCCAGAGCCACCACCCAAAATAGCTCCATCATCCAGCTCTGACACAAATTTTGCCTTGTCTTCCCCATTAGCTTGAAGTGACCCAAGTATGGACAGAGAGGAGACAGCATGCTCCAATGAACCAATCACTGAGAGAGGATAAAAGACAATCACATACCACGAATCCCTGAACACTTTTACGAGGCTTATAACCTTACATGAATTCCTAATTCTAATTTTTATTTTTTTTTCACTTCCAGAACAAAATACTTCTGTAGCTTAACCAAAACAGTAAAACATTTATTCCTAAAATACAGTCAAAAGAGCCAAATAAATGAGTAATAACTCCACTTGTAACAAAGACTTATTTTAGTATATTGGAGACCGTGAACCTAACATATCTGGAGTGGAGGAAAGGCAAATCAAGATGAGGAAAACATAATAAGGTAAGTTTGCGGAACAAGATAGATCAAGATGCCAAAAACCTCATAAGGTAAATTACTGCAGGTAAATCAAAATAAAAAGTTCGTTTCCGAAAGTTTACCAACAATACCACCACCAGCAACTGCATCAGGTAAACTGCTGTTACCACTTCCACTGCCAAGTTCACAAGGCAACTCAGCATTACCATAAGCAACACCACCACTGATGTAGCTTCCATTATAGTACGTATCTCCACCTCTGCCACCGTGTCCTGCTCCACTACTCAGGCCACTGGGCAAGTATTCACCTTTACCCAAGCCACCATAGCAGCCTATAATCCAATCAAATAGCCAGGTTCAGTTTTCAACCTTTTTGTGCCAGCCGTGCAAAGTGCGGACAAACTAATAAAGTGGCTTTAGACCGTTCAAGCATAAATCAAGCCTCTGGTGCTGCTATTATTATGCACCTTGAGGAAAAAGAAGAAAGAAAGAATAAGTGATATATATAGAAAACATACCCAGGCCAGATGCGCTAATTGCTCCAGACTGTTTCACAAACACAGTTCTGACCCAATGAAAATGAACAACAGATCCTTCCACGAGGCCTTCAACAATTACATCTTCAACACGACATATCTGTGTGAGCAAAATACTTCATGCCTTAGAAAATAGATCCCAAAAACATTAAAGTCTATCACCTGCCGAGACAAGCCTTAAAACACTGGAAGCACTCGTTAAGAAATTCACTTCTAAAATCGCCAATAATATCTCTTTGCATTGAACAATTTATATACCTGAAGAGTGAAAGAAAGTGACGCATTTACATTGCAATCCTCAGGTGGATGAAGCAGTTCCACAGGGCAACTCTGGAGATGACAGGGGAGCCTAGTAGCCCTAAAAAAAAGTTCAAAATAGTAAATTACCAAAGAAAAAGGGAGAAAAACCAAGAATGGGAGCAACATCACAAGGGGAGAGAGAGAGAGGAACAAAACAAAAACCACTTACATATAACTCTTACTTGCATTTTGCACTGGGCCCCGTACCGTAGATCCAGGCCCAAGCTTCATGAAGAAGGATAGAGATTTCACATTAATGATGAATTAGAAAGAAGAAACAAAGTCTACCACAACAAAGCTCAAACAATATACAATTTCACCATAAAAGTCTCGAATCCCATAGAATGTCACACAAAATGAATGCCTAAATGACTTGCAGAATGAAAACCACGGTAAAAATTCAGACCCATACACACAGTGAGCGCCTAAAAAAAAGGAAGCTTTCTGTCTACCTTGCACACAAACTATTACTGATGCCAAGTTTTGCAAATACCGCAAATGAAACAGTGAACAAATGTTACGAACTCTACCTAGTTTTTCTGCAATATAGATTATTTGAGATCTATTCTCTATATTTTTGGCCCATAAATTACAACAAGAAGAAATTATCTAACTAGATACGCTATGGCATTAAAGAGCAATCATGTCCTGAAACTTAAGAGGCCTTACACTTATGCTGTAAAAGAGTGACAAGACCAAATGTTGAGCTTCAATAAGGTCACCAGGTCCAGTTAAGTTCAATGAGCCTTGTCCATGGATTCCCAAATTGGCATTTGAACGTATCTCAGATGATCCCTGATGAATGAAAAGGTCTTTAAACACTATAACAGGCACGAGAGTGACGACCACAAACAACTAATTAAAGTTTTACCTTAAGAACCACTAAATTGCTGGCTTCAAGAAGAGATGTAGAGAGACTTGTATCACTATCACCGTCTATAAGCATTTTGGAATTAAGCATCAAGTGGATTTTGACAGACATTCTCAAAGCCCCGTAAATCTAAGAAAACAAACAATAGTTGACACATCATAAGCACTAATGACAAAAGGAACTTGTAATAATTACAATAACATAGGCAGTATCAGTTTAGGGCAACTCAAACTAGTTGATTTTGAGAAGATATGCCAAAAAAACCACTTGCCTTGATAGTTGAATCACTCATCAGGAGCTCTTCCGCCATTAACTCAAACTCTGATAATGGACGAAAAATGAGCCCAAAGGTTAAAACTGCGCCACATGATAAACTTAGCTGTCCTTGGACCTACAAAAAGGATTCAAACTTTAGCTGCAGATGCTAGTAGGACCCTGTACCAATGAACTTGGGAAGAAAAAGGAAAAGCTCAATAATTTTTTCCTGTCGTGCACAATATCTCTCTATCCAGTATGCAGTCTCATTTGTGGGGGAGGAATCCAAAAAATTGTACATCTACCATAGCCTTAAGCATCAGATACTTATCCAGAGGTTCACAAGGATTATGTTAAATCAATTAGGGGTTTGGAATTCATAAGATGCAAAGGTTGTGGGGCACATTGTTCCACTATTTGTCAATGCATCTGACAATTTCAATCATTCTCGAATTGAAACCGATGAGTTCTCCATAATGCTATAACAAGACAGTAAAAGGAATATATCCTTCAATCACAAGACTTGACATATTAGAATTCATCGACTTAAGCAACTAATAATAAACAAACAACTACAAAAAGTGTTCTTATCAATCCATCAACAACTCTTATCAACCCAAAAAAGAAAGAAAATAAAAAAAGGAAGACCTTTATTATAGAAAGTGTGATGAGAATTTTCAATTAACCATGAAAAACCTTTGTATTGAAGTTGCTGGAAATCAATACTTCAAATGATACAATGTATCTTGGATCAAAACAGAAACAGCCTCTTTGTATAATTATACAAGGGTAAGGCTACATCTGACCCCCCAGATCCCAACCTGATTGGGAACATAATACTGGGTATGTTGATGTTGATGTTGATGTTGATGTAACCATGAAAAACCTTTATTACCTTACAAAAAGTTTTACGACTCAATCCAATCAATACACACATGTGCCTAACTCCCTTAAACAACAACTTGTGACTCAATAATTCGCCTCACATTTAGACAAGCTTGTTACACTTTAACAGCCAGCTTAACTAAAAGCAGGAAAGTGTTTTGATATTTTTATAGAAAAGAAATTCTTCATCAACCAAAACAGAATCAAGCACATTTCTGTTTAAATCATTAATCCCATGACTGTTGAGATAACTCGAACGAAACTGATCTTAATTACTCAGTTCCTAAAGCATGCCAGCTCAAGTTACTACTTTAGCCCCCAAAAGTATGGATGACGACAAAGCTGATGTTTTTTGCAACACAGTACATTCGTGAACTCACAACAACAAACTCATTGGCTTTGACCACAGAAAACCGAAAGGAAAGAGATACAAAACCATATGGCAATATCGACCATCAAGCACTACACATAGTCAACTTTCAAATCACAAAAAGGCAATACCATCAAATCAACTTTAAGGATGCAAAGGTATAATAACCTGTACACGACTCCATGGCATAGGAACAGTAGCGCGTGCAAGGTTTACAATGTAGACATTTGTCCAAAGAGGCTGATTAGGAAACGCAAATAGAAGTGTTTCAGTATCTGTTGACATATTTTGATTGTTTATCATCAGTCTTCTTGGGATAGCATCATAAAATGTCCCAGCAGCACCAGCGTTTGTAGGACACCCGAAACTTCTCCCACCTGTAATATCAATGAAATAATGTGTTACTCCCTCCGTTCCAAAATAAGTGTCGTTTTAGCAAAATGAAGAAATTTCAAAATAAATGTCAGTTCTCACATTTCGATGCATTTTTTGTCCAAAGTTTCCAAAATTACCCTCAAAAGAATTAATACTATTGGTGGACATTGTTTTAATGGGGTTAGTTGAGGATATTCAAGTAATTTTATTACCCTAATTAATAGTTTCTTAAACTATGTGCAAAGTGTAGGATGACACTTATTTTGGAATGGAGGGAGTACAATATACAGGATTTAACAGAATGACCAGATTCAGCAAGCAGTAAGACCATGCCCTTACATCTTTAAAGGTTGCCAGAGCTCAGAAACCCAAACCCATTCTTGACAACCCAAATCTAAAAGGACATACCCCCAAGAGCATAGCACAAATTCCATGCGACACACCGAAGAACTACAGCTAACATGTCAAGACATGAAGAACTGGAAAGTTTTGACTTATCCAGAATTCAAAGGTGAAATCACACGAAGTCACCATCAATGAAATAAAAAAAACACCTAGACAGTAAGAGGATACAAAAAGGGCAGCAAATGCTTGATGCTTCAAGCTAACTGAGGAACAAACAGACTAACCACAAAAAAGAAACAAACAGATCGGCGGTGTTATATACCCACAAAGAACTGAACAAGCACCTAGCACGCTTTTCCATAAGCACATATAATATTAATTGAAAAATAATCTGAACCAGAGCACTTTACAAGCACAACCTTCCAGGAACGATCTTGGCAGTTCAAGCTAAAGCTACAACTGAAATTACAACACATTCTTACCATGAACAAGAAATATAGGGTCATCATGCCGGCTAAAAGCATCAACAGACACTCTTCCCCCACCACCTCCAGCAAATCCATTACCTCCAGAAGCACTAAATTTTCCATTTCCTGTCCTGTTTTTCATGGTAAATAATTAGATTCATAGTTTATGTAGGATACATCCAAATAATCAATTTGGCAAAATCATTAAAATTGGGTTAATTAAATTTCAAAAAAAAAATAAAAAATCCTATTGTGACAAATGTGAATTTGTAAGGATAAGAACAAGATGGACACGTTGCTTATGCTTTATCTTTCCTTCCTTGTGAAACTGAGTTACCTGATATATCACTGAATTCTTGAAATGGTAACAAAAACTTTAAAGTCGTTCTTACCCTAATTGCAATTTCTTATGCATGAGAAAATTGCGAGTGAAGCTGTAAAGTTTCACTGGATGCATCTTATTTCTACCTTTCTTCATTTCTCATTTGCTCAATCAACATAAGCACAATCATCCCAACCTCAGATCCAATTTAGAAATTTGCAAAAAGCTCAAAATAATTCAACTAGTAGTCTACAAAGCTTAGGTTTCCTTCTTTCCCTTCCATGCTGACAATAATCTAAGTGCACCAGAATTATAAAAGGAGAAAGAAGCATGGATCAGTTCCTCCTAGCTAAAAACATAGAATACAAATGAACACAAAGAACACATATCAGGGGAACTAACTTTCAGCATGGACACCCAAGAGCATGAAAATAAAATATTCTACAAAGAACACAGATAGATACATATTGAAAAATGAATTCATTACATTTTTAGAGTCTTGATGTGAATGCTGCCGCCTGAACCTCCCCCTCCTTTGATTCCACCATCCCCTCCATCAGCCAGTAAAACCCCGGAAGCATCCACTGAATCCGCCACCTCGAAACGAATCCTCCCACCACCTTTCCCCCCATAATCATCGACCTTACTGGTAGTTCCTCCTTTACTCCCGTAAATAAATGGTGTCGCCAAATCCTCCCATCCATATGAATCTCCTCCCCAAACATCCTGAGGGAGCTTCTGATTGTCAATCATACAACTCGCTCCTCTACCGCCAAATCCCCCACCGCCACCCTGACCATCATCCGGAGTCCCAAAACTTACAGGAGGCTCACCCCCTAAAGCCGTCGAATTAATCAACGATTCACTAGATAAAGTAGCATTGCCGGCCACAACATAGACCGAGCCAGCTCTGATTTCCGCACTTGAACTCAACTTAAATTCACCGCTAATATTAATGGTAATGGAGCAACCTAAGTAAGGGCAGGCCAGAACTACGCCTTGGAGGATGAAGAAATTACCTTCTCCTTTAACAAATATATCTTCAGTGAAATTCAAGCTGTGATTGAGCTCGCAGGTGGTGTTAACGGAGCCAATTCCTTTGAGTTCCTCGCAGGAGAGCGGGGGAGGCTGAGGTGGCAGCGACGGAGGCGGTGGTGGAGGCGGCGAGTAATCCCGGTGGAACAAGTCGGTGAGTTCTCCTTCATCGATGATCGAGAACTCCGACGAATACGAAGCGGAGGCGAAACGAAGCAGAAAGATGAACAGGTAAAGAAATCGAGCCGACATCCCTCAAAATCATTCCAACCTAAAATGAAATTCCGTTCGGAGAAGACGGCAATGTATTCACCGCATGCATTAAGTATCAGGCAAAAAGAAAAAAAAAAATTGTTTCAGAAACGAAAGAAAGAGAAGACGAAAGGCCGGTGAGACGGCGTTTGAGAAGAAAGAAGAAATTGGGGGAAGAGGAAAAAGGTTGACAGGTGGAGAGCGGCCGTCGAAATCGGAGGGGGATACAGAGCTTCAATGTTTTGATTTTCTGTCAAACGACGGGGTTTTTGCCCTGTCAGCGGAAAAAAGTGTTAAGGTGGGCCCAGATTTTGGATCATGGGCCACGGGGAGGCGAAGCTCGGTCATGAATATTAAAATCCAGACAGAACCTGACTCTACTGATATGCCAAAAATAAAAGTTTTAAAAAAAATTACTAAAAATGAGAGTAATTGACTCGTGACTCGTGACTCATCAGTCAGCTATGACTCATCATCATCAATGTTGATTGTCGATTTAACAAGATGTAGATGGAAAAAGAAAGGGAAATCACACATTTTTTTTGTCTTTTAACTTTCATCTTCTTATTATATTGCTTAATCTATAGAAAATAAATAAATAAATAGTTCGATCTCATTGCAGCAAATATTTTGTCCAAATCATTGAACAAAATCGTTACTTTTTCCACAATATATCCTCGGCTATGTTAGATTTATTACTAAAAAAAAAAATTACTATTTCTGGTTCCAAGCAATAATAATTTAGATTTATTTGATTATTGAGCATTGTGGGTATCTTCAGTTTAAGTTTAAAACTTTCTAAACATTTCATGATTTTATATTTTTTAGATGTTAACTTTGTCCTCCAAGACCCAATGTGACAAATTTTATATTTTCTTAAAGAAACAAAACAATCAACGACATCGTAAATGTGGTCCATGAATCTAGTAATGTAAGGCAAATATATGTCTAATTTCCTTACACTTCATTGCGCTTTTCGTAAAACTTTGAGATAAAAAGATCTAAAACCAACAAACGTTAATACTCGTTATTTACATAAAAATTATTAGAAGTATATTTTTTCAAAGAATAGCATCATGCGGTAAGGAATGATGCAGCAAGAGTAAATTACGTTCTTATTTATAGTTATGTGGCAATTATTAAAAGTTTAATATGTTTTTTCTTTTTCATTTCAGCATCCACTATTTCATTTGATTGGAAATTACTTATTTCATCCCGAAATGATTATTCAGTTTTAATGTTCACTTTTGATTTTAATTATATTAAAAGTTACAATCTAAATGGACAATCATTTTGGGATAGAGGAAAGATCATTGAGTAACCCATTCTTTAATATATACTCAACTCCCCTTTGAATCCTAGGAACGAGTCGCCTTCATATTTATGCAGTAGAAACTAGAAAGGAAGCAGTCAACAACTCATAATAGGGCAGAAACGGGTATTAAATAAGTAGGATTATTATATGTAGTAACGGAACGAGAATTTTTAAATTGCGAGGTCGAAAATAAGATTATTCAACCATCACCAGAGGGCCGAACTGAAAAAATTTCAAATAACAGACACCTTACTAAGAAAAAATTTGGCTAAATCCGGCAAGCTGGGGTCGATCGACCACCCTGACCCCTTGAATCCGTCACCGATTATATGATGGGGGGTAGCTTAGGATTATGCATAACTAATTAGTTTATTCCCTCAAAAAAAAAATAAAATTTTTGAATAAGGAGTAGGTTTAAGAGCAATTTTGAATATTTCATTGTCGCCGAATTTGAAGTAAACTACTGTCTGCAGATATGGCCTGATTTACCTTTAGACTAAAGGTGTAAAATCCAGCGGGGTAGATTTTCAGGAGTTATAACAAAATATTTGTGTGTCAATATCAATGTCTAGCTTGTACTCTCCCAATCCACTTTGTTTAATGTTTTAGTTCAACAAAGTAGATTTATTTTATGAGCCAGAGAAAATAAAATTCTATCTAAGAAGATAGAGAATCTTGCCATTACAAGGAACCACTTTAACAATCTAATGACAAGAAATCATATTTTTACTAGTATGCTACATGATACGTTATGATCTTTTTATCACGCGAATAAGGGGAAACACGTTATGAACATAATCGAGGTCCTTAATATTGCTATATAAAACTCTACATAATTGACGGGAAATTTCCATGTGACAATGTACACTAGACAAATGACAATTCCAAGTACATACATGCATAATCGATTAAAAGAGTAGCACGATATCAGTTCAAGATCTTAAAAAAAATTTAAGAAATATTATTCATTTATGGTGAATTGCACCGATGGAGTACGTACATAAATTTTGGAACTACATTCCAACTGGTATTACAATATAATTTCTTCAGAAAAAAAATGGATGAACATTGGAAATAAGGCATTTGTACATTTCCTTTACAGCCAAAATATTCAGAAATCAAGGAAACCTTTTCCCGAAATCTCTGATATCATCCCATGATTGCTTCTCTCTTTACCTATTCACCATCTCAATTTTGCTGGAAAGTACTGCATAAAAACCGAGAGTTTCTCAATTTCACCCAAAACCAAAAGAGAAATAAAAATCATCAGGAAAAAGGAAAGGATATATTACACTAAGAAAAATGAATTCTCACCTTTTCAATAAGGGACAGATAGTATGGCTTCACCTTTTCTACATCAACTCGAACCTTGCTTTTGCTATAAAGGTCATATTTGCTGCAAATGATTGTTTTGGAAAAAAAATATTGAGCCTGGTGTTTAATGTGAGTAAATAGAAGAAACATCAATCAAGACTTAAAGATTGTTAATTACTTGAATATTTGTAGCCACTTGAAGCACTCGCGATCCTCCTCGTTCATTAGATGGGTATATTTTCCTTCTCTATGTAATGCTGTAACAAATAAAATTACCGTCAAATTCATAACCGATTAAGTATGATATCTCCGAATATAAATAAGATAAAGAACAAACAAAAAAAGTAATAAATGTATAGTGCTTACGGTAAAAAGAATGGTAACGGATGACAAAAAGAGCAGCAGGCGGCAATGTAGTTCCATTTTCCTTAGCCACCAAATACATGTAATCATCATGGCCCCATGACATGACAACATTCTCAAGCCCACATCCTTCTTCATAAACCCCATTCTTGGTACTGTAGGCCGGGTTCTTAATATCTGGATTTTGCTTGAAATACTTGTGGTGGACAATGGATTCATCAAAAGCACAACCCAACGGAAATGTGTCTCCCACAACGGCCCACTGAGGTAGCCCACCAAAGGCAGGAAGACAGAGAACTTTCCCAAGATCTGTGGCTCAAAATGAAAGAATTGAGGGAAAAAAATCTTCATCATTAATAAATGATAGGGAATATTTCTATATATAGTAAGTGGATTTTTTCTGATTTAGTAGTAAAGTCATACCGTGAATGAGGGCGGTCAAATGAAGCCAATCTTCATTGGGATAATCCTTTCGGATAGCTTCGGCAGTTTGTAACAAATGCTCGATTTGGGGTTCATCCAAATCAGGGTCACTATCGTCCACAACTTCATTCAAAAGCACACAACATTCCCATATGCTCATTTCCGCTTTGTCCAATTTCTTGTACTCTTCCCTCATCCTCTTCACCTGCACCCATGCAATGTTCATAATTATTCCTCCCGACTATCCCAGAAAAATAGTTAACTTTGTCGAGAAATAATTAACGGACTTACAAAGTCGTATGTCTGGTTAATGTGCTGTAAGCGGTAGAATTCCTCCACGGACTTTTGTCTCTCAGTTTCTGCATTGTAGTTTCTGCAAAATTGACACAACCTTGATGAGTTTTTAATACCAAAACAATGTAATCTGGCACGACAATAATTGAAACAGAAAAAATTTTATTAAAAAAAATGACTAATTAAAAACCGACCTGAAATCGTTACCGAATGCATTGATTTCTGGAGCTTCAAATCCTCCATTAGGTGTTTGTTTGGGCATAACAAAACCTCCGTCGAGTATAAGCTCATTAGTCTCATGTGGGATTGTCTTCCCTTCAATTGGAAAAACTGAAAATTAAACCAAAACATCTCCATAATTAATCCTTCATCGAATAATAAAAATAAAATTGCAGATTAAAATAAAATCGAGGAGAAACAAAAAAAAAAAAGGAAATAAACCTAGGTCGGGTTGTTGCTCAATGAGGATCGTCATTTCGGAAACCGGACTTTGACAATGACAACGTTAAGAACAATCGAAAGTAGTAATAAGAAAGGAGAATGGAAGAAGAATTCAAGGAGGAATGGATGCATCTGGTTGGAGGAAATGGAAGGTATTTATAGTCGGGTAAAAATGTCCTTAGCTTGGGAATTGCAATGTTTGAAGTCCTTAACTTGAAAAAACCATGGAGTCCTCAACTGGAAATTTTGCCATACTCCAGCTATTTTATAGGTTATTATCTTCTCCATAAACAAATCATTCAAAGGAGTGACGTACGCGGGAACCGAATCTTCCCATTCTCCCCCGGCGCGTTGGACATGATCTTCACCGTTGATCGCCATCGCAGCTGGATATTCTTTAGCGATTGAGGATCACGGGGACGAGAGGAAAGTGGTAACGGAAATGAAATATACAGAAGGTGATGACTCAGCTTTGCGTGGGAATATGAGTTCTGATCTTATACGAGTAATGAGGAGGGCCGAATGACGCGGAACCAAGTCATATCCTACGACGTTTTGACTTGTTTATTGGCGGCCGCAATTTTAACCTACGCTGCTTCAATTAGGTGGGAGATGATCCGCAAAGCTACTTCAAACAAAATTTGGGTCATAAATTTGCTTCCAGATTTTATTTTGAATATGAAAAAAAACGTTACGCTGATAGAATTATCTCTTGCTATAACTTACTTTTTAAAAAATATGCTCTACAAAATTTTTATTACGTGAATACAATTACACTGATCGAATTAACTCGTACTTACTTATTCGGCATTAAAAAGTGAGTGTTGAGTGAAATAGAATTATTATGACCATCATTGTTAGTATGAGGAGGCTCTATTCAAAGCAATCTTATGAACAATTGAACTTAGGAGATGAATAAAAATAAAATCGTTATGGACTTCCATGGTTACAACGTCATCCTTAAGATAAGAAGGATTATTAAAAACTCCGGCGAGTTGGGTGGAGTTGATGCCAGCCAAAATCTAAACGCTTAAATTAATGACCGACGGCTATAACTTATTCTGGCCATGACGAACTTACCTAAACAAACAATTACATAAAAGAGAAAACCACCACAAAAAGATAATACTCCCTTTGTTCTAAAATTATTGTCCAGTTTGAGATATCACTTTTAATACAATTTAAACTAACAATGAGAACCCAAATTGGACAATTATTATGAGACGGATGGAGTAATAATAAAGATATTTATCGGCAAAAGCATTCAGGCCACTCAAAAAGCAACTTGAATCTGAATGAAACTGATGTTATTGGATCTAGTGTTGTGTGAATGATAATGATTGTTGAGGGGAAGGTTAATTATTCGACCACCGGCACATATTGATTTTTCTTTTTCTCTCTTTTTTAAGTCCTTGTTGACATTAAAAAAAAGTGAAAATCTTACCAACAAATGATGGAAATGGGGGATGAGCTCGTATATCACCGTTGTTTTAAACTTTAACAATGATTAAAATACTTTCAAAAAGAATATTATAGTATTTTATGAAAATATATACTCGTTCACTCCTAAATAGACTAATTTTATAATTATTATCGAAAACATTCATAATAAAATTTTCTCACCGAAAACATTTTTAAGTCCAAGCAATAACAAGATATTCATCTATAATGATGATAATCACATGTATGTAAATGTAACATTTAGCTTAGGATACAAATTAATACTTTTACTTATCAAAAGTTATAAAATGAAAGGATAAAAAGGGTAGGAAAACGAAAGCCTAAAATTAAGCAAAAGAATGATACCACCCTCTTATTAGAATCTGGGAGGAAGATACTTTGTAGTCATGCCAAAATTCCCTCTTAAATTTAAAAGGTCAGCCTCAACCAACTCACCTGTCCTCGTCAACTGCTTAGTACTAGTATTTTTTTAAAACATAATCAACGAAACTATCCAAGTAGTACCGTGTAAATTGTGATATGTGCCTACATTTGACCACAAGTACTTCGTCCCTAGCATCACACAAATAGTACTTCTTCTGTTTCAAAATAAAAATTTACATCAATTTTTAAATTTTATAAATAAAAATGGCATAAATCTGAAAATTTATATATATATATATATATATATATATATATATATATATATATATACTATTTTGTTGGGGATATAGATGGTTTTCTTCTAAAATATTTTTTATTCATAAAAATGTATAATTATTTTGGCTAATATGTACATACTTTATGAGGGCATGATGTTCAGAGTCGGAAAGATTTTGAGGATCGGGTGCAATTTGCCAATTTGGCACGTAGCAATTTTGTTGCGAAAGACAGTTCCCACGTGTTTGACGAGCTTAATTCCTTCTTTTTGAGTCGCGGCTCACCCATTTTAAGTTATAGATAGAGACCAGCAGAAAAGCGAAACATGTCCAAAAACATTAAAACAGAACGTTGCAAAAACAAGTCATGTGTATTTTTAGGTGTCCGCTGCAAGCTAGCTAGTGAAAGACTAACGCAAAGGGTTTAGTTTATAACAATGATATATTTGGGTTTTCATTTATCTCATTATATAGACTGACAGTTCATTATTGTATGTTGTAAAGACAATACACGGTCTTGAATTTTAATTTAACTAGCCAATAATGGGATATCTTAATTTGGTTAGCATAAAATGAGTGAGAGATATAAAAAAGTTAAAATTGGTTTAAATTGATTTATAATCTGCTGCATTTATCTGTTCGATTACTGACTAGCCAGACTAGCACACCAACTCTATTTATTCTTCTTTTTCTTTTTTTCCTCAAGGGCAAAGCCAGAAAATATAAACTACAATGGTGATCGAAATGATAAATTTCTCAACTAGCATGGGCAAAATTTTGATTTTTTAAAATTTTGTACTACAAATTAAGCTCTGTCTTTACAAAATTAAGCCCCCTGTTGGTTCCCCTGTTTTCACCACTGTTTTTTTTTTTTTTTTTTTGTGTGTTTCCTCAAGGAAATGCTTACTAAGATGTAGGATAAATTATAGTTTAGATCTATTCGGCCAGTTTTTGGACATTTGGGCCGACAGGTGATGTTTTGATAACCCATGACTTTTGGTTAATTTATTTGGACGTGGAGGAGGTTTTATGTAACGCCCCAGTTGCTAGGTCTGGCCTGATAACTATTTGGGTGATCGTACTCGCTAAACCCAAAATGGTTAACCCAAGTTATTAGTAAACCAGACAGCTCAAACTTATAAAGTGGTTACTCCCTCCACCTGGCACCAATGTGGGACTCCCACCTGTGTGCTTCTTTCACGGGTCTCACAGTCGACCCCCCTTTGGATCCTTGCGTCCTCGCAAGGCCCAAGATACACAGCACAATACAACACAACACACAGCACATACAGTTGGCCCAAGGTCCCCTAGAACAGATGCGTTTCACTTGTCTCATACCTCCTATGAGCTCAAAAGTGTCACACAATACTTGTCTCTTACGTGTGAGCTCATAGGTGGGTCCACACCTGGACTAGGTCGGCTCTGATACCAATTGTAACGCCCCAAATGCTAGGTCTAGCCCGATAACTATTTAGGTGATCATCCTCGCTAGACCAAAAATGGTTAACCCAAGTTATTAGTAAACCAGACAGCTCAAGCTTATAAAGTGGTTACTCCCTCCACCTTGCACCGATGCGGAACTCCCACCTGTGTGCTTTCTTTAATGGGTCTCACATTTTAAGGCAGTAAAAATAGCCCAAAAGTGACCAAAATACGTTTGGGGTCAATATGGGCTGGTTGAGTGTGAACAGATTGAGAATTGGAGAAAGAAAGTAAAAGCCAAGTGGGAATAGAATTGTTCCAAAATCGGCTGCGTGACTAATTGGCAATTAAGGAAGATTTCTCCTTATTTCTTGCTCCTTTTAATAAGAGAAACTACCAGTAATTAATAAGATATATTTGGGAAAGGATTCTATTACCAAATTAAGAGCTGATTGTGAGAAGAGTCATCAACCGATTGGGAGACTGATGCGGGAATAATTGTCTATTTTCAAGGAAATTGACCATGTTAAGCTACCTTTTCTCTAAGGAATCATAGGGCAGCAAGGATTTCGTCCAAGCACTATAAATAGAGGTAGCCATGAAGAGAAAATCTTCACCAATCAACCATACAACTGGTTTTCCTTGTCCTTTATTATTTCTTTTATCGTTTATCATGTTTTTACCTTTCTTATGGTAGTTCACCACGTTCTATCATGCTTGTTTAGCCCCTGACTTAGTAATAGAGTTCTTTGTCTTTTTCTCCTACATTGAATTAGGTAGGTGTTCACCGTTTTCTCTTCCAACGAATTCGGTTATGCTGTAATAGGTGTTCTAACACTTATGTATGTCGGACTACCCTCTGCACGTCCGTCCTATCTTTGTCTTCTATGTAATAGCATATCATCGGTACCATCTGCAACTTACCGGTGCTAGGATTTTCCACTTTATGAGTCAAATGTCGTCTCTTTGGCTTTCTCCCACTTTCTCTAAGTCTTTACCTATCTTTCTCAAACTAAAGTCAATAACCCTAAGTCCTCGTTTCTGGTCCGAGGCCGGTTCGAACTCAACCACAACCGTCTGATTTAATTGTGTTTTGGGTGATTCATGTTCCCCTTTTTCCCACGGTTTCGGGTGCACAATTTTCACGTAAAACAAGATCATTCAATCAACTGGTTCTATATGAGTTGATCACATGAAATTAAAGTAAAATTTGTTTTGTGGCGGTGTTGAATCGCATTAACATTTGTTTTTTAACTGTACTTTTTTGGCACATTGTATTTTCATCTTTAGTCAAGAAATTCACTTTCAATGGCCTCATGTAGATTGGCAACGCGGCATTAACTGGGCTCTAGTGAGATGGAAAGGTAAACATTTAGTTAATATGGCATATATATCTTATTTTGCTTGATGCACTTGTATATATTTTTTTTTGACAAAAGAGGAATTTGCAAAAGTTTGAAAACAATAAAAGGTCTACTAAGTTGGTGTCTTGTATTGTAATTAACGTGGTTAGAGACAGGCTTTGTAGTACGAATATTAGAGATCCAATCTAGAGCAGTTCGTTGAATATGGAAGATATGTTGGAATGGACGATTATATACTGTGTTAGGGAGCTACTAATCTATCCGATGTGATGGATGGTTCTAGTTAGTCCTAACAAGATTGGTGCAACAAGAGCTTCTTGTTGGCTTTGTATAAGTTTGTAAT